TATTGACTGTTTTATGTAAATAACGGCTCTTCGGTTAGTAATTGCCCTTTAATATCTAGTATTACGCATGTGATACGTCATTGTCTTGTTTGTATCTTTCTAATGAAATAGGCTGTAACAACCCTTTTCCACCCGAACTACTTCACCGATTTTATGATCGAGGTGTTTTTTTTAAATCTTAAGATCTAGCGCAACGCAAAATGTTAATTAAAACGATATTTTGATAGAGGGCTTCAAAAGTTTGACCCTTAAGCATTTGATTTTTCTAGACAGTGATTTAAATGTTTGGCCAACTTTCACACACAGTAACAGCTAACGGCACATGTACGAGCGCAGATCGTGAAATTTAAAACATATAATTGAAGGAGGTTATTTTCTGATTACTAGAGGTAAAAATACAGTGCAATTAAATCATGTTGATAAATAGCCTGCCACCGGTTGATCAATAAATTAGTTAATTACTAGGTGAAACCCGTCAAAATCGACGGTTGCTTTAAAGGCTTACGATAATTCTTTTAACTGTGACAGAGTGAAATTACATTTATGACAACAGCTAATTTGCAACCAAAAGGTGAGTGAGCGTAGCGAACGAACTTCAACTTGGAGGCGAGTAAGTGTTGGATGTATGTGTCTTAGTAGACAGGATAAGAGCACAATGAACTTCTTCTGTAGATAAATAATTCGTTGGCTAAGAAAAATATAAGCCGGATTAATAAATGTCTCAATCCAAGCGCATTAAAATAGCCCTGTCCTGAACCTTTTTTGTAGTATGTAGTTAGTTTAATAACATTCAAAGGCTCTATTGTGTTTTCACTAAGCTGAATAAATACATCAAAGTAACATCTCTAACAGGTCTGCAATAAATTGCAATTTGGCAGATTAATGACTATCTAAATCGTGCACATATTTCCCCATAAACATTATTAAAAATTTAATCCAGTTGCTGTAAACCACTATTAATTTAAAAATATATACACGGCTCATATGAGCAACGTGCCCTTCTGCACTTGTATTATTTTGTATCGTATTACACAATCGGAATCTTTTCCAATAATTGAAAACATGTATGAAAATAATCTTATGAACCTATGATGATCTGTCTTAGATATGACAAAAAATATTGGCAAAAGTGGTAAAAAATGCAGACACCAAGCTGTAAAATAGATATAAGATAATTTAATAAGTAATAATTTTAATAGTTACTGTATGTAATATTTTCCAATGATTTCGCAATAAAACGTTATACTGTATTATGCAGAATAAAATAAATTTTTAAATCAGAAAACTACATTGTAAATTCTTCTTTTTGACAAACTCAGTAACTCTCTATATACAATTTTAATATTAACAGCTGTTTCATTAAAAGTAGTGAAAAATTATCCATATGACGATAACGTAAACAAATCTGGGAAGGGAACTTTTAAAGGTTTGCTTAAGGGTCAAACTTTTGAAGCCCTTTATCAAAATATCGTGTTAATTCCGTTTTGCGTTGTGCTAGATCTTAAGATTTAAAATTACACCTCGATCATAAAAATCGGTGAAGTAGTTCGGGTGAAAAAGGGCTGTTACAGCCTATTTCATTAGGAAGATAGATAATGTTAAACAAGACAATGACATATCACATGCTTAATACCAGATATTAGAGGGCAATTACTAACCGAAGAGCCGTTGATTTACATAAATCAGTCAATAAAATCAATTACAACAATGAATATTGGCCGATACGTGACAGAGCTGACCACGGGGGGTAGATGTCCGGGGGTAGATGTCTGGGGGTAGATGTCTGGGGGTAGATGTCCGGGGGTAGATGTCCGGGGGTAGATGTCCGGGGGTAGATGTCCGGGGGTAGATTTCCAGTCGCGGGCTGTTTCTCGACCGTGTATAGGCCCCGCCCCTCGTGACGTCAAAATGACGTAGGCGTTTTTTCATGGGGGTAAATATCCGGGGGTAGAAATCCGGCGACCCGGAATAAAAACACGCAAAAATTCCCGCGAACTCACAAGGCCTAAATACAGAAAATTTGATATAGGCGAAATAGTAATAGACATTCCATCCCCATGTTCGTTGTTGCCAGTTTTTAGATACAGTAATTCGTAGTAGGTAGTTGATGTGCGTTAGTGCGCTGATCTAAATGTGATGTGGAAAGTGAAAAAGGGACCTCTTGTCGGGAATTTTCGATTTTGAGTTATATAAATATTTGAATTCCTTTAATTCCAAATCACTTGGTGCAAGTCCCATGCATCTACGATTTTTTTTAATAATAGGACTTTGAAATTATGATAGGGAAAAGAAACATTTTGTGAAAAGACTAACTTATGTTAAAATTTCCAATACGCATAAAAACAGTTTTTTTATATTTTAGAAACAATTTTGGTATCAAAAGAAAGCTTAATTATAATGACCTCTTTGGAGGCAATACCAATTTTTGTCTTAACTCACGGTAGATTTCATTTAAATAATTGTTGTACAAATCACATTTCAGAAATGAAAAGGGACCTCTTGTCGGCCCTATGTTATTTAATTCTCCATAACATAAAAAAGGTACCTCTTTACGCAGGACTGCAAATTTTGTGAGATATATGTTTGTCCCCATAAACTGAACTTTGTTGTAGTTCTCTAAATTTGCTCTAGAATGCAGGACGATTCAATTTTTGGACTTAAGTCTGTTTGTAAAGTGAATTTTTATTAGAAATGGGACCTCTTGTCGTTATGGCGAAATAACATTGAGCAATAAGAGGTACCTTTTCTCAGACCGTGCAGAGGCTAACAAAATTATTTATTTCAACCTTTTAGGGGGCTTTGATTCGATATTTTACCTGATACTGAACTGTTCTATATTAAATATATTACTAATTTCTGTCGAATATACAATTTTTTTACCAAGTCAAACTGATGGTCCGACTTATTAAGATCTTGGCCTTTTGGACCTTAACATTTAATATTACTACAGTATTTATTTTCCAATATCTCCACTATGAGCTATTTTATTACTGTTATTATTAGTTAGACTATAGGTTACTGTTATTATTATTACTATTAGACAATAGGTCACTTTTGTTGGACAAGGTCTTGTTTTACAAACTGATAAAATAGTCATATTTAGGAATATAAGGAAGTTAGATTGAGTTAGACCATAAGCGGGAACCATCGACTAACGACTTAAACCATCGGGGAATAATTGCATGGGGAATAATAAATAAGTCCACGACGCGACGTAGAAAGTTGCGAAGGAAGTAGTAAAAGATGGAAAAGCAAAGTGTAGGAACCGTTTGTGGCAGTTACATTAATGTATCTGCAATACTAAAATGTTAAGGGAAGGGAGGGAAACAGCCAAGACGTAGGAAGTGGTGAAGGAAGTAGTAAAAGGCTAACAGTGCAGAGTGTGGAAACCGTTTGTGGCAGTTATATTAATGTATCTGCAATCCTAAAATGCTATGGGAAGGGAGGGAAACAGGTCCACGACGAAGGAAGTGGTGAAGGAAGTAGTAAAGACTAGCAGTGCAGAGTGTGGGAATGCTTTGGGGTTTGGGGTAGTTTGATTAATGCATCTAAAATACTATGGGAAGGAAGGGAAACAGGTCCTTGACATAGGAAGTGGTGAAGGAAGTAGTAAATGCTAGAAGTGCGGAGTGTGGTAACGCTTTGAGGTGGTTAGATTAACGTATCTAACATACTATGGAAAGGAAGAGAAACAGGTCCACGACTTAGGAAGCGACGAAGGAAGATGTAAAGGCCAGCAGTGTGGTGTGTGGGAACCGGCTGTGGCAATTATATTAATTTATCTGCAATCTTAAAGTGCTCTGTGAACTGTGAAGGGAGGGAAACAGGTCCATGACGTATAGGATGTGGTGAAGGAAGTAGTAAAGGCTAAAGGTGCTGAGTGTGGGAACCCTTTGAGGCAGTTAGATTAATGTATTGACAATCCTAATATGCTATTGGGAAGTGAGGGAAACAGGTGCACGACGTCTAGGTAGTGGAGAAAAAAGTAGTATAGGCTAAAAGTACTGAGTTTGGGAACATTTGTATTTTGTTTTGTGTTTATAATCATTTATTTTCTTTTATTGTTTTATTGTTTTATTTGTTTTATTGTTTTTAAAACCCTGAAACATGATTGCTCCGCTCAACTGGCTTTCACTGCTATGAAAGCAATCCTAGTTATATTTTTATTTTTGTTATTTATTATTAAATAAGTATTATATATATTATTATTTTTACTTTCTCCCCCTATACATAGTATATTCATAGACTAACCAACACAAATAGACTTCTCATCCCATTGTGAATTTTGAAGCACGTTTTTCGTGTCTAGTTCATGTACGTGACACAAAGGCGCTAGTGTCGATGAAACTTTGTTTCTATTATTTTAGGGTTAATTTCTTGATTTGTGCTTTACTGTTTGGTTATATAACTAGGGGACAAGTTATTGTTTATGATTAGATCGTATTATTTGGTTAAACGAGGTTTTAAATGCCTGTTATAACGGGAAACAAATTGTAAACAAAACACGACCTCTACATAAACCGTACAGAACTAACAACAAAATTGTCTTCAGCTGTTCCATAAGGATGAGAAATCTACTAAGGGAGTATGTTTTATCTATGGTATATTGTAATGGTACATACATACATATATGTATGTATGACAATATACATAGTATATTTCCCATAAAAATCCCATAGAATAATAAAATATCAGATTTTAGGAAAAAAGCCGGCTTAAAAGTATTATGGTCCTTATAATTCTAAACAAAAATATTGCAACCCCCCATTGCTGTAACAAATACGTTTCAAAAGTTATTGCAACTTTTGTGATTTATCTCTATAGAATATCATAGTTACTCCCACCGCTTACCCATGATAAAGGTTGTTTACAAACCTGTGGGAGAAAGTATGTGTCAGTTTGCTTATACCGTCTATTTTTAAAGTAAAAGTATGATTACGACAGAGTACAGAGTGAGCATGAGCTTATAATGAGAGGAATCTAATTAAGTTTAAGACACGTTAATGTTGAATTTTTATTTTATTGAGAAATCAACAAAATTCTACTGTCTTCAGTTAGTATTTGCATTTACGATTTACACAGCTTTGGCCTTTACTACAGTATTTATTGTAACACCAAGGTCCTTTATTCTTTGCTTCCAATGTTGGAAGGCCTGAAACAGAAAATGATTAAGTCAATGAACTATAGCTTTATAGTTATACTAGCAGAGTACCTGTCCTTCGTACAGGGTTGGCGTGTAAGTACAAAATGTTTATATTGCAGTTATACTCTTGTTTTGCATTTGCAATGGGAGAGGACACGGTTTAAGAAAATTTTTTATACTATCATTTACGGTACACTCTATAGTATAGCACATCTACCTATACTATCTGACCTATCTGACCGGGATGCGGTGTAGGTCAAAAAAATAAATAATGCCAGAAACGGTGCGAGCCCTGTGGGCTTAGGTCACATGTTGGCCTGACTTGAAGTAATGTGACAAACAATTCCAGGTCTGTGTCCAACAGAGTAGAGGGGGTTTTTTAGTGAGTAGTCTGTGATAAACTCAGGAGTCTCACACTACAGGCTGGCTACCTGTGTGCGTAAAAGCATTTTCCCTCCTCACCCTAAAAAAAAAAAAAAATAGCACATCTACCATAAATTTCTCAGGACTTTTTTCCACCCTGTATAGATTCAAAATCAATAGTCAGAATTTTTATGTTACATAGGGATTGAATAAAAATAGATGTGGCCATGTAGAACTGATAATAACAAACAGCCCATAACATACTCATAAGAATGTTCTCAATAGATCTTTCTGAAAGTATGGATTGGTACTTGGTTGCCAGTACAAATCTCCTGAATAACTTCTTGATCAGCATTGTACGTGTTATTAAATGTACGGAAAATAAATAAAGATACGAAAACATATATTTACGCTTATACTGTTACTCACAAGACGGTAAATATACAAAAGATGGTAAGTGGTTGGTGGTATTACCAATATGGACCAATAAAATACCAATATTACCAATCATGGAAGAGGCAGAAGATCGAGAGAGATGGAAAGCAGTTGTTGGTGCGGCCAAATCCCGCCTTGGGCATAAATGGCCATGGGAGTGAGTGAGTGAGTGAGTAACAGTATAAGCGTAAACATATGTTTTAAGTGTTATAAGTCGTATCTTTATTAACTTTCCGTAAATCTCCTGAATAAACAGTTCTGCTCTTGAATAACCCAAAAATATGATAGTGCATAAATTATAAAATACCCCCGCCGCAGCAAACCTGCCGTCCAAGCGAATTTCCATTTGGCCGAATTGATTTTCAATTGATCCATTTAAATAACATTAGGTTTAACGAGTACCTAGGTTTGCTGCTACAAGGAAACTAATAAAGTAGTGTGTTTTTAGTAAAATATTGATAGCTTACTATAAAATAAATAAATTTGCCAAGTTTGATCAAAATATATCCATAAACAAGCAAACTACAACATTTTACAATATTCTCCATAAGAATAACATGGGAATTTTAAATTTACCATATTTTTAGTTTTCTCCGTAACCAATAACCGTACAAAAACACTTTGATATACCGAATTGTTTGTTTTTTTAAGCTCTTTAAGAAGGTTTAGAGAAAAATTGGGAAATTTTGTGTTTTGAGGGTAAAAAGTGAGAAAACCCAATTTTTACCCCATAAAACCCCCCATAAAACCCTGTTCCCATGGTCCGATCATGCTGGATCGCGAACTCATTCAAGTTTATCCCGCCTTACACCTTCAAACCAAATTTCATCAAAATCGGATAAAAATTACTCAAGTTATCGTGTTCACGGACACATATATATATATATATAAATCTCTATATATATATATATATCTATATATATATATATACATATATAAAAATTTGAACGAATGGTGTTTTTGGCCTCTGAGGACATTAAAATGAAAAAGTAAATCGGTCCCGGGCCTAAGTCTTACCATGAGACCTACGGTAATAGCTACTTCCCTATAGGGAAATTCGCTAAAAATAAAATGAAAGTATAAAATGAAATACATTACCTGAAATCATGAACAAGGCAGCAATAATGAGGTAGAAGTAACGTAGATGAAGCATTTTTTGAGAATAATTGAAGCACTAATCAATGATATGAATAAGCAATTCAGGCTGTATTTATACCTCCAAGTATCTTTGTTATGACACCTGCTAGTAGGTAAGAAGTGTAAAATTATTGTGATCGCACATACTTATTGTTCTATGAGAACAATTAACCATTTTTGAACACACTCGGTTCAAGCTGCTTATTTACTTTTTGTCTATTGGTTTGGATATTGTTTAACAGTTGTTTAAATAGTTGCTTTTGCGTAGACATGAGTTGGAGTTTTACCTTTACAACATAATATTTTGTTCAGTTTCATTATATCTAGAAAAATATATTATTAGGCTATTGGTTCAAATTCAACATTCTAAACCCTGTTTAGTGAAATAAGTTCATGAAACTGTGAAAATTTAGACTATTAAAACCGATTCACAATTATCACTTTATAACTCTTTTTATCTTCTTCAGCTAAAAGTATGTTTGCAATAGTGGTTTTCAAGACTTCAAACATAAAAAAAATATGAATGGGTAGCTGAGAAGTGAATACGATTTTGTTATATTCCTTTAGGAGAACCTTGGATTGACATTAGATATCCAGTACAGTACGGTCCACGAGAGTCTGCAGTTGAGGGATGAGCCTATTTACCACGTGACTTCGAAGGAGCCAATGAGGACCGCCCGTTGTTGCCAAATCTAATAATAATACCAGCTGATTTGAAAATATTGCTTTGAATATTTTAATTAGTGTTGTCAACAGGCGATATGGCAACGTCGCACTAGCCCTGTCTTGTGATTGGCTGACGCCAACTGCAGACTCTCGTGGTCCCGACTGTGATTAATTAATCTCATGGTCCTATTTAATTGATTTTAAGTTGTAATAAGTCAGTAAACAGGGACAAGGCAGTTGTACTCAGAACTGGCGAGTTATCTTCTCTTAAGGAGTGGTTTTTGAAGGTGGATTTTTGGAAGTTAGACATCGCTCTTGGGTCTCCTCTATATATTGTTGGTTGTAATTGTGTTAAAGCTCTAACACCATCAAATACGATTATAAGTTTAAGTATGACACAATCTATTCTGACTTTTTCGGTTACCGATGTAGGATTCAAGTAATGGTCGATCTGTTATTAAATTAAAAGAAGGAAACTGGTATGCCAGTGAGATAAAACTGGCTTAAACAAAAAGCGAGTGGAAGATCAGCATACATTGAACAGCAATGCCAATGAGGAAAGCACCAACTTATGCTTGAGTTGCATCCCAGGCATACTTTTAGCATGCTATCCAAATCCTAGAGAATTGAATTGAAGATGCAATAAGAAAGACTAAGTAAGACTAGATCGTAAAACTTCCCCAAGTGGTGTATTTAGGTTGCTATTAGATCTATGAATTCAGCATGAGTTTATTTTTGTACTTGATAAAAGATATTAAAGAAAGTACCTGATTGCAGCATAGTTACATCAAGATCAGTATCTAGTGATGCATCAGAGATAGGAAGTAAAATAAATCATAGGCTACTTCGAAATTAATAGTTTTATTATTGATTCTGTGTCATAGAAAGTACATTTTCACATAATTCTGACTACTTCCCAACAAAGTATAATAAATAAATATAAAAACAAAAGAATGTACAATTTTGGTTTTATTTTTACTATGCTTAAGACTTATTTTTGAAAATTTGTATTTTGTTAACAGTTAACAGTTAGATTTTAATTATCAAATGCTTTTTAGTGACAAAGTTTTATAAAGTTTATGTGAAACTTCTCCTACGAGTACTGCGGCTACGAGGAGCGAGCTGAGCTGGTCTAGTGGGGCTTCTGTCCATATGTCCCAGGTTTAGATCCCAGCTGTCACCAGTGAGTTTTCTCTATGTGAAAAGATAATGCCACAACCCTCTAGGACCATCTTTAAGTAAGGTGTAAAACGGTTACAGGCTAGAGTTTAGAATCCTAGGACGTGAAGGTAGAACATAAAAAAAAAACTGCAACCATAAAAGTGACCGTGAAACTTTTTTCTATAATAATTTTGAAAATGTAGAGTGTTAGAATAAATAGATTTCCAAACTAGTTTTTCTTGGAAAACAGATGTGTGATTGTTATTTTAATTTTAAGTTAGATGTTTAGTAAAATGGCAACGAACATTATGAATATCCCGAATTCATTTTTATGTTACACACTTCAATGAGTGTAAGTAGTATTTCATTGAGAATTCACATTTAATGGTTAATCTGAAATTAAAATTATTTGGGTCACTGATAAAATATGCTAAATCTATAAATATTTCAAATTTCATTCATATTAATTACTGTTAATATTAAAAGTTTAATCTTCTAAAGTAGAGTCTTGATAATCTGTCACTAATGGTACAGGGAGTTTAACCATGAACTAAAGAAAAACACTTATAAAAATACCCCCGCCGCAGCAAACCTGCAGACTAAGCGAATTTCCATTTGCCTGATTGGATTTACACTAAAATGTCTCCTTAAAAATAACACATTTATTCCCTATTTAAATGACATTAGTTTAACAAGTACTTAGGTTTGCTGCAACAGGGAGGGTAAAAAGGTGTTTTTTTGTAAAATGTAATAGTTTGGTATGAAATTAATGCATTTTCCAAATTTGATCAAAATACGTTCATAAACAAGCAAACTACAACAGTTTACTTATTCTCCATAAGAATAACATGGTAATTTTAAATTTACAGATTTTTGGAATTTTCTCCGTAACCATTAGGCGCATACTAACGCTTCAATATACTAAATTATTTGTTTTTTAAGCTCTACAAAATGGATTTCAGGGTCAAAAATGGGAAAAACCAATTTTTACCCCATAAAACCCTGTTCCCATAGTCCAATCATGCTGGTTCGTGAACTCGTTTGAATAAACGTAGGTTTACACGTTTGTACCAAATTTCATCAAAATCGGATGACTTTTGCTCGAGTTATCGCGTTAACGGACACATATATAAATATATATTAATTTGAACAGATGGTGTTTTTGGACTCTAGGGACCTCAAAAGGAAAAAGTAAATCGGTCCCGGGTCCAGGTCTTACCATGAGTACTACGGTAATAGCTTATTCCCTATAGAGGAAATTCCCAAAAATCATTTCAATAATAAATATTAATTAAATGGTAACAAACAACAACTATCATAAACAGACACTTGGATTGCACTATGTCATGAGCTAACGGTAAAATAATTACCACTAAAATTCAAACATATCGAAATGCCCAAAATAAGTTTAAATTGGAAAGTTACAAACACTTTGCAAGGAGGGTGCGGTTTGATAACCAAATAACCATTAAAGACAGATTAGCAAGGTTCTACAAATAACATTTTGTTACAATCTACATATTTTACATTTATAGCTTACAGGAAAATACATTAGTGAATTATTCAACCCATTCATCTACTAAAGTACAGATGGTTAACAGTAAACAAAGATGTCATTGTAAGGTGCCTATATAAATGGTTATCTTGATTCCACTTATGGGTTTATTGATGTTTTATTATCAAATGTTCAAAAATAGCTTTCTGTAATTGAATGGGAAATTGCTTTCACTTGTACAACATATAGATGAATGAGTTTAAGTGTCATTTTTTATTAAAGGTGAAGAGCACTTGTATTTAATAACACTAGTAGAATAGTAGTATTTGACTACTTTGAAAATATTCTGCATCCTTAATCCTCTAAAACACCAGCTAACCGGAGCCATCGTGGCACAAAGCTATCATATAATTTATTCAACACTAATCTTTGTCTTGAAATACCCAACATGGTGTCAGTTGTCGTAAAAGACTCTATCGCTTATATCTCTCTTCCGCTCTCTTTGCGCTCTCCGGTCTCTTTCGCTTATATTGTTACAGAACTTTTTAAACAAAATGGTCTAAGGTCACTAAACTGCCTTCTATAAATAACACTAATGCTATGTTTGGTTTATGATGTAACTGGAGCAGCAGTTTAAGTCATATCTCAGTTTACACCACCGATTAGTTATCCTAATATGGATAGTATAACTTATAGCACCCAATGTATGTTAAACCCCTTCACATACTTCGTTTAGGTTCTTCAGTTAAAGTACTCTTCACCCCTAAGATTATCTACTTAACTACATTCGTCTACTGCTAAACAATATACAGCCTACCTCTGGGCAAGTATTGCTAACCGATCTTAGAATAATCATACACCAAATAACAAGTCAACAAAAAGATTAAATATATTTGAATTTCAAACCAAAATCCATGGCACACTGAACTGTGTTAAAAACAAATAAACCAAAAACACAACAGAATCAAACAAAAAGACTTCAATGTCTGATGATGTGGTATTTACATTTTATCAATATTTGTTGTAAAACACAGTGAATCTATGGTGGGTAAGCCTCTGTATCGTAAATTGTAATATAAAATGGTTTATGTTACCCTTTTGCATCAAATTATCCGTGTTGTAGTTAGCATCAACTAATGCCGTTTCATCAATTATCAATTTAATCAATTATTTTAAGATGGGGACGCCTCTATGTATTTTAACCCAAATATGAGTGAAGGAGTAGTGTGATCTTGTAGTCTTGTTAGTGACTAAGGCCGACATGTTCCACAGACACAGCTGTTAATTAATTTTTAATAGCCCATACAGCCAATGGCAACTAAGGGACCAACAGTTTATAGTGGAATCCAATCCGAACCCCATTTTTCCTTTGATTAATGAATTGTCTAGAAGTCTAGAAGTTAAAAATATGTCCATGGTAACAATATGTCTGAAACTTAAAATACATCTAAATTTAATCATTTAGGAAAACAAACTAAGGTTGTATAAGGGAGCCTGATGACAATCGGTACAATGTAGTTATGTACAGTTTTTATTTACACTATGTTTATGTAGCGGCACTTTTATTTTAGGGTTAGTTTTAAACCTATCTTGAGCTCAGATATTAAGAATATTAAGATATTTTTAAAACACATAACCAATCAACTGGATACCTGTCTTCAACATATTGATTAATCAAGATATTAAGACAAAAAGCAATACAATTTATTTTTATGGATCCAGAGTCGTGTGACTGACATATTGTGACTAAAACGTGCCTCGTCACATAATCCTTGACATCTAAAGAAGTTTTTAGTAAGACTTGCTAAATTAAGTGTTGGTGGTTTTTAGATCCCTGCAGTTGTCAGCTGCAAAAGAATCCATTTCTTAATTTGTTTTAAGAATAAAAGAGTGGATCCTCATCCAGTTAAAAAAAGTAAAATGGGAAATTTAAAAACATGATACTAAACATTTATCTGGATGTTACTTCATATTTGTTATAAATAAACAGGTGTTTCTTTTGTCAAATTCATTAGAAATATGAGGAAAAATTAACAATCTTTTTTTCCTAGTATATGCCTGCAACATTTTGCTTATACAAGTTATACACCTCACACTGTTGTGAATTTGTGAAAAAAAAAACAAAACACAAGATATGTAGCATTTTTCATCACTAACTGTAGAAAACCACTATGTGAAACCCTGTATAAAACCATTTGCTCAAATAAAAGCACACATAACAAACCTAGACTGGATCACGTGATTTATTAACCTAAGATTTAGAAATATCTACAAGAGCTCAAGCGGGAGGGTGAGGTGGAGAGATCTAATCTACAGCCTCTGTCTCCATCTGTCTAGAGGTAGAAGGTCGTGGGGTGTCGTCCTCATCTGAGTCTATTTGGTCTCCTAATCCATTTACAAGTGACTGGATGATGTTTCCTGTAATCAAGGACATTTTATTGTTGGCTGTTTATTTTTTTTAGTTTTCCATATCAGTGGCATTTATTTAATAAGAAAATTTAACGGTTATAAGGGATTTGACGCCACTCTCAAGTTTTTGTGGATGTGCCGGAAATCAATCCTGATGTTAATACTTTATTACTGATTTGATCAGTATGGAGGAAAAAGTACTTCACAATATAAACCTAGACAAATTCAAATACACATGGTTAAAAAATGGAGTATAATACCATCTTTGGTACTGATTTTTTTTAAATCCCATAAATTAGATTAACGATTGAATGGCATATCTTTGGTGAACATCCAGGATACAAAATTGATAACATATTTATTGTATGTATTTATATTGAAGAAAATCCTCTGTATCCAGGGCCCTATTTCCCTAACTGTTACACAGAGGCTTCCGTAGGCTTTGGCCAAGGAGTGGAAGAAGCTAACTTTTGACAATTTTTTGCTTGAAAAATTTATTTTACCAATAAAATTAGTTAGGGGATTAAATTTTCTGGCATAACTTTAAATTCTTGCAAACGCCAAAAAGCATATGCAAATATTGTGTGATCAAAAAACCACAATTTCGCCACGATCATGGAAAATGCAGATGAAGTCTCCTCGATCACAAAAGATGATCACGATTTCTTTTTTTCTTTGCAATAGCAGGAGACATTCTAGATTTTGCCTTGGCCCCAGAAGATGATAATCATGTGATGTCGCAGTGATCGTAGAAGATGTTCATTATTTTGTTGTGAAAGTGGGTAACGTGAGTTCTCCTTAACTACAATGTACGCTTACAATTTTGTTGAAACGAGGAAAATATTAACCATTTTGCCATTTGGCTTTCAATAATTAGCAATTAGAATCTTTTTAAAATCAATACTTTCCAAAGCATTAGATTCTGTTTTGGATCTGAGACTCGATAAACAATTTTTTTGCACAACTCAAATTAAAAACTTTTGGGTCGCAGACCCCGTAATATCACTACGGAATCAAACAAAAGGGATGAGTTGGACGTCTTGAAGCAATACCAAGTGTATTTCTAAGCCCCCTAAGCTCCAGCCACCAAAGAATCAGAATAGAGTAAGCCGCCTGGGGCCACATAGATGCAAACTACAGCCCTGTTTGTCTATATCATTGAATGATTCATAAAGTAAAAAAAATTTCAAACATCATCTGATGTATGGACAGATTTCACAGACAAGTAACAAAATGATTGATTTACAAATGATGTTAAAATTCCAGATCCACTGTTTGAAGAAAAATATGAGTAAAGGATGAAATAAACAAAAAGTCCGCTACTTTTATTTATTTCAATTTACCTAGTAATCCTCCGGTGTTCTGCCTCTTGGGAGGTGGTGCACCAAAGAATATCTGCGCTATCTTGTCTAGGTACTCGGGATAAGACGGGTCTCTCTTGATACTAGGTTGGTACTGCTCACACAGGATGGTGAAAGCGGCCAGCTTACCACTGTAACAGACATTCAAACTGCATGACAAGAGTAAAATAACTAATCACTTGACTTGTATGGTATAACTGAAAACAAAATGAGTCTAATACCGCGCAAAACTGGGTTTTTGAGTGTTTGTTATTTAATATCCCATGGATGTATTCACGTTTCAAGTAATTAAAAACCTTCTCATGCATATAGAGAACACATAATAGTTTCATCATGATCTGTTTTGTTGTTTTTTTCAGGAGGCCGCGTAAAATGCTTTCTGGGCCGTGACAGACAGACAAAATTTGAGATAATACTTGTTTCAGCTTCTTTAATGTATAAAACTAAAAATAACAAAAAAATATATAATTCTGAGCAAAGTACAGACAAAACTCTAATTTTATTTATGTACAGTGGAGATTTGCAACTTAAAATTTAGTATTATATTTATATTACATTACATATTGTCAATAGTTAAAAAAAGTGGAGATAAGTGTAGTTTAAGAATTACCGTACTCGTATGGTAATCCTCCACTTGAATTTGTCTCGCGCGGGAACAATCAAACTCGTCCGGTAAACATATTTTTTTCCGGACTAGTAACATAATCTACTACTACTTGATAGATGGACCTACAGACTAATTGGTTTTATATTACCTAGTCCAAATTATTACAAGTTCCAAATTGTAACACCCAACGTACTACATGTTTTGGCAAGCTGTCATTTTTTAAACACTATACAGTCTAGGAATAAACATAATATGCCCTTGGATATCTTCGTTAATGGTTTGAACATACATTTCACACGCAACATATAAATAAATACTTTAAGTTTGATAGGCCTATCACGGGGACGCAACATTGCCGTTACACGAGCGGTATCAAACTGACAGGTAAAATAAAACCATTTAGTCAATATTGCAGTTCCCGAGCTACTACAATGAATATTAATTCTGGAGCCTACACCTTGTAGTGGGCCCTGAACATCCATAGCATTTGATTATCAAAATATTGATGATTGACAGGATTTGAACCCTCAGAAGCACACAACACTAACTCTTTACTACATCAGCTGAGGCCCAACAGTTTGACAGAATTAAATTATGGTAATCATGGCGTTCAATGAGTAATGTTTGATGATCAGAATGTGGCAAGAATTGGAGAAAATCTTCTAAATTATCAGAATTGCTACCTATTATTTACATTTACTTTTACTCGCTTTAGGAAAAAGCAGCTATGGTGTGAATGAGGGATCTGTCCGTCTTATTAAGAGCCAAGAGGTTTATTTGCCATATCAATGGACCTGTCATGTGGCCTGAACACTCCAAAGTTCTTGCTAGAGAGAAAATTAAAATGCATTTTCCTTACCCAAAAACACACACAAAAACAGATATCTAAATTGTTTGGTTTTTGTTTATGGATTGTGAAAAATTTATGAATAAATGAAATCAAAATAACATATTGTTGAATTTGAAAAGAGTGACTGTTTACTATTTAGAATTTAACAGTTTTCCAGCCACGACTAGAGAAAAATATATTATCGATTAATCAATTACCTCTCGACTGTTTTCAACAGAAAAAATATAAAGTTGAGTAGCGGCAGGATGTATGGTGGCCCTTTGTCTACTATGGCAGGGTGCTGTGTTGTATAGCTCTGGAACGCAACGTTTGCTGTGTGTTTGTTGTGAAGACACAAGTATCTGTAGAAAGCAAAAAACACATTGTATTTTACAAAAAACATTATTTTGTTAATTAGTTGGCCTAAATAGTAACTAATAAATTTAAATGTTTTAATAATAGTACAGGCTACAAAACTTTTTATAATGCATCCCAGGGCACTACAGTTAACCAGTGAGTGGGACACAAGACTATGAACAGGATACAAAAATGTTTGCCTTTCCTAAACACATTCTACTATGTTGATCTGCATATTACTACAACTGGCCCTTAACCAGGGTTCCCAATATTTTGCCGTCAACAAAATTCACGGTGTTTTCAATGTTCTCACCGTCTGCTTTTATAAATTTCACGGTCTCCAAACAATGTTAGTTAAAAGGACAAGACTTTATGTAATGCCTTTTCTAACCAGTACACAAGTAAGGTTTCGTAGCCGATTAATATGACACCATTAATAAATTTAACATTGCTTGGATCTATAAATGCAGGAAAGCACAAGACCGTAAAATCCTTAAGGCCCATTCCATGAATAGAACGTAATAATCGGCCAGTCGGCGAAGAGCGAAGAAAGATGGAATAGGAAGCATTTAAAAATAAATATTACACCAACCATAAATGACTACTCTTTGCAATGAAAAGTTACGTAATTACTATTGACACACGGCAAAATAAATCAGATACATCTTTTAACCTAAATTGAAATGTCGGTATACTTTATTTGGACAGCAAATATTTACTATTGGTTATTTATGGTTACTGTAGGTACACTTGTTAATTTTAAAATCGTTGATGAATAGTATAGTCAATGATAGTGTACTCAATGATAGTAGGCCTATAACAAAATGTTATATAACATATTATTTCATTTCAAACAATCTTTATTCTTTTGGTACATATTTACAGTACATTGAACAGTGTCGAAAAGTGATTCTTTATTATAACTTAAAACTGTTTTCTAACTTATTTCTACCATTTTTTTACCATAAAAAGAAGGTTATTTATACTATTACAATAGAGATTCTCAACAAAATAAATAACAATCATAAATAAAATAAGAAAGCAGTAAAATAATCTAAACATCCAAAAGCCCTTCAAGTCCCAGAAGGTTTTGAATAAAACTCTGGGTCAAGAAATGCTTGTATATTATATAATGCTTTAGTTGTTATAAAATCTTTAAGTTTCCTTTTTAGTATTCTTGGATTCGGCTCTTGTCTTAAGGTTAATGGTAATTTGGAAAAAAATAATGCACCAGCAAATTAATTAAATACTAAAAATCAATTCAATCCGCAGTCGAGCGTAAAAAAAAAATCGCAATCGCAGCAAAATCACTAAAAAATCCCACGGCATTTGGAGTTTGGACATCATCGTGGTCTCACACAGTCATTGAAACGTCATTGTCTTCACCGGCGGTCACGGAAATGTCATTGTTGTCTCCCGCAGTCACTGAAACCTCATCGTCGTAACCCGTGGTCACAAAAACGTCATCATGTCACCCACGGTCACGAAAACCTCATCGTCGTCTCCCGCGATCATGAAAACGTCATCGTCTTTACCCGCGGTCACGGAAACGTCATCGTTGTCTCCAGCGGTCACGGATACGTCATTGTCGTCATGCTCGATCGTGGCAAATTGAAAATTCCTGGTCAAATACGAAATCCACGAATAATTCCCAGTTTCTTCCCAGTTCAAAAAAATCACGCAGAAATCCTGGTTTTCCAGGTCAGTGGACTGTAATTCAATTCAAGGCACGATGACTTAACTGTCACTGTCTCTCTCTATCCTTGTGTCTCTCTATCACTCACACACAGAACAATCCCGATATCACTGCATTCAGTTTCACACGACTCGCTCCTTGTGACGTCTCCAGGTGACATATTTGGGATTTTAAGGTTTCAAAAACAAATTCACGGCTAAATCAAGGTTTTTAACAGTTGACCGAATTCACGGTCATAATTACTCGAACCAATAAATGTGGGTTTATACAGGTTTTTTTACCAAATTTCATCAAAATCTATATAAATAAATTTAATTGGCTAAAAAACCAATTTAAAACAAAATAAAAAATACTTGTATTAAAACAAATCTAGGTAGTCAACTAAGTTTGGCCATGTTAAAGCCATAAAAGATCCTTTCTAAACAAGAATAATTAGATCTAAAAATATATTTAGGCCTAACAGGTTTTTTTGCAATTCAAGATGGGCAATCAATGTAAACACTTACTGCAGGACAACTTGAGCTATAAACAGGTCTACTTCTGTGGCAAAACCTCTCGTCCTGTGTAGTTCAACCAACATCGTAGCGAAGCCAGCTCCGTCTCGGGAGTGAAGGAAATGGTATCTCGCCAACACAAAGTTCTTCTCTAGAAGTTATAAGGTTATACATAATTATTTAAAAAATCTCAATTATAGATAATGTTATCCCTGGTTTTAGTATAGTATACAGTGCATTGCAGAGTTAACTGGCTTAAGAAATAAACCACTTAGTTGGTATTGAATACTGGCTTGGAAATATAGCGCAATCAACTATACAGGGTGAATTTTAAATGAGTTCCCCCCCTACTTTTTTCTACATTTCTTAAGATATCAACTTCGGACCACGTCAGATCATTGTAGTGTAGTAAGTACTTCATTTTGACTGGATAAACATTTTTGGCCGCCATCTTGGATCCGCCATATTGGATACAAAATTTGTTTTTCAAATGTAAAGGTAGGGTTGTGACCCATTGTTTCAAACTAGAATTTTACGCTGATTACAATGCCGCAATTAGTTTAAAAAAATTTTGATCCGTTCTAAAGTTATGAGGACTTTTTATAACTTTATTTTTAGCCCATTTTAACATTGTGCATTTACAAACTAAGACCATAATCTCAAAATAGTGCTAGATAAAGATAAGTATACACCACCATTTATTGTCGACCTATTATCACTTGGTTATGACGGTTGTATTTTTTTGGCCGCCATCTTGGATCTGCCATTTTGAAATGTGATAAATTAATTTAAATATGAAGGTGGTGTTGTGACCCATCATTTCAGACTACTTTTTTATGCTGAATTCAATGCCGCAATCCGTTTTTGTTTCTCAGGCTTTCTTGATGAAATATTAAAATTATCTTACTTAAATTTCCAATATTTCAAAAAACAAATATGAAAATGCAAAACGGATTGCAGCATTAAATTCAGCATAAAAAAGTAGTCTGAAATGATGGGTGACAACACCACCTTCATATTTAAATTAATTTATCACATTTCAAAATGGCAGATCCAAGATGGCGGCCAAAAAAATACAACCGTCATAACCAAGTAATAATAGGTCGACAATAAATGGTGGTGTATACTTATCTTTATCTAGCACTATTTTGAGATTATGGTCTTAGTTTGTAAATGCACAATGTTAAAATGGGCTAAAAATAAAGTTATAGCCTAAAAAGTCCTCATAACTTTAGAACGGATCAAGATTTTTTTAAACTAATTGCGGCATTGTAATCAGCGTAAAATTCTAGTTTGAAACAATGAGTCACAACCCTACCTTTACATTTGAAAAAAAAAAAATTTGTATCCAATATGGCGGATCCAAGATGGCGGCCAAAAATGTTTATCCAGTCAAAATGAAGTACTTACTACACTACAATGATCTGACGTGGTCCGAAGTTGATATCTTAAGAAATGTAGAAAAAAGTAGGGGGGGAACTCATTTAAAATTCACCCTGTATTTATAACAAAAATCAGCTTTAAGTGGTTTATAATGCTTTTTTTTGGAATTCAACTTTTTTTCCCGCTGTTGTAGGATAGAGACCTTTAATTTGAGCCCTCTCCTGTCGTTTTACGACACCACAGTCGTCCACAATTTTTACGCAAAGAATTGCCTTACGTAATATTATATAGATTGGTTTTGCAATATTATAAAATGAACTGCGATTGTTTTCAGGAAGAACTGTGATGATGGACAGACTCCTTTGCCACTTTAAAAAATCTGTTAAAAACACAAATAGGCATATCAGAAGAAGTTAATAGCCTAACAGTCCAAAATACTATCTATACACCACAGATATTGCCAGGCATAAACTTTTATGAAAGTGAAATCACAATTAACTACTGTTGCATCAGCCATTTCAGCGACAACAAATATAATTTTCTATTTAAAGAAAAATATAAATTCTGATTCAATCCACGTGATAAACAGATTCGTTTACCGTACCTCTCCAGAAGATCTGTGCAAAAGCTTGGTGTAGGGACGGATGGCCATTGGCACAGTGGGTGTTGTGAAGGGCCGACCACCGCAATGCGCTGCCCAGAAACACTTCCCTCTCTGCTACCTCCGGCCTGATCATGCTGAACAACCTACACAAGGGCAACTATTTCAAGAAAAGATCACAACTAAAACCAAGTGTAAGTTTTAAGTTATAAATAAATACCATGCAACACTAATAATAAAACTGTAAAATAACACCTTAGGCCTACCGAAGGAGAAGAAGAAAAATTCCTGTAGGCTGTAGTGATGTTTGATGTACGGTACCATATGTATATAAGAAAATAGTATAATTATTTACAGTTTGTTTTTCAAACCTCTTCACACTCCTCTATGATGGAGAGTTTCCTGCCAAAGGAACATGACAGATCCTAGCCCTGCCTTAGAAGACGCCAAATAAAAGTCTAGTAAGTAGGTCAAAGGTTTAAAGAAATATTTTTGTAACATCATCAATTTATCATATTTTTGGGTTTTTGGCATCTATAGAATTAAATAAAACTAGCGAACCTGGCGCACGTAATCATGCGCAATCTAGACATAGGAGAAGGAGGATTTGATCTTTTTTATTTGGCGTTTTCTGGTTTTTTATTTTAGTTTTGTTGTTATAAGTACATATATATTGCAGCATATATTTGCTTTCATATTTCATAAGAAAAAGCAGTACCCGGTAAGCATACAATTCAATCAAAGATTGTATTAGATTCCTACATAGGCCTCTTCCATACAATCTTCATAGGCATCTTCCATAGGTTACTGTACAGATAAAAAGTTTGAAGAACACTTACTGAGCGATCTTGGAGAAGAATTCATCTGACGGCTCTGTCTCTGACTTCACCAATACGTCAATGAACAGATTGGCTAAGTCTGCACCACTGGTTTGCTAATAAAAACAACATTATTATGTTAATGCATAAAATGTTACCTATTTATAATTTTCAGATAGTGGGACCTAAATATTAAAAAAGTTGGCATTTCATAGACAATTGCTGTCTACCAACCCTGGAACTGCCACTTCTGTAGTGACATCAGCCACAAAATGTCCTATCCAATAATTAACATTTGTTTAGGCTCATAATTAATAGATAGACTTGTATTAGGGGGCAATTACCAGATTCAGCAGCATAGAAGTGTGGCGATTGAGTTTTTGTCATCACAGATTGGTATCACAATCCTCAACAAGCTTCCTGCCAGCATCAAACATGCCAAAACCAAAAACCAATTCAAAATCTCGGCTTAAACGCCTTTTGTTGTCCAATGTGCTGTACTCTAATAACGATTTTATGAACAACCGCTGGGATATCTAATTTCTAGGAAATGCTGAAAAAAAAAAAAAAAAGAAAAAAAAAACAGGCACTGGTGTAAAGAAAAAAAACTGTGTAGATTTTTTCGAAATACTTTCAACCTGACAAAATGTAAATAGCAACTTGTATTGTTTTTTCCTACTAATATTATTCTATCTGACGTAATACAGAAGCCATTGCAAGCTTGAAAAATAACAAGGAAGATCAAATCACGGCAGGGTTACTCAAGAATGGATGGGATTTGTTGTTGATAAAAATTCACAAATTGATGTGTCAGTTATAGAAGGAAGAGAAAATGCCTAATGTCTAAAGAACATTGGAATCATACATTCCATATTTAAGAAGGGAGACAAGGCAGTTTGTCAAAATTACAGAGGAATAACATTGCTGAGTTATAGGTACAGGTACTAGACATTCCATTAATATCAATTATATAAATTATTTAAGATGGGGACGCCACTAAGTGCGTATTTTAACCCAAATATGAGTGAGGGATGAGTGGCGCAAACTTGGAGTCTTGTTAGTGACTAAGGTTGACATGTTCTTAGACACAGCTGTTAATTAATAGCCCATACAACCAATGGCAACTAAGGGACCTACAGTTGATAGTGGAATTCGAACCACATTTTTTTAAATTGGTCTAATTATCAGGGTAGTACTGCGCGGATAGTCGTAGTACTCACTAGTGCGGATGATAATCCACACCAGTTAGAATCGCATCCACAGTGTATGCCTATAAATATCCACAATTTGTGACCTCCTAGTAGCTGGATTACAGGACGACGCCACAGTCCCAGTCTTTCTCAATAGGTAGGCCTACAGTAATTTAGTTGAAAACACTAAACCAATTTGCAAAGGATATCATAGGAGAATATCAATGCGGCTTTAGAATTGGCAGAAGTACAATCGACCAAATCTTCATAATGAGGCAAACGCTAATGACTTAAGAGATTTCGATGAAAAAGAAAATTCAGACGAATCTTTAGTCCAATAAAAGAAGGGGTGCAATATTTTTGTATTTATTTATTTATTTATTTTTCCTAGGACGCTAGTCACGAACCTGGGATTGTTTTTCACATTACTTCAGGCTAGACCTAGGGGTTGCGGCATTATCACTTAGATAAAATCCATTGGTGACTTGGCGGGGATCGAACCCGGGACCTCAGGGACTGAAGTCCCGTGCTCTAATCACTACACCAGCTTAAGAATATAGAATAAGAGATAATAAGGAGCTGGATGATCTAATCCATGGAGGACATAGTTAGGGTGATAAAATCCACGAGGTTAAGATGGCTCGGTCATGTAGTGAGAATGGGGAATAAAAAAGCATGGCTATGCACCGAAAAAGAAAGAGAGGTTGTCCAAGGAGAAGATGGTTGCAAGATGTTGAAGAGGATTTAAGAATTTTGAGAATTGGGAATTGGAGACAGAGTAGAGAGCAAGAAACAGAGAATATTGGAGACAAATTGCGATGGAGGCCAAGGCTCATCAGGGGCTGTAGCGCCAGAGGGTAAGGTAAGGTAACAAGAAACCATTTGTAAATAAAAACATGCCCCTCAGAGGAACCGGAGGGAACTAACATTAAAATTGTCTCATCCAAAGGATGACAAATCTACTATAGGAGTAGTTTAATCCATGAATTTTAAATTTCTTTTATTAACTATTCAAACAGCGGCAAAATACAGCGTCATTTTGGAATATAGGCCTAGACCAAAAGGTTCCAGGGCTAAATTAACATACAGTAGCGTCTCATTAACCTGGTCTAATATGGACACATAGAGGGTGAGTTAGAGAAAAGGCAGAATTACCGAGAATTAGGTAGGGAACTCATATACAGTGATGTTATCCCAACTGCTGAGTTATCAAGGGCCTAGGTCTAGTTTTAGGACTCAACTATAAGCAATTAAACTTTATAGCCTACAAAATGTTGATCAAACTGTAGTCAGTGAGGTTTGAAACATAAACAAATCTAAAAGTATTGACATTCAATGTTATGGAGTTTACGAAGTTTTTTTTATTTTTATTTTTATTTGTAGTATAAAGACAACCAAATCCAACATAATTGATAGAAAAAATAACAACTTTACTCACTTGGTCATGACGCAATAGAAGTTTTGCACCTTCAAATAGAAGTTCTTTGAGTTCTGTGTATTTCTTGGTAGTAAGATACCTAAGAAATATAACATTTATGTTTTAGTAAGAGTGACAAATTTTAGCTACATTTTAGTATTGCAATTTACAAGGCTACTTAAGTTAAATAGGGCTATCTCCATGCTAATAGGGGAGGGGGGTTGCATGTTAACTTCAAGCATAAATTAATTAGCTTTGCTACATAGCCAAACCTTTATATCCAACTTCATTGTATTTATGCTATTTTTTACTGTAGGTACCCGCTTATCAATCTATGACCAAATAACTACTGTCCACAATCAATTTTAATATCAAAATAACTACGCCGACAGTGTCTTAACTTTTAAAAAGGGTTAAAAAACCTAACATAGACTGACCCAATTAGCCTATGTGATTAAACAGTGAATTAGCAGTAGTAAATAGTATCTGAAGCTGGTTGTCAGAGTGTCTTGATGTAGTTATCATATTATCGTTTGAATTAAATTCATAATTCATCTATCATTCGATAATAATAAATTAGGCCTAAGTAGTTATTCAATACATTGTACATAATCAGGAAATAAAAATAAGATGTATCAAGCATTAAACTTTGTTATCAAGTCAAATGTTTACAAGATTAGCCTAATTAATGTGCCTGTGGAATAACATATTAGGCCCAAATAGCATAAAAGAGGACTATAATAAATTCATAATTAATTTATTATAGATAATTTTTTCCGATATAGCCTATCGATATTTTTGTTTTCCTTTACGATCCACATTCCTTTTGTTTTAGTTTTTATGGATCATAATAATGAAAAAATGACGTTTTAGTCCCAAATCCTATCCTAATAGCATTACCAAATGGTTAAGACAGTTCCATTTAGGGCCTAAGCAATTTTAAATAATGTTTATTTTCATTTTTGGGCAAAAAATGTCATTCGTTTATGTTTAAGATCCATACCGGTTCTTTTGAAATACTATTCATGGTTTTAATATCTTCAAACGCATTTAGATTAGGCTATAGGCTAAAAATTGACAACTGAGGCTTGAGTTCATGAGAATATCATCCCTCACATGCCTGTTAATGATCTTCTCCATAGCCTTTACCATAAAATGAGGTTAGACATATTGGTCTGTAGGATTTAGGCTGAGTTGGTTCTTTTCCTTTCTTTCGTAGGAACACCACTCTGGCTCTTCTCCAACAAGTTGGGATGTGTCCCAGTGCATAACTGCCCCTGTACAATGCAACAAGGAGGTCCACTAGGACCTCCTGCCTTCTTGCAAGAGAGCAGGGAATATGCCATCTCTCCCAGGAGATTTGAAAGGGCCGAATGAGTTTACTGCCCATTTCACAACCTCTGGTTTGAATATCTTTCCCGACACCCTTCTGGCTAGCTCCACCTCCCTAGGAGACTTCCCTGGGCGTGGCCAATTGGCTCCTTCCCCTAAGGGACAGCTCTCCGGGAAGTGTACTCTTAGCATCTCCTTTAGAGTGTCGCCCATGTTGGTCGTGAGATGGCCATCTTCCACCATTACTGCGCCCAAAGGGTTGGATTGTTCACTTTGTAGTGCTTTCTGGAGTCTGGCCGTTTCTGGTTTGTAATATTAGGCTACATCAAGTTTGGTCAGTTAAGTTATGTTTAGGTAAATTTAGAGCAGTTTTCAGTATATATTTTTTAACTGTCCATTGATAAATGTACAATATTTTTATTTATTGTAGTTGTCATATCAGCTGATACAGTATGTTTCAACTTGTTAATATCGATATATCGGAAAAAGAAAAAAAAATTATAAAAAATCATTGATAATAGGCTAAGTTAATGAATGTTCCCTTTATCAGGAAAGTACCCGATGAATATTGTTGAGGGTTGAATGTATTGTCTCCAAACTCCCTTTAGCATCCAAAGAGGAAGAACCTTTTCAACTTCATTGCGGGAAACTAAGATTCGGTGAAGGAACCTGGGAGGCTGCCCACTGATCTTAGAAAGAATTTCTTTCAGATAGTTTGAAAACAGGCCTAACATATATAGATTTATTTCACCCAAAAACATGTAAGTTTAGGCTAGGCTTAGGTACTTAAAACAGACTGTGTGCGCGAAACAATTCGACGGCCGGTTTTATAGCCAACAGATGTTACGAGATGGATCAGTGATGCCAACCCATCAATCAATTTACCACGAAAAAAAAGTTGAGGTAAGTTAGGTCTAAGTTATTGCAACAATAGGTTAACTTGTAGGCCTAGGGTGGGCCTAACTTATTTATTAATAGACAGTAACTGTTGACGGCCAAGATAAAACTTTAAAATAGGGTACAGTTCCTTAACTGGACTACACCATTGTCAATTGAAACTATCGATTCGATTAGTAAACCTTCATTTGGTTTTTTCATTATCATCAGCAAGTTTGGTTAGTTTTAGGTTAGGTTATGACAGTTTCATTTTATAATTGATAAATTTAAATTATTATTCGATATTTTCAGTCAATATTAACTGAGTGTAACTTAGCCCAGTAAAGAAACTGTACCCATGCAGGTTACAACAAGGTAAGATTAATGCCACACCCTGACAATATTAAATAGGCCTGGCTTGTCTACCTGTTGCTATAAATAACTATCCCAATAATGACCCCAGTAAACTTAAATCTAAATCGACTAGCCTACAAATGCTTTAATAATGTACTCATGCCTATGTACTGAGCCAAAACACAATAATTCTAGCCTAAATTTCTTAAATTCGAGAAATTGCCATAGGCCTACCTGAAATAAAGTGTTCTATACATTTGATGGGCCTCATAGTAATTACCATTTTTAACTGAATTCTCTAACTTTGCCAAAACTCGCTGTGCACCAAGAGCTTTACGTGATTGAGTACTGTCAGACATAATATAAATTATTATTATTAGAACACTTCAATTGAGATTTGACACGAGATGCACTTCGTCGTATAGTAAATTCCTTGCTCCTCCCGCAGTCCTCACTCCTCAGTCCTCACTGCTCACTCACTCCACTCTGTCTGTCCTGTCTCCTCCTCCTGTCGCTGTCGCTCTCGCTCAGTCCCCCTCCTAGTCCTCCTGACTAGAAAGTGCCTGCTGGCTGCATGATACCAAAAAGAAATACCCCCGCCGCAGCAAACCTGCAGACTAAGCGAATTTCCATTTGACTGATTGGATTTACACTGAAATGTCTACTTAAAAATATAACATTTATTCTCTATTTAAATAGAATTAGTTTGACTAGTACTTAGGTTTGCTGCATCAGGGAGGGTAAAACTGTTTTTTTTTTTGTAAAACGTTAATAGTTAGTAAGAAATTAAGACATTTTCCAAATTTGATCAAAATATGTTCATAAACAAGCAAACTACAACAATTTACTTATTCTCCATAAGAATAACATGGGAATTTAAATTTACAATTTTTTGGAATTTTCTCCGTAACCATTAGGCGCATAATAACGCTTCAATGTACTAAATTATTTGTTTTTTTAAGCTCTACAAAATGGTTTGGAAAGAAATTGCTAAATTTTATGTTTTTTGGGTCAAAAATGGGAAAAACCTATTTTTACCCCATAAAACCCCCCGTAAACCCCCGTTCCCATGGACCGATCATGCTGGATCGCGAACTCGTTCGAATTAACGTAGGTTTACACGTTTGTACCAAATTTCATCAAAATCGGATAATTTTTGCTCGAGTTATCGTGCTAACGGACACATATATATATATATATATATATAAATATATAAATATATACATATATATGAATTTGAACGGATGGTGTTTTTGGCCTCTAGGGACCTCAAAATGAAAAAAAAAATCGGTCCCGTGTCTAGGTCTTACTATGAGTACTACGGTAATAGCTTATTCCCTATATGGGAAATTCGCTAAAAGGAAAAAGTCTTGTCGTCCCGGTCCCCTCCCCCTGTCAAATGTCAATGTCATACGATTACGAAAGCACTGAGTTATAGCTCAGTGTACGAAAGCGACTTTCTAACCTAAAACCTAAACCAACCTCAAAAAACTGTACCCCAGCTTTGTAACAAGAGTTTACACCTTTTATTCTTGAGCAGGTTTGGTATATCAGCATTAGTTTGAAATAAATTATGATTATTATTACTATCAGTTAAACCAAACTACTACAGGTAAAGTTCGACATCAACTAGGGTGATGGTAGCTATTATCCTGAATTGAGGATCTGACAACTAGGCTGCTGTATCTTTTTAGATCATGGCTGGTAACTTCTGGCAAAGTTCTCACTAGTAAGTAAATCTGAAGTTTCTTTTTATATATTTAAAGTAGTAAAACGACGATTTCAAATTGTTTTAGGCCTATTTAATTTCCTTATGCGTTGGGAGTATTTCTGTTTTGACTAGGCTTTGGCTTAGATAAGTTATAGGTTAGGTATCTAACCTAGAATAATATGTCACATCTAGTTTTCTTGTAATCTAGGTTTTAACCTTTGTGCTTAGTTTGAAAACCATTGCAATTGTGTATATCATAGCCATTGAACTAATATAGGTATTTAACTTATTTTGAAAAACTGCTGTTTGAAACGTAAAATAAGTTACCGTAAAATCAGGGCCGATTTACCAAACAGGCACGGTAGGTACGTGACTAGGGCGCAAGGCAATTGGCATTTTTGGGGGGCGCCAAAAATTTGCAAAATAAAAAAAAATTGGTGGTTGTATTTGCATGCGATCGCGGTAAACTTAGGGCCTATACTATCCCTCGCAGCTGTGGAGACATCGTAATCGTCTCCTGCGTTTGCGGCAAGATTCTTACTATTTTCCGCGGTCGGTTCGTTTAGTAGACATAATTATCGTCTTCCATGATCGAGGTATGATATATGAACATATCCCGCGGTCGAGAGGAGATTATCATCGTCTACCATGGATGAGGAAAAATTCTGCCTATCCTCGTCTTGCGCGATCGGGGTCAAATTCTGATCACCCCTCGTGGCCATGAAGACATCATTATATCTTCCCCTGCGGTCGTGTAGACATAGTAATCGCTTCCCCCGCGGTCGTGTAGACATAGTAATCGCTTCCCTCTATTGTGGTAAAATGGTAATTATCTCCCTCGGTCTTGTGGCCATTATCATCGTCTTCCGCGAGCGTGGTCAAATTCTGACCTTTTACCGTGATTGTGTGGCCATTCTCATCGTCTTGCGCGGTCGCAATAAAATTCTGATCACCCCTCGCGGCCGTGAAGACATAATTATATCGTCCCTCGGGGTCGTTTGGACATAGTAATCATCTCCCGCGGACATATGGAGATAATCATCTCTTGCGGACATATGGAGATAATCGTCTTCTGCAAATGTGGAAAAAATTATAATATTTTCCCGCGGTCATGTGGTCATTTTCATCGTCTTGAGCAATCTCGGCATAATTGTGATCATCCCTCGTGCTTGTGTAGAAATCATTATTGTATCCCGCGGTTCCGTAGACATCGTAATCGTTTCCCGCAGTCTTGAAGACATCGTAATCGTCCCTCGCGGCTCTGTAGATATCATCATCGTCTTCTGCAATCGTGGAAATATCTGATCATAGCTCACGGCCGTATGCAGACATATTATCGTCTCCCGCGGTCACGGAAACATCACTGTTCTCCAGTGCGCGATTACGGTAAATTGAAAACTCCAGGTAGAAATACAAAATTCACTCAACTCCTGGTTCAAAAAACTCCATCATGATTCCCAGATTTCCCGGTCGGTGGACACCCTGTATATATATATTGCAAAGGGGCGCTATTTACTATTAGTTGCGCATAGGGCGCTGACAGGGTCAAAAACGGGCCTGCGTAAAATAAGTTATGTTAGACAAAGCCTAGGCCTATTGTAAATAACTTAATGGCCGAAATAAATCTTGAATCTACCGTAGGCTACAAGCCTAACTTACTCTACTAACTTAACTTATTTTTTTATTTCTAGTTTTTTTATGTCATTTAGTTACAGTAAGTACTAAGTAGCCTAGGCTAATGTGGAGTCTCTGTCACTACAATTTAAAGATTAATAAGGTTCAGTTATGTCTCTTATGGCCTCACTATAGTGTAAGGTACTTTCTTTACTTTTACCTTATCAGCAGTATTGTGTCAACCAGCGGCATTGTGCTCAAAAAACCCCACTGGTGGCGCCTGCTGGCAGGGTCAGGCCTTAGGGCCCAATTGACTAGAGTCTCCCTAGGATGCACCTTAAGTACCTAGGAATGCAAGCTGCTAGTAGGCTAATCGTCAAAACTAGGAATTTTGAATCTCGAACCCAAAACTAAAAATCAAATCTCGAATCTTACAACCTAAACGTAAAACTTTTTTAGTTGCCTGGCAAAGGTAAAAAAAATAAAGGTAGGTAGGCCTATTAATATATGATTTGTATTATGTAGACCTAATAGGCTACTGCAAGAAATTGACACCTGACTTGATATATTAACATAAATATGTAACTAACTTAATTTATCTACACTTTTAACATAAAAACATTATTTTTTATGAACAACAAACACTAAAATAATTTCTAATCCTTGCACCAAAATTTATAAACATGAATTCAGATCAACTAAAAAGAATACATCGATATCTAGGTAGTTATTTGTATTTAATAAATTAATATTGATATGAAACTAGGCTATATTGCACATTTTATTATTATTTATGATACACATTCCTAGAATATTATTCACTTTATTCATCAGTGTTAGTGGTGATATATTTTCTCCTTTGCCGCCAGCTTGTGTGTTAATGGCGATAAAAAATGATAGGCCTACTGTAACTTAATAACCCAAAATGTCACCAGTTTGAAAAATAAAAACTGCCATAATCTTCAATTTTGAAACTTTTGAATCACGAAACTCACTGATCGAATCTCCAAACCGATATTTTTCAATGTTTTGATGGATTTGAGATTCAGTTTTGACACATCACTATGTAAGCTGCTTTGAGGATGGTTAAGTCCATACCTTGGGCTTAAGAAACACTCCATTACATTAGAATCTATCTATCTAGGTATATATTAATAGGCAAGCATGTTTCTTTAAAACCTTTTTTCTCAGCTCGTGTGCATCGTGGGGTAAATCTACGCATACCGTTAGAAAGCTATTTTCCTGTAGGTGTGCAGAATCCCTTTATAAATTTAAATAGGCTCAAAGATAAGCACAAAAAATGTGTTTAAAAATTTGAAAAAATTAACATGGATCTTATGCGTTGCCATGGTGGTGACGAAATAACAACGAAATATAAACAGAAAATCAAAACAAATGGAAGAAACTCCAATCACATGTTTTATTTACAGTGTGGGGTGAAAATAGATAAGTTAGTACATTACATATTTTTGGTCGAGTTTCGACCACTGGACGACCTCTCGTTATAATAAATCTCAAATGAACTCTAATATGGTCAACCTAAATCATTCAAAGTTTAGCTCTGTCAACTCCTTTTCTAAATAATTAGCCTATTTATAATCCATGTTACTACTCTTGGTTTGTTATTATTTTTAATATTGTATCACTACTGTTTTTAGTGATAAATCTTAAAGAAATTGGCTTTTGCCGTTTATATGAAACAAACTAATTTAAGAAGGCTTTTAACTTACTGTGCTTATAGTAATGGGTTAATATTTCAGCCAACAGTGGGTTTTGGACAAGCAGGACCTTATCCGAGAACGTAATCATGATTTAAATATATTGACTGAGGAGGAATACCAGAAAATATTTATCTTTTTCTCCAACTGTGAGTATATTCTACATAAACAACTCTTAATTAATATAAGCCCCTTTGCTATTAAATAAAAAACCTATTAGGCCTATAACTATTAATCCTGAGATAGAGATAAGTTTTTGTCCATATTCATGTCTCTGTTTGAAATTAAGTGTTCTCATTAAATTGATAAAAAATCAATAACAATTTTGTTTTATTTTATCTACATATTGGTCCAATGTACAGACCTAAAATATCAATATGTGAAGAAAATACAGTCAAATTAATATCAATGGTTGGGTTGGTAAAGTTAAGATTAGAGAGATAGTAGAGTTGAGATGGCGAACGTTAGTGAAAACTAGTAAATTTTCTCTCCATAAAAGTTCAATTTAAAGTATTATTTAAAAAAGTTTACTAGAGGACCCGTGCTGCTCCGCAGCATTGAAATTAATAATAAAATAAAATTCTAAACTTACTAATGGTGATAAAACTTTAATACAACTTTTAGGGCTGCTAGATTAGTTTTGACGCAGGGAAAATTTTAAAGTAGGGTATTACACATGCCATGGATTCTGAAGATAATAAGGACCATAATTCGGAGGTGTACCGGTCTACTTAAGGACCAAAATAAACAAATGGCATTGCATTATTGTACTGACTTATTTTTTCTCAAAAGTTTCTGGATTTTCTATAATTTTGAATAAACAGTTTACAAATTTCCTTAGAAGTTGTATCTGATGGTTAATTTTTTTACCATCATGTAGCAACACAAAGAAAATCGTCCCGATGTCTTTCTTCAACTTTGGAATACAATTCAGAGCAATGTTCACACACTTCCTGAAGGCCAATTGCTAATTGGCTAACTATTCTTATTTTAACTAATTGGCTATAAGGTAATGAATTGTCTAACTATTCTTATTTCAACTAATTGGCTATAAGGTAATTAATTGTCTAACTATTCTTATTTCAGTTATTCAGATCCTAGGCGAACAGCTGAAACTGAGGCAGCAAGTCATAGCAACTGCTACTGTGTATTTCAAGCGATTCTACGCCCGAAACTCATTAAAATGCATCGATCCTCTACTTCTGGCTCCAACATGTGTCTTTTTAGCCTCCAAAGTTGAAGAGTTTGGAGTCATCTCCAACAGCCGTTTGATAACCACTTGTCAAACTGTTGGTGAGTAGAACATAGCCAACTAAGTTAGTTGACCCTTTTTACTCCATGAATGAAGTGGTGGGAAAGGATTTTTATCTTGTTTTCCCTCATCTATTGAACACTGAAGCGTATATAGGTTAAATATAATAAACCCAATTAAAATACCAATTTATGTTTCAAAACATTATTTTGTTTGGATTGCATAAAAACGCTAGTTCATGGTTATTATTTTTCCCGGACCCCCCCACCTACCTGGGGAGCAGCTTGGGCCATCCCTGCTCCAGGGCGCTCCAAATCTCAATTTCTTTAGAAGTAGTTGCGGACAAGCAAAAATCGCTGTCACAAGCCATTTGAAACTAATAAGATTTTGTTTGTATCATATTTTTATCTGCTTCCATTGGTGAGCGTAAAAGTCGAACAACAGGTTTTAATGACTATAGGGGAGAAAAATTCTGTGTGAGTAGCACTTAAACTTAAGCAAGATCATAAAAAGTGTATCTTTCTTAGTTTGGTTGCATACTTTTACATGACAGAGTTGTTATTATTTAAGCGATCAAATGTCTATGGTTTGGTTTGTAATAAAATGTTTTTTTGTAAATTAAAAAATGTCTGTTTATGATATTGTTTAACGATTCCTAGCAAAGGCTCGAACCCGTTGGTACTGAAAATTAAACTTGAATTGCAGTCTCTAGCCCAAGCACTCTCCAATATTTTCTGAATCGTTTTTTTTGCAGTCAAAAACAAATTCAACTACGCTTACTCACAGGAATTCCCATATCGGACAAACCACATTCTGGAGTGTGAGTTTTACTTGTTGGAGAACCTTGATTGCTGCCTCATAGTCTACCAGGTAAGTCAAGTAAAATGTCTCTGTTTTCTAGACTAGCCAGACATTTTATGTAGGCTATTGAGGAAGAGATGTGATGCTTAAGTTGCATTATGATGTTGGAAGTACGCTCTGGAAATGTAATTTAGGCCTAATTCAAAATTTTAAAGTAGCCTACAAAAAACCAATGTATTATAACAAAAAAAAAATGTAATGGCATTTTGTACTTCAAAATTTAGAATTATATTATTAATTAATTTACCAATATCTCCAGTATAAATAATACTCTGGAAATGACAAATTTTAATTGAAATCTGAGCTACCAAATCTACAAAAGAGCCAGCATTATTAAATGTAAAAATATGAGAAATAATTTCTGTTACCAACCAAAAAGAAACTAAGCTTCTGTAAAAACACAATTACAACCTTTGTCTGATGAATCTTTTATTAGAGTATGTTGCATTATCGAGTTCCAACTGTCTTTAAGTTTTTACCAAACAGCATTTTTAATTTTTCCAATTTTTATCCAGCTAAAATATCTTTCTATCTCCTACAGTAGAACCCCGGTTAACCGAAACCCGGGTTAAACGAAACGGTTCAATAAAATAATACACAACTCAAATTAAGTAATGTAAAATGGTTTAGTAACTTTAATTGTTTAGTTTAAAGTATTTTCTAACCCATTGTCCCATTTTTGTAGCTGAAATAAAACACTTTATAATATAGACATTCTTTTTAATTTATTTTCCCCTCAAAGCGTGGTAATACATAGGCTATTTTTAGCATATGGTGGGTTAACAGAAAAATTGGTTATCCAAAAAAGATTTTTATCCGAAACGGCTCTCCCTCCTTTATTTCGGTTAACCGGGGTTCTACTGTAGAGACAAAAAGGGTTTTTTCAGTAACACCACTTCATCCATCCTACTTAATTGATTTTTACGATTGAGGTTCCGTTTTACAGTTTATCATCGTGCAGAGGAACAAAAAAAATGGTAGCTAAAAAGGTGATTTTTCTTCAGGGCTTCGCCCCCCTATAGTTTTATTTATTAAAAAATATGCATATAACTTCGTTACTTCTCGAGTGATGTAAAGTTGAAAAAACTCACTCGGTGAGGTAATGAAACCCATTTAAATAACATTGAGTGCTTAACTTAAAAAATATACCTCTATGGAGCCAACGACGTTCAACGCTAGAAATCAGATGTGCGCTTGAATTTTATTGTTATGTTTTGAAGAATTTTCCTAACCTAGCTTTTGTTTGTAAATGAACGTTATTGTTAGAAGATGAGTAAAATGGATAATGAAAAATATTGTTCGTAACCTCCTGTATATTGTCGGGTCAGGTAAAATTTTGTATGTTACACGTTACGCAAGAGCGTGTTTACATCACTTAGGTAAATTATGCAACTCGCTTCCGCTCGTTGCACAACATTCACCTGCGTGATGTAAAAACGTTCTTACTACTCTTGTAAGGTAAATAGCTATAGGCTACCTTTATTGATAGATGTACCCTTGTTGAGGTAGGTAAATCTTTTTATGGAATGCTTTATACTTACTATCAACAAATTCAATTTATTGTAAGTTAAGTAATTTCATCCGTCAAATAATATGTGTGAAACAACCATAATATTCAAAAGCTAAAATGGTATTGTATTATTCGTTGTGTCTTGGAAATGAGTCTTAATCCTATTACAATGTTCAATTTTTATTTTTATGGTATAGCCTCTGGATCACTGGTTTTTACAACAAAATTTTTTAAATTACTTGTATCTGTCAAGTGATCCTAGATTTTAGTTGGTTGACTACAGCTGTTAATGTTGCATTGATTTATTAATCCATGAAATGGTCGTCATGAGGTTAAAAGCTCACAATTAAGTCACGTACACAAAACATTAAACATTTATTAGCCAAAACGCCAAATTTGTTATGTATTTGTGTTTTGGCCAATTAATGTTTAATTGTTCACATACTTTTGTTATTTGTGAACTTTTAACATCATGACAACCATTCCAAGGATGGAATAAATCAATGCAACATTGACCTGAAGATGTGTTTACAAATACGAAACAGCTGTAGTCAACCAACTACAATCTAGGATCACTTGACGGATACAGGTAATTTAAACCTTTTGTTGGCTCAATTTTCGCTTCTTTTCCCTCATTTGATTCAGTATGAGTTCAGTTTTAACTTGTTTTTCATATATTTTCATGAAATTTGATTTGTCTGAGAGTCAGAATAGAAACATTTTTAAGAACTATTATTTTGAATATAAACTGGTGTGTTGTCACAGCCGTACCGGCCTCTGCTACAACTTATCCAGGACATTGGTCACGAAGAACAGCTGTTGGCCCTGGCCTGGCGAGTCATCAATGACTCTCTACGTACTGACGTCTGTCTGCTCTACCCTCCCTACCAGATAGCCATAGGTAATAAGAACAGTTGTAGGCCTACATTTTAAGGAGTTTTGTCAGGATATCAGGCTTACCTGAATATGAAAGAGTCCACTTCGGCACTAGAAATAGGTACTAAAAAAATTTTCACTGTCGCTGACACCATTTCCAACCATGGAAGGGTTGATTTAATAAGCTATGGTTCACAAGCCTGGAATCTACCACTTCCCCAACAACCTACCTTCCTTGATTGAAAATTCTGTAAGTAAAAGTGATTTAAATTTTGTACATGGTGTAATATTTCATCACTAGGGCGTAAAGTGACTCTTTCCGACCTGAGCTCAAGTTTTACGATCGAGGCGAAGCTGAGGTCGGAAAATAAGGGAGGTTGTTAAGACACTTTTGCCCGTATGATGAACTATATTTTTCCTGATTTTACTGAATTGTCATCTAAAAATTGTGTCTGAAACAATTTCCTGTGATGTTTTTGCTTGATATTCAATCCAATAATTAGTGGAAAGCATTGATTCCTTTTTTATAAATGAATAATAATTTAGTTAGTTTTTGTCAAGTTTGCTACCTATTGCAACACTTTAATTAAAATGATTAAACATGAAAGTGGAAATTATGTTGTAATCGGTTTATTTCAGGTTGTCTTCAAATCGCTTGTGTCATTCTTCAGAAAGACTTGAAGTCTTGGTTTGCTGAACTGAATGTTGACATTGAGAAGATCCAAGAGATTGCAAAATATGTGATTAACTTGTTTGAGTTGTGGAAAACCTATGACGAGAAGAAGGACATACAAGCCTTACTAGCAAAAATGCCTAAACCAAAAACTCAGCCAAGCAGATAGGATTCAGTGAATGACTAAGTTCTATGAGCTTAGTGGACATTTTACAGAATAAACTACGATCTGTATCTAATTCTGATTTAATTTGTCTTCCTATTTTTATACGTTGCTTTAAAGTATTCTCGATTATCTGCTCTTCGATTAACCAACCTTCCAACATGGAAGGTTTGCTCGAATATCATGAAATTTTGTGCAATTTCTTTGTAGCATGACTTGGGTATGTTGGTACAGTAGGCCTACAACCGCTTTTGCTACCCATGTCTGTACTTGTAAGATATTTATCAGGCTTAAGCCACCTGCACTTGACTGGACTTTCTGAATGTTTTAGTGTGCAGCTTACACGATGCATTTGAGTCCTCTTATTTACTGTGTGAATGAAGAGCTCTGGCTAAGTGAAGTTTTATGCACAATAAGCTTCGGTTGACGTGCTTGGACCATGAGTCCACCCTCTTACAATCAAGTGAAGATTGCTGCTGTATCTTGAATTTTACAGTTACATTAGTGGTACTTTACTTGTCAATATTTTTTTTTGTGATGAAAGACCAACCTTATTTGACATGGATATTTCATTAATTTAATGATTTGTTCGCAATAAAAAAATATCTCTGTTAACGGACTCAGATGCAATGCTTATCTGACCTTACCGCAGCCAGTTTAGGTAGGATAATCGAGATTTTACTGAATTCAAAACTCAAACATGTTAACAGATTATTGACATAGGCTACTCAAATGTGTAGTTTTTTTTATGTAGTAAAGCTTTGCTAGTTGACTTGATTTTGTATCAATGACGAATAAAAGTATTTTATTAAATGAATGTTAGTCCTGGTTTTTACATGTTTACTACAAACCCCTGCCCTTACACCTTGATCACAGGAGGGCGTTAGACGCCGCGTTTGCCAAGTACCTAGGAACAATAATGTGTTCGTTCACATGCAAATGCACTTTGAACCAACGTCGCTGAAACGCGGCACTTGTAGTTTTTACTTTAACTATGTTTGCCGCTGGCTTGGAGTTACAAGACTGAGCATTGATTGAAGCGTACACATGTGTTCAGTCGAGCGTGCGCTTTTGGCTGTTCTTGACAAAAGTCATCTTTGTGTTTAGTGATCTGTAGTATGCAATGGACGCAGAAGCATTTGATACAGAATTATTTATCAGTAAAGTGGAGGAAAGAAAAGTAGTTGAAAAACATTTTGGGGTATTCCCTCAATTTTGGGTACAGAGTCACAAATGATCCCGTGGTTAATCTATCATCTATCACAGGATGCACCCACCATCTTCTCTGTCTTCTTCGCATTGCCTTGTATCCACGGTATACAACCAAAGACATGTTAACTCTTCTAGTTCCACCCCATTTTCGTTTTTAGGTCCCCATTGGCTAAAAACACAGTTTGTTAAAATGCAAATCTATATAAATAAAATTATAATTTGTCTGTACAGTGCTCAGAATCATAAATTTTTTAGGTTATTTTTACGTTTTATACATTAAAGAAGCCGAAACAAGTCTCATCTCATTTTCTGTCTGTCTGTCTTCCGTCTGTCACGGCCCATGAGCCATTTTACGTGGCCTTCTTCTGAAAAACGAGAGTACCTATCAAGATCCAAATCATTTTAATATATTCACTGGATTGGCGAGAGTGTCTTTAGCTATTAAAATATGGCCTCACTACTTTGTAAATAAACTTACGGACATTTGAAAAACCCAATTTTGTGCAATCTTTGTCAAGTTTTCTCCCAATGTTTATCACATAATTATCTACAAAATAGCGAACAGCTGTTCGGATCAAGATTATTTTTCTCTTGCTGTCACTGATATGTTTACATTGAATGTTGTTTACATACAAATACCACAATCATTTCCGATCACGTTTCAAAAGCAAATCCAAACCAAGTTGGATTAAAACCGTTTTTCCTTACGTAACGGATTTAATTAATCGCAAGTTCCTAGGTCTAACCTGAAGTAATGTGAAAAACAATCCCGGACTCTTGTCTAGTATCCTAGAAAGAGAATAAAAAATTAAAAAAAAAGATTTTACCCAGGCAAAGCTCGGTTTCCAGGTATTATCTTAGAAACAAACCAAACTTATATAAAATAAGGGTTTAGGGAAATTAAAATCTTGTTTCAAGGGTTACTTCTTTATTAAAAAGAAGTCAAAAGTAAAATAACCTTACATAATAAATCAAAATATTTGATTTCAAAACATAGAAACATTTTGCGTTGAGTTTCAGACGGAACGACCATTTATTACAAAATATTAATCTATTTAATTTTTAGTACCATAACTCATTATTTGATGTACATTTTTAAAATTGTTGATAAAACTAAACAATATTTGGTAAACTTTATTTTTAATCTAGCACTGTGTTTAAAACTTTGTAAAGGTAGATTTTTGTATTAACTATAACAATTTAATATACAATGATATTTTGTAACGTAATGATTTAAAGATTATTTTAGCTTATGAATATAAGGGATCTCAGTGATGTCACATAAACTTACTGATAAAAAATGTCCACCAAATTGCAACACAATGTCCGAAAATCAATTATGTAACATAAAATTATACTCGTTTATTCACCTAGCTAAAAATTATAGATCAAAATAAGAAGTAACCGTTTTAGTTATCTTAACAAAATGGAAATAGTATATGCTTAACAAAAGTAGCAAAATATCTAGCTCTCGTCCTGTTCTTTTTCCTTATGTTTGTCTTTCTTCTTCTTCTTCTTCTTTTCTTTTACCGGCTCCTGGAACAAAATGCATCAGTCAACTGTGTATGTGGTTGTTTAACAAAGAACTAATCTAATACAACATTTATAACCTTTAATCTTGAGTACGCATTTGACAAAATATTGCTGAGTGATAACGGAATTGTGTTAAAGTTAAACTACAGAGATTCACAAGTTAACGTTTGAACATGGGATCATTAATAGGTAAAGCAAATTATTTACTGTCATGGCCATTTTAAGTGTATTACCATACAAATTTTAACCTTTTGAATGTATTTTTATTTCTCTATAAATTAATTTCTTTAGGTTAGGAGGGGCCTATGTTGCTTTATAAACAAAACTAAAAAATAAAGAAAGAAGTGTCCTCTTCTATGCAGATGTAAACAAAAAACATGCATTGTTTGCAATCCATATTAACAGAATAACCGTGCACACCAACTTTATGGCTCCACCAGCGATGCCGTTGGCTCTCTGCAAAGCTCACTCATTGATAAGGGTAGTTGCTATTGTGAGTGCCACCAGTTTTCACCTTTATCTTTTTCACATGTGTAACGGCATATGAGTTTATTATCAGCATTGCCTATACACAGAATAGACTTCCCATGTGATATAAAAATTTGAAGCCTACAAAATAGATGATGTTCAGGACCATCTCGCCAGAGTTTACTAGCAAACAGAATGGGTTAAATATTAATTAAAACCGATGCAGTATCATACTAAACAGCTGACTGATTTATCACTTAACACAGAATGTTGTCATTAGTTGGTAGACCATCTCAACAGATTACACCACATTTTTTTGCTTCAAATTTGTACATTACATCGGAAGTCTATTCTGTGTGTAAAGTCAATGCTATCAGTTTAGTTTAGGAGATAAAAAACCATGGTGGCTCTGCCATAAAAGACCGTATGCACTTATTTTTTAGCATTGAATGTGTTAAACTCACTTTTGCCTATCCAAGCCGAGCACCGTTTATTTAAGGTGGACCCGTCCCCACCAGCTAAGCCTCACCTAAGTAAGCTTAATACAAATTCCATATACACGGGATTCGAACCCATGCATGTAGAATGACCTCAAGGCCACACTCATCAGTGTGATGCTGTAGATAACTGAGCCTCAGTCGACCAGGACAAGTACCACTAACTAGCGCCTGCATACTAGATTTGACGAATTACTTAGCGCCAGTGGGTTAGCAGTTGACTACTTCACCTCAAAATGCAGCGACGTGCAACACTCATGACTCGGTGTTAATAGGTTAACAAAGGAATGTCGTTTACATCAGTTTTTGGCTATGTTGCAGAGAAATTTTAGGTTTTGCATGGGACTTTATACCACAGAATTAAAAGGCTGAAAGACACCCGTAATTATAGCAATTGGAGAAAACGAATATAGGTTTGCTGAGGCGAAAGTATTTTATTATTAAGGAATTGAGATATTTAAATACTAATTTCAACTTGTTAACTTTGGTGTTGCAATAGCAAAATTCTGTTTAAAATATGTTAGACAAAAACATTGAGAACTGATCTAATAACGTCTAACACACTAAGATACATTATCTTTAGAAAACAGACTCTCGGACTCACTCTACGTTGCTAAAATAACGGTACTAGTCAACCTGTTATCGGTGGCAAAAAAACAATGCCATTGCGTTCCTGAGAAACAACAATAATCTACAGATGTAGTAAGGCCCATTTGGCCCTAACTTTACCTGTTGAAATAAAGGATTTGTTAAAGATGAGTTTCTATGCCGAATTTGGAAAGTATTTTTTTGTCCTTTGCATGTTACTTCATCTTCAGTAAATAACACAATCAAAACTGAAACCCTACTTACCCCATTCCCTTCCACGAAGCTTTCTTCATTGTACTCTGCAGGCTCTTCCTTTATACTGACAGCGGACGTGTCTTCAGGTGCTTCCTCATCATGTTTCTTTTTCTTCTTCTTCTTCTTTTTCTTTTCAGTCGCCACTTGGGTGGGTGAGGCATCTTGGTCCTCGCTCATCCCTGGTGTCGTACTTAGTTTTCTCTGTGAACAAGATACGATTTTAAGTCTTAACACATCACATTTATTTGAAACTATTGGGTAGCCTAGAAAATGTCCTTATGGTAGAACTTTGATTATTCAGAGGTCGGCAGATTAACTGGGCATGGTATCAATCAAAATGAGGATTGACCCAGGGCCCTGTTTCATAAAAGGTGATAGGCATGCAATTTCGACAATACAACAAATTTGTCAAAAACAATTAATTATTTTGTAAATGATATAGGGGTCTGCTTGAGGTCTTACCAGAGTACTACGGTAATAGCTTATTCCCTATATGGGAAATTCGCTAATAGACTGTCAGGCGTGCTGCGGTTACCATGGGTTCTGGTGCACACTGCTGGAAGTGCCGTGTAGTTACGTAGCACGTACGCCGTAACTACATGGCGCTCCCAGCGGTGTGCGCCACGGCCACAGCACGGCTGACGGTCTATAATTAATTCTTTTTGTCTATGGTACTAATGGCTTGACACACACAGAATTCTTTGTCAATTTTATCCCGACAATTTTACAAAAAAGTCGTATTGTAAAATAAATTTAAATTTTGATAATTGTCAACATATTTCTCGACAAGTTTTCAAAATTCACCTGTCACAATAATAGCGAATACAAGTTTTATGAAACACAAATCTGACAAATTTGTCCAGCCGTTGGCATATGTGTAAACATTTTTTTAGATAGATTATAAAACCTTTATGAAACACTAATTGGTAGAAATGTTGATGTCTAATATACCTGTCACCTTTTATGAAACGGTCCAGATAATTGGACTACCTGGTCTTAGGTAAACTGTACAAGACATTTGTGTTATTTTGGGTTGATCAAAATTTAATTGTTAATCTTATTTACCTTTCTTTGATCACCGGCGGGAGTTGAAGGGTCGTCATCAGGAATTTCTTGTTTTACCCGGACTGCACCATTGTCACTTTTCCTATGGAAACAAACACAGTATATTACCGATTTATCCATTACACACTAACATTTGCTTAGCTACTTACTGCAACTAATAAATATAAAATTTATAAATAAAAAAATAAACTAATAATTATTACGCTTCTGGATCATTTTCATTGCATAATAAGCGTCAGTCCTAGGGTTCAATTAAGTTATAAACCTAAGAAGAGTAAACAAGTAAGTTAAGCCACTTACTGAGCTGTAGTTGATTGCTCCAGCCAGTCTGAGGGTGTGTTCTCATTGGGTTTGCCGTACTTGTCCAGTTTACCTTCAGCTATTAACTGTTTCTTTTTGAAAGCCTGCAAACAACGGGATGTGACGGTTAGGTATTTGGTTGTATGTTTTTGATTAATCGGTATAACAAAGCTGGCAAAGATACAAATTGTTAATGTGATAATAAACCAAAAATGTTTAAACATTTTAAAGCTAAGAGGTGAGGTATAGTAACTTAACAAGACACGCAATTTACAATAATATTCATTGATCTTCTAAGACAATGAATGTGAGGCGTTGCAAGACAAATTGATGTGATTTCTTATTTAGTTACACAACAATTCAACTTGTTGCTAAGGTGTAGAATAATATTTTTATTTTCGTTTATATTATACAGTGATTTTTTTTTCCTTTTTCCAGGATGGACAATTTCCTAATTAGGTAAATATTAGATCTTAATAGAAACCCCTTCAGAAAGAGGAGTGTGGTGGCTGGTACACAGAACATGTTAGACAGAAGATAGCAAACATTTATCTTGCAATACCACATGTTCCTGACATTGGTCTTTTAACTATTGTGTCATGATATTACTCAGTTAAATAAACACCCCATTAAAAATATTTCCTAAACTTAATATTAAGTTAGATGGTGAGTAATATAATTATTACAGTAGAGTCAAAAATCCCAACCAACTGGGACTGGATTTAGTTTGCATTATCAATTTGTTTAGATTCATGAGCTTATCCTTGAAATGCTGGTCAAGCCTTTAGCCATACGATTTATCAGGATCATATTGGAAAGCTTGACTGAAAAAACAAACTTTCTGTAATTAATTAAATATATATTTTTGATTACTTTCCATCATGAAATGTGAACAAATACATAATACATGAAATGTGCATGTACTATAAAAAAACTACATACACTAATTACAGTAACTAACCACTGAAACCTTATTATTGAAAAAAAAACTGGATGGTTTTCAGTTTTCTGCCAGCCAAATAATTAATCCGAAAGTACAATCCAAATAATCAAAGTTGACAAAAACATTTAGAATTTTGAGGTTTCAGATTTTTATTGTTTTGTTCAAATTTTTTACTAACTACTGTATAGTTTTAGTTTTATTAACATTAAGTGTGCTTCAGTTAAATTAAGAAAGAAAGTTATTATACACACCATTTAAAATGGAAGAAATCTAAATTCATCAAAATCTATAAAGTCAGATGATTTTTATTTATTTATTTAAAAATCATGATGTTTATTGTATTTGTTAAGATAGAAACAAAACGACTATGGCATCAATGTCGAAACTAGTCGATATATAACAAAATGAGTTTTAAAAGGGTACTTAGTTTTTAATGATGTATTTAGCCTAAGTGTGCTTCGTATAAAACTTAAAATTAACAGCTGCCGAGTTCAGCAAGACTGTCTAGCCATGATTTTGTAGGCGGAGGTACAAGGTATAGAATAAACTCATCTATACCTTTGCGCCCAGGCCCCATTTCCTGGGATAAATATCACGATCCATGATGACTCGCTTGAGCTTTGCAGCAACGCCGTGATCACAGCTGGCTATTGTGGCGGTAGTCATCAATGCAATACCTGCAGCAGACAAGTGGGAAATGGCAAACAGCTGTTATCAGAGTGTACACTTCAAGCACAATAAATATGCTGACAAAATTCACAGACATATGCATGCAATTGTAGATTGAAAACTTCGACATCACTTGAATAACACTCTTTGTTTTACATACCAGTACAATAATGTTTTATTACGCTGAAATGGAATAGGAAAAAACTAAATGCTTTAAATGATTAAACTTTGTACTGTTATTTTGATGGATCTGGAATCTTCTTTGATCTTAATTTGATTTTCTTACTTGGATGAAATTTCATTTATGACCTTGTTGAATAATCATATTCATTATGTATATTAATAATTTTATCTACATTCTTTGGGTAGGCCTATAATAATCATTTTATTTTAAGCTTGACCAACAACATAATGATTCTATTTACAAAAAAAAATATTATTCTTACACCTTTTTACCACTTACCTAAAGCAATGGCTTCCCCTTTGGTTGTGACTATAACAATCTCCTCGTTCAGTTCAATGCCGTCCTCATAACGCAAGATACCAGGAATCATAATTTTAGCACCGTAACAAATAGCATTAACCTGGAATACAAAAAAAAATGTATATCAAACTGCCATAAATTTATGCTTTTCAGTCATATTTTGAAAAAAGGTGTTTTCTCCTTTCTTGTGTAAAAATAATTTTTTGCTATACCATATTACAGAAGTCAGTCAGTACAATACAATCAGTAGGCATGCAATAGTTCAAAATTTGGCCCAGCTGTACTTGATCATTAATTACTGAAAGGTATGTTTGTTTGACAATTATATTTTGCATGGTGTGAAGTTTTTGACAGAAGTGCTGTTGTTTGGTTTGCAGTGGATTTTTTTATATGTTTTATTCTTTCAGGAAAAGACTGAAATATTATTTTTAGTTCAGTATTTTATGTAAGACAAAGCCTATTGTAAATAACTTAATGGCCGAAATAAATCTTGAATCTTGATAATAAAATCCTCACTAAACAATCACCTGGCCTCGGTCAGCAACACGCAACACAGATCATCTAACTTTATTCTACAGATACCTTACATTCACATTAGGCTTAAAATACTCCATAAAGTATGCGTTGCTGTCTCAACGAATGGATAGGCCTAATTTATAAAAAGTATGAATGGATTTGTAGTTTTTGCATTACTGACTCCAACTGATTTTGGACAGTTTTTAAGATACTCACTGTGAGGCAAATTCTGTTTAGATTATGCATAAAACCATTGTAAGTAGACCTATAGGGTATTATCATTTATCTATTGTCTAAGGGCACTCACTGCACTGTCCTTCATGATAAGTCTCTTGTGTCTGACCAGCAGTGTCTCCAGTGGTCTCACCACCCTTCGCAGGTATGACTCGTCCCTGTGATTGTCATAAAGCCACTGGGCGTCCAACACATCGTGCATGGTAGCCAGCCCATCTTCCTCTGACATAGTACCTAGCGGGACAAAAAAATATAACGACTACTCTTATACTTAAATCTTACAGTAAAACATCTGTTATCCGATATTTGATAATCAGGCACATTAAAAAAACCTGACACTGATATGGGTTATTTTATGTTGCTTAAGCGCTCCAGAAAAAAAGACAAAATACCTCCTCCGCAGCAAACCTGCAGACTATGCACATTTCCGTTGGGTTCACCAACTTGAGTGACGTGACATTTGATTTAGAGTGATGATGAGATTTTATTTCAAAACCGGTTGCCATAGATGACAGTAGGATCACACACGGACAGGTAAATTAAATTGAATGATTTTAGACCTTAGCCTAATTTATATCATGCTTAACAGATTCATTAAATTTACAGTAAAAATTATGTAAATAACTAATCAACATCTTAAGCCTCGCTGTACAGTTTGGACTTACCAGAACGATTCCTACGTAGTTCCAACATCTGGCCGCCTGTACCCACGATCAGACCGAGATGCACACAAATGGTCCTCACATAAGACCCAGCCTCTACTTTTACCCATATGATACCTGAAATTCATGCGTAGGCGTTATTAATGCTAACATAAAATTTATTAATTAAAATTAACAATCGCTAAAGAATTACGAAGCTAATAACATCTAGGCCTACATTTAAAATTGCTGTATTAAAGTATAATAACAAGATCGTTTTTACATACATAGGATATAAAAAATAAAGAAGAGTATTTCAGCATTCTTGGAAGTGGGAAAGGTTTTATGGCATTGTTTCACTGAAATCACATGTAAATGCTGACTATTGTATATCACTGTAGACTTGTGAAGGTCACTGTTCACACACATACTAAACTTACATCTGCTAAAGAGCTAATTTTGAATTTGGAAAAGTTATTTAAGTAAATTATATTAAATTTGAAACAATTTGGTTACAAAAGGTTATAGGCTATCCTCTATTTACATAATTAGGTTATTTAAAAGTTTTCTATATCACATTATATTGAATTAATTACCTATTGGTCTGCTTGGACAATTATTAACCCTCCGAGTGTCACTTGTCGAAAAATTGACTCACGACACACTTTGTGTAGTGTCACTTGTCGATTTTTCGACACACGAACATCGTTTACGGCGAAGGCTCTATGACTGACCGAATCGGATTGAACTGGATCGAGTTAGGTATCGTTCTTTTTGTTAGATTCTAAGCTTTCTCCAGAGGTCTGTTTCTAAGCGCTATTCATTTTAGTTCCGAAAATATTGTAGCAGACAGCTGACGTGCGTATTTGTAAACAGCTTAGTTAACCTCGGACCGATGACTGATGTGTTTTATTGTGTTTATCATTGTTTTAGTGTTAAAAATCAAAAGTAGTGATATACGTGGTGCATTATAAGAAGATTTAAGTGATTTTGAAGGGCTGGTTGATGATCCTGAAGAAGTAGGTACTGATATTGATGTAAATTATCAGCCAGATTCCTAGCTATGGTTAGGCTATGCATTCTTAGCTAAACGCTATGTACTGAAATCTGTTTTTTGCCCATAACTTATTTATTTGCAAATCTACTTCCTTATATTATTATATATTTGTAATCCTCATAAAATTTAGAACAAAGTGGCTATTTTCAAATATTTATAGGCCTATAATTTATACAATTTTATTGAGCACGAACTTATTTTTTTTCTATTTTTCCAAAATATTTCTTTTTTCTTAAAAAATTTTTTTGAAACAAATATTCCTTATGTTTTATGTATGATATTGAAGCCCATGATTTTCCAAACAAAATGGTATATAGAACAGTAGAATTAACATTGTTTTAAGCTTCTCAGATCCGTTTTAATAAAACCTTGCAAATGCGCCAAAAATAGGCGGACATTAAGGCCTAAACTATGGACACTCGGAGGGTTAAACATGGTTTGGAAAAGGGAGATGAATTATTATATTGACATACAGCAACATATGGTGAAAATTGAATTATTTTATGGACAAATATCAGTAAAAATATACTGAATTGTCACAATTGCTTTGACAAGTGAAAAATATAGGCTAAAATATGTAGTTTTCCGTGTGAGGACTTTTGGTGGGCTTTACTCCCCAAACCTCATCTGATCACGCATTGAGAAGTTATTATACAGCAAAGGTTTAGGCATCGATACCAACCCAAATAACAAAAGTTACAACACAAAAATGAGCGTACGCAAGCTTTGGAGAGCCTGCAAAAAATATTTGATATTTAGCTTGCTACTCAATCACAAAACGCTTTATCAGTTACCAGTGTTGTTGTCTTCATCGTATTCAAGAAGTTTGTTTTCGTAGCAAGTACGAACTCTCAGTTGACGTTTGACTGCTGATATCAACGGAGGTCTTTGGAACAACGCACCTCTCAGTTTCTCCAGACCTTGATGTATCTAAAAAAAAGGTACGATAGGCTAATTCAAAGAACAAAAACACAAAAATCAATACCGGTAGACCCAAAAGTTAAACAAATAACATACAAATACTTCTGGTTTATTATAAAACAAATAAAGTTCAAGAAATAATTGAAACAGATTTTAATTACCTTGCTAATACTGTCGACAGCTGAATGCAGTTTGAAAATACCAACGTACTCTTTACCAGCTGACTGCTGTGATTTGGCCAGTCGAGTTGTCCGATCAATACACACGATCAGACACCCTGCAACAATATCAAAGCTCGGTTAAATTGTACATTTATTATAGATCACACAGAAATGTAATAATGACAAGTGGAAAGTTGAAGCTACAAATATTCCTCATTATTATTATAATAAACACTGGATTCTTTTGAAACTAATAGTCCTTAGCGATGATTACTACTTTGCCAAGGGCTAGGGTAGCCTGGATCCCTAACTAGTAATGTTATAATAAAAGAGGTTGGTGGCCTCATTTAACCTTGAAATAGCTCTTCCACAACAACACATCAAACAGTAACATGTTAAGGGATGCACTCGGATGCGAACCCACAACGTCACTGCCTTGGTTTCACAGTCCGCCATGCTACTGACTCATCTGTTGGTTTTCTCCAGTGTTAACATTGCCATTTATGCAAGTATGAAGGACAGAAATCATATTCTCATTTAGACTAGTTACCAATACAACCCAAATTGGGGTTACAAATATAAGGAGGGGTTTGAAATACACTTGATACATTTAAAACGTAAAAATACAGTATAAAGCTAAACACGTTATCATACAAATTCTTAAGTTAACAGACATAGCAATGTATTTTGAGCTCTCAAAATATCTAAGAACTCTGGATTCACTATTTTCTTTCCAATTGTGATTTGAAGTTAATGATTTTAAATAAACTTTTTTAGCAATTACCAAATTAAGATAGAAATGCAACTGGTCCTATTTAAATCTATTTGAATAAAGGATGAGCAAAGAATGTAGTGTGATGTGTAGTTTTGCTGTTACTGACTACGATCACAACTAATAAAAATCTCCATGACTGCCCACACTACGCTAGTGTCGACCACAATCTTATTACTGAAACATACTTTCACCAGTTTACACACACGCACGTCGCACACACACACACATACTTACCAGACACTTTGGGGTCTAGAGTTCCAGAGTGGCCAGTTTTCTCAACTTTCAAGATGCGTTTGATCCATGCCACCACCTCGTGGGAGCTGGGGTTGCATGGCTTGTCCAGGTTGATACAGCCGTATCTGACATGTTGAGTGATATCTCTGTGTAGCGGAGACGAGCCGAAGGGCAATGGCGTGTAGTGGTAGGTGCGCACATTGAGTTTGTCAAAGTTCTACAAAATTACAGATTTGTTAAGGTTGGTGCTGAGGATAATTGCAGTTGTTTCACGCCACAGATCTGGATGGCGTAAGTTATCTCTTTTTCTGACTGCTATAAACTTTTTAAATTAGTTAGCCTATCGAGTGTCCTGGTATTGCTTGTTTGTGTAGTAATATTGCCATGTTTTAGGAGTTTTCCCAACTAAGAAGGGATCATAATCCAGAAACGTGATTCACTGATCAATGATGGCTATAACTTTTAATCAATAACTTTTTAGTTAACCTTATGAGTACTTATATTTAAATGGAATTAAAGAATCGTAACAGCTGGTTCAACTAAACAATTTGATTCCATGATGTTCAATAGCATTAAAAAGTTAATAGGTTTACCAACAGGGTGCAGCACTATTATTTTTTTTTATTTAACAGCTAATTTGCAACCAAAAGGTGAGTAAGCGTAGCAAACAAACTTCAACCTGGACGTGATTGAGCCATGCGAACAAGGTCATCTTGAAAATGAACGAGCATTGACATAAAACCACATTAGGACAGGACGACGTCTGTCGGGCCAGCTAGTATATACATACAAATATAAAAATTTGGAAAGTAAATCGGTCCTGAACCTAGGTCTTACCGTGCCACCTACGGTAATAGCTACCTCCCTATAGGGAAATTCGCTAAAACAAATTATCAACCATCCCATGATAAGAACCTTAATTTAAGATCATTAACTTACCTTAAGGAGAAGTGGCCACTTTTCCGTGTCAAGTTTAGGAACTTTAGTTGAAGGTTTCACAGAGAAATCTCCCTCTTTTTGAAGATCTCCAAGAGACTTACTCCGCTTCGGGGATTTCGATTCTACAAGAGGAAAAAATTATCACTCTTACTGAACAAGCGATTGATGCTCGTTGTTGAACATATTTAGGCCTAGTTATTTGGTTTAAAGCTCCCTCGATGTTGAATATTTTAAGTGAAATATAATTTAAAATACTTGATAAAAAAAGGCAGGGGGTAGTAAATAAATAATGTTGTATTTTGTTGCCCATTACGTTTAAAAAAAAAGTTAGGTAAAGTTTTGTGTACACCCAAATTCTGGACTTGATTTAAGGTGGGATGCAATGAAACAATGTTCTGGAGAAATTTGTCTCCCAATCAGTATAAAAAAATCAATGATTGGGATGATAACTTTTATATCACATTGGTGAGCAAATAAAAGATAAGGGAGGAGAGGGTTACCGAAATCATAAACATTATTCAAAACTACCTAAAATATATTAGTTCCATATCTACAATGGAATAAAAACCAAGTATTGCTTGTTGAACAATATACCTAATAACTAATAAGTTAAGTATATTCTAGGTGAAACACGTCGACATCGATGGTTACTTTTATGTTTCAATAACGCCAGCTTAGAAAAAGTGAAGATTATTAGATCGCTCTCGTTTTCCAGTAAGGCTTTTGTTGCGACGTTCAACGTTTTCGGAGTTTGAGGCATAGGGTTATTTTTCACGATTGGAACATAATAAACTTTTTCTTCGTCATGGGAATCTGTTGGCTCAAGAGCAATAACCGGAATGTCACAATCCAAATCCAAGTGCATGTCCATTTCAGTTGGATGCCTTGACGTCGACGGTTGAGGGCTGAGTGTTCTGAGTTTCTTTGATAGCCTTAAAATTAAATTTGGTATTTTTATAAACTCAAGCTACTCAAGTGATGTTTGCAACTTTCTGCATTACACAATTTTTTCCCAACATACGAATAACATGGGAATGGGATTTTAAAGGCCACTGGGGCCCGAGGGAATTTACCTCATTTCTGTTTCTGATGGCTCATCTACAGACCAAGACCTTTCTTTAGACAAATCTACCGAGTTTCTACGCCCAGCCATTCTCTCAAATTAGTGGAGACAAAGAAAAACAGTTACATATAGATTATTAGGGGTGCTCTATATTTGGGTTGTTGTAATTATGTTTCCTTGTTGTTTTAAAAACTTGTACAATATTCGTATCAAGTTTCAATATCGCTTAGTAATTTGATTTTTTTCAACCATAGAAATAAAGAAATGTTTTAAGGAAGTTCTGTATACTGTAACTTATTTTATATCTTATGTATGGATAGAAAACTAATGACGGATTAATTTAAACAGTATTATGTTTTAATTTAAAAGATGTATATTCAGAGAACACCAACCACATTCAAGACAATCTAGCACACTGGTAGCATTGTTTTTAAAGCAATGCATTTTACAAATGTCTTTACGTTAAAATGGAAGAACTGAATAGCACAATACATAATGGGAAAACGATCCAAACTAATATTCCCATTAAACTGCTTATCAGTAATTAATTATACATACACATCATAACTAAGGCCAGTGCTATTAATGGAATTCACTGTCGTTCATATTCCTATTGTTTTAATAGGTCTGTTCATAATGTGTCATGTTGTTTGTGATGGTGAACAAAGTACCGCACGGTAAGCTAAATTTATTTTAAGTTAGGCCTATATTTTTCAAATGTTGCAAGATTTGTTGACTTAAGAAACAGATACAGTACTCTCCCTCTCTTTTGATTAAACGTTAGGTTTAGACTTAATTATGGGTTTAGGATGGTTAAAACAGGCATCATATATTGATACAGGTTCTTTGACCATTTTAACAGAAGTAGACGTCCCATTCCCAAGCATAGTTGTTGCCAGTTTTGGTTACGTGAACCTTATTGAGCTGAGCCACCAACAGAATGAGTCGGAAGTCAACTACTGATTTCTGACAAGCTTAAATGAAAAGGAATACTTTTGTAAATAATAGCATTTTTTACCTCACAAAACTCACTAACTGGCATAGTACTGGCTATTGCAAACTGAAGGAGAAAAGTTTTGATATTAGCATGTACTCCATGCGAGTCTCATCCATTAATTAATAAAAAATGGCTGTAGCTATAGTGGAATAGATTACAGAATAGGACCGGAACCAGTTCGAGTCGGGTGGGGTGAGGGCAAGCGGTATCCAATAAGCTTTCAGAAAACTGTCCACCGTTGCCAAGTTGTGCCACGCACTAGTGTTCGGACATCGATAGATCCCCATCGATGTTACCATCGATAGCAACATCGAACTATCACCATCGATGTTGCAAAACCGTGGGTTCAAAACATTGATATTTTCATGCGAAAAACATCGATGTTTTTAAGCAAAAAATCAAAGTTTTCAACTTAATAAATTTATAATCTCAGTATTCCGTTATTTATTAAAAAATGTGTGAATACATGATGAATAATGATTGTATCCTCTTCATTTCCATGTTAAATTTGTTTCATGTATCAAACAATAAGCTGAGCAATATTTTACAAGATTTTTTGAACTGCTATACAAATTGTTTGGTCATATAAATTTACTGTTAAATTTATTAATTTTATAGTTATATTTTTCAAAAACTGCATCTGGTAGCTGTATGAGCCATTTTAAAGACAATTTTGTAGCAAATAATCAAACCATAATAATGTATGGGATGAATTTTGTGTTCCATACGATATAAAAATATAACAATACTAACCAATACCACCAAGAACAAATAATTATTAATTTGTAGTGTTGAACTGAACTACCCTACAGTGGAACGATAGAGGGGGGTGCCGGGCTCTAGGTGAAAGTCAGCTCACCGGCCAAGAACGAAGTGTCACATTAAAAAAAATATAAAATCACATAGCTGATTTGGATGATTTTAACCCTTCGTCGGTGTCTTTGATTTTAAAACACTATCGCTGACGCACAGGATTTTTTTCCGGGTCTTGAAACATTAGACAAACAATGTTTTTTACATATATAATACGAGAAAGTATTAAAAAATATAAAAAAAAACTTATAAATATGTACATGGAAATCAACAAAACTCTTCAATAATAATTAAAATACATAGCAAACAAAACCAACAATACCATTGGCAACTCACGGAGCCGAGCTCTGTCCTATGATACTCTTTGGGCTTCAACTGATTCATAAGTTAGGGGTTTTGTGGGGGAGGTGTGAGATCACAATAATGTTCAATAAGTTCCTATAGATAGGTACACATGAGGTACTGTTACTCAGAAAACTGTCGCTAATTCACATTTTTCTAGGGTATAAAAACAGATGAACACAGAAGAAACACACTCATTCTAATGAAAATATCGATTATTCGATTGTTTCATTCGATATATCGTTTGGTTAGGTTAAAATTACCTAACTAACCAAACGATATATCGAATGAAACAATCGATTAATCGATATAGGCCTATCGATCAATATTGTCAATCGAATGAGTGTAGGACCTTAAGTAAAGTGCAGCCATTGAGACTATCGATTCGATTAGTAAACCTTCATTCGATTTTATCATGGGCCTATCAGCAAGTTTGGTTGTTAGGTTAGGTTATGACAGTTTAATTTTATAAGTGATATAAGTTAGCCTAGTTAAAAATATCGATATTTTCAATTCCATAGTTTCAATCGATATTAGCATAGCACAGTTAAAAAACTGTACCCGATACGACAATTTATTCAATTTCCAATAGCAAGTACAAAGATGAACCACACCGTGAATGGTGAGGGTATTTATAGGACTTATTTAATAATGTTAAAATACAAACAAAAGTAAGCTAATAATACAAGTTTATCATAAATTACCTGATGATGCCATGATAAATCAAATTAAATATAAATTGTTAAACTTTAAATATCAAATTCATTTCAAAACAAACAACAAACTATCGTCCATCCGGCTACATAAACACGTGCTCACGTGCTAATCTACGTGCGTCGGAAATGGAATGGAAGGCAAACATAACCTCAATCTGCTCAACCTCAAAAAAAAAAAAAAAACTCTCCTACAGTCCTGTATGCTACACTACTAGACTGGACCGGACTGGACTAGGAATGGGCATACGGGAGGGACGATGGCTAAAGGTGTGGTGACGTCATTTCTATAGTGGCTAATGTAAGGGAGTATGTTTTATCTATGCTAATGTCTTCTCCTTCTCTTGAGAAGACACGATTACCGTAACGAGACGACGGATTTCAGCGGCGTTCGTGGCATTGTTGGTAGCGCATTGGACAAGTTCATAGGAGGTCTCGGGTTCGAAACCCGTCGGGGACATTAACTTTTTGTCAGAGTTTTTGCTTTATTTGATTTGTATCTTATATCTTTTTTTTTTATATTATCAGCAAGTTTGGTTGGTTAGGCTAGGTTATGACAGTTTTTTTTATAATACAGCATTTTAAAATAGATTTTATAATTAAAAATTATAAGTAAACATTCATTTCATTTTTATCTTATATATTTTTTATATTATCAGCAAGTTTGGTTGGTTAGGTTGGGCTATTACAGTTTGATTTTATAATTAACTAGCTGGCCCGTCAGACGTCGTCCTGTCCTATTGTGGTTTTATGTCACATGCTCGTTCATTTTCATATTCAAGATGAGCTCGTTCGCATGGTTCAATCACGTCATGGTTGAAGTTTGTTCGCTACGCTCACTCACCTTTAGATTGGAGCTCGTTCGCTGCGCTCACTTGCCTTCAGGTTAGCTCGTTCGCTACGCTAACTCGCCTCGAGGTTGAAGTTCGTTCGCTACGCTCACTCACCTTTTGGTTGCAAATTAGCTGTTGTCATAAATTTAAAAAAATAATAGTGCTGCACCCTGTTGGTAAACCTATTAACTTTTTAATGCTATTGAACATCACAGAATCAAATTGTTTAGTTGCACCAGCTGTTAAGATTCGTTAATTCCATTTAAATATGAGTACTCATAAGGTTAACATGGGAAACTCCAGAGCCACTGGGGCGGAGCCCTATTGACGGGTCTGCACCAAACTTCACACAAACCATCCTTGAATAATGCTTAATAATGCCTGAAAGTTTCATTACAATCTGTCGAGCGGTTTTCGAGTCCATAAAGGACAAACATACAAATATACAAACATACAAATATACAAACATACAAACATACATTGGATTTTATATATATAGAAAAGTTAATTTTATAACTAAAAAAATTATAAAATTAACTTAATTTAAATTGGTCAACTTAGCGGTCCTAGCGGCGAACGCTGACACTATGTTAGCCATCGTCCCTCCCGTGTGTCCCACCGGACTAAACTACACCTCTAACATGGATTTTTTCCGTTTCATTTTCTGTTGGCAAGCTCTTAGGTGTTTGAACATAATCCCGAGCCAAAATTCAACTTGTTGATAAAATTTCTTGTGGTCATCGCTAGAATAAATATACTAGGATTGCTTTTACATCCTCGGGACCGAGGCCAGTCCGGATAATGGTTTTTCCGGTTAAGCTGACGTCCCCAAAAACTTGTTATGTAACCCAAATATTTGACTTAAATTTAGGAGAGCATTGTATTTAGACACGTGATCACTGGTCTCAAATTCAAATCTTTCCCACGAGAACAGTCGTGTTGGTACCGGCCACTTCCTGCCGATCTAGTCCGGTAACTGATGCACTGATAAAAATGGTCCGGTTAAAGAGATGTCATTTCCGCCGAGTGTAGTCCGGTTAAAAGGTGTCCGGATAAGAGGAAGTCTACTGGGTTGTAACAGCTGTTTTGTTTGTTACCAGCTAAAGGTATTTGTTTATTTACGGATGCTTGGTTACTTCCGGTTACTGGACTATGAAAATGTTGACTCCGCTTAAATTGTACAGATATAGATTTTCAATTCATATTGTTTTAGTTTTCAATTCTTTATGCCTTTTTTCATTTTCAATATTTCAATAAGTTTATGATCATAGATTTAAATTTAAATCAATAAAGTGCGAATAAATGAGCTGATGGATGTCACCTGTCTGTCATGTTATCTTATGGGACGTCTGACACCAAACAACCCTACTTGCGACGTTGCCAATTCTACCAGGCCGCGGCCAGTAGTTAAAGGCGGCCGTGGTTAGAGGTGGCCGTCAAAACTGAATATGCCTATTATGTTAATCGAGACAAAGACGAATCAAAAATTATTAAAATCGGCCCAGCCGTTCTTGAGTTATAAAGTGGTGTAACTAACTTGACTTTGTTATATATATATATGATGTAGTTGTGTAGTTGGTAGTTGTGGACACTGGACTGGAACTGGAGAATTGCTTTTTTGTAATCGAGTTCGTCTGCATTTGCTTGCACTGCAGTGCATTGCATTTGGAATCCTTCAAACTTGTCAACCGATTTTCTAGGTTAAATTGACAAGGGGTAGGTAATTATATGAGTGAGTTTGTTAAGTTCAAAATCTTGTAAAAGGATACATATTTTTATTCAACTACTACACTCATTCATTGTTCGAGTAGCAAATAGTCAAAGATGTTTAAGCCTGTGCATGATGTTTTAGGAGTAATATTACCTAGCCTAGGCATATGTTCTTTTTTGGTCATAATAGCCATGTCCATAATCAATAAGTACAGTATTTCAAATACAACCCACAATATCTTCATAAGTTAACTTACTAACCAAATTTCCAGTTGGTGTATGCTAAAAAATAAGTTTCCTAATATAACTTAGGTTAGGGCGTTGAGATTCGCCAATGATAGAATAACTCATTAATGACTAAGATATATACCCTAACGCAATAATTAGTTGTGATTGGAAAAACCCCAGATATGCCCAAATGCAGTGATGAAAGAATCCTAACTCTTAGTCTATTTGTGGCTGCTAGCGAGTGGTTCTTTCAAAACATGTCGAAGTTGAAACTTGTGAGATTAAGTTTATACTCAGAAACTCATCTGGAGAGACCACATTAAGTTGATGACATCAGATAGATGTTAGGGAGGTTTATTATCTTCCTTTTTTTATTTTTTTGAAAAATCACAAAATCTTACATTTTATAAACAACTTGCTGCAAAAGCCAGGAAAATTTGGCTTGTCTGCAGCTCATAGAGATACAGCCTGCTTCGGCAACTCACCAAACTCGTGCCCAAATCCTACATAAGTTTCCCATTCTTTGGTCTATAGCCACATTCATATGGTTTTCAGCTATGGCACCTGACTGCCTCAAAGTCCTACGGCAGCACAAGAAGGCATTGTGAAGGCACCGATAGTGTTTGGGCTTTTGGACGTGATCAATACAAGATAAATATTCAGTACCTAAGTTAAAATGATTGAAAATTTCTTGTTCCAGATCCACCATGATCACCACACAGTTTGCTCGTTTCGTTCACTTGAGCACAAACAGGGTTTTAATGGCAGCAAGTAAATCTAACCTTGCAAAGTTGAGAAAAAAGACTGGATATCCTTTTGGAAATTGCAAGAAAGCATTGGAGGAAAATAACAACGATTTAGAAAAGGTTTGTACTGGGTTCCTGATGCTGATTTCTAAACATAAAACTGAGTTCAAGAATATGAGAAAACATTCTTTTACTTAAAAGGAGTTCGGTTAGTAACTTAACCTTGATGAGATTCGATTTAATTTAATTTGAGATTTGATTTGATTTTTTAATTTAATTTAAAGTAAAATGCCCCCCCACCGCAGCAAACCTGTAGACTGTGAATTTCAATTTGTCTAATTAGATACGGTACATACAAAAAGTTCCATACCCAAGAGATATTTATTTTCCTTTTAACTTAAACATTAAATTTAACGAGTAGGTACAGTACTCAGGTTTGCTGCTATAAGTTAAAGAATATAAAAAGTTTTTCCAACCAAATGTTAATAGTACAAGGTGGGATAAAATAAATTTGTCAAATTTGATCACCATGTACTGTAGGCCTACATTATCCTTTTAAACAAGCAAATCTTAATATATAACTTAATTTCCTTATGAATAACATGGGAACTTTTTAATTTCCAATTTTTATTTTTCCCATAGCCTAACCAATACAAACCACCGCAATACTAACCGTACAAAAACAATTAGTATACAAAATTATTTGTTTTTAAGCTTTTTAAAATGGTTTTAAAAATATATAAGGTTAAATGACTAGCCTAGTGTTTTTAGCCTCTGGGGACATCAAAATTAAAAAGCAAATCTGTTCCGTGCCTAGGTCGTACCGTTCCACACGGTAATAGCTACTTCCCAATTGGGACATTCCCTAAAATATAAGGAAAATGTATTTTTCCTAATTCATAGATGTTTTATTATTAGTGGATAGCGTAAAAATTATATAGGCCTACTACAAAAAATAGCCTATTGAATAAAACTTGCGGAAACTGAACAGAATTAAATTTAATAACCTAAAAATGCTAGTATTGTTAGGGCATATATAGTCTCTGAGATTCAAGTGGAAAAATAAACCTCCAAACCATCCCTTCCCTGCGGGGAATTTTGAAATGCTCACCTCTTAACTAGACCAAAGTTACCCGGAGTGAGAAACTATTTCTAACATTTCCCTCTTTAACATTTTCATTTTGTCACCTGGAGTAGAATATTAGTGGTTCTTTTTCTACTCTCAGCAGCACATTTACTTGTATTCAGCCAAGACTAACATAACAACCTACCTTTGAAGTACTTTCGAACAACTATATCTTCATATAAATAATGAATTATGCAATTTCAGGCAGAAAAATGGCTCGAGGACCAAGCAAAGGCTTTGGGTTGGTCGAAGGCCATGAAGATGGAAAACCGCAACACACCACAAGGTCTGGTGGGGGTAGCCTGGGACAAACAGTACGCTGCCATGGTGGAAGTCAACTGTGAAACGGACTTTGTCAGCAAAAATGACAAGTTTCAGAAACTCGTCGATGTAGTAGCCAAAACATGTTTGCAACACACTAAGACAGAGAATCCATCTCCAAAATCCATATCCAAAGTAAGAGTTCAATAAGTGTAATATGTCTTGAGTAGATGATTGTTATATACATATTGAACGAAGCCTTACAAAAGGGTACAATGAAAATAATTTTCAGATCACATTTTGAAGTTTTATATCATCATTCAGCTCCTGTAGGCCTATATTTGGTTGGATCTTAAAAACTCCTGTCTGTTTCTATCACATTGTTATTGTTACCAAATAAAATAAATTTTTAGGCCTACATTCTTGATGGTATTGTTCTATTTTACAATAGTACAAGTGTTATGGACAAATTTATAATTAGGCCTAACTATGGCTAAAAAGAGTGTTTAAAAAGTCTCAATATTTTTTAATGTTAAAATGTTTATTCAAAGTTTAAATCAGTTACCTATAAAAACTTGGCTGACTTGCTTTTGTTTTCTATTAATAAAATCATTGGCCCTTTTAAAGTAATTTTGCAAAGGCTAGAGTTCTTTAGTCAAAAGATATTTTCAACACTCAAGTTACTGTTGTTCAAAGTTTTAATGCGGACATTTTCCATCACGATGGTAAAAAACAATACACAACGTTTTGGGATCTGGAATCTGATCCTGTCCTCAGGTGAAAAAACTTAACTAACACTTCATTACAACTAACAATACACAATACACTAGGCTACATACACTACAGAGGGTAGCACTATGGGGGGTGGATATTTTAATGTTAATGTGTTTGTCAATTTGCGAATGGTGCTATTAGACACAACGTTTGGGGATCTGGAATCTGATCCCGTCCTCAGGTGAAAAAACTTATCTAACACATTACAACTACTGTAACAATACACAAACGCCCAATCTAAGTTGGAATACACTACAGAGGGTAGCACTATGGGGGGGGGGGGAGTCATTGCGAACCATTGTGTGAGCTGTTCACACTACACCTTTTATAGACTAGAGTGTTTTGTGATTGGTTATTATTTATGTGTTGTATCATGACTTGACTGCTATACAGTGCATATTTTTTGACTGCTACCCTCTGTAGTGTATTCTAACTTAGGTTGGGCGTTTGTGTATTGTTAGCTGTAATGTGTTAGTTAAGGGGGTTCCCTACCTCGGACTGTTTTCAATTTTCTGCGACCCTGGTGAGTTTAGTTGGAACTACAAGACAACAAAATAATCCCTAGGATTGCTGTCTGCTGGTCGTGTCACCGCCAGGACGCCTCCGCAGTGGAAGTAGGCCCATCCTAGCAAACTCGCCCAGCAGCGCACTCAATTTCACTTTCTCCCCTAGTTCCCTCTCTCTCTCTTTTACAACCCTCGGTGACTGGCGACAACGGGCTACCTCCCTGAAACTATTCACGCCGTTCATACAGACTCAAGACCGTTGCGCGCCTCTTCCAGTCAGAGGACACCGCTGTAAAACAACTGTGGGATTATAGCCCAAGTTATAATTTTTGGAATTCATATGCTTACTTATTTATTTCTCTTGTAAATAATAGGTATTGAATATAATTGATTCAATGAAATTCTTTACAAAATTATTTATTTCATAATAAAAAATACTCAGTAGATATCTCTGAAATAATTTAAAAGAATGTTACATTATAGTTAGCAAATTGAAAAAAAAAACTAATATGCACGTGCTATCTAACACACTCTAAATTACACAACAAATAGAAAACTAAACATCATAGGCCTATACATATTGCTTAAAAATACTAATATTTTATAAATGTTAATTATAATAACAGAAATATTATTTAAAACACAAAAAAAGTTATAGCAATCGTAAGAACATTTAAAAGTGTAAAGAGAAAATTATGTATGACTGATTGGTAAAATGCAATTTCAATTATACGTGACAATCATTGCAATAATGAAAAATAATAATATCGTGAATATAAGTAATATTTACAAGACAAGATTTACAAATACTAAATCTTCAAATATATCTCTAAACTACTATATTCAAATTGTATCTCATTGTATCATCTTATCGCTTTCTTTTCTTCTGAGCTTCAACAATGTAGAAGGGGTTTCTGATTGGCATGTTCCGTGGTTTTCGGAGATCTATTATCTCGGGCAACAAACAGTTTTTGTAGTACCTAGTTAGTTTTTCTTCCATCTTCGTTTTCCAAAATTCTTCATCCTTATCAATCCGTTGGGTTTTCATTCCTTTTGGTGTCCACACAACAAGCATGCAGCAATTCTTTTTTGTTATGTGGAGCTGGCCTTGCACCTGGTAGATGTGCACTTATGTGCTACTTTTTGGAGTCTTCAACCGCAACTGTGAACGTTTGATTATTTTTTTTCGCCTTATTTCATATGACTTGGAATATTTTCCAGGGCTGCATTCATACATAGCTTTTGTGCAACTTGTAATGCGGTGTACCGCTATTGTGGCTCACGACTGCAGCAGCGAATCTAGCTTGATACGACCTTTTCTAAGCAAAGTTTGTTCGTTTGCCGTCCAAACAACTAATGCCGAAATATCTATCTAGGTGGAAAAGAGAAACCGATTGCAAACAACCAATAAACAATACACTACAATACTTTTGTGTGTTGTATGCTTTGGATGCCCAAAGTTTTACAACCCTTCACTCATTTCTAGGGAATTCCTCAGCCGCGCCGCGCCTGCCGCCCTAGGATCACACCACAGCGTGTCGCACAGGTTTTGCATTTGGCAAGGTTGAAAAACGCTACATCTTGGAACTTATTTGCTCCAGTTCTAAGATTCATTTATTCAAATGAAATATTAATTTTAAACGTTTTGGTTTAACAAATATGCTACAACCTATGTGGCTGAACGTTTTTATATTATCAACAGGTTCTTGGCTATATTTATTTATACTTCTTAACTGGTTTATAATAATTATTATGTGTCATGGATAAATCTTGGGGGAAATATTATGAATGAAGAATGTGTAAAATTGGTATCCCTCCGCGAGAGAGTAGTTTCGATAAAGGCCGCTAGAGTCTGTCAGAATCATAGCACTTTTCGCCGTGCAAGGTTTTACGCGGTTTCATTTTGCACATACAAAAAATAATCTTTTCTTGAAACTAAAAGTGAATTGATATTTTTAGTTAAATTTCGCACTAATATTGCTTTATTAAAAATCGATAATTTCAAAAAGGATATTATTATTCAACTGTAAAGTTCACTAACTTTGACAAGTCGTTGCCCTTGATTGCTTAAGCATAGACATTTTTAAAAAATCAAACTTAGTAGAACCACTCTTTATATACAAAATGGTGTATGGTTCACAATTTAAATGTTTAAACTGGAATCGCTATATGATACCGCGCGAAGCGGTTTTCTGACGTTTTTCGGCGGGGGTAGGGAACCCTCTTTTTTTTTTTTTTTTCACATGAGGACGGGATCAGATTCCAGATCCCGAAACGTTGTGTATTGTTTTTTACCATCATGATGGAAAATGTCCGCATTAAACCTTTGAACAACATCAATTTTTCTTTTATTTTTGCTGTTAGGCCTAGTAAGTAAATATGATTTAATGGATCGTTGCAGGAATAAACAATGACAAATCAATCTATGCTTGAGGTATTATCTTGTGCAGATGTGACCATTATGTTTGTTTAACCTTTATTGTACTAATTGTGTTTTTCAGCTTTGGCTGGGTTTGTATTATTTATCTTGCTACTGTTGGTACTTTCTCATCTGAGGACAGGATCATATTGCAGATCCTTAGACCTTAAGAAAATTTGTTCCCGATATAAAATTACCACAATCTAATAACATAAATTACCGTATGCATGATTCATTTGAATTTTTTTTCCCCTTAGACGATCTTAGAAACTGAAGATGTTAGCAAATTGCTTGCGCATGACCAACAATCTCTATCGGACCATCTGGTGAAGACAATTGCGATGGTCGGGGAGCGGTTGGTGCTGCGCAGGGCAGCCATGGTGAGTGCGCATCACGCCGTGAGATTGGCGGCATTGACACATCCCACACCACCCGGAGCTTCAAATTTGACTACACAGATGGGCAAGTACGGCGCTGTGCTGATGTACGTCTCTGCCAAGGGCGACGAGGCAACGTCTCGCCTTGCCAAACAACTCTGTCAGCACGTTATAGGTCAGCAAAATACAAAATCATTTACTCTACTACTTTTCTCTCTTGTTAAACCTCTTAAAAAACCTTTTGTATATTTTATGGTACATCTGCCGCTACAAACAAAGCCTTCTTGCTCTTGGTTTAAAAAAATCTACCAATTCGGTATTGATGAGTACTGTGTATTGATGGAAGTCAAGCTGGTAATGAATCATGTCAGTCCATATTTTATTGTAAGTGTGAGTAGACCGCAATGATGGCTTTGAGTCAAACTTGCTTGCTAAGGCTAGAACCTATTCAACAAAGCATACTGGTATTTAAATTTTGTACTCCTTAGTCATTGTTAATATCTCGAAATTCTCAACAGCATGCAATCAGATTTGGTCACTCAATTCATGCATAAGTTGTAACAGAAATTATGTTGGAGAGATTAAATAAGTTATTCACTTTTGTCATGGGAAAAGGAAGGTAGCGGCCTCTTTTCAACCCAAGATGTACATATAGAATGCATCTTGTTTTTAACCTTGCATTTTCCTGTCCACATTGGCCCAAATACCTGTGTGTAAAATTATTAAGCTGACCAGGAAGTGACCCAGAATGAACTCTACTGATAGGCCTATATTATTTAGTGATGGCACTGGGGCATTGCAACTAGTTTTTTTTATTGAAATTGGTTAAATTTGTTCATTACTATTTATTACATAACAGCATCGTGTTAGTTTTATCTGTTGAAACGTTTCCTAGTTTGTGTCATGTTTGTATGAATTTGGTGTATTTTGTTAATGTTATTCAGATCTTTTTTTTGTGTTTCAGGTATGAATCCAAGAACAATCAATCCTTTGCCAGGAGACGACTTGAAAGTCAAACCTAAACCAGAAAAGAAGCCAGTTTCAGATGAATTTGATGAAACTGAGCATGAGGTAGAAATCACTGTAAGAGACGAAGAAGAAGACGAGGAAACAGTGATGTTAAAACAGACTTTTCTCCTCGACTCAGACCGAAGAGTCGCAGAGGTCGTAGCGGAAGCTGGAATAAGTGTTGAAGATTTTGTCAGATTCGAATGCGGAGAAGGATTAGCCGGAGCAGAAGAAGTCAGTACTAAAGCTGCACAAGTTGGCGGTTAAATTATTTTTACCGAGTTGTAAAATGTTATGCAAGTTGTAATATGTTAATAGGAATCTATATAAAAGTATGTTGTCTTGTTCCATTATAAATATAACAATGGTATCACTGACAAAATGCCATTCTTCCTCCCCCCCACCTACCCGGATTTGGTAAACTTGTGCATTGTCATTTTTACGTTTGCCATTACTATTAGTCCTCATTTAGGACCACCTTCTAGTATTTCTAACTTAGATATTTGTAATCCTTATTATCATTTCTGTAATTAGTTTAAAAAGACGGACAAAAAGATTCCGATAGAATCTGGATGTGCACTTAAATCATCTAATTGGTTCCTTGCTTACAAAATTGTGTTAACCATATATTTACACCATACTACACAGAAACGGGTACTTTTCCATCCATATTGACAGGCTGGAAAGTTGCCCTTTGCCCATGCGTAAACACGGAAAAGTAACGTTATGTACTTTAACCGTGCACTTAGTCAGCTGATGAAATAAACAGCTAACTGCAACGACCTAATTTATTATATAAATCATCGATAATAATGAATGTTCCCCCTTAACAGAAAAGTATTAAAATTCCCTTGTTATTCTTATATGGAGAATATTGTAAAATGTTGTAGTTTGCTTGTTTATGGTTATATTTTGATCAAACTTGGCAATTTTATTTATTTTATACTAACTTATAAAAGTATTTTATAAAAAAAAAAAGTTTTCTTATACCCTAGCAGAAAAATAGATTTAATTGAAAATCAATTCAGAAAAGTGAAAATTAGCTTAGACGGCAGGGCAGGTTGCTGCTGCGGGGGTATTTAAGTTACTTAGCCTAAGTTTACTTTATAAACCATAATCAATGACAAGAGTTGAAAATAGAATATAACATCTGAAAACTCTATTCACTGGGTAAACTTAAATCGTTAAAAAGTTCACAGAGGATACGCTTCTGGTAACTGAACGCGGATTAGGCCTAGGCGTCCGGCAGTGACGTCACCGGGTTGTGGGGGCCCGCAACGCCCTTTACCACAACGATATGATGTACAGCCATCGGTGTTCGTGGTGAAGTGGATAGAGTGCTCGGCTGATATGCAAGAGGTCCCTGGTTCGAATCCAATAGGTAACCTTAACTTTTTGTCTAATATTTTGCTTTAAATGCCATTTTGGCAAATATTTACTGTATTTACATTGGGATATGATGTTATTTTTATATGTCTACTTACAGTATTTTTAACGCTGAATCCAAAAATGCAATCAGTTTTTGTCGGAGAGATTTATAAGTTGCCGTAGTGGCCGTAAAACGAAGGTTAGGATTACGAATCTAAGGATAATTGAGCGGTATTGAAGGTAATGGTAATATGGCGTGGTCTGGACTGGACGGGTCCGTACTGGGTGAGGAGTGAGGAGGACTGAGTGAGAAGAGCAAAATAACTGTTTATACTTGATCTAATGCGGAATGAAATCAAATCAATTCGTTTTGATTTTTGAATCCAAATAATCAGTTCTTATTTAGGCATGTGAGGAAGGTAGGTCGTTTTTTATGTGGATTTGTGACTGTATTAAGTGTTTTGAAGTGAGGTTAGATTAGGAAGGTAAAGGTTAGGTTATAATGAACCAACTTATTAATTTATGCAACTTCCAGACTGTTATTGCACAATTAAATAGTGGGTGAAACACAATGAAATAACGATATCAAAAATGCGCAAGCATTTTATTTTGTTACATATTTTGTTTTATATTTTAAATTCATGTGATTAATAGTTTATGTATCGTAGTTGATTTATTGTATTTTCTCAACAGCACCAAAGTCCATTTTCTTTGTAAAATCTAGTCATTGCATATTGTAACTCTGATTTTGCTCTCATGGCGTCGTGTGTGGTTTTTTCTGTTTAGTAATGAATGTAAACGTTGCCATGAGAACTTGGACTCGTCCATACCACAAATATGTTAATAAATCTACAAAACTGAAGCTTAATATTAATTATTTAACTGTACGGCCACTTAGGAATTAGGGATGGACGAGATTGGATTTTTAGTTCGAGACGAGATATTTTATTTCTCATAAAATTTCGAGACGAGATTTCCCTTCTCATACACAACGGGAAATGCACGTTCAAAATTTTTACCTGATTTTGTAACATTATTAGATGAATGTTTAAATACAAAAATAATGATAATAGGCAAGAATATTTACAATCTTTTATTTAAAAACATCAGCATAACATTTTTTTATTAATCACGCCTAACTTATTAAAAATGCCTACGATTAGGAAACATAGTGATATCAGTTAGGATGGAGTTAAACTTATCCTAAAATAAAATAAATCATAAAATAAAAGCAATGTTAATTTTTATAAAATAGTTACTTGTTTTGACTTTTTATAGTAATCAAACATTCCTCACACTGCTTACACTTAACAAAACTTCTCAAATGTTTAAAGTAATATTATTAAAATAATTAAAGTAATATTTACATTTAAAGAATTAATTAAATAAGAACGCCTTCGCAAAGGAAACGCAACTACAACACGCTCCTGTATTGCGGGTATTGCATTGACTTTCTGCAGGCGTTTTTAATTTTTTTTTTAATTTTTTATTTTTTATTCTCGTCTCGATAAAAATCTCGGCCAAAAAGAAATCTCGTCTCGTGTAACGAGATTTAAAATTTCCCGAAATTTCGAGACTTGACCATCCCTATTAGGAATCTCTCCGACCAAAACTGATTGCATTTTTGGATTCAGCGTTAAAAATACTGTAAGTAGACATATCAAAATTACATCATATCCCAATGTAAATACGGTAAATAATTACCGCTATTTCCTCTTAACTGTACATCTTTTGTTAGAATTTTTGGCATTTATAATTTTATTTTATGGACAGAATTTAACCTTCAATCGATTTTTTCATCATCAGCAAGTTTGGTTGGTTAGATTAGGTTATGGCAGTAACTGCCGGACGCCTAATCCATGTCCGGTTACCACGCGTATCCTCTGCGTAAAAAGTTGACTTTGACTTTGAAAAAGTTATCACTAGGTTGAAATTGTTGCCTAGTGTGGCTACCTCCTTCAGCCAGGTCGCAAGAGAAAAGTCACTAAGTGTGGCGGTAACCCAAGGCTAAAACCTATTCAATCACTAACTCACTTTATTTGTCAACAATAGATTTAATGCTTATAAATAACATAATTTACTAGTAGGCTACAAGATTTAGGCACAACAATGCTGCCTACATATATGAAAAATGTCAAGCCCAATTGAAAAATGATAAAGCATGATTAAAAAAACTTAATAGGCCTAGGCCTATCTTTTCTATTCCCAACTTTTCAAGGACTTGTTCATTTTGAAGGATACATCTTCAGCATTACATTAATCTGATGATGGGTTAAAGTCTTAGCTCCAGGTGTTAATATTCCTTGTTTCATATGTTCTTTGTGAGTTTTAGAGGTAATCTGATGGTCTTTGAAACATTTAGCCAAACCAACAACTTCTTTAGAACAAGGGCTTTGGTTGTAGTCATTCTTTTTTAAACAAGATAATAAATTCATAATTTCTTGAACACATTCAGACTCACCACCTTTCTGGCCTTTCCCAGATACTCTATCTCTTAATCTTAGAGGACGTATTTCTCTAAACTTGACTTTGTCTTCAGGGTACCATCCTCTCAGGTTTAATAAGCTTGTTAACCTCATAGCTGTAGAATAATCTGAAGCACTAAATGTTAGCTAGTTTAAAAGTTGGAGCACATAAATATCGGTTGGAGCTGTTATTAATAACCCTATAAATTGCACATTGTGCAATGATTACTATTATTGTGTTACTATACTATAAACATTGAATTATTTGCTATTAACGAGTTAATGAAAGGCTAGTCTTTTCCTGAAAATCCTAACCTCTAACGTTCTCTAACTAAACATCAAACGATCAAACTAGGTTAGGAATTTAGATTGGATTGGATGAGGAGAGGATGTAGGATAGGAACTAGGAATGAGCTGTATTTTTATTTCAGGATTAGTTTTGCCAACAGACAGTTACGAGAACTTTAGATCTTGGAGAACGATCTCCAAATTTTGGAGACTTCTGATTGGTAGTGGGAACCAATGAGCACATAATATAAATATATTTATATAAACATATTTATATTATGTGCTCGTTGGTGGGAACACCACGATGGGACGACATCGGCCTCGGCCTCGGTGGTCTGCTGGTCTCTACTCCTACTGGTTACTGGTCTAGTCTAGTGCTAATGAGATTAGGAGTGGATTTGGAAGTGCATTGCATGGTGATGGTGTACTGGTGTAGTATTGGGTATCGATAGTCGATATATCGAAAATATCGATGTTTTGAAGCCGATAGTCAATGTTTTTCCCATTGATAGTTGTCTCCCGATATAGTTTTAGTAGTATCGATATTTTAATTTTACTCCGATATTGCTACTATCTACTATCGATATTTCACTCTTATCATTTGTTTTACTAAATATCGACGTTTTTCTCCGATAATAATCGGTTTTTTGTACTTCGATATTTTTTTACATCGATGTTTAAAGGCCGATACGACTATCGATACTAATATCGATGTTACCGGTTCGATGTCCCGACACTAGCATGGTGGAAGTGGATACGTGGGGTCTCATACCTTATAATGTCATAGCCATAGCTTATAATCGTGAATTTGTTCCATAGTTTGTAATCTAGAAAATGTGGCATAACTAACTAATAATCAGTTATAAGCTATGCCACACTTTCACGAAAAATTATAAGCTATGCCACAATTTCTCTAAAACGTTATAAGGTATGAAACGTTTTAAGTTTAACAGCTTATAATTGTCAAATGGTGTTGCAGCTTATAATTCCGATATTGTTCTATAGCTTATAATCCTGATTTTTAGTCATAGCATAGATAAAACATGGTCATAGCTTATAAATTTGATTTTGTGGCATAGCTTATTATTGAGGAGAATGTTAATTGCATTGTGATTGTAGGAACGGCAACTGCCACTTGCTTCAGTCAGGTCTACCATATATACAATATTTTATGGTAAGAAACCTACGAATTGTACTAGCCTATAGGTACGAACTATGGCATGGTATTATTTATTAACATAAATATTTATTTATCTAAACGGCATACACTATTTTTACAATAAACGACAATATAACATGCCAAATGACAATACAAATGCAAGAAAGTGGTCCATAGTTTGCACAAGATGGAACTTCAGAGTTACACACAAACATCCATTCTTTCACATTTATAATATTAGTGTAAACGGTTGTAGTATTTTTGTTTATGGATATACTAGCTGGCGCGACAGACGTCGTCCTGTCCTAATGTGGTTTTATGTCAAATATATGCTCGTTCATTTTCAGGATAAGCTCGTCGCATCGCTCAATCACGTCCTGGTTGAAGTTCGTTCGCTACGCTCACTCGCATCCAGGTTGAAGTGAGTGAGCTAATGTAAAGGCAATTTTTATGTTTTTTTTTTAGTCAATAAGTTAATTAACTATGCTCTAAAAAAATAAAACGCCTTATTCGTGCTTATTCCCACAATATAAAAACAATATTTATTAAAATAATAACAAACATAGCTCTGTAAAAAATCCTACTTTCACATTTCTCATTTTGTACCACAGCTTTTTGTTGCTGCTTGGTTCAAACATTGACTTTACATTAGTTGATATTTTGAAAGGCTATAATACAAAGATAGAAAAGTACAAACCTATCTATAAAACAACATAAAAATTGACCTATTTTTATTTTTACTACAAAGTAATGCATCTTCTTCTCACAATATTGTTATGCTTATTTATATGGTATTTAATTTATAGTTAAAATTTAAATATTCTAGAATGTGCTGATATTCTAAGTATTTAGCACATAGGTTTTGCGGGCTCAGATCCCAATTCGTCTGGGTTTTCGCCTGGTTCTCCTCGTTCAAATCTGACGAAATGTTGGATTTTGAGGCCCGTCCTCAAGGCTACCTCTCCCACAGTCTGACTGTTATCGTGGATATACTTTTGTGCCAACAAAGCTTCATCCTTATTAAATTTCTCTTGAGGATCCACCAACTTTGGGTTCATTGCTGAAAAGTAAAATTTGTTTGATGATAAAGTTGATATTACTGTTTGTTATTACTAATTATGTTTTGAATATTTGAATAAAGGACGAGTAATCAATAAAAAGGGTGTTTAAGTACCGGGAGTGACAACTTGAAAATTATATTTGCATTGTATTAGCCACAGTACTCAGTAATACCTTTGACTACTAATACAACTTCAGTATCCAATAGTCAATGTTGGAGAGTATACAGTAATTCCCTACATGGGAAATTTGCAAAAAGCACCGTAAACTAAAAGTATCAGACATGGTAGGCTAGGCACTTATAACTGTTAAGTTTAACTGTTTCTTAGATTAACTGTGGTTTAGCTGTTATTAAGTGTTTTTATATAGGCATTTTTTGGGGGGGGGGGTTTTGTTAGAAAGGTTAGCTACAATCAATCTTTTTTGGATAGCACCATTCATTGATAGCCCAATAACAATGACATCTGACACCAGAATGGACCCCGCTATGGATCAAACCAACGACCTTCGGATTTGAAGGAAAGCACTAAATTACTTGATTAGTCGGCTACCCAGACAATAACTCTACAGGACCTTATATTAGTTCCTAGACACTCATAGGAAGAGCTGAAAAACTATCTAGTCCTCTTTGCTTTAAAGCTTTGTAAGAGCATAAACCTCGATAAAAAGAGTACATTGCTAACAAAAACAAATCTAATTTCATCATCCCTTTTCATAGTCAATCCCACGGCTAATGATGTTCCCTGAATACCATTCATTTGTGTTAATTAGACCTGAACTGACATTTTTATAAAGGTTATCGTACTAAATACATATCTAGACTCTGTTCTGCACAATGTACTGAGACTTTGATTTCTTTCTTTCCTCACCTATAATCTGCTGACAGATATGTTTGGGAAGCTGGAGATCAGCATTGTAGTTGTTTTCTGTTTTGTACACAAGCACAGTTCCGAACCTGCCTTGGTGCTTGAACTGTGGACTCTCTGATCCGTGGGTCAGCACTGCAAACTGCGAAGATTCTTCGGTGCTGATCAGAGCTGCTCTCCTCAGCATGAGCCTCTCGCCCAGCAAGGCCACAGTTTTGGTCACATGGTCGGACAGACTCTGCTTGTCTTCAGCAACTAGTTTCTCCAAGTCATCTTTCTTCAGCATGACCTAGAAAATTGCTATGAGGAAATCACACTGAAAACTATATAAAGTAAAGTTTTTAAGTAGTGTTATCTTTTAGCATCACCACCACAAAGGTCAGGGATTTTCATCTTAGTGTAGTTAGGGGAAATGTGTTAAACCTATAAAAGGAAATTTCTCACGGTTATATGTTTGAATTACAATGATTAAGTGGTACATAAACAAAAGAGAAATGTTCTAACTACTATTTTTAGAAATATAATTTTCCTTTCCCAATGTAAAACTTATATATATATATATATATATATGTCTCCTTGCTATCCAAGTGTGAGAACACTATTGCCATATTTATATTTTCTAACACTTTACCAAATCTAAATAGACTCAGTTGATATACACACTTTTTCTGCATTTGTGCTTTTTAAAGGGAAAAACAACCGCAGAAGTAAATATTTGGTGTAAACAAAAGCTAAAAAAAACATTAAACTAAGTTTAAAATCTTGTTTAATTTGATAAAATATAGTTCTTATTAAATAAATCTATGAATTGAACGACAATTCGTCTTGGTTTTAAAAATATAAATGTTTACAAGCAACACCATAAAGAGGTTTGACTGAATTCATACTGTTCATAATTATATTCTTTCTATATGGAAAGTAAATAAAAGAAACGTCTTATAACACTTAAAACATATATTTACGCTTATACTGTTACTCACAAGACGGCAAATATACAAAAAATATGGTAAGTGGTGATCGATTTTGATTGAACACTCCAATCATCGTCAGACCCAATAGGGGTCTTGTGAGTAAGCGTAAATATATGTTTTAAGTGTTATAAGACATTTCTTTTATTTACTTTCCGTCAATTTAATAACACGTACAATGCTGATCAAGAAGTTATTCTTTCTATGTCAACATATTATTATGTAAGTTATACCATTGACTATTGGATACAGAAGTTGTTATATTAATAGTCAAAGGTTATTTGCACGTAAGTTATAATACCTAAATAATAATTTCATTATGTTTTTGACGTAGCTAATGCATTTTATGCTAATTTTGCTCAATAAACGACTTATGACTTAATATTATAGGTTATATAATAACAGGTGAGGTGAGAAGTGGGTTCCTCCACATTGGACACAACGTCAAAGCCAGTTTTACAAAAAGTCACACACCAGATATAATTTAGAGGGCTTACTTAGAATCAACCCCTAAGAGCAATGTTTTGAAATTATAGCTGATAGGAGATTTAGGTTCTGTTAATAATGAGACCGTTCATCCTTTACAAACATTACAAAGATGGGAGGTAGTCACTTACCTCACCCAGAGCCATAGGTGATGGGTTGATTGTTTTTATATGTTCCAGACAAGTGCAGGTGACCAGATTTACCAATTCACGGAACTTATCACTGTTGCTAACAAAGTCTGTCTCACTATTCACTTCCACCATAGCAGCATGTTGTTTATCCCAAGCAATGGCGACCAGACCCTCTGCAGACCTTCTTTTGTCAATCTTGCTCAATTTATCCAGACCGAATGATTTGCTTTCTTCTTCTAACCACTTTTCCGCCTGAATCAAACCAACAAACTATTCAATCTATACTATTCTTTTGTAAAAGTATCAAAACTTTCAACAAATTGTTCAGTAATATATTGACTATACACAGTATATTTGTGTACTAGTGTACCTGTTGCTAGAATTCGAGCAATTAATTGCAAAGTAATACAGGCTCATAATTTCCAATGACTTAAAAGAGTCAACTCAAAGATAATGTAATCAATCACTCCACTCCAGTTATCGAAACTGAAAACGAACCATATTGTGTGTATTTCATGTGTTTTCTATGAACAGCTGTAATTAATACGAATTATTCGTCCGTTCAAGCAAACAAAATCTTCTGTCCATAAGAAATACATTGGAATTTTGATGGCCTGTGGGGCAAAGCCCAAAAACTTTTATTACAGGAATTGGTGAAAGGGGGCATCTACACAAACAATACTTCATTTTGACACATCGTTTGTAAAAATCCGTCCATTATTAACGGAGGAGTAGTGTTTCGTAGAAATTGCCTTCACGTATTATATATAAGGATGTATAGTCAATGGTAATATCCATCTCACTCCACAATTTAAAAAATATTCTACAATCAGAATCTCAATAAAATGTGGTTCGTGAATCGTGAGTACTTCTTGAGAGCAGATTTTTATTATCAAAATATCCTTTTTAAAACGTTTTTATTAGCTCGCTTTCTTGTCCAATACAAATTTTGCAATCAATTTTATAATAACTTCCCTAAAACCAAGCTAGAGACTTGAAACTTGAAAAATAGCTCACAAATGGATGACAATGCAATATTGTATCATTTAATTTTCATATTTCCCTTGGTCTACGCCCCATGGGCTTGTTTTTTTTAGCTCGCTTTCTTACAAGTTTTGATATCAATTTTAAACGAAGATCCCGATGAGCTAGAGACTTGAAACTTGAAGCATAGCTCACAAATTGATGATAATGCAATATTATTATTATATAATTTAATTTTCATATTTTGCATGGGCTATGCCCTATGGGCTTCCAAATTTTCCATGTGTACATTTTGAAAGAATGCAAATATATCAATTAATTTAAGCCAGCTGTAAATACTTAAACTTGACTGTTAAGCCGGGTTTTCCTAGGCGCAGAAGTGGAGAGAGAGGAACACGGAGCTAGAGCGGACTCCACTTGTCTTAGGTAATTTAATGTTACTGTTTTCCTAGAAGCTTAGCGGAACACCATGTTTATCTTATCTCTTTTCCGCTCTCCGCTTCCGCGCCTAGGAAAACCCAGCTTTAGAAGAGCAGAGGTTAAGAGGCAAGGCGTGTTAAAGATATATACTTTTATACACCTAGGTTAAGAGGTACAGGTTCTACTACCGAGATATTCTAAACACAAGTATTTCAAAGTAAAGACAAAACATCTGATTACAGATAATACGGTTTAGGTTATGTATTAACAGGCCATATAAAATATATTTAACATATGTACACATAAAAGACTAAAAATAAAAAAAAATTTTATAAATAAAAATACTTTTGAACAATTCCATGTTTTTAAACACACTAAAAAGTAAAAAATCCTTTATAAATATGTTGAGAGAATAAATACTTGTTGTAAGATTTAAAATGAAAAAACGTGGAGCGCGTGCAATAGATCAGAATAGTTCAATAGGTGAAGAGTTAACTGTAAATTAGCATGCGCCTCAGTAAATGCTATTATTTTTACAGAACAATTTATTTACACAATAAATGTTAATATTCATAAAATATATTTTAACAAGATTGTATGAAAATTAAAAAAAAATATTGCTACAAATAACTAAAGTAAGAAGGTCAACAAGGTTTTAGTAGGCTATTGATTGGTCAAGAGATCTAATGAACTCATAGATATTTTGAAAAAGTGTTGTTTTTTTTTCATACTCTTCAGATAACAATAAGGATGATTACGGTATGTATGAAATTAAAGCTGTGCTTTCTGCATTTTGAAGGAAAGTAAATAAGTTTTTTATTTACCTGATCTAAATCATTATTGTTTTTCTCCAATGCTTTCTTGCAGTGAGTGTAAGGATACCCAGTCTTTTCTTTAAGTTTATGTAGATTAGATAAGCTGGAAAAAGTGTTTCACCATATATAAACAGTCTATATTGTCAATGAAGGATAGATTACTCGTATGGGAAAACATGTTTTCTCAATCTTGATCAATGGATTAGTGGTTACCAATGTCATAGTGTTATTATTATAGTTCGGCCGCTTAGAAAACGACCTGCGCGCTAATGCTAAACCAATGATAGAGGAGGTCACTTTCTAAGCGGCCGAACTATAACATATGTTTTATATAGTGTATTCTGTCCATTTGACACTCCTTCCACAGCTTTTTACTGCTAAAAAAAGTTAATCAAGTTCAAACACAGTTATTCAAACACACAGTGTCCTGGTGAGGTAGTGAAGATCAATTGGCCCATAATGTACAGTATGTTTACCACTGGATATCGTTGATGTCACTATGTCACCCTGATGGCCCACAATGCACAGTATATGATATCTATGCCACTAATATCGTTGATGTCACTACGTCATACTGATGGCCCACAATACACAGTATATGATATCTATGCCACTAATATCGTTGATGTCACTACGTCATACTGATGGCCCACAATACACAGTATATGATATCTATGCCACTAATATCGTTGATGTCACTACGTCATACTGATGGCCCACAATACACAGTATATGATATCTATGCCACTAATATCGTTGATGTCACTACGTCATACTGATGGCCCACAATACACAGTATATGATATCTATGCCACTAATATCGTTGATGTCACTACGTCATACTGATGGCCCACAATACACAGTATATGATATCTATGCCACTAATATCGTTGATGTCACTACGTCACCCTGATGGCCCACAATACACAGTATATGATATCTATGCCACTAATATCGTTGATGTCACTACGTCATACTGATGGCCCACAATACACAGTATGTGATATCTTTACCACTAATATCTTTGATGTCACTATGTCACCCTGATGGCCCACAATGCACATGTGTTCAGAACTAAACAAGCAACAAAATAAAGCGTGTTGCGGAAAAACTACCTCAGTGCAATGGGGCCGTTTTCCCACCATACTTCTCAATTTAACTATGCCATTTTAGTATACATTATGCCTGAGGCTATTAACACTGAGCTTTTGATGTGGAAATCTATTTTTAAAATAATGATTCTTGTGCAAAAACACAGAGATTGTTTGGACCACATTCCAACCTTTGTCAACATGGCGCTGTTCCATATCGGAAAACAATGGTGAGCTGGGTAAAATTATTTAGGATAACAGCTTAAAACTTATAAATAATCAGCTGGTGCCCCTTTGTACATTATTATTCTGATGAGCTACTTAAATTTTGAGGTTCTTCAAAGTCGCCCTTACAGATTTGCTTGAACCAAAGCTAAGAATTGTCCAAAAAATAAAAAAATTCCTGAAGAAATGCTGGAAGAGTATTTGATGGAGTTTTCAAGTGACTAAAAAGGAATGGCAAGTAGGACCAGGACGTCACTTGCAGGATTTTGTTTTCAAGAAATGAAAAAAAATGACTTTGTTAAGGTAAAATGGGGCTAAAGTTAAGCTGTGTTTTGATGTGCTATTTATATCTATAGGGTGAATATTATTGAGTTAGTACTATTTATAAATTTTGGGGCGCTTTCATTGCCTCACCCTGTATAAATATATTACACGGTATTACATAATGTTTTGTAGCCAAATTGTATAGTCAAGCCATTCCTAAACTCAAGTAAGTTTTGATATCAACTATCCCTCCACAACTCATGTATCTCTCAAGTTATTCAATTATATGAATCAATAATATTAATTGGGGATGCCACTATGTGCATATTTTAACCTAAATATGAGAAAAGGATGAGTGTAAGATCTTGTAGTCTTGTTAGTGACTAAGGCCGACATGCTCCTTAGGCACAGCTGTTAATTAATAGCCCATACAGCCAATTCAAATAAAAAAAATTTACCTACGACCGTTTTTTAAAGTAGCCATTTCAGTTCAGTTCTTAGAATTGAAAAGTTTCACTTAACAGCTGTTTACTTTCATATCAACATACAGTAGTTTCATTTCATATCAGCATAGTTTTTCTCATATCAACACAGGTAACGGACCAATGAGGTTCAAGTATTGAGAGAAAAGAATTAAAATTGTAATGCTTTGAACGTCAACTAATCAGCTGATCAGTTGACCAATTTAATTGTTGATCCGACTTGTTCATGTTGATACTCGCGTATTCTTAATTAAGTTGGTGGAAGTTAAAGCAAGGTAGATTACCCGATATTTGCCGAATTGTACCTGATACAATATTATTTATGGTAAGAATGCTGCTAGCAATGTAATATTTAACGAAGTTTAACAAACACGTTAACACGTAATTACAGGAAATCAGCTGATTAAACAACAAGTCGTTGCATCACTTTCAGTCTCAGTGGCAATGACAATACACGAAAACATAACCTCTCTTAAAAGTTATCAGTAGTGATTGTTAGTAATTAAATCCAGATTGATAGTAATTAAAAAACGGTCGTAGGTAAAGTAGTGTACGCAACTCGTGTTAATAGTCTTTACGACACTTGTAGAAGTTTTTAAGTTTTAAATTTTCTACTCGTGTCGTAGAGACTCACTTAACGCAATCGTTGTGTAAACTACTATTAATCATACCAGTCTCTACAGTACCCTAATATCATAAATATTTTACACTCCCGTCGGTAGCATTGCAGATACTATAGTTATGTGTGTTGAGTGTTTTGTTTCAAATGTGCGTAACCTAAGAAAACCTCAAAATGAGCTGCTCCCTTCCTCGTGATAACTGATTAACCACTTAGGCCTCTAGCGTTTATAATTTATAAAAACTACCATTGATTTTACACTGCTATACGATCACCATTGATTAAGATTTAAAATAATAACTTTTCAATACAAGAATAAATAAAAATTATAAAATGATTCAAGTAAGTGTTTATCACCCTTAATTAATCACAAACATTGAATATGAAGAGCTTCATTGTTGTGAAACATTACCTATATTCATCTCAGTCAAGAACTAAACCAACACATTATTTAGATAGGTACTTACAATGTTTCTTTATCTTCTGGCCTGTCATTTCTTGTCCCATCAGCAGAATTCTCTAAAAACATAGTATTTTACTTGTTTTTTAAGGTTTTCAAAATCATATTTTAACTTGTTAAATACTGAAATCAATTTATATAACAATCGCCAAAATTTTAGTAATAACCAGTTTAAGGCGGGAATGACAACTGAACCATGGCTCATGAAAAAGGATCTGTATTTCCATAATACCTTAAATACTACTGCAGCATTGCATATAAGATATACACATTTTTAATTATGTTTAATTACAATGGAATGCTATCAACTAAAATTGGGGGAGCGAGCTGGTCTAGTGGTTAGAGCACGGGACTCCGATTCCTGGGGTCCCGGGTTCAAATCTTGCCAAATCACCAATGGATTTTATCCAAGTGATAATGCCGTGACCCCTAGGTCTAGCCTGAAGTAATGTAAAAAAAAATTCTGGTCTCGTGCCTATAGCTTGTAGGGCAAAAAAAAAAAATATATATATATATCAATTAAAATCAATCAAACAAAAACTTGTACAAGAATCGGTTTAAATGAACTGTGTAATATTGAGGTTTTCTAGCTCTCATGGTACGCTCATCTAAGTTAGTTCCCATCTAAGTTTTATAACTGCCATATTATCTATATTTTACTCAAACTGTGACAAAACATTTTTCGGCATGAAGCAGTTTTACTGTAAATTTGTCGTTATCAGTGTCTGATTCAAAAACTTTGAATTAGGCTTGAATATCTTGCTGGCTACCAACAATTTCTCAGGATAAACTCAGAAAAGCAAACAATATTGGTGAAGCACAAATTTATTAATTCACATCAAAGATCGCAATACAAAAACAATATGGTTTTAAAAAAAACCTATTTAAGAAAGACAATTTTTGACTGGTTGTTCTCTAGTTTTCATTAGAAATCTCCCATTAATATTATGAGCTGAATCTTCTTAAGCTGCTACATATTCTTCTCTAGTACCGGTACTTGATTGGTTAAGTTCTATAAGTAAAATTAATTAATTATTATGGTTTATTATCAGTTGAGTTGGGGACCCCACCTAATGCTAGTTTTAAACCCAAATTTATGAATGTAGAATAGAGTGAAATGATCTGTGTAGCTTTGTTACTGACTAAGATCAGCTGTTTCATTAGCCAGCATGATCTTCTATACAGGGTGTCCCGTAAGTAAGTACAACAAATTTAGGAGTAGGTTTAATGGTTCAAAATAAAACAAAATTCAAAATATGTATTTCCAAAAATGCCTTGTAAGCGAGATGTCTGAATTTTTTTAAAGTTTATCTTAAAAACTATTTTAGATATCTTTATGAAATTTGGCATACCATTTCATAATGTAAAAAAACTATTTTAGGAAAAATAATAATGAAACACATTTTTTGGTTTCAAAGTGGTGGTAATTTTAATTTAGATTTACTTAAAACAGGAGCAGCTGGGTCCAGTTTAAAACCACCAAAAAACTTTAAACTGTTATCAGGATGAAACCAGTGACCTTTTGATTACTGGGCGAGCACTATAACCACTCAGCTATCCAGTTGTATACAGTTTTCATAAAAAAAACAACTTAATAATGAAATGAAACGTTGATAATATTCAATGACACACATATATGTTTGTACAGCTTTATATTTTTGGTATTTAAAGTTCCTTTAAACTTGTATTTAAATAGGGCTTCATTGTTTCATATATCCTATAGTAAAATTGCATACAAGTACATAGCTACCCTAATTATTGACATAAAAAAAATATAATCATAAATTAAATATTAGGTATGTATTGTTCATCCATTTAAGTTCTAAAAGGTTTTCTAAGCTATCACCTTCATAAAATGATTCTGTCACAGATATCATTTTATGTTAAATTGCTATCATTTTATGAAAAATAACTTAAATAATTCTTTTCTCCTTTGAAATAAGAGTAGGAATTGATTTTAAAATAACTTATACATGGTACTTCTTAACTTGGCTGTTGTAAGTGCCTGAATTCTCTGACTAAAATTTAAGACATATAATAGGTGGTTAAAACTTTGTTTTCATAGTATGTCAGTCAATGATCAAACTATTAGTAACAGACGATGAATGAAAATGTGCAATACTACCAAAACAAATGTGGTATTCATACACAAGATTAAAATAAATAATGAAGACGATGAGCATAATTAATATTTTTGAATAATTGCTTCAAAAACAGTTGAGATAAAAGGACGAGAAGTCATTTTTTAATGATTCATTTTAGAGGTGGAGAATATTGACATAGTTCCAATCTCAGTACATAACAGTTCCTAAGTTTAATCAACTTATTGAAATGAATTCTTTTTTACCTTGATCATGTATTCATAAGTTTGAAAATCCAATTTTGTTATCAATCCGCTAGACAACAACACTTCTCTGACATGAAAGAAATATTCCTTTCTATTTGCATATCTATACTTTACCTGTATTCTCATTCTCCACTTCTTCTCCAGAATCGACTTCTCCCTCTCCTCTTTCCATTCTTTCTTTTGCGTTATCAAACTCCTTAATAAAAGATTTCCACTGCTCACTGCTTTTTATTTCATCCATTATTTCATCTGTTGGTCGGTCTAATGAAAATGTGGGACCTGAAACGTTGCACTGATATAGGCTGAGCTAAAATTCACAATACATTTGCAAGAGCGTAAAGTTTACTATTATTACTATTATTATTATTATCATTATAAGAATGGCCGAAAGGGACCCAACAGAGTAGAGGGGGTTTTTTTAGTGAGTAGTCTGACAAGCCTAGGAGTCTCACACTACAGGCTGGCTACCTGTGTGCGTAAACCCATGCGTAAAATGAACATTTTAATTGTGTTCAAAACTAGTTTCCGAGGCAAAACAAACAATATTGCAATACCCTTTTAACACGTTCGCTACTGAGCGTCACATATGCGACGCCGCAGTCATTGCCACAGACCAAGGTATACATTTGAATCTTACACATGGACCGGCTGTCACTTGGATAACAGTACACACAGACCACCGGCGAAAACCTGTAAAACAGTGATCATTTACATCTTAATATGTTACAATCGTGTTTGTAAATAATTTATTCTTATTTTTTTTGTATTTTTTATAACCTTTTGTAATGTCGCATATTTGCGACGCCCGGTCTACAGCGAAGACAATAGTGAAAACTATCATAGTTTTCTTGAAATAGACCAAATGCGCATATATGCGACGGCTCATTTTTGTTTTTGTTTTGAGGTGAAAGTAAGTAAATAAAACAGAATATTCAAGAACAGTTTATAACTGAACAAATATAAAAGTTACATAGGATAATGCAGCATACATACTGCATACATACAGTGATGCAGAAAAGTAAAGGCAAGTTTTTCCAACTATCATATGACGTCACCAATCATCATATCCACAGACCAAGCGACGCAGTTGTGCGTCAGACATCTCTGTAGACCACTGCAGGAAATTCAGTGGCTTCAAATAGACCGTTACAAAGATATAAGCATTTTAATAACACTAGAACCCTGACTCAAATATGCGACTGCAGTCTATTTTAATGTGACTAGCCGTCGCATATGCGACGGCATTCTATGGGTGGAAACCGGCCGTCGCATATGTGCGTCGCTGGTCCATGTGAATGCAAAATTTGGTACTATTGCAGTAGCGAACGTTTTAATATGTAATTTATGTGGTTTACTGTAAGACAGTCACAACTACTAATTTACAGTATATTAAAATTGTTATGGTTTTAGATCCACTGAATAAAGAGTAATTTACCTACATCAATCAGGATAAACCTATAAATACCCCCTGCTGCAGCAAACCTGCAGACTTAGTGAATTTCCTTTTGCCTGATTAGATTTACACTAAAATTGTCTCCTTAAAAATATCACATTTATTCCCTATTTAAATAGAATTAGTTTAACGAGTACTTAGGTTTGCTGCAACAGGCAGGGTAAAAAGTGTTTTTGTTTTATAGTAGTTTAAGCAACGTAAAGATAGTGTTACCCTAGTAGCACAAATATGTATTTTATAAATATTTTATATATTTAAAGTTGTATTTGATAGAACCTCGAATAAAATATAAATATAATATATCTTTAATAATAGTTTGATATATTCAAATATATATTTAAAATATTACCAAAAAGCAATGCAAAATATAAATTAAATATAAGTTTTGAATATATAAAATATATTCATAATATATATTGATAAAAAAAGTATAGAATCTATAATATACATATTTTATATGTATATTTTTCCTATTAAATATTTAAAAAAATTATGTGTTGAGAATATTTTAAATATATATATAAAATATTTTTGAAACTATATTATATATTTAAATTATTTTTAAATATATTTTGAAACACGTCAGATATTTTTTAATATTAAAATAATATTATATTTGTAGAATATATATCCTATAATCTTTTATAATTAACAAATAAATAATTTGCATCTTTTTGTTTTTCATAGTGTCTATCAATTTATACATGCATTTTTTGTATGATAATTGCTATTGTGAAAGCGTTAAAATTAAGTTAATAATAAGTACTCTGAATGGTGTCACTCTATCATACACGTAAAGAAAAAAATAGCATATAGTTAAGAGGCAGTATACATGTTTGACAGCTACATTCGGGTCAAACGAAAAAAGCGTTGATGGGTTTTTTTTTTATTGCAATATGTGACAATGAATGTGATCATAGAAATCTCGAATGATTGGCTAGAAAAGGGTGCTAGTGACTGGCGACCTTTTAAGAAACTAATTACGGTTGTAGATGACGTTCTAAAAATAATTATTTGATTTACATGTGCCATAAATTACATAATATTTGTCATAGTATTTAAATTAATTTTTGTAGTTTACTGTATTTGTATTCGTGGAGACTACTCACTACAGCACTATTCAACTCAACTACTTGATGCCAAAACATATTAACAGAATCATATTATACTGTAGTATCAAAAATATTTCAAGTATTGCAACCATTGCAACTGAGGGCCACTCTTTCACCATTTGAAAACTAAGGCTATCAACAGTCACAAGTAGCTCAGAGGTAAGGTAGGAGGCTCATAAGTCGGAGGACCCAGGTTCGAGACCCACCCGGGATGAAAAAATTTTATCCAGTAATTTTTTTCAAAATATGTTTTTATGAACTATTTAATCAATTTACTCAACTGATAATTAATTGTGTTTTTCATACTAAATCTTTATTATTTTGTGTTTTTATGTTTAGGCCCCATGGGATGTTTGGAAGAGATATTAAATACATTTTTTATTTAAATATTATTCACTAAAATATATTATTGGAACATATTTTTTTTAATATTTAATAGATTCAAAAACATATTTTTTATATATTTAATATATTTTAAATATTATATAAAATTGACATTAATACACACTTGAGATATATAAAATAGATTTTAAATACATTTATTCATATGTATTTAATATACAGGGTGAGTTTTAATTGTCCCCCCCCCCAACTTTTTTCTACATTTTTTCAAATATCAATCCCAGACCACTTCCAAACATTGTTGGGTAGTAAGTACTTCATTTTGACAAGGTGGTCATTTCCGGCCGCCATCTTGGATCCGCCATATTGGATGCAAAATTTTTTTTTCAAATGTAAAGGTGGGGTTGTGACCCATTATTTCGAACTACATTTTTACCCTGATTATAATGCCGCAAACCGTTTAGATAAATCTTGATTCATTCTAAAGTTACGAGGGCTTTTTAAAACTTTATTTTTAGCCCATTTTAACGTTGTGCATTTACAAACTAAGACCATAATCCCAAAATAGTGCTAGATAATGATAAGTATACACTACCAGTAATTGTCCACCTATTTTCACTTGGTTATGACTGATGTATTTTTTTTCGGCCGCCTTCTTGGATCCGCCATTTTGAAATGTGATAAATTATTTTAAATATGAAGGGGGTGTTGTGACCCATCATTTTGAACTACTTTTTTAAGCTAAACTCAATGCCGCAATCCATTTTTTGTTATCAAGTTTTATTTATGAAATATTGAAATTTTTTTGTTAAAAATGTCAATATTTCAAAATCAAAAAATGAAAATGAAAAACGGATTATGGAATTAAGTTCAGCTTAAAAAAGTAGTTCAAAATGATGGGTCACAACACCCCCTTCATATTTAAAATAATTTATCACATTTCAAAATGGCGGATCCAAGATGGCGGCCGAAAAAAATACATCAGTCATAACCAAGTGAAAATAGGTGGACAATTACTGGTAGTGTATACTTATCATTATCTAGCACTATTTTGGGATTATGGTCTTAGTTTGTAAATGCACAATGTTAAAATGGGCTAAAAATAAAGTTTTAAAAAGCCCTCGTAACTTTAGAATTAATCAAGATTTTTTTAAACGGTTTGCGACATTGTAATCAGGGTAAAAATGTAGTTCGAAATAATGGGTCACAACCCCACCTTTACATTTGAAAAAAAAAAATTGCATCCAATATGGCGGATCCAAGATGGCGGCCGGAAATGACCACCTTGTCAAAATGAAGTACTTACTACCCAACAATGTTTGGAAGTGGTCTGGGATTGATATTTGAAAAAATGTAGAAAAAAGTTGGGGGGGGGGGACAATTAAAACTCACCCTGTATATTTGTGCTACTAGGGTAACCACGAGTAGAATATTTAAGGTACGAGCCTTGGCGAGTGCCTTAAAAACTTCTACGAGTGTCGTTAACACTATTTACGCGAGTTGAGTACACTACTTTACCTACGACAGTGTTTTAATTACAAAAAATCACTAATCATAACTTCTAAGAGAGGTTACGGTATGTTTTTGTTTATAACCTCTCATTGTCACTGACAGTGATGCGAAACATTGCACCAAACACTAATTGCAACACTCAACAATTAAATTGGTTTGAACAGCTGATTAGTTGAAGTTCGAATCATTACAATTTTTTTCTTCTCTCTCAATCCTTGAACCTCATTGGCCTGTTACCCGTGTTGTTATGAGTAAAACTATGCTGTTATGACAGTAAACAATGCTGTTATGAGAAACTTTTCAATTCTAAGAACTGAACTGAAACAACTATTTAAAAAAAAACAGAAGTTAGGTTAAAATAATTGTAAATTTAAAATTCCCATGTTAATCTTATGGAGAATATTGTCGAAGGTTGTAGCTTGCTTGTTATTTATGGATATATTTTGATCAAACTTGGCAAATTTATTTATTTTATACTAAGCTATTGATATTTTACTAAAAAAAAACTCTTTATTAGTTTCCTTGTAGCAGCAAACCTAGGTACCTACTCATTAAAAGTACCGGTAATGTTTTTTAAATAAATTTAATTAAAAATATATTCAGAAAAAATGGAAATTCGCTTAGTTGGCAGGTTTGCTGTGGCGGGGGTAGTTTTAAAATCAAAAGCTTACAATAAAAGCTCTTTAACTTAATTAACTGACCTCCAACATCCGGATCCTCAACTATCCTGGAAGGAGAGAAGAGTGAGCGAGGTCTCTCTGGATCGATGTAAGAGATGAGCCCTGAACTTTGTCCTGGATGTACGCACATTGACGCATGGCCTGAAATATCATGTTTTATTTAGTAAAAAAACACTGGTCCTAAAGTTCTACCTTCCCATCATCAAAAGACGTTCACCAAACTTGAATTATCTATCTTATATCCTCATTTATAGGGGTCTAAAATCCTGACATATTCAAAATATAGATATATAATTTTATAAGATATGGTAGTATACTGTTTTTCACCACACTACGATGTTTTTAATAGTTTTACAAACGTTAGTCTAATTGGAGGCTGAAAGCTACGTATTGCTGTCCATTCCAGCTGTCATCGTAATTTGGGGACCGAGCCTGAGTAGTTTTTTGCGAGCCAAGGACCGAAAATCAGCTGTTTGCTTATTTACTAAAACATTGATGTATATTTTTAATACATAAGCTGTATCCATGTGCATTGCAATAGACATGTTTTGTTGTCAGCGCAGCTTAGCAACCATTGTTACTTTTACTGATTCCTATAAATATCTATAAAAAAGGAACTATGTATGTATATATACGTTATGGACTCCGAAACCGCTAGACAGATTGTAATGAAACTTTCAGGAATTATTGAGCATCTTTCAAGGATGGTTTGTGTGAAAAGTTTGGTGCAGTTCCGTCAAAAGGGCTCCGCCCCAGAGGGTTTTAAGTGGACCAAATGTCAGACTTTTTGAACTACAATGTTTACAAATAAATATGACTAGCTAGCTGTTACCTGGCAACTGTTTTTTAGGTTGAATAGAGTCACAACATGCTGTATTAGTTATAATTTGAAATAGTGCCACAATTTTTCCACAGAGTGAGTTTATCTCAGGTAGGTATTCAAATGCCTCAAATAATAGTGTGCAATTTAAGTCGGCGTATAAAAATAAGATGGTTGTTGTAACTTTATATCCCTCCCCCAAAAAAACCCCTTGAAAATTCATGAGCATGAAACTATTTAAACGCTTGACATACAATATAGTGTCCTAATATTTGCATTCAAACCAATTATATACATGCATAGATCATGGTGGAAGAAAAAAACATAGGTGTGCTATTCCCATCATATTCTGACGTCACTCGGATTGAAAACAAAAGATCACCTGATTGTAACTGTCAAAACAAATACATATACTAATTTGACAGTTACAATCAGGTGATCTTTTGTTTTCAATCCGAGTGACGTCAGAATATGACGGGAATAGCACACCTATGTTTTTTCCTTCCACCATGTGCATAGATAGTTTATCTTTTATTTTTATAAAAAAAAATATTCTCATACATAAATAATAAATAAATACACTTTTATTATTTTTAACTAAATGAAATGGATATAGATGATTGAAATTTAGTATCAAAATGAATGCTTTAATAATTATTAAATCATTGTATTTTATAAATCTATGTTACCCTTAATGTATTCATTCTCGTTATCCATGCAAAATTCACGTAATAAAGTAGTCCTGATTACATGCATTTAAACACAGATAAAAATGTATTTTTTAAAACATACTTATTACATTAATTTAGTAAGAGTACACTGTATGCCAATAAAAGTATACTTTACCTGGACCAAAAGAGTTTCCCATTATTTGTTTGGTTAAAAGAAAATTAATAATTTAAATCAATCATATAATAGCAGTCTGATCTTGCATACAACCAACTACCTTACAAAGTGTATAATACTGATGATGATAACGTTATCAAATTGCTTTGCTCATTTATAAATATTTGGTTGACTGCTAAAATTCCTAAAATTATCTTTAAGTAATTATGTTCATATCAAACGATTATGCCATTTCTATATCCTTGATGAGCTTACACAATTATGCAGAAAAAATGTGACCTATTAATTATGTTAACTAATTTGATTTGATCAGAATTTAAAAATTTTATTTTGTAATTTGTCAACACTAAATTTGCTACTGGCAAAAATTACAGAGTTCCTACTTGTCAACATATTAAAATTTATAACAGAATGAAATGCAGTAATAAATATGACACAGCAACTAATCAACAGATAATATATGTTATACTTTCTCTTTCAAATTTGGATTTTTTTTTGCAAGAACTTAACATACAGTATATCAGTTTTTTACTTTTGATTATGGAAATAAAAAAGGTTCTTTAACCCTTGCTGTATCAACGCAGAGATAGTATTAACTAAGCTATCAAGATGTGTTATGAATAAAGGGTACACCTGTTCTTCAAAATTGAATTTTCTTTCCGTTGCGAAGCACGGTACACCGGCTAGTTTTGTATAAAAATGATATATCCAAATAATTTTAAAATGATTATAGATAGATAAATAAATGACAACAACAAAAAATTTTACAAAACTCATTTTCTACTTATACAGTAATAATATTTATATATTAAAAATTAAAAATAAACCTTCAAAATTACAAAAGTCCTCAACCTGGATGAAGTTTTACTTAAGCATTTTTAACGATACAAATTTAAATGAACATTAAAATGTTGATTGGTGAGAAAAAACTCCTACGCATATCTGACGATGGATGAAATCAGTCTATTTTCAGTACTCAAACTCCCCTCCCTTAAAAGCTATTTTGGTCAGTTATGTATGTGTCCTTATAACACTCAGTGTGTATGTTCACATTTTCACCTTATAATAGGCCTAGTTAAACTATTTAGGATGGTTTGTTTGAAAGTGTTTGTTTTTGTATGAAGAACAAAAATTCTCGTTATTTAGTCTGTTGATTGAAATGACAGTGCTTTATTTGAACAGACAATAATCCTTCATGTCAAGCAGGATAAAGTATGTATTTTATCTACAGAACTAACAATTAGAAAATATTCTCCAATTGCTTAAAACTGTCAAAGAAAGAAATGTGGTCATAAGTTTGATTTAAAATATAATATCTTTGGATGTTGTAATTTTTGTTTATCGATCATTCTCAATTTGAAAAATTACTCATTTGTAGACATAGTTTACTTGGTAACAGCTATGGATGACTGGCAGTTGAAGTTTGACAGGATAAACGAAAGAGGAAAACATTTATTGGAAACTGGGCTTTGGAGTGACTGTCAGTTTCTAGTGGGTGATGGGCAACAGAAAAAGGTAAGAATAAGTTTAACTATTCTGATCTGAGTTACTCATGTAGGATTAACTTAAATACTTCTAATTCTTGGACAGGCTTGGATAAGATAAGATAAAAAAATACACACTTAGGAGGCGTCCCCATCTTAAATGGTAATAATAATAATGCTATAATAGCTATCATACAGGGTTAGGCAAAAGTCTGGAACCCCCCAGTTAATCCTTAATCCCTTAATCCCCAAAATAATATTTAACACGTTGCAATAGGAAAACCAAACTTGGCACATATTTACAACATAAGAAATTGCAATTTTTCATCAAAGTTACAACTTTGCCCCAGCAACCAAAATGGGGTATTTTGGGGGCAGCTCTAGTTAGCTTTAAAAATTTAATATTTAATACTGACAAAAAGGTAAACTCTTTTTTTTTATAAAGGTATGCTGAGTTTAGTTTTCCTGCTATAACCTGTTAAAAAGTTAATAGGGGATATTTCAAAATATGACTACCATTTTGATTAGGGGCGCGATATTGACCTCTAGTTTGTGCCATTTAATTTTTCTTGAGAAACTCTTTAAAATCACATGATAGGTGTTTACATTTGAAAATTTGGAGCTGCCCCCAAAATACCCCATTTTTGGGGCCGAGTACAAGTTCTAACTTTAATGAAAAAGTGCATTTTTTATGTTGTAAACATGTGCTGAGTTTGGTTTTCCCACTGCTACACATTATAAAGTTAACTGAGGGTGTCCAGACTTTGTCTTGCTTGCTCATCTTAAATTAAAATGGCTGCCATTTTGATTAGAGGTGCAATATTGACCTCTGGTTTGCGCCATTCAATTTCCCTTTATAACCCCTTTAAAATGAGGGGTCACATGATAGGTGTTTACATTTGAAAATTTGGGGCTGCCCCCAAAATACCTCATTTTGGGGTAAAATGAGGTATTTTGGGGGCTGGGGCAAAGTTGTAACTTAAGCGAAAAGGTGCAATTTCTTATGTTGTATATATGTGCCGAGTTTGGTCTTCAACGCGTTAAAAAGTTAACTGGGGAGTTCCAGACTTTTGCCTAACCCTGTATACCACCAAACAAAAGAACTTCATCTCATCATGCTGCTAAAATCTCAAGAAACAATAAATTACTACCTTTTTTTATTGTGAACACCTTTATTCTTCTCCTATTAACCCTTCGATTGTAGAAGCCCCAGAGATTATGCATTGGTTTAGCTAGGACTATGCCTATTTTTATTCATGATTGCATGCAGAAATGGAATTTGTCTTATGATTTCTTTCAATTGAAAACACTTTAAGAAGAGATTCAAAAACTTGCCTAGTTTGCTGGCGTTGGAGAGTATTCAGCACCGAAGATTTTTAAATACACAGAATATTCTTAACACATAATCTATTACGATAAATTAAATACCTAAACAAAACAAAAAAATATAAGTTGTATCATCTTCACATTTGAACCTTCGGACAACTTACTTAGCTTATACTATAATGTTTCTGCTTACCTATATTATACCATAGATCAAACATGTACCCTTAGTAGATTTCTCATCCTTATGGAGCAGATGAAGCTAATTTTATTGTTAGTTCTGTCCGGTGCACTATAGAGGTTGTGTTTTGTTTACAATTTGTTTCTTGTTATTTCAGCCTTTTAAAACCTCGTTTAACCAAATAAAACTATATAATCATAACCAATAACTCATACCCAAGCTATATAACCACAGTAACCACAGCTTACACATAACAGTAATGCACATAACATGAAATTAATCCTAAAATAATAGAAACAAAATTTTGTCGACACTCGACACTAACGCTCAGTGTCATCGGACATGAACTAGCCATGAAAAACGATTTACAATGGGATGAGAAGTCTACTTGTAATTGGTCAGTCTATGATTATACCTTAGATTACTAGAAGGTTGTGGTTTATATATAGCAAGAAATTGTTAATTTCCAGAAATTTTCAACGCATAAAATGATTCTGTCGATGTCAAGTCCAGTTTTTGAAGCGATGTTCTACGGAGGATTAGCTGAGGGAAATTGTCCCATAGAAATACCTGATGTTCAACCTGAGGCCTTCCACGCAATGTTGGAGTAAGTGACGGTTTTTGTGTTGCAGTTGCATGGCCGCTTTTACGAATGGGCCCTTTACATAGGGGCGCAAGAGGTTTTACAAATAATGATGGGTGACAAATTTCACACTTTATTCTATAGATAGTTTCGTTCCACCAATACAATACTGTAATTGTAAACTCCATTTTTTGATATCTATATATAAAGCCCAAAGTACCCATGAACGAGATCATTGTTGTAGCAGTATTGGTAGGCCATACTGAGTGACACATAGGATTTTACTTCAAGATTTTCAGTTAGTGGTTCATTAAACACTAAGGTTGTGTCATCAGCATACATAAGAGTAAGGCAGGCGTCTCCTATTTGTTGCGGCAAATCGTTGGTAAAAAGAATAAATAGTACCGGACCCATAACAGACCCTTGGGGAACTCCTCGATTTATTGGTTGAAAACTTGATCTGGCTTTTCTTATTTGGCTGTTATATCTCTGTGCCTTAGTTCTACAAACTGACTCCTGCCTGTGAGGTAGCTTTGAAACTATTCTCTTACTATCGCTGATACCCCAAGGAAATTCAGCTTTTTAATGATTAGCTGGTGGTCAAGGCAGTCAAATGCCTTACTGAAATCAAGAAAGATTCCTGTTGTTAGATTTCCTTCATCTAGGCTGTCAATCAGGGACTCGACCATCTGAATTATTGCTGTTGTTGTGGATTTCCCTTTTGTAAATCCATGTTGCAGGTTGTTCAACAGGTTGTGATTTGTGCAGTGGTCTAAAAGTATTTTTAAAACAACTTTTCCGTATATTTTGGAGAAGGTGGAAACGAGGGAAATTGGTCTGTAGTTGCTTGCTTCTAATGTGCTACCTTTTTTGAATTTTTGATATACTTTGGTTATTTTAAGTAGTGAAGGAAAGATACCTTGTTTTAGGGACTTATTTATCAAATCAGCCAAGGGTAGTGCTAGTTCATTGCAGTAATGCTTAAGTATACTACTTAAGTATATTTTATATTAAAACTAATCTAGTGAGTATAATGCTCTCTCAACTAGGCGTTCTTTAAATTTTCTCTTAAATTTGGAAAACTCTTGATTTGATTCTATTATGGGAGAAATGTTGTTTAAAAATTTAGATCCTATATAATTTGGCTTTTTCTCAAACATTTTTAATCGGTGACTTTGCAACCTTATTTTTTTCCTTGTATTATAATGGTGGATCAACTGACCAGTCTCAAATTGCTCTTGATTTTGTTTAGAGTAAACAAAAGTTTCATATACACAAAGACTAAATACCGTCGTAATTCTTAATTCTTTAAAATTTTCTTTAACATGGTCAGTTTGTTCCATATTTAGCATTATTCTGATTGATTTATTTTGTAGTTTTAATATCTTGTGGTGAAAAATCATTTCATAAAACCAATAAGCCTTTCCATGAAGTTAAAAAAACCTAAAATAATTATAAAAATACTTACACCCTGCTTTACGCTGTTAGAAAGAGAAAATTTTTGAAAGTTTTATTTACACTGATTACAAAGGCTCAATGTGTCCCCCTGTGCTGCATGGCAAACTTCCAAGTGATAGCCAAATTCTCACACACATGGACAATCTGTTTGTTTTGTTTTACTCACACTTCCAATTTCTGTATTATCTTAATACAGTAACTACAAACTCTGTCACGCAGAGAGTCTTATGTTTGGTAGCCATCTTACTAACAACTGATGGTAAAACATATTGGGTGCCCATTGTTGCGATAACCATTTTGTCTGTTTACGGAACTATGGTCAACAAAATTTTGAAATTTCCTCTCTTTAATGGTGTAAAGTTTATGTATGCCCTATTTATACTTTTTGAGATACAAAGTCATGAAGATCGGTCCATATTTTTTAATAGCCCTGTACATCTATTACATTTGTTTCATTCCAGGTATATCTACGCTGATGAAATCAATCTCACAACAATTGAGCAGGCTTGTGAAATTTGTTATGCTGCCAAAAAGTACATGTTGCCATTCCTTGTCAACCAGTGTATGAGCTTTATCTGGAAAGACGTTAACTACCCTATGGCTTTTCGAGCTTACGAGTTTGCTAAACTGTTTGACGAACCAGACTTGATGCAACGTTGTTTGGAGGTAGGTATACGTATACTGTATATGACTTTATAAGTAATCAAGTTATAATAAGTAATAAGTGTAATCTCAGTCGTTATATTGTATCCACAAGAAGTCAGCATCCTTAAGCCCCCCACACACTACCAGACCAGACCGTCTGGCTGCAACCAGGCCGTCTTAAGCGGCTCTACGCACTCCCAGACCAGACATTCCAACATTGGAAATTGAGACGCCGTGGTTAGAACTCCAACAAATGGATAAAGACTGTCGCGACGGTCTGCCGTCTGACAGACAGCCCTACACACTCACAGACCAGACAAAAATAGTGGTGGGGGGACCTCAGACCGTCTCTGGTCTGGGGGTTCAACCATCAGACATGCAGTCTGGTACAGAAAATCGGTCTGCAGACAGCCCCACACACAATAAGACAAGTGCCAGACGCCAGACCAAACGGTCTGGTCTGGTAGTGTGTGGCGGGCTTTAGAAATCTAAGCTCCTATCTCCATTAGGGTTAGTTCAAGAAAATATATTCTGTTCTTGAAAAAGACCAGATGGAAGTGGCCCGGGAAGAGGTTACATTAAAATGCAACTGGGTATATTTTTATCCAAATATGAATGAAGCATGAGTGTAGAATCTTTGACTATTAATACGTCAATGGTAGAATGGAGTGAAATGTATGTAACTTTGTCTCCCAAAGACCAGCAGCTGTTTTTTTTTTCAAGCCCAATGATCAAGGACACCTGCATGGGTCCAGTTTCAAACAATCACAAAGCTACAGCCTTTTCTATAAGGATTGATTCAGCAAGTCTATTAATTGAATAATTGCATAAATTGCTGTTTAACAATTTGGATATTTCAGATTATATCTCTTAATACAACCCTGGTTTTGAGCGATAGAAATTTTGAAGAGGTAGAACTAGGAACGCTCCTGGCAATATTGGACTGTGATAAGCTAAACATAAGCTCTGAGCTGGAACTGTTGTTGGCTGTTTACAAATGGGCTGTCCAAGAATGCAAACGTCAAGGTATTATACAATTATTTAAACATAGACTTTAGGATCAAATTTTGTGACAAGTCTTGTATAATTTGTTAGTCTTGAGTGGGTCTTCAAAATGATTAGATTTTTTCCTGTTTCTCTGATTGTCAATTCAGGTGTTTCGAAAGAAGCATTTGTTATATAAATGATCCATTTAAAAAAGACAAGAGAATAAATTCCTATAGTCTGTGCTATTAGACACGGACTTCTTAGCTAATATAGTTGGTCATTGATGGTTAGATCATTCAACATATCTATCTAACGATTGTTCCAATATTTTCCAAGTACATCAGTATTAAAAATCCTCTAAACAAAAGTCAGTACTTCATAACCCAGTTCATTTTTCATATGTTTTGTTAGTTTTTTCCTGAACTGACAATTAGTACTACAAAGTCTAACTAGAGTACTGAGAAAACAATTCAGATAGCTATGCACCGTAATAGGCTACATTCAAAATTTTAACTAAATCTTGTAAAACCACAGTTAACAGTTTGCTACTTTGACATTTCAGTCAAATTATTTAGCCAATACCACTCTTTAAATAATTGATCTCACTCTTTAAATAATTTTGATAATACAGAAAAAATAAAAAAAAAATACTGTTTTTGTAACTGGAGATTTTAACATAGACATTTTAACGAATGACACATTCACAAGTAGATTTAAAGAAATTGTCGAATGTAATGGTTTTTGTTTTCAATTTGAGGAGCCAACTAGAATAACAAATACTTCATTTACTTGTTTGGATAATTTTATCACACCCAAAACGTTTAGTTGCCATTACAGGTTAAACACTGAGTTAGGTCTTTCTGATCACAATGCTATATTTATAAACCTTCCTAAGCTAGCCAAGTGTAAAATCATCAAGAATACTTCTAGTTCTTTTAAGAAAAGAATCATCTCTGATAGAAATACAGATGAATTTTGCAAATATCTACAGAGCACTAATAATAATTTTGTATTTAACCCCTTAAACCCCAATGAAAATTACAATAGTTTTTTGAGAAATTTTTTATTATCTTTCAATCATATATTTCCTGTTAAATCACTAAAAAAGAATGCTAAAACTAATAAATCTACTCTGAATTGGGTGACCCAAGGTATAAGAATTTCCAGTAAGAGGAAACGAGAATTGCACTTGGAAGCCAAGTTTAGTAGAAACCAAGAGTTTTTATCCTATGTAAAGCAATACAAAAAAATCTATATCTATACTTCTATACTATTATATAAAAATCTAATGGTGTCTGTATGTGTATTACTAATAGGTGCAAAAACTACTGAACCAACTGGGCTTAAATTTTACAAAAATATAGCTACTATACCAAGGACCATTATAGGACTATTCACATTTCGATACTGACCGTAGGCTTTGCCCCTTTGGCTTTAAAAGTTCTGAGATGAACATTTTAAAAGTAAATATTGATTGGTCTCCATGGCTGTAATGAGAACACTAACAATGTTTGTTTACATTTACTTTGACATATAAACAAGAAGAACTGCTAAACTGCATATTTCACAATTTCAGACAGCTGATACAAAGAAATTAAATATAATATTTTCCATAAATATGAGGTAGGTTTATTTTAATCTAACCTTTTATCATGGATTATTTATTCTAAAACTATGACAATGATTATAGAAAAAAAAAGATTTTATAACCGTTTTTGGATTTTTTAAAGCGTCTTAAGTTAATAATCTTAAGTGAAAATAATGTTATTGATATGTTTTCATGGAAACAGTATGAAAATTACAATGTATAGATGTTTTGTATGCATTTGGAGGCTACTTTAAATAAATTCTAACTGCTTCACATGTGTTAAATTAACTTAACATAGCTTTCACATCACATTGTTTTTTATATGTATATTTATTTAGGTAAATTAAGTTATTGTGTTTTAAATTAAACTAAAGAATATCATCAATAACTAAATTGTCGTTGATTTTTGTTTTCTAAAATCTGTTATATATGTGTAACTATATTTAATTATCAAATTGTAATACAAAATACTCTTATTTTATCCTAACAAAGCTTTCAGTTCACATTTACTTTATTTGATACATTTATTATTTGTGTTTTGCCACACCACTGATTAAATTAAACCAAGGAAAATATCATAAAACTAAGCAGTACACAGTGTTCTTTTGTTTCTAAAATCAATGAAATATCTGTTACTATGTTTTCTTAATGGTAAGTGTGAAAATGTAAAATCAATGGATGATGGAACTGATTAAAAGAACTGGTTTGTATATTAAGTTGTTTGTTGATATTTTTGTTTAGTAGAATCAGAGATGCAATGAAACATATACTGTATTTGCTATTACATTTTTTAGTCCTTGATAATCATATTAGTTTTGTCTGCTGTATTAATGCTACATTATTTGTTTGAAATTTTTAAGTACCTATAGATAGTTTCTTTAATATTTCAAAAGACTGTATGTATTGGTAAGGCACAGCAATATTTCTAAAGTTTATAACAGCTGACTTAGTTTTGCTATTGATTTATTGTGAGTGAAAAACTGAAGATGAAAGGATTTGTGATTTAATATAAAGAAGAGTTTAATATAAAGATATTTAAATTTAATAATTAGTATTTTTGCAACTTCAAAATTGAAATTGAAAATGTCAATAATAAATTAAAACATGTGTAATTAAGGGAGATGAAGGTAAATCTGGTAAATCATGTATGTCAAGGTTTTACTCGAAGATTTGGTCAGTTTTTCTCATATCAGCCTACACAAGATTTAAAATTAATCAAAATCAAAATGGTGGTATCCACTACTTACCAGATTTAAAGGTCATAACTAAAACGTTTCTATTAAGGCCATAAAAGTAGAATTTTGTTTCTAAAAGCGTTGGCGGATGTGTAACTATTGTATGCAAGAGATAAAGATTAAAATGTTTCTATTTTGTGTCCTCTCCCCGTTGCAAAGCACGGGTACAACAGCTAGTATTTAATAAAGTTGTAAAAAACTCAAAAATTCTCTCAAATAATAACCTAATTAGAAAATCTGAAAACAAGTCTAAGGCAGCTTGGCAAATTGTTAACAATGGACTGGGTTTAAACCGTACTCAAAGATACAAAATTATTTTAAAAGATGATACAAACCAAACCACTGTTGATAATCCTGATGATGTAGCTAAGCTTTTTAACAGTTTTTTCTGTAATACAGTTATTAATCTGAATGTAAAAAAGGCTTCTGTCAATGGTGTTCATTCGTCTGTAAAATCATACTGCAGTGATGGTGGGGTTACATTGTGCAATCTTAGCCCCACTAATAAAGATGAAATAAAAAAGATTATCCTTTCTCTAAAGAACAAAATTTCGGTAGGCTGGGACGAAATCCCAATTAAATTGATCAAATCTGCTGCTGACATTATCTCCGAACCCTTATCTCTTATTATAAATCAGTGTTTAAAGAATGGTATTTTTCCGGATCAACTCAAGTACTCCCAAATTTCTCCCGTTTTTAAGAAAGGTTCAAAATCAGATATTAATAACTACCGTCCAGTATCAGTATTAAGTAATTTTTCTAAAATATTTGAAAAAGTAATAAGTTATAGACTAGTTAATTATTTTGAAAGTAATAATTTATTTTACAATAAACAATTTGGTTTCCGAAAAAACTTAAGCACAGTTTCTGCTCTTACTCAGTTTGTTAATGAGATTGCAGAGGCCTTGGACAGGTCTCAGGCCACAGCAGGTGTTTTCTGTGACCTGTCTAAGGCTTTTGATTGTGTGGATCACTCACTCCTGTTACTAAAACTTATTGATTATGGGATTGGGGGAAGTTGCTTTTCTTTAATACAATCTTACCTTTCTGAAAGAAAACAAAGAACTTTAATTTTAGAAGATAACAACAAACATTATTCACCATGGGAAATTATATCCACAGGTGTTCCCCAAGGCTCAGTATTGGGCCCACTTTTTTTTCTTATTTACATTAATGATCTTCCAAAAGCTATTAATAAAGAACTAATTCTTTTTGCCGATGACACTACTGCTTTGATCAAAAATAATAATACAACTGAAATGTTTTCTTCTCTGCAAAGTGTGGTTAAGGACATGGAGCAATGGTTTTTAGAAAATGGGTTAAAACTTAATGTTGAAAAAACAAATATTATTAAATTTTCTACTAGACACAAAAATATGGAAAACTGTTCCTTTAATTTAGTTGAAGCTCATAAATTCTTAGGGGTTTACGTAGATGACGCAGTTAAATGGGATTCACATTTGAATTATTTACGTAACAAAATTAGGTCGATATCATCTTTATTCATACATTTAAGGGACTGTGTTTCTATTGAGACACTTAAAGTAGTTTATCATGCTTATGTGGAGTCAGTGTTAAGATATGGCATAATTTTATGGGGTCAAGCTACTGGTATTAAAACTTTATTCAGGTTACAAAAACGTATTATTCGTATTATTACCAACTCTCATCCACGCAGTTCTTGTAAGAAACATTTTCAAAATTTAAGAATTCATACATTAACGGGGTTGTATATACTAGAATTATTAAATTACATACATTCAGTTAAAAACGAGCTACCAGAAACAATACATTTTAATCACAGGTATGAAACCCGAAATGAAAATATATTTAGACTCCCCAGACACCGTTTGACCCTATATGAAAAATCTCCATTGTACGCTGGGCTGAGATTGTACAATGTGCTTCCGCCATGCTATAAGTCACTAAGCAAAACCAAATTTAAAGATACAATAGATAATTTTCTTATTGACAAGGCTTTTTACTTAATTGAAGATTTTTACAGAACTACAATTTAGAATTTTTTTTTTTTAAGTGTTTAGTTTTAAGTTAAAAGTTTTAATTTTAAATATTTTATGTATGGATTTAATTTTGACAATGCACCTATTCTAAATGTTAAGACATGTATGGAATGTTTTGTGCAAATAAAGTCTATGTCTATGTCTATGTCTCCTCAGTCCAAAAGCAAGGGAAAACATTGTTGTCCTTTTACATACTACACAGCTAATTTAATCCAACAGGACTGGAAAGAAAACAAGAAAATCTGCGGAGTGTTTTGGGTCCGGCACTCAGTAAGATCCGGTTCCTGACGCTCTCTCCGGCTGAGTTTGCATCAAGTCCTGTGATCCCAGAACTGCTTCCGCAAGATGAAGCTTTTGCTCTTCTGATGAAGATCTCTTCACCCTCCACCGTAGTCACGATGCCCGACGGATTCTCAGTTTCAACCATCGCCAGAGCTAACTCCACACAACCGACGCCTTTACCGGAACACGTCATCTTCTGTTGTGAGAGAACTATTGTGCAGCAAATTCCCATCAAGAACTACAGCAAGATGGATAGCTACGTAACGTTCACTGTCAGCAAGGATATAACCATGCATGGAATTATGGTAGGTACAGAAATTATAATTAAATCTTTTTCGTAATAAGTTACTGCACCATCTTGTTAATTTATATAAATTAAAGTTCCATACCCCGGCCTTGTCTTTTTGTCGACTTGTTGTTTGTAAGCCCAACCAAAGTTAACTTCAAAATAAATTTTATGTATGAAGACCTCCAGGTTAGATGGTAAGTCTATGATGATTGTATGGCTGAGAAATATTTCAAAGATGGTGAAAGTTATATGCCGTACCTAATTATTGAAATCCATATATAGCACTAAGCAAATAGTTTGAGCACTCAAGTGGTCCCATCCTCAGCGTGTACCTGGAAATACATTTATCTTAGTTCTCTCCTACTAAAGACCATCATTGTTTATCATTACTTGGTGAAAATAATCCATGTAGCCTACAGTACAACACAATATAAGAGGGGATTAAAGAATTATTTAGCAGATACAGTTTATCTAAACTATTAAGAGTGTACTGTAACACAATAAAGTTTTACTGTTAAAAAAATTTAGATTTAACTTTTATTTTATGGAATCCTGGTTGTCTCCCGAAGACAAAAATTTGACAAACTATTTTGACTGTAGAAACCACGGTTCTTCTATTTGAAAATTATTTTGTTACCTAACATTTTTGTTAGAGAGATACTTGTGACCGTTTACATCCCCATCAATTTAATGAAAATCTGGAAAAAAACTTACTGCTTTTGCACAAACAAACCAAAACTATTTGTGTATGTAACTATTTACACTTTTCCAACACATCTTGTGTTTAAATCTACACAACGTTTCTGGAAGTGGATTAACTCCTCCCATTTTCAAAGTGAGATTACTCTACATTAATCTTAATTTTTCACCCATTTAAAGAGTGTGTTATTGTTATTATTTTTTTTTCCTCAAAAGGTGGCCAGCCAAAAAAACTACTTATTCAAAACAACTACATATAATAGCTACATTTCAGAACAACACTATAATGAATTTAAAACAATATTGTGTATCAATGTAGACAGCAAGATAACTTTCAACAAACTTTCAAAACGTCACGAGGCGGTTACACAACTAACTTCTAACAGTGCCAGGATAAAGATTTCAGGTCATGCCAAATTATTACCTTAGGAAGTTCATAAATGATAATTTTCAGGTGCCTTCACAACTTAGATTGGAGCCAGATGATGAAAAAGCAGCTATCCCACCTCAACTAGATGATGTAACAGATCATCCGGCTGGCACAACTTACACGGAAAGTGTCAACGTCTTCCTCCAAGATGTAAAGGGACGACAAATCTCTTGCGCGCTCTTCAACAAGAGAGTCGGCTACAAACAGCTGATTGACGTCAAACTGAATGAGCCTGCTCGCCTGTACGCCAACACTGTGTACAGAATAGTCGTGGAGTTGAACAAACGAGGATGGTATCCGATGGGAACTTACTCTAAACACACAAACGTCTGCGCTGATGTCCTCTTTACATTTTGTGTAGGAGATCCATCAGAGTCTTTCAGAGATTGTATTATTCGGTCAATCATATTTTCCAAGCCTACCAGCAGCCGGTATAGCCGTAGCTTTGACGTGTTTCATCTTCAATCTCCAAATATTGACTGATGGAGTACCAGGTTGGGTTCAGTAATAACTATTAATATACCACGGCTAAATGAGATCATTTACAAAATATATACAATAATTTAAGATATATAAGAGATAATGTACAATATTATTCAATTAGCCTCTTGTCATTGCGCTGTGTGTGAAGTGCGTAACTGAACCGCACACCAGCTTATGCACCAGTCACTGTTCAGTGTTCATAGCATCAAAGTCTGGACCGTTAAAATCCAAATAGAATCTGAACAAGTGGGAGTGTACTGTATAGGTACAGTAACTTAAAACTATAATTCATCCACAGCCTATTCTACTATGATATTGGTTATTTGGGATTGTTAGACTCAGTAGAATCCCAAAGTCAAGGGTTCTAACTACTCTCAAGTTTTTAACAAACCAATAAATCAATAAAAAAATTCTCAACATTTTCTTACTACCAAAACAGGAAAATAAAGGTACAGATTTTAAGGTAAAGGGAAACCAAAAAACCAACTACACTAAAAAAAATAAAACATTTTATTCTTGTGTTTTAAAAATCGCAAAGCCTGTGAATTTTGACATCATTAAATACTTTTGATTTATTTGCATGCAAATATTCAGAAATATCTTTTGTCAGAGCAATACAGTTTCATCTACTTCAATTTTTAACTACCTTTGGCCATCTTGGTCTTATTTACAAGAAATAAATTTGAAAGAGACCCAGTTTGCAAATAAAAAAAAATGACTCAGCTTAAAAAATGTACCCCATAATTGAACTTTATTGTTGATTCTTAAAGTAAATATTTGTTTTTAAGAATGTTTGTCTTTTTGTTTCCTTAATTAGCCCCCATTACTACATTTCAGGTATGGTAGTGCATTTATTTTGAGTTTCTCCAACTCTGCCAAGAAAAGAAAAATATTGCACAGGTACATGTAAAATACCTTTTTTAAGTTCATTGGTAAGTCTTTCCTACAATAAACTTTAAGGCTAATCTTTAATTTATACATATTTTGAAAAGAATGGATTTTCATTTTCAGTGTATTAATCTCCATTACACAATGACACAAAAGCTCACATGAAGGTAAAAATGAGCAAAAAACAATAAATAATAAATTTTACTACCTATTACTTCAAAATTATTGTTGCACAAACTCTTAATACAATGCAGTCTTATAATATTATACAAATAATTTAACTGTATACAAATGAAGTTAAATTATTGTTAAGTAGCACCGCACGTCCAGATGATTTATAGAGCTGTCAGCTCATCGTAAACTATTACCGCCTCATTATCGACCAGTGAGTCGGTGTCTTTGTGCAGAAACTGACTTCTAGATTTGCTTAAAGCTATTATTGCCGCTTCATCGTTACGCATCCGGTTTTTCCGCTTCTTACTGAAGTTAACCTGTAAAAGTAAAATTATGATAGATATAAAATAGTTTTTCATCAAATCTCAAGAGACCATACCATCTAATCATACCATCTTCCAAACTCAATCATTCCTTGGTTGAACATTATGGCCCAGTAAAATATTTTAACTTTTGTGTGAGTGTAAAGCATTTTGTGTTTTCTGTGCCGGAGAGGACTTTTTCCATGCAGGTAAGCCTGCTGTTCTAATAAAAATCCAACAGACCTTAATACATTTTTAAGAAAAATTATCATGTTTCTTTTGCTCATTATCCTTAGAACGTTTTATAACAATGTGATAAAATTTCATACAAGTATGATAATCGATCACAATCATCTTCAATGATCACACAATAGTTATTTGTGCAACTAGTGAGCAATCGACTCACTCGAGAGAAATACTTACTCACGAGCCGTAGGCGAGTGAGGAATGGTTTCTCGAGTGAGGCAATTGCATTTTGCACTCGAGTTGCACATTACATTTTTCCTACAGTTACCACAAAACAAATAAATTGGTAAAGAAACGTAACATATTTTTACACGGAAGTTAACTTTTAATGTTACATTTAATGATACAACAGTATAACAGCTGACCAGCTGATTTACAGCCAGTGCTGCCAACATAATTCACGCGCATACGATCTTGTCTGCATGTTACGCGCTCACTATTTCGTGTCTTCACGTTGCAAATCTGGAGTGAGTGAGACAAAGTAATTAGAGTGAGACAATGTTAACATTGTCTCACTGATGAGCGAATTGGCCACTTTGCTTTCCCAAATCAGTGAGAGAAAATGTACATTGTTAGGTATCTGTAGGAAAAATAATAGAATCACTAGGTTAAAGTTTATTTCATTCCTATATCATTCGATCTTACAGCGTTATTGGTTGTAATAGAAACTAAATTCAACAGTGTTTGATCACTTAACAAAATTACATTAACTCAGTCTAACCTTAGCGTAAAGCTCAGACAGATCGTCGGCCGTAGAGACTGGCCTCGGTCTCGATCGAACACACGCAGGAAGACTTTGTGTTTTCAACATCACTCCACCAACACTGGGGTACAGGTTTCTAGAACCGTACTCGTCCAGAACTGAAAACACAAAAAACAATAAATTCTTGAAGGACATGAAAAAGTTGTAAGAGGTTATTTTTTCAAAGTTTAATATTAGATTGATTTCAGAGTCGGAGCAAGTATTACCATTTGTAGGTGGATCAGACAAATGAGGGCTTTTTGCACTCCCCGGTTTAAGTCTCAGAGCCTGATAAACTTTAGTTGCTTGATGAACTACAGCATCCTGTTTATGAGCTCTTCCTGAGGCAAGTGTTTGCCGCTTGCCTTAATTTCAAGAATGCTTTTCCTGATCTCATTAAGATTTGCACAGTAATGAAGTAAACGGTCTGCAGTCTCCTCAGACTGACCACACTTTTCTGCTTGCTATTTCTCCATTGTGGATCCTGATGTTGGTGCCCAAGATTGTTCCTATGATCTGTCTGAGTTGCCTCCTGTTTAGTCGTAGAGTAATAGAGGCAGCTGTCTGAGACGGGGAAATGAGGTAAAGGTAAGCTTACTAAACCCTAAGATGCTTAAACCTTACCCATCTCCTCCTGAGCCCATAATTTGAATATATATATTTTTTTTGTCCTAGGACGCTAGGCATGAGATCGGAATTGTTTTTCACATTACTTCAGGCTAGACCTAGGGGTTACGGCATTATCACTTGGATAAAATCCATTGGTGATTTGGCGGGATTTAAACCCGGGACCCCAGGAACCAGAGTCCCGCGCTCTAACCACTAGACCAGCTCGCTCCCCATAATTTGAATATTAGATTTTCAAAAATTATAAAACTAGTACGAGTAGAGTAATTAACTTAAATACAACAATAAACAATACAACAATTAACAAATAAAAACTCACTACTGCTGGAGGCGTACTGAACGTGACAGCCAGGGCTGAACTCTGATATGTGGGGTAGAGGGAGAGGAATGGAAGAGGTCCCTGAGTCGTGGGGGGGACACACCACTCGGGCGGGGGAGCTCTTCCGTCTAGCAGGCGGGGGAGCGGGGGTAGGCACACTGAGCGAGCGAGGCAATGGCACACTGCATCTAGCTCCGCCCATCAACTGAGAGTTGTAGAACCAATGAGGCCTCACTAGTCGACTGTTGTAACCCCACTCTCCACACTTGGGCTCTACAAACACTGCAGAGTGGCTGAAAAACAAGACCATCATTAGTGTTGATGTGGTGAGTTTAATGAGTATTTTGAATATGACACCTGCAAGGTGAGATTAGTTCCAGAAGTATGAAGGCAAGATATATCTCAACGGCGAGGATGCCAATCAATGAAACTATGTACTGGAGACGTCATGTTGAGGCTAATGCCCCGATCGACGTCGGCACTGAAATCCAATCGTGTAAACGCGTGCTCATGGTCACGATTTGGCCTGCAACCGGGTAGGGAGGTCGGGAGGGATTTCCATCGGATTTAGGGAGGAAGGGTCGAGATAGCGCACTTCCTCTGGGAACAGATGTGAATCTGAAGCTTTACACCAGGCAAATCTCTCATTCCAACCTTGACATGACTGTTTGTGTTGCCTTAAGAGTTTTATGTGTTTTTGAGATGACGGAATCTACTCCACAGAAGGAAAAAGACGTTTATGACGGATTTATAGAAGTGTACAAATCTTACAAACTGTTGTGGGACACTTCTCAAGCTTTGTATTTACAATTGAAAAACCTTAAAAAAACAACTTTTTAAAATCGAATGATGACGTTCTCCAACGAAAGAAAGCAACGCACTGAGCTCAGATCGGGCACAGAGAACGGGTCATGTAAATACAAGGCTCTGTCGACCAGGTGACATGGCGGTCGGGACCAGGAACGGGAACAGACGGTCGGCTTTAGTATAACCTGGGGTTACAATAGCTTCTAAAGTAATTAAAAATTCAATTAAGACACCAAAATCATGGTGTTGATTTTTTCTTAGTATAACCCAGAATGCCAACCGCATGGTAAAAAGCGTTAAGTACTTTGAGAGAGCTTTGCCTGTCAATTCATAGGCAGCGCCACCAGCGTTGCTATGCTGAGTGCATATCAACGCTGGTGGCGCTGCCTACGAACTGACAGGCAAAGCTCTCTCAAAGTACTTAACGCTTTTTACCATGCGGTTGGCATTCTGGGTTATAGTAGTATGTTTTCTGTGCCCTCACTTGGTTCTGTAGGTGGACCAAAACCCAGTGGCAGAAGGCAGCTCTCCGCAGCTAACAAGTGAAATTTGAAGTTTAGGTGTGACCAATCTGCCGAACCAACCCCGCATGTGACGTTTAGCCGGAACGGCACAAAAGGTCCTCCCACTCACTAAACCCCCATACCTTCCCATGGAACTCATGCAGAGGGTCATAGTGGAAAGGTGGTGTAACCAGGAAGGTCTGAGGGTCAATCCAATGAAGACCGTAATGGTACCATTTACAAAGAAAAGAAATGTTGATATCGCTAGAGATCCAGGTTAAGAGGGAGTACCTAGTAATAAGACTGGACGACAAGCTCATCTGGAACAGCCATTTGGCACATGTAACGCAACGCTCTCAGACCACACTTATGATGATGAGACAGGCTGTTGGGAAGACCTGGGGTCTAAGGCCACAAATGACTAACTGGCTATATACTAGGGTTGCAAGACCGATGATGGTGTATGGCTCTAAGGCTTAAAGCTACCGCTGTAAAGAGACTACAAAAGATCCTGAGAGTGGCATGCCTTAGCATCACAGGAGCCATGAGAGGCATTCCAACTGCAGCCCTGGAAGTAGTGCTAAACCTACCACCCCTCGACATTATTGTGAAAGAGGAGGCAAGGATGGCAGCCTACAGAATGGTTTACAGTGGCAACTGGAAGTATAATGCCTCCAGTGAACATTCAAGAATTTTGGACAAGGTGTAGACAAGGTGTCAACTTGGAAATGTTACCAGACAGGACGGTGAAGATCACATATCTAGAAAAGCCATACAATGTCAACATTGTTGACAGGGCTGCCTGGGATAAAGGTAAACCTGAATACATGAAAAGGGGGATCACTTGGTATACGGATGGCTCGAAAAAGCCAACGGGCACTGGGGCGGGAATATATGGAGTCAGACCCAAGGTGCAGTTTTGCATAAGCCAGGGGAAACTGGCCACTCTATTCCAGGCATAAGTTGTTTCCCTGTCCGAGTGTGCAAGAGAGTGTTTGAAGCGTGGTCTGACAGGCCACACCATATACATGAACTCGGACAGCAAAGCAGCACTAATGGCACATGATAGTTTTGACCTTACCTTAAGGCAGTATGGGACTGTCATCAGGCCATGAAAGCCCAGGGAGAGAATAAGGTTATCCTTAGTTGGGTTCCAGGACACAAATGTATTGCTGGCAATGAGGAAGCTGACAAGTGGGCAAATAAAGGAGATGAAAGCCCGCTCATGGGTCCAGAGCCGACATGTGGTATTGCTTACAACACAGCACGGAGAGCTGTTCGCCAGTGGATGGGCATAGAACGTTGAAGGAGCTGAGAAAGAACAGAAGGCAACGTACAGTCGAAGAGAATGCAACAGACACCTACCGGTGCGATAGCGGTAGATGCCCTTGGGCTGAAGAGGAAGACCCTGCGAAAGGTGGTTGGCTTCATCAGCGGCCATTGGGTATTCCGTGGACATCTAAACAAGATGGGAATTCAAGTTGAAAGCCTCTTATGTAGGAAATGTGAAGAAGAGGAAGAGACAGCCTTCCACGTGATATTTATATGCCAAGCCCTGCAAGGTGTGCGAGTGAGATCCCTTGACCTATCGACTGGAGATCAAAGGGAAGAACAGGTCACGATAGTCAAAAGGATCTCATGGTTCAACAAGGATCTGGGATTTGACGGGAAATGAGGACCTGTGAATGAGGGTGCACAATAAACTGTTCCAGCTGCGATGCAATCCCATGGTCACTTGTAAGCCTGGCCCTCTGTTAAAAAAACGAAAAGGTTCTTACTTGAAATGCATTTTATTCAATTGATGAATTTTTGACAGGAAAATAGACTTACAATGATTTTGTGTGAAGGCTCATCTGGCTCATGAGCCCTTTGTTCATTTTATTGTTGTATAAATTACATATTGTATCCTGACATATCCAATGAATTAAAAAGAATATCTAATGGAAATAAAGATCTTATATGTATCTTACGTACATCAGTGGCCGACCAAACCATACAAAGACCCTTACAGATTCTGAACAAAAAGGAGCCTATTGCACCGAATTACATCAGGATCTAAAAATACTCGAAGGGTTATATGAACACTGTAGTAAGTAGAGAACTCATTGAGTGGAAAAGAAATCGCAATATTTAAAAAAGCATTTTTTTTTTCCTCACCTGGGCAAAACCGGTACAACCACTGGAACACTCATTTGAGGCAGAGATTCACCGTCCATCTTCACCCCTGAAAATAAAACCCTTAGTCACCATAGGTAATAGTAAATCTGACACATACTTTCTCCCATTAGCTTGTCAACAAATTTTGTCATGGGTAAGGGATGCGGGTAACTAACTATGCTATTTTTTAATATGTGAAATTACAAAAGCTGCATTAACTTTTAATTTAAACCGTAATTTTTACAGGAATGGGGGGTTGCACTATTTTGTTTAGAAATATAAGGACCATAACAGACGCATTACAATTAGAATCGAGATTTGCTCTCAAAAATCAATTTTCCCGTTTTTTTATGGAATTTTATGGGAAAATAATTTAGTTTACAATAACTTTTGAACTGTAATTTTTACAGGAATGGGAGTTGTGCCATTTTGTTCATAATTTAAAGGGATAAAAAAAACATATTAAATTTTTATCAAAATCGTTCGGGCCATTTTTAAGAGAATCCAATTTTTTCATTATTTTTTGGATTTTTATAGAAAAATTGCCATTAGAAATCAAAATTTCAAAAAAATAAAAAATTCTGGAGATACCATGGATTAGTAACTGTATAACAAATTTCATCAAAATTGGACCACAGGTGTAGTATGTAGCTCTGTACACATACACACATACAGACACACACAGATATCACTTGAAAAACCACTTTTTTGTCCAGAGGGGCCAAAAACGGATATATCCTCATCACTTCGAAAACCACTTTTTGGGTCCCTCTGGAAAATTTCCACTTTTATAAATATAGATTACTCACTCAACTTTGTGATTTCTTACTTGATTGTAGGTACCATAAGGTCCTAATACAGTGTTCTGTTAAGTAATTAAGTGTTAAGTTTTTTTGGTACCTACGTAAGTACGTAGGTACCAAAAACACCTTTTACAGAAAAAGTTTGAATAGGTTATTCTGAATAAAAACAGCGAACAAAATTAGTTTGTTACTAGCAAATAGTTATACTACTTAGTTTTCAGTGGCCCATTGCTAACTTACTATGACATTCATACAAACTGCTGTCAAATGCCAGTTCAGATTAGAATTATGTATTGGGTCCAAATTGAGGGTTTACTGTAGTCTGAAAAAAATCATATTACGTTTAAACCGTTTTCATAATGTTAAAGTAGAAGTTTTAACGAGACTCGTACGGTGAAGTGTTTACTGATTCGCTACAGGAAATTGACCATCTCCTATCTGATTGGTCTATAATTGGAAGCTTTGTAAGATAAGAATCACAAGTGAACGATATTGATTTGTCAGAGGTGGGGTTTTCACACGTTCTGGGTTAAAATATTGTTTAGTAAATTACTGATTATAGATGGCAAAGATATTAAATTTTATGGTTTTAGTCATCTAATTATTATATCAAAAAATTATCAGTCTGTTATAATTATGATTTTTTTCTCTTGCGGGACTGTACTGAATGTATATTATGGTCCATTCAATAATAATTTTATTTATATAGATAAACAGGACGGCAGGCAAATGGATAACCAGCTTGTCCAAGATACATTTTTACATTTTACTTACATTTTTACTTTCTCCCCCTATAACCATAGTATATGGAGAAAGTATAATTTTCATCAAAATTTTTTTCGAGTTTGAGTTTTGAGTGTGGGTCCCCCCTGGACATAAAAAAGTGATTTTCAAAGTGATGTCTGTGTGTGTGTGGATGTGTACAGAGCTGCATACCACACCTGTGGTCCAATTTCGATGAAATTTGGTATGTAGGTACCAATGTCGGTACTAATTCATGGTATCTCCAGGTGTTCTTTCATTTTTTTGAAATTTTGATTTATAATGGAAAATTCAAATTTTCTCGACAATGGCCCAAACGATTTTGATAAAAATTTAAAAGTCTTATAGCCCATTAAATTCTGAACAAAACTCCCATTGCTGTAAAAATAACGGTTCAAAAGTTATTTTAGCTTACGTTATTTTCCTGTAAAAAAACGCATAAAAAACGGAAAATCAAATTAAAAAAGGTGGTTTTTATTAAATTAGTATGTTATGGTCCTTATAATTCTAAACAAAATCGTACGACCCCCATTGCTGAAAAATTACGGTTTAAAAGTGATTGCAGCTTTTTTTATTTTCCCTATAAAAATATCATAGTTCCTCCCACATGATAAATTACACATTGCTTACACATGATAAATGTTGTTGACAAGCTAATCGGAGAAAGAAAGTGTCAGATTGCTGATCCTGTTTATTTATCTTTGCCGAAAACCTGTAGGTTGAAAGATCTTATTAAATAATTTTTAAATATAATTAGGGTTTACAATCATTTTTTGTTGTCGTAGGCTATAGCAAACTTTAATGAATTTATAATGGTGTATTGCCTATGTATATAAATGATAACATATTATATTATGGATATTATGGATAGTTTCAACTGCAGACCTTATTGACAAAAAACCTAAATGAAACATATACACAATTAAACACATAACACATAGAATTATTCAGTAGTAGAGTCTTTGTTTTTGTAGGATGATTCATGTTAGTTTTTTATCGGTGCATTTTCATCAATTTTTGTCAGTAAGGTAAGCCTGCTGTTAAACCTATCCACCAAAGTATCCTTAAATCCCCAAGCCTAAAGACACTTTACAAAAAACATCATATTAGTTAATTAGTTTTAATTTCATACTACATTTTCCCTTAATAAATCTCAAATATTTATAATTTTAATTCAAAATCAAATTGTAATCAAGTAAATAAACAAAATAGGCTGATCAATAAGTGATAAAGTGTGAAATATTTTACAAAAATATTTGCATTAAGACAAGAAAAAAATCAATTATTTCATGGGCAATCAATTTAGCATATACAGTAGTGTCATTCACTTGATACTGATTGTAGACATCCCATAAACATGGAGCAACTGTCACCACCAATTTTAAATGCAAATTACACCAGCACACTCTGTCAAAGACTCAATCCAACTACCAATATCAATTTTGATTTAAAACTAGTGACATCTTCAACATAGTGGTGGAATGTCTAGTTCAACAAATAGTCTAAGATAGGACACTCTTAAACACTGACTTTAACCAATAGTCTAAAATAGGATACTCTTAAAAATGACTTTAACCAATAATCAAAGATAGGATATTCTTATACACTGACTTTAACCAATAGTCAAAGTTATCAGACTCTTATACACTGACTTTAAAAATAGTCAGAGATAGGAGACTCTTATACACTGACTTTAACCAATAGTCAAAGATAGGAGACTCTCATACACTGACTTTAACCAATAGTCAAAGATAGGAGACTCTCATACACTGACTTTAACCAATAGTCAAAGATAGGAGACTCTTATACACTGACTTTAACCAATAGTCAAAGATAGGAGACTCTTATACACTGACTTTAACTAATAGTCAAAGATAGGAGACTCTTATACACTGACTTTAACTAATAGTCAAAGATAGGAGACTCTTATACACTGACTTTAACCAATAGTCAAAGATAGGAAACTCTCATACACTGACTTTAACTAATAGTCAAAGTTATGAGACTCTTATACACTGACTTTAACCAATAGTCAAAGATAGGAGACTCTCATACACTGACTTTAACCAATAGTCAAAGATAGGAGACTCTTATACACTGACTTTAACCAATAGTCAAAGATAGGAGACTCTTATACACTGACTTTAACCAATAGTCAAAGTTATGAGACTCTTATACACTGACTTTAACTAATAGTCAAAGATAGGAGACTCTTATACACTGACTTTAACCAATAGTCAAAGATAGGAGACTCTCATACACTGACTTTAACCAATAGTCATAGATAGGAGACTCTCATACACTGACTTTAACCAATAGTCAAAGATAGAAGACTCTTATACACCGACTTTAACTAATAGTCAAAGATAGGAGACTCTCATACACTGACTTTAACCAATAGTCAAAGATAGGAGACTCTTATACACTGACTTTAACCAATAGTCAAAGATAGGAGACTCTTATACACTGACTTTAACTAATAGTCAAAGATAGGAGACTCTTATACACTGACTTTAACTAATAGTCAAAGATAGGAGACTCTCATACACTGACTTTAACCAATAGTCAAAGATAGGAGACTCTTATACACTGACTTTAACCAATAGTCAAAGATAGAAGACTCTTATACACTGACTTTAACCAATAGTCAAAGATAGGAGACTCTTATACACTGACTTTAACTAATAGTCAAAGTTATGAGACTCTTATACACTGACTTTAACTAATAGTCAAAGATAGGAGACTCTCATACACTGACTTTAACCAATAGTCAAAGTTATGAGACTTTTATACACTGACTTTAAAAATAGTCAGAGATAGGAGACTCTTGTACACTGACTTTAACTAATAGTCAAAGATAGGAGACTCTTATACACTGACTTTAACTAATAGTCAAAGATAGGAGACTCTTATACACTGACTTTAACCAATAGTCAAAGATAGGAGACTCTCATACACTGACTTTAACCAATAGTCAAAGATAGGAGACTCTTATACACTGACTTTAAAAATAGTCAGAGATAGGAGACTCTTATACACTGACTTTAACTAATAGTCAAAGATAGGAGACTCTTATACACTGACTTTAACCAATAGTCAAAGATAGGAGACTCTCATACACTGACTTTAACCAATAGTCAAAGATAGGAGACTCTTATACACTGACTTTAACCAATAGTCAAAGTTATCAGACTCTTATACACTGACTTTAAAAATAGTCAGAGATAGGAGACTCTTATACACTGACTTTAACCAATAGTCAAAGTTATGAGACTCTTATACACTGACTTTAACTAATAGTCAAAGATAGGAGACTCTTATACACTGACTTTAACTAATAGTCAAAGATAGGAGACTCTTATACACTGACTTTAACCAATAGTCAAAGATAGGAGACTCTCATACACTGACTTTAACCAATAGTCATAGATAGGAGACTCTCATACACTGACTTTAACCAATAGTCAAAGATAGAAGACTCTTATACACCGACTTTAACTAATAGTCAAAGATAGGAGACTCTCATACACTGACTTTAACCAATAGTCAAAGATAGGAGACTCTTATACACTGACTTTAACCAATAGTCAAAGATAGGAGACTCTTATACACTGACTTTAACTAATAGTCAAAGATAGGAGACTCTTATACACTGACTTTAACTAATAGTCAAAGATAGGAGACTCTCATACACTGACTTTAACCAATAGTCAAAGATAGGAGACTCTTATACACTGACTTTAACCAATAGTCAAAGATAGAAGACTCTTATACACTGACTTTAACCAATAGTCAAAGATAGGAGACTCTTATACACTGACTTTAACTAATAGTCAAAGTTATGAGACTCTTATACACTGACTTTAACTAATAGTCAAAGATAGGAGACTCTCATACACTGACTTTAACCAATAGTCAAAGTTATGAGACTTTTATACACTGACTTTAAAAATAGTCAGAGATAGGAGACTCTTGTACACTGACTTTAACTAATAGTCAAAGATAGGAGACTCTTATACACTGACTTTAACTAATAGTCAAAGATAGGAGACTCTTATACACTGACTTTAACCAATAGTCAAAGATAGGAGACTCTCATACACTGACTTTAACCAATAGTCAAAGATAGGAGACTCTTATACACTGACTTTAAAAATAGTCAGAGATAGGAGACTCTTATACACTGACTTTAACTAATAGTCAAAGATAGGAGACTCTTATACACTGACTTTAACCAATAGTCAAAGATAGGAGACTCTCATACACTGACTTTAACCAATAGTCAAAGATAGGAGACTCTTATACACTGACTTTAACCAATAGTCAAAGTTATCAGACTCTTATACACTGACTTTAAAAATAGTCAGAGATAGGAGACTCTTATACACTGACTTTAACCAATAGTCAAAGTTATGAGACTCTTATACACTGACTTTAACTAATAGTCAAAGATAGGAGACTCTTATACACTGACTTTAACCAATAGTCAAAGATAGGAGACTCTTATACACTGACTTTAACCAATAGTCAAAGATAGGAGACTCTTATATACTGACTTTAACCAATAGTCAAAGATAGGAGACTCTTATACACTGACTTTAACCAATAGTCAAAGTTATGAGACTCTTATACACTGACTTTAACTAATAGTCAAAGATAGGAGACTCTTATACACTGACTTTAACCAATAGTCAAAGATAGGAGACTCTCATACACTGACTTTAACCAATAGTCAAAGATAGGAGACTCTCATACACTGACTTTAACCAATAGTCAAAGATAGGAGACTCTTATACACTGACTTTAACCAATAGTCAAAGATAGAAGACTCTTATACACTGACTTTAACCAATAGTCAAAGATAGGAGACTCTTATACACTGACTTTAACCAATAGTCAAAGATAGGAGACTCTTATACACTGACTTTAACCAATAGTCAAAGATAGGAGACTCTCATACACTGACTTTAACCAATAGTCAAAGTTATGATACTCTTACTCAGTGACTTAACCAATAGTCAAAGATAGAAGACTCTTTTAGACTGACTTAAACCAAGCCGAAATTTAACTATAGCATCTTTTGTGTCGCAGTATTAGAAAGAACAAAACAGAGTGGAATTCTAAATTTTAAATCAGCACACACTTTGGTGTATTCCATTTAAATGAAACGTTGTTTACACCTGGTTTATATAGATGGGATGACTATATTAAAGTCAAGGATGAAAGAAAAACAATGCTTACTATAGTCTTTGTTGCGATGTGGAGCGACACAGCAATGCCAGAGAATTGCTGCGACCAATAGCAACAGGACAAGCGAACCTCCGCAGAACATGGCCACCAACAACGGCCAATGGTGTGCAGGCACTCGCCATCCCCACTCCCATCCTCCCCCAGTCGCTGTGTTGTTTGCCTAGACAAGCCCAACTTCTCGGGTTAGTCAGGGACTATATTTAGAGATGGATTTCTTTACAGAGGTAGATATATCAGTAAATATCATACCAAGCAAAGAAATAGATGTACACAAATTATCGGTACTAATACATTTTAAATAATCTAATCAAATGACACAGCAGCCTTGGTTTCACTGTCGGACTGAGCCAACTACTCACAACACCATAGGCAAGAAAACATTGCATTTTTTTTATGTTTACATGTATTTTTTACTAGTTTGATTGTCTCCTGCAGTTGTAGCAACATCCATGACCATATTCTGCGGTCTTGGCGTCACCGCTGGCCGTCTCTCGCTATCTCGTCAACGCCGGTAATCGGCTTTTTCGGCCACGTTTTGGATGATCGGGCTTCAGATAATCGATGCTTTACTGTAGGTAGTGAGGTAACTGATACCGAGATCTGGTTTTGATAAGGATCAGTTACTGATAATGACCTTAAAAATGTGATGGCACAAACTTAATGTTAATTTGCTATTTACTTTATAATACAATTAAATACTCAAAGCCTGAAATGTAAACCTTCAATCAATATTAAATGTTACTGAATTATGAATGGTGGTAGACAGTGTTGGATTTACAACTATGCCGTGGTTTTGGACTGCGGGGGAATCGTTTAATAAACGCCACAATTGCTCGTGGCGATGATGATGTTCCCTTGATCGCGGCGTGGGAAATGTTTCGGATTTGTCTTCAATCGCGGGGGAAGATGATGATGTCTCCTCGACTGCTGGAGATGTTCATGATTTATTGTTTCAAGGGTTTCAACCCCTACTGACCTTAAAACTTGATTTCTTCACAATTAAATATTTTTTTCTACAATTAATTACAAAATCTTTTTTTGTGTCTCTAAATAGTTTGTAGGTCTAATTTTCAAAAGTTTCCCGGGGGAGACCCCTGCACCCCCCTTTTACCTGGGGGGTATTCCAGACCCCCCGGTTTTAGGGAAACAGCCTACAACCCAAAATTTCAAGCTATGGCCCCCTCCGAGAATCCATGCTGGAGCCGCCCCTCAGTAAATTCTCAATTATCCGAGTCCCGGTTATCTGAGAGCGTCGATTATTTTTTTAGGTATATTTTTGGTTGGAAAACAATAGTTTTGTAAGGCCTTATAATGAACGTATCTGTTTAAAGTAAAGTAAAATTAGTAAGTGAATAATCCACAATCTATTATATTGATAAAGTGATTTTATAAAGTGATATAGTCAAATTTGTACTGTAATCGAGAGTGTACGGTACTACAACCACTCGGCTACCCGAACGGTAAAATCTTTATGTAACAGGTAGGTCTTACAAAGTCCTTAAGAAAAAGACAACATTACAGTACATACCTGAGGCCACATTTTGGCTGTCATTGTGACGGATTGTTCAAACAATTCGTACGGGTTTGTCCCCATTTGCGCTTCCGACTTCCCATCTGAAATTAGAAAAAATAAAATTACACCACTAAATTAGCATATTACCAGTTCTTCTTACGGGGTTAGCCTATAAGTATAAAATGTGCATTGCTCTGCGTATGCAATGGGGGAGGACACGGTTTATGAAAATTTGGTTCTTTTAATTTACGGTATGCTATAGTATAGCACATCTACCATAGCCATAATGTTCTACCACTGTACCTAAACAATAGAAAAAAGTAAAGTTCTTATTGTATATCACAGCTTTTTGTTGCTAGTTGGTTCAAATTTGCCGTTGTCATAAATGCAAAAAAATGATGGTGCTGCACCCTGTTGGTAAACCCTATAACCTTTTAATGCTATTTAATATCATAGAACCAACTTATTCTGTAGTTGAAACAGCTGACAAAATTTTTTAATTCCTTTTAAATATGAAACATGGGAAACTGCAAAGCCACTGAGGTGGAGCCCGAAATGATTTTTAAGACAAGAATATGTCTATATGTTATTCGGGAATGTGAGCTGCTATTACCATACCAAATTTCAGCCCAATCCAACCAGTAGTTAATGCGTGATTGAACTTCAAACAAACAAACAAACGAACAAACAAAACAAACAAACAAAAACTTTCACATTTATAATATTTCTTACTAATATTATAAATGTGAAAGTTTGTGTGTTTAAATGTGAAAAGGCTAGGCTTCAAAAGTTAAAAATATCAATGTCATACAGTAAAGAATTGTAGTATAGTCTCATCATTGTATTGATGGGGGATTGAGCCCCTAAGCAAGTACGAGAGGAGTACAGACTGAAAAACATGCTGGCTCTGGACAAGGGACGGGAATGCAAGGAACGCTAAACAAGATAAGAGAGGGCTCACTGTCATCGTGCTGACTAAGCGAATTTCCTTTTGTCGTAATTGATTTTCAATTAAATCTATTCAAATAACATTACAGGTTTAACAAGTACCTAGGTTTGCTGCTACAAGAATACTAAGAAGGTGTGTATATAAGATAAGTAGATTTTCCGAGTTAGATCAAAATATATCCATAAACAAGCAAACTACAACATTTTAAAATATTCTCCATAAGAAAAACATGGGAATTTTAAATTTACAACTTTTTGAATATTTTCTGTTACCAATAACCGTACAAAAACACTTTAATACAATAAATTATTTGTTTTTTTAAGCTCATTAAAAAGTTTTATAGAGAAATTGAAAAATCTTGTGTTTTGAGGATCAAAAATGAGAAAACCCAATTTTTACTCCATAAAACCCGCCGTAAAACCTCGTTTCCATGGTCCGATCATGCTGGTTAGCAAACTCATTCAAGTTTATCCCGCATTACACCTTTAAACTAAATTTCATCAAAATCGGACAAAAATTACTTAAGTTATCGTGTTCTCTGACACATATAAAACATATATATATATATATGTGTATATATATATATATATAAACACATATATACATAAACATATAGCCTACATATATAAAAATTTGAACGAATGGTGTTTTTGGCCTCTGGGGACATCAAAAAGAAAAGTAAATCGGTCCCGGCCACCTACGGTAATAGCATAGACTAACCAACACAAGTAGACTTCTCATCCCATTGTAAATTTTGAAGCTCGTTTTTCATGTATAGTTCATGTACGCCACACTGGGCGCTAGTGTCGACGAAATTTGTTCTTTTGTTTTAGGGTTAATTTCTTGATTTGTGCTTTACTGTTTGGTTAAATAACTAGGGGACAATTTATTGTTTATGATTAGATCGTATTATTTGGTTAAATGAGGTTTTAAATGACTGTAATAACGGGAAACAAATTGTAAACAAAACACGACCTCTACATAAACCGTACAGAACTAACAATAAAATTGTCTTCAGCTGTTCCATTAGGATGAAAAATCTACTAAGGGAGTATGTTTTATCTATGGTAATAGCTATTTCCCAATAGGGAAATTCGCTAAATATTGAAAAACTTGTATGTCTGACTTTAATAAAAGTATTTTTTTAATGGTTCCATTTACATTTGATTCCATTCAAATTTTAGAGTAAATATACAAATAATTAACAGGCGTTTCCTCAAACCTTAATTTTATGCAATCCCTATGGTTCATCAAAACTTTTTCATCTTTACCTCTCAAAATACAATAACAAATAACACTGTAAATCAAACTCACAATGGTTCGTATTAAGCTGGTTCCACGCTACGTGCTACCATGTGACTAATTAAAAGTATGTAGTGGTAGTAGTACTGGTAAAATAACAAAATCATTTGTTTCACAGAACAATGATAGAAAGTGTCATGGGAAAAGTACACAGACTGTACAATGAGCTGCACCATTTGCATTTTGTTTCCTCATTCCCACATAGAGTCCACATAATTACACCAAGTCCAGTTAGTTATGTAACAGGAGAAACAACTTTTGTTCATTTTTTACGCAAAGCCCAGAGGTTTAAAAGATGTGTGACAGATGATTTTACACTTTTAAATGTTATTTATTGACAACTTAAGCTAGCTGATATAGTCTAGCTTACATATTGGATCGTTGGTGAACAACAACAATAATAGTATCATTTAATCTTACAACCCCTATCATAGCTATAAAACAGGAAATAGAGAAATGTTAAGACCTCCCTTTCAAAGAACTCGGGCATTGGAAAGTAGACATTTTACTCAGGTATAAAATGTTTTGCCACATATTATTAAAAAATATTATTGAAGCAGCAACAATAGCTTTAAAAAATCAAGGAAAAGATTTTAATTAAAGATTACTACTTCACAATTTTGTAAATAATATAGTAAACTTTTCCTTTTTAGCAACTATACAAAAGGCATGTTATCTTACATGGGTCTAACAATAGGTAGCATGTAGCATAAAACGACAAAACACCTGTGATTGATAATTTATTAACAGTAGCAATTATGTAACCACATGTAACAATTTAATTAAGTTTCCTATATTTTAAGTATTTTCAATACTGTACCTATTTGGAATTTTTTATACTTTCTGTTAAAGAACAGTCTTTACGCTGGTTGAATTGTTATTTAACGCCTTAGTTAGGTGGTATCCTTATAGCCTATATAATACGTGAAGGCGATTTCTACAAAACACTACTCCTCCGTTAATAATGGATGGATTTTTACAAACGATGTGTCAAAATATAGTATTTTTTGTGTAGACGCCCCCTTTATAAAAGTCCTCAGGCTTTGCCCCACAGGCCATCCAAATCCCAATGTATTTCTTATGAAGAAAAGATTTATGTTTACTTAAACAGGCGAATAATATGTAATAATTACAGCTGTTCGTAGTAAATACATGATACAAACAAAAGCGTTCGTTTTCAGTTTGGATAACTGGAGTGGAGTGAGCGTTCGTTTTCAGAATGAAATCAGTTCGTTTATAGTTTCGATAACTGATGTGGAGTAATTGATTATTTATCTTTAAGTTGACTCTTTTAAGTCACCGAAAATTATGACTGTTATTCGTTTTGAAATAACGCCTGCAACACTTTGCAATTGCTCGAATTTGAGCAACAGGTGCACTAGTCATTAACTGATAGCTGAGTGACAGCGCTTGGGTCAACAATCTATTCTGTTTTGGATGGAACTGGCAACATCATATTGCAAATGATTATTTAAGGGTGTGCTCTACCCCTGACGCGCAACCGAATGCAAGGGTTTGCAAGATTACTGATTTCACCTGCTACATTGAAGGTAGAATCAAAGTAAAGGTCTCATATTAAAGAGGATGAAATTTTCTATAGTTGTGCGTTTCATTATTTAATTTATTTTTAATACACACCTTATAAACTTGATTTGTAGGACAAGAAAAAAGGTCTTTTCAAAAAGCCCTAACTTATTGAAAAAACGTTATTTGAAAATTTGAAAAACGCAGAACTATAGATTGGTATTTGCACTACTATAAGCCGTTTAAAGTGTGTAGCTATCATTATTGGTTAATTCGAAAACAGTAATCTTGGAAACCTCTGCAAGCGATTCTCGCGGCACTGTCCAATGGTGCAACATAGCAACTGAAGCCCGAGCTGAGGTAGAGCGCACCCTTAATTGAAGTTAAACTTACTAATACTCTATAAAAAAAACAGACCATTGGTCAAACAGAACTAAACAAAATTAGATCTCCATTGTTAACACGTTGGGTGCTGATGACGGGAATTCCCGCAATTGCTTAACATTGAAATAAATGCAACTTTTATGTTCAAACATGTCGACCGCACGAATAGTGTTAAAAGGTGACTTTGAAATTTGTCAAAAGAAATCGATAGATCCTTTGACATCTTGAATATTATTATAAACTAGCTGTTTGCCCGTTCTACGTACGGGAATCTTGTAGTAAGTCGAAACCTTCTTATATTCAGAACAGGAGTTGGTTTGCATATTTAGTGTGCATTTTTTCTAGGTATGCTGGCAAAACTATTACTGTATAGGAATACATATAAACCTTCGCAAATACAATATCTGACAGTTTCAAAGCCAAACTGGGCAGCGTGATTAATTTGCGGGCCAGACGTGGTGCAGCATGGTGACATGGTCCTCGTGTGGAGAGATGGCTAAGATTTTGGCTGCAGCTTTGTTGCTTCAAGAAGAAGCTGAGGAAGAAGAATTGATGTTGGCATTACGTTTAAGAAAAGTTCACCATACAATCTTTAAACGAAGATCTGATGAAGGGTGCTACCAATTGTTGATCAAATGTAATTTGATAGACGACGAAACAAAATTTAGGGAGTACTTTAGACTCTCGCAAGAAATGTTTGATGAAATTTTAAACGTTAGAATTATATTGAATTGGAACCCAGCAACAGGGTACCGCTGGAAAGAACAAAATAAATATAGGATACATTAATCTAACTGCCATAAACGGTTCCCACACTTCGCACTGCCAGCCTTTACTACTTCCTTTACCACTTCCAACATCATGGGCCTGTTTCCTTACGTTCCCATAGCATTTTAGGATTGCAGATACATTAATCTAACTGCCACAGACGGTTCCCACACTCCGGACTGCTCGTCTTCACCACTTCCTACGTCCTGGACCTGTTTCCCTGCCTTTCCATAGCATATTAGCATACTATTAACATGCATTAACATTGCAGATACATTAACCTAACTGCCACAAACGGTTTCCACACTCCGCACTGCTGGCCTTTACTACCTCCTTCACTACTTCCAACATCGTGGACCTGTTTCCCTATGTTCCCATAGTATTTTAGAATTGCAGATACATACACAGATACATTATTATATATATAGTACAAAATACAAATGTTCCCACACTCTATACTGCTAGCATTTACTACTTCCTTCACCACTTCCTACATCGTGGACCTGTTCCCTCCCTTCCTAGAGCATTTTAAGATTGCAGATAAATTAATCTAACTGCCACAGACAGTTCCCACACTCAGGACTGCTCGCCTTTACTACTTCCTTCACCACTTCCTACGTCTTGTACCTGTTTCCTCCCTTCCCATAGCATATTAGCATTGCAGATATATTAATGTAACTGCCACAAATGGTTCTCATACTCCACACTGCTCACGTTTACTACTTCCTTCATCACTTCCAACATCGTGGACCTGTTTCCATACATTCCCATAACATATTAGAATTGCAGATGCATTGATCTAACTGCCACAGACGGTTCCCACACTCCGCACTGCCAGCCTTTACTACTTCCTTCACCACTTCCAACGTCATGGACTTGTTTCCCTACGTTACCATAGCATTTTATAATTGCAGATACATATTAATATATCTGCCGCAGAAAGTTCCCACACTCCGCACTGCTCGGCTTTACTACTTCCTCCAGCACTTCATACGTCATAAAACCTGTTTCCTTTCCTTCCCACAGCATTTTAGGATTGCTGATAAATTAATCTAACGGCCACAAACGGTTCCCACACTCCGCAATGCTAGCCTTTACTATTTCCTTCACCACTTCCTACGTCTTACACCTGTTTCCCACCCTTTACATAGCAGTTTAGTGTTTTAGATACAATTAATTATTTCACTGCCACAAACTGTTCAAGTAGTAACTGCTTGCATTTACTACTTTCTTCACCACTTCCTACGTGGATCTGTTTCCCACCCTTCACATATCAGTTTAGTATTTTAGATAGGTACAATTAATTATCTCAAATAATCTCTATTAAAAGCTTGAGATTATGTCATGTTGTCATCGGCGTTAAATATTCGTAAAATATGTCGTGTGAGTGTGTGTATATACTTCACTGTGATTAAAAATAGACCTACGTTCTTTAGCCCATAGCCCAAGCTATGGCCAACACATAGGCTATTGGGGATAAAAATCGGGTAAGTTCTAGTGTTCATTTTTTCGCAGTACTTTTTTACCCCCCCTTAAAATTTGGTACCTTACAAAAGTTTGGTTGAAAATCAATCGCATTGATACACTTTGAAGAGCGTTCGATGATCTGATGGGGTCGGATTTTAATGTTTAAAAAGCAAAAAATCTAAAAAAAACTCAAACGGACAAGATGATTTAACTGTTTATTCATGCACAGGTAAACTCTCCAAAACATGGTGCTGCACTGGAAAGGAACGCCAAACGCCACACTACCAAAACTATCTATCTTATCAGGCGCATGAACAGATGGTCTATCTATCCATTCATTCTCTATTCAGCACAGACGCTCCCCACCCCACACTATAAAACCATCGGATGAAATACTGGACGGTTGAAATCAGTTGTTTGTCCCATCACTAATATTTAGGAGAAAAATTAGGTACATTATCACAGGTTATTTGATATAAATACCATCCTTCATAATACCTATGTAGGCCTACTTAATACCTACAAGATTACTCTTTGGGCTAAACCCGGAAACCTGCCTAAAAAACTGAAGCTAAAAAGCTAAATGTAGTTTTTTTTTTATAATTACGTTGTAGGCCTAACAAATTTGGGTCTACTGACTCAAACTTGTATTGAGAAATTTTTTACTGGCCTAGCTTAGTTTAAGATATGATTCTCACTTATCCAGATCCTCTGGTCATGACTGTATATAGGCCTACATGATTTAATATGAAATAATATAGTTATTACTTACTTTTTACCGCAGGGTAACTTGAATAAATTGTTCCCTAAGGGAATTGACTGCCGATTAAAACTATGAAAACATGACCAAAAGGGAATGGAATGGTTGGGGAAGTGGAAATTGACTTGACATTTGGCAGACAGACAGAATAATGAACAGGTGACTAATTCCTCTTTGCGGACAAATTAGCCAGCATGGCGGCAACTGCAAAGCTTAATAAGCAATACAGATGTTGTGTATAAGCACTATAAAAAATACCGTGTTATTATTTATTGGATTTTTTTTTGTAAAAGTGGATATTACAAGTAAAGGGTGCAGTTTCTTAACTGGGCTATACTAATATCGATTGAAACTATCGATTCGATTAGTAAACCTTCATGCGATTTTTTCACCATCAGCAAGTTTGGTTGGATAGGTTAGGTTATGAAACTTTAATTTTATAATACTGTAGGTATATTTAAAAATATCGATTACTAACCAATATTTTCAATTCGATAGTTTCAATCGATATTATCATAGCCCAGTTAAGAAACTGTACCCGTAAATACTTTTCCAAACTTAAATATTCAACAGTCAAAACAAAAATAAATTTAATAATGCTTATTATTTTACCAAGCCACTTAAACTTGGTATCTTGCTTGGGATCTGAGTGGTTGTAAATCTGAAGGTTAATGGTTTCGAACTGGAGACCTCTTGAACACCAGCCCGAAATGCTATCAACTATGCCACGAAAGCCGCTGCAATCACATCGTCTCGTTACGCTAATCGTGTAGCCTCAAGAGGTCGAAGACATTAGCCACTAGAGATATGACGTCACCACACCTTAAGCCATAGTCCCTCCCGTATGCCCATCCACGGGTCAAACCACGACCGCCTTTACTCCAAGCCGCGGCCTTCGAAGTGGGAACGTCGCAAGAATCCTCCGCTTTAAATGTACAGAGATATAGATTTTCAATTCACATAGTTTTGGTTTTCAATTCTGTATGATTTATTTTCAATATTTTAATAAATTTATGTTCATAAATTTAAATAAGTAAAGTGCGAATTAATGAGCTGATGTCACCTTTCTGCCATGTTATCTGTTCTGGGATGTCTGACAATAAACAACCAACAACCCTACTTGTGACGTTGCCAATTCTACAGAGTTGGTTTCTTGCGAGTTAAAGGTGGCCGTGGTTAAACTGCCGACACATTCACAAAATATTTAATGGGTTTGGAGCACTTTCTCTAAAATAAGCGTTTTAATTTTACAAATTAATTACATAAATGCCACTGGCGTAGACATCAACATCAAAACAAAAGTAAAACAACTGCTTCAACTCCTTTAAGAACCAAAAGGAAAAGTGGTGTATTATTTTAGACAACCGCAAGATTTTGTTGTTGTTCGTTTCCCACTTTGTTTGTTTTGTTTGGAAATTTTTGTAACCAATGTTGGTCACAACATGTTAGCGAAGGATCTATGCAGATGAATTCAGAACTACCAAATTACATAGTAAAAATCTATGGTAAAACTTATATATAGCTCCTTAGATGCTTTATGATTTGTTTGGTTTCATGCAATGTTTTCTTCATGTCTATCCCAATTCCGAGTTTTGTTGCTCACGGCACGGCTCAAGCTCAAGCCAATGCCAAAGCCTGCCAAGCCAAGGCTGTTTTGCTGCTGCCTGCTGCTTTAGTTCTAGTTGCCTGCTGTAGCAGTAGCTGTAGCTTATGTCCTGTCACTTGTCTCGTCGCTGAGTCATTGTTAATTTTGTTCCGTGATTACTGTTTTGTTTTGTCTGTCTGCTAGAGGAATGACAATGGAACCATAATCACAATTTATTGACCATACTAAGTTAAATAGGACAGTATTCTTCAAGTAAAAGGTATTACTCATTGGGTAGGTGATAATATTCTCTAATTGTTGTTCATAAATGCCTTACCTTAAGCCATTGTTTTTCTATTAACCTTGGACCAGTAGACAGAAAACCAATAAACTATACTCTATCTGTCAAAATATTTTTACGCTCGTTCAATGAGTATATGATCTGGAATAATGCATATTTTAAATACTTTATTGTTTTATTTAGTGACATAATGGTAATTGCTATCTCACCACAAAAATAATTTGCTTTATTAAATAAATCATTCATATTAGTTATGATAAATCTAAGGTCTTATGTCAATTTTGTACTTTGTTAAACATAGGCTAGTTTTATTTAGAGTTGGTGGCCTACGATAAAGCTTGGGTACAGTTTCTTAACGGGGCTATGCTAATATCGATTGAAACTATCGATTCGATTAGTAAACCTTCATGCGATTTTTTCACCATCAGCAAGTTTGGTTGGTTAGGTTAGGTTATGATAGTTTAATTTTATAATAGATAAATTCGATAGTTTCAATTGATATTAGCTTAGCCCAGTTAACCCTTAGAGTGCCAGGCGAGAAATAAAAGTAACGCTCAAAAAATGCCGGATGATTTTTCCCGAAGGTCGCGCTAAAAATGCCGAGCGCGATCTGGCGATTTTTAGGTTAAAATTTCGTAAAAATCGAATTTTCGATATTTCGACCAACGAAAATCGATGTATTGCATCTAGTAACTTTCGACTCAATGTTAATATATGGGTTAAAATAATCCGAGTATCCATTCGGTTGTTATGACAACTGTTCGATCATTACGAAACGTCCGGCTGACCGGACGTTGGCACTTTTGGCTCGTTCTAAAAACGTCCGGTCGGCCGGACGTCGGCACTTTTGGCTCGTTTTAAAAACGTCCGGTTCCCCGGACGTTGGCACTCAAAGGGTTAAGAAACTGTACTTACCCTAAAGCTTTAAAAATGACAAGGGATTAAACTAATTAAAAGTTACAGTAGACTCCCTCTTATCCGGACACCTTTTAACTGGACATCGGCTTAACTGGACCGCGCTTGGCGAAAATGTACCTATCTTAATATCTTAAACCGGACAATTTTTATCAGCACATTGGTTTAACCGGACTAGATCGGCAGGAAGTGGGCGGTAGGCCTACTGAAAACAACTGTTCTTGGGGGAAAGATTTGAGACCATAGATCACGTGTCTAAATACAATGCTCTCCTAAATTTAAGTTAAATACTGTATACAGTATGCATTTAAACGGTCCGTTTTAACGAGTTTTTGGGGACGTCAGTTTAACCAGAAAAGGGGACGTCGGTTTAACCAGAAAAGGGGACGTCGGTTTAACCAGAAAAACCGTTGTCCGGACTGGCCTCGGTCCCGAGGAGTAAGTTACGGATAAGAGGGAGTCTACTGTAGGTCTATCCAATTTTCGAATGAAGTAAGTTATGTGTTCGATAAGAAGTCACAAAGATTTTAATGCAAATCGACTTTCTTCCAACATTCATATTCTTACTGTCCGGACATGAACATTTTACAAATTTTGTTTAGTACCTAATTCAATGCCCTTGACTTGATTGAATACAGTAAATATCTAGGACCAAAGTTGTTAATAGGTCTACTTCATAAACTACCTAACAATCTTTTGATTTTCTTTTGAATTTATCTTTCGATCTCCAGGCTGATCCATCACGGGTCCTTTTGCAGCCATGGGTTCTGTTTGGAAACGATTGCAGAGAGTCAACAAACGAGCAGCAAAGTTTCAATTTACTGTTTCTTACCATCAAGTGACTGTTGAAACTACACCCAAATGGTAAGTAAATTTAACTTAGTTTTTTGGAGTTTCTCCATAACTTTTAATCCTTATATAACGGTTCAATGTACAAAATTATATTGGTTTTTGTTAGCTTTAACTATGGTTTTAATGCAAATGAGGCATTTTAAGGCTATGTTTTGAGAATAAAAATTTTAAAGAAACCATTTTAAAACCCATAAACACTCTGTTCCCATAACCCGATCTTGCTGATTTACGAACTCATTAAAGTGTATCCAGCTCTATGCGTTCATGACACATCAAAATAGGACCAAAATTACTTGACCTGTCGCGTTCAAGGACACCCGCATATATAACTGATGTAGGCCGTAGGCTATAATAATTGTACAAATAAGTTAGTATTTTCAACCTCTGGGGACAATCAAAATGAATTAGTAAATTGGTCTCTAAGTCTCACCGTGCCACTTTATGGTCATAGCTTCTTCTCAATCTTCCCTAGCCTATAGGGAAATTCGCTAGAATGACCTGTGGTATGATATTATTCTTTTTATCCATCTAAGATTAAAAGACAGACATCTTAAAGAAACTTTTAAGTGCTTATAACCAAATGTTACTGATCTTAAATTTCTATTCCAAAATCAAGGAAACCAAATAGATTGAGTGTCATTTGGACGAGGAGAAGCCGCAGAGTGATTTCCGAAGCTTTGCCCTGGGAACCAACCATGAAGGATCCTCTCCGAGGTCTTGCTGTGTGGGCTGTCCCTGAGAACAAGGATATATCTGTGACACTCTTCAAGGATCCTCGCACTCAAGAGCTGGAGGACAAGGAATGGACCTTTGTTCTAGAAGACGTGAGTTCCTTTATTTTAGCTTTGCTGAATATCTTGACTACTAGTCTTTTTATTCCATATGCTGCGTGCCTGTATAGTTTTCTTTGTTTCTGGCTTTTTATCCTTGAAACCTGACACAATATTTAACCCCTTTACTAGAGAAATGCTGAAGGCTTATTAAAATAAATTAATATTTGGTCGATAAGTAACCTACATTCCAATTATAAGAAGGTAAATAAATAAGCATTAATTTTTGCAAAGTATATTTCAACCCCCATTGAGACAAATTTAACTGAATTCAGATAACTTCATTTTATTCCAAAATTTAGAAAACCCCCACACAATTGCACATCATGGAGGTTTTAATTTGCCTATATCTTTAATGGATGATCTTTGATTAAACATGGTATAACTTGTGTTGATGATTTTTTTTCTGAGCTAAAATAAAACCCTTTACTCTGCATTTTACTCTTTTTTACACTTTAGTAGCCCAATAACTAAATATTAAAAGCATTTATTTTGTTGAAATGTATCGCTTAGGTGTTAAAATGTAGTTTAGTTATTTTCTGATCAAAATATAGCCTACCATACAATCCCTAGGGTAATTTGATCCATTTAGCCTATTAGCTGATAAACATTACTTCATTAAAAACTGAATAACAAGACAATCATTAGCAAAAACATCTTAATAACGAATGTGTTTTCAAAATAGTTATGTAGTTGGGTTTTATCCATCTCTTAAGAGTATTGCTAATGAGATTGTGTTGTAAATTTCCTATCAGGACTATATATGACCAATATCTGACTGATACGTCGATCAATAACTGACTAGCAAAACTATTGCAAGATGTGAAAAATCAAATTCACACCTAGACTATACAATGTGCACTGACGTTTGCACACCCAAAACAGATTAAGGTCAGATAAATGTAGAAAAAATCAAGTTATTTAACTATTTAAGCTACAAACTCTGCTTCTTATGGATAAAAGGGAGATGTTTATATTGTACGTTTATTTGTAAGTCGTATAAAGTGTGACAATTGTTTTTCACCTTTGAGTGAATAAATGCATTCTTTTTCTCACACATATTATTTATTTATTCAAAATTCAGTCACTTTATAATCAATATTATTCTAGAGCTTAAATACCTTTTATGTTGCTAATGTAATCCATTGGTCGTCTGGATAGCAACCGGTTTCGATAGTCAAGGTGTCATTGTCAAGCTTTATAAGATGTGTTGTTGCTCCTAGAAGGTTGTCAAGAAGGTAAGGACACAGCGACGGCAGTCTAGACTTACACCCTGAATCCGCAGCGGGATCATTAGTGTTGTTGTATCGCCATACTGTGTTATTTCTTTATGAATATGTTTGTTCGTGTCTCGTGTTTTTGTTTTAAAGACTTCTTGACGACCTTCTAGGAGTGACAACACATCTTTTAAAGCTTGACAATGCCACCTTGAGTGTCGAAACCGGTCGCTATCCAGACGACCAATGGATTACGCTGGCAACAAAAAGGTATTTAAGCTCTAGAATATTATTGTTACAAGGTAATCCGGAAGGCAACACCTCAAAAATGTACAATCAAATAAAATCCTATAGGTTGGCCCTACTGGTAAAAGAAGACAACTCGCAGTAGCAAGTGTTAACATGAAGAAGTATGCCAGTATTGAATCAACTCAGCATGACTTGAATCTCATCATGAAGCCAACTACTAAGAAAATTACTTCTGCCACTCTAGAGTGCACATTGTCCTGTGTGTTTTTGAGGGAAGGAAAAGCAACGTAAGTATCGGCGTATTTCATTGTAGCAAAACATTTTCATGTAAAAGATAAATCTCAGTTTAAAAATTTTGTCTTTTGAAAAAGGAGTAGGCCTATATTTTCCAATAATTTTTAGTAGGCTATTATTGTAAATAATTTTTTATGAGAAAAGGGTTTTACCTTATTTAGCAAAAGATAATAGTACTTTTCCCTGTGAAAATGTAGACTGCTACATCATACAATAATTTATATTACTTTTTTTGTTATTCCAGAATTGTTTAGAACAGAGATAAATATGTTATCAATAGTTTTCAATTATTATTCCACAACTTGTTAACAAATTTCTTACACAAATTACTATTACTCAAACGTTTGTTGAGTACCAATGAAATAATATAAAAGAATAAAATTATTCCTTGTAGAAAATTTAAATTTTTACAGCAATTTGAGAACGACAATAGATTAGTTAGTGAATTTATGAAAAACAGTGACATTGCTTTACTAGAGGACTTTGATGTGTAGTGTTCTTTCTGATATTGACAGCTGATGTTGCAGGGACGAAGACAAGCACAGTATGGCTAGTCTGATACCAACAACAGACACATTGCTCCATTGGAGGACTTTGATGTGTAGTGTTCTTTGTGATATTGACAGCTGATGTTGCAGGGATGAAGACAAGCACAGTATGGCTAGTCTGATACCAACAACAGACACATTGCTCCATTGTAGGACTTTGATGTGTAGTGTTCTTTGTGATATTGACAGCTGATATTGTTGCAGGGACGAAGACAAGCACAGTATGGCTAGTCTGATACCAACAACAGACACATTGCTCCATTGTAGGACTTTGATGTGTAGTGTTCTTTGTGATATTTACAGCTGATATTGCAGGGACGAAGACAAGCACAGTATGGCTAGTCTGATACCAACAACAGACACATTGCTCCATTGTAGGACTTTGATGTGTAGTGTTCTTTCTGATATTGACAGCTGATATTGTTGCAGGGACGAAGACAAGCACAGTATGGCTAGTCTGATACCAACAACAGACACATTGCTCCATTGTAGGACTTTGATGTGTAGTGTTCTTTGTGATATTGACAGCTGATATTGCAGGGACGAAGACAAGCACAGTATGGCTAGTCTGATACCAACAACAGACACATTGCTCCATTGTAGGACTTTGATGTGTAGTGTTCTTTGTGATATTGACAGCTGATATTGCAGGGACGAAGACAAGCACAGTATGGCTAGTCTGATACCAACAACAGACACATTGCTCCATTGTAGGACTTTGATGTGTAATGTTCTTTGTGATATTGACAGCTGATGTTGCAGGGATGAAGACAAGCACAGTATGGCTAGTCTGATACCAACAACAGACACATTGCTCCATTGTAGGACTTTGATGTGTAGTGTTCTTTGTGATATTGACAGCTGATGTTGCAGGGATGAAGACATGCAGAGTATGGCTAGTCTGATACCAACAACAGACACATTGCTCCATTGTAGGACTTTGATGTGTAGTGTTCTTTGTGATATTGACAGCTGATGTTGTTGCAGGGATGAAGACATGCAGAGTATGGCTAGTCTGATGAGTACCAATAACAATAGTGACATTGCTCCATTGGAGGACTTTGATGTGTAGTGTTCTTTGTGATATTGACAGCTGATATTGTTGCAGGGACGAAGACAAGCACAGTATGGCTAGTCTGATACCAACAACAGACACATTGCTCCATTGTAGGACTTTGATGTGTAGTGTTCTTTGTGATATTTACAGCTGATATTGCAGGGACGAAGACAAGCACAGTATGGCTAGTCTGATACCAACAACAGACACATTGCTCCATTGTAGGACTTTGATGTGTAATGTTCTTTGTGATATTGACAGCTGATGTTGCAGGGACGAAGACAAGCACAGTATGGCTAGTCTGATACCAACAACAGACACATTGCTCCATTGTAGGACTTTGATGTGTAGTGTTCTTTGTGATATTGACAGCTGATGTTGCAGGGATGAAGACATGCAGAGTATGGCTAGTCTGATACCAACAACAGACACATTGCTCCATTGTAGGACTTTGATGTGTAGTGTTCTTTGTGATATTGACAGCTGATGTTGTTGCAGGGATGAAGACATGCAGAGTATGGCTAGTCTGATACCAACAACAGACACATTGCTCCATTGTAGGACTTTGATGTGTAGTGTTCTTTGTGATATTGACAGCTGATGTTGTTGCAGGGATGAAGACATGCAGAGTATGGCTAGTCTGATACCAACAACAGACACATTGCTCCATTGTAGGACTTTGATGTGTAGTGTTCTTTGTGATATTGACAGCTGATGTTGTTGCAGGGACGAAGACATGCAGAGTATGGCTAGTCTGATACCAACAACAGACACATTGCTCCATTGTAGGACTTTGATGTGTAATGTTCTTTGTGATATTGACAGCTGATGTTGCAGGGATGAAGACATGCAGAGTATGGCTAGTCTGATGAGTACCAACAACAATAGTGACATTGCTTCATTGTAGGACTTTGATGTGTAGTATTCTTTGTGATATTGACAGCTGATGTTGTTGCAGGAATGAAGACAAGCACAGTATGGCTAGTCTGATACCAACAACAGACACATTGCTCCATTGTAGGACTTTGATGTGTAATGTTCTTTGTGATATTGACAGCTGATGTTGCAGGGATGAAGACATGCAGAGTATGGCTAGTCTGATGAGTACCAACAACAATAGTGACATTGCTTCATTGTAGGACTTTGATGTGTAGTGTTCTTTGTGATATTTACAGCTGGTGTTGTTGCAGGGATGAAGACATGCAGAGTATGGCTAGACTGATGAGTACCAACAACAAGAGTGACATTTCTCCATTGTAGGACTTTGATGTGTAGTGTTCTTTGTGATATTGACAGCTGATATTGTTGCAGGGATGAAGACATGCAGAGTATGGCTAGTCTGATGAGTACCAACAACAATAGTGACATTGCTCCATTGTAGGACTTTGATGTGTAGTGTTCTTTGTGATATTTACAGCTGGTGTTGTTGCAGGGATGAAGACATGCAGAGTATGGCTAGTCTGATGAGTACCAACAACAATAGTGACATTGCTCCATTGTAGGACTTTGATGTGTAGTGTTCTTTGTGATATTGACAGCTGATATTGTTGCAGGGATGAAGACATGCAGAGTATGGCTAGTCTGATGAGTACCAACAACAATAGTGACATTGCTCCATTGTAGGAGTTTGATGTGTAGTGTTCTTTGTGATATTTACAGCTGGTGTTGTTGCAGGGATGAAGACATGCAGAGTATGGCTAGTCTGATGAGTACCAACAACAATAGTGACATTGCTCCATTGTAGGAGTTTGATGTGTAGTGTTCTTTGTGATATTGACAGCTGATGTTGTTGCAGGGATGAAGACATGCAGAGTATGGCTAGTCTGATGAGTACCAATAACAATAGTGACATTGCTCCATTGTAGGACTTTGATGTGTAGTGTTCTTTGTGATATTGACAGCTGATGTTGTTGCAGGGATGAAGACATGCAGAGTATGGCTAGTCTGATGAGTACCAATAACAATAGTGACATTGCTCCATTGTAGGACTTTGATGTATAGTGTTCTTTGTGATATTGACAGCTGATGTTGTTGCAGGGATGAAGACATGCAGAGTATGGCTAGTTTGATGAGTACCAATAACAATAGTGACATTGCTCCATTGTAGGAGTTTGATGTGTAGTGTTCTTTGTGATATTGACAGCTGATGTTGTTGCAGGGATGAAGACATGCAGAGCTGATGAGTACCAATAACAATAGTGACATTGCTCCATTGTAGGAGTTTGATGTGTAGTGTTCTTTGTGATATTGACAGCTGATGTTGTTGCAGGGATGAAGACATGCAGAGTATGGCTAGTCTGATGAGTACCAATAACAATAGTGACATTGCTCCATTGTAGGACTTTGATGTGTAGTGTTCTTTGTGATATTGACAGCTGATGTTGTTGCAGGGATGAAGACATGCAGAGTATGGCTAGTCTGATGAGTACCAATAACAATAGTGACATTGCTCCATTGTAGGACTTTGATGTGTAGTGTTCTTTGTGATATTGACAGCTGATGTTGTTGCAGGGATGAAGACATGCAGAGTATGGCTAGTTTGATGAGTACCAATAACAATAGTGACATTGCTCCATTGTAGGAGTTTGATGTGTAGTGTTCTTTGTGATATTGACAGCTGATGTTGTTGCAGGGATGAAGACATGCAGATCTGATGAGTACCAATAACAATAGTGACATTGCTCCATTGTAGGAGTTTGATGTGTAGTGTTCTTTGTGATATTGACAGCTGATGTTGTTGCAGGGATGAAGACATGCAGAGTATGGCTAGTCTGATGAGTACCAATAACAATAGTGACATTGCTCCATTGTAGGACTTTGATGTGTAGTGTTCTTTGTGATATTGACAGCTGATGTTGTTGCAGGGATGAAGACATGCAGAGTATGGCTAGTCTGATGAATACCAACAACAATAGTGACATTGCTCCATTGTAGGACTTTGATGTGTAGTGTTCTTTGTGATATTGACAGCTGATGTTGTTGCAGGGATGAAGACATGCAGAGTATGGCTAGTCTGATGAGTACCAACAACAATAGTGACATTGCTCCATTGGAGGACTTTGATGTGTAGTGTTCTTTGTGATATTGACAGCTGATGTTGTTGCAGGGATGAAGACATGCAGAGTATGGCTAGTCTGATGAGTACCAATAACAATAGTGACATTGCTCCATTGTAGGACTTTGATGTGTAGTGTTCTTTGTGATATTGACAGCTGATGTTGTTGCAGGGATGAAGACATGCAGAGTATGGCTAGTCTGATGAGTACCAATAACAATAGTGACATTGCTCCATTGGAGGACTTTGATGAAGAGGATGATGGTTAGTAGAATTCCACTCATATAGATAGCGGTTCCATCAGCATGTTTAATGTTCATAATAGGAATTATAATGTTCAGGAAATTTCAGCCTTTAATAAATTATTTTTTAAATCTATGCCCAAACCTCAAACTTAACAGTAACCAAACTCGAATTGTCTTATTTTTCCATCAATAAAACATCTTGGCCATTTCTTATAGTTGTTATAAGATTATAAAATCTTAGTCTTTTGGAGATAATAGTTGAACTAGAAAAAAATCTTGTCAACATTTTAGATGCATTTGGGTAAGGTACATTTTAACTCTTAAAAAAATTGAATTTTAGCTTGCTCGAAGATGGATTTTACAACCCATCTGAAAAGTCGTCTATCGATGACCAAGATTAGATATTCTACTTTGACCATGGAAGCCTGCCTTCTAGGTCAATGTTAGGAGATTCCTGTCCTAAAAGAATTCAAACAATATTTGAAAGGATCTGCATTATCAGTCAGTGGATCAGTGTTTGTATCCTTACCTTTTATGTTTTTACCATTCGAAAAAGCTACAGTATTATATCTCTGGCTGTAGTATAAATTTTTTTTTACCATCAGCAGATAAGATTTAGACTGACAGAAGCACATTGTTGTTTTTCTATATACAGAAGGCTCGATGAAACACAGCCTACATGAAGTGTCTGAACTGACCAATCAACTGGACATGTTGACCAACAGCCTGAGCGGCTCTGAGTTCGCCAGCACTCCGATGAGTGGTGAGTTTCAGACTCAAACTTAACATTCTAAGACAGTGTGTTATTGAATTCAAACGGTTGATATTTAGCTTTCGTCATAGTTGATGTATCTGAACTATAAATTGAAGCGTACTTAATACAACTTTCTTGTCGTCTGGTTACAGTGCAATTGAGTTTTACAGCTAGATATTGTTAACAGTTGTCAACCAAATAATGAGGTCGTTATGAAATGTTTATGTTCTTGCAATAATAAGTCACAAACATTCATCCATTACCAGACAATGGCCGGGAAAATTGCATTGCAACTGTACCTGTACCCATACAAATGCATGCTGGCTCTGTACCTAGGACAATGACAATAGCTGGGTGGTTAAAGTGCTTGCCTAACATACAAGAGGTCTGGTTTGGTCCTGAGAAAAGTCAGCTTTTTGATGTTCGAAACTAGACCCAGCTGCCCCTGATCATTGGGTTTTAAATAAATGATCCTGACTGATGAAACAGCTGATCTTAGTCAGTAACAAAGCTACACATCATCTCACACTATTCTACACTCATCCTCCACTCAAATTTGGGTTAAAATACACACTTAGGTGGCATCCCCATCTCAACTAATTGATAATTAATAATTGTATTATTGTAAACTTGTATAGACCCTTATCACTTGATCAAAAATACCACTATACTAAAATTCTCTTACAAATTGATTCGTGGTTCTAATTACATACTAGTTTGTAGACCTTCAAAATTTGAGCTAGACTCACACTTTTGGCTGAGTAAAATGGCCTTTAACATTAAGTTTTCTAGTGACCAACGTGTTCCTTACTTCACTATTCTTGCTTGTTCCAATTCCTAAGGGACTATTAGTCTGGTATAGCCTGAATTAATGTCAAAAACAATTCCGGGCTCGTGCCTAGTGTCCTAGGACAAAAAAAAGTTTGTCTGGTCATAGTTTTAAAAGTTGTTTGTGAAAGAAAATTAATGCTCCCGCCAAAATATAAATCATGTCTGTGGTTAGGTTTATGTAGGAAGGGGTCATCCCTGGTGATTACTGTTGCCAGTTGACAGATGTGTACAGAAAAGTGGTTCGATTTAGAAAATGTTGACAGGATATTTTCTTTCACGATGTTTTTAATAGCATGGAAAAACTTATGGTCCCATAGGAGTAGGAACCAGCAAGAATAGTGGTGAATGAAGTAAGGAAAGGTTGGTTTCAGATTTGAACTAGCTTGCTTGGTTTGCGACGGGAGCTTGATGGGAACCTTAATTTACGATAGCCCTCATTCAGCATAAACAAAGTTGTTAAGTAAAGTCATCATGTTTTTTTAGAATGTAGACCTAATTGGATTACCTTTTGTTTAATTAGAAGCTGACACCAATTAAAGAACAATTTTATTGAATGATTTTCCTCTGGAATACCAGTAATCCTGAAGACTGTGTTTTACTGTGTTAATTTGTGTGCAGTTGCCAGTTTGAGGGAAGATGTAACACCTCTAGCCGGAGAAGAAAAAGGCTTCCCTCTCATAAGTGGTAGCAACATCAACTCTGGACAGCCTGATTCTCACCAGCCTAGGTAAGGAGTCACTCAGATGTTTAGTGGTTGATGCACCTTGTTCAACCTTCATTTGCACTTCTACGTAGGCTTCAACCCGTCTAGCAGATGAGGTCTAGTGATAGTTATTATTTTAATGCCAATTATAGACCTGGTGGTAAAATCATGATCAACTATGACCGTGTTCATGGTAATCTCTACCGATTGTTTCTTGTGAATTGTCGATACATAAACTTTGCTGATGGCTCCTGTGATCACTTCAATATATCCAGATTCCTGTCCAAAAATACATTAAAAAAATAATATCCCTCCAAACTTAAACACTTTTGTTTTTATTCATTGTGTTAACATGGTCTGGAATCAGAATCATATCTGATCAACTGCACACTGTGACATAGTTGCTAACGTAAGTTACCAACATTCCTTCCTATGTTTACTGCTCCAAAATGCACAATGCTGCATTGTGATGTCACTGTGATTACGCCTCTACGCAGCATGAGTTCCCTAACCTACACCACAATAAATATGCAAATATCACCGTGAATAATCTGTGAATTTAATTTCAAGTTTGAGGTTTTTAAAAATTATTCTGATAAAATTATACTTTTAATATCAAGGGTGAATCAACCCCTTGATACTGAACTAACCCTTAATAGAGAGTTGTGTTGTCCAAGAATCCTATTAACACGCTGCCTACCAGCTGCCACACTCCTATTGTTTAAAGTGTTAGTGAATGTGTTAAATAGCATATTCAATAGGATTAAAAAGCTTCCTATTTATCAACTGCCTCCTACTACCAGGAACACGGTTATCAAACACTGATAAAGTTGATGTACACTACTGACTGGCTGAAGGGACAATCTGATATTTTTTGTTATTATCACTGCTTACAAAATATATTAGTCCTAGAAATGTTACCCCATTTAATTCCAATTATAATCAGGTTCTGTTAAAATACTATGGCATAAACAATAAAAATAGACCTGACTCAGCAAATCAAAGGATGTTTATGCTGCATTTGTTATATTTTGCATCTTTGTTATAACTTTACTAAATATCACAATAATTTTAAATGTTGGATTAGCTATGATGACTGGAAATCTCATTGTTTAAGAGAACTAAGTTAAGCTACCATAAAAAAAAGCTTTGTTTACAATTAAACATTAGTATTAGCATTTGTAAGGACACACATTAGCATAATCTAATTTACTTTCTTCATTCTTTCTAATACCTACTGTAATGTACTGCTATCACAAATGTTTTTTCCATTTGCTTGATATTTTAAGCTAAAAAGTGGATAAGAAAGAGAAGAAAGAAAATACAGGCATTTATTCAACTTATTCAGATTGTATAGTTTACAACAAACCTTTTAAATATCTGTAATCATGATTATCCGTGATTGCACTGGCACTAACAAAAGTATTCAACAACTTCATAAATGGTTTTTGATTGGTCAGCAATGTAAGCGAATGTTTTACAACTGGACAAAAAGAATGCTTAGGTTTGGAGGATTGATAATAACTGCTGACATTTATCAATTGTCGAAACTAGATTGCTAATTTTAGTGTGTGTGTGGTGAATCAGTTTAAACTGCCGTTGGAAAATAAATGGAAGGAACTTGTTTTTGGGACCTGAGTGACAAAAACCGATTGTTCTAGAGACTGAAGTGATAGAAACTAGTTATTTTAGGGATTGCAGTGACAAGAACTAGTTGTTTTTTTAAGGACTTCAATTTAAAATAAAAACTATTCATTGTGAGAATTTTAGTAATAAAAACTAGTTGCTTTGGGGACTTAAGTGACAGGAACTAGTAATGTTAGTAATTTTACTGACAAGAACTAGTTTTAGGGACTCAAATAACAAGAACATGTTGTGAAAGAACTTGAGTGGAATAAAAATATTTTTTATTTATTTTGGTGACAGAAACTTTTTTAAACCAAAATACCTCTCCTAATGTGTATTTATTATTTTCAGTTCACTTGAAAACCAGCCCTCGAAGAATGTTCGGCTAATGCTGCAGCCTCTTAATTTGAAAGAGGTAGGCTTTACGGCTTTACACCACATCAACTATTCACTATTCCATTTTCATTTATCTATATATTGTTAATTTTTTGTAAAATATGGGTATTTCTTAAAATATGGTAAGGGAAGATGTATGGGGGGGGGGGGGTTGGGGCATGTTTAATTTATTTGATTTTTTTTAAAATTGATTTATCATTGTGTAAGAGCTCAATGTAAAAATTCATAACAAGCTTAGTACTCAAAGGAAAAGTTTAGGAAAGTTCCAATTTAAGATGTTAGCAACTTGTACTCTTGCGTTTAATTGATGCTTTACTAGCCTAAATTACTTACTTTCACTAAAAGCTAAAGTTAAGTTAGATTTTTTAATATTATAAATAAAGTTAGGTCCTCTTCATAAGGTTAACAGATTAGTAACAGTCTGTTATTAGTTTAAACTCAAAAGTATCAAAGAATTTAATTTAAAAACTAAAGGATATTTAAATGTTTAACGATTAGATTTTAAGTCACATTGGGATTTTCACTACCAAAAATTAACATTGAGACGTAAATTGTCACAAAGTTTCCTTTTGTCTTTGTTGCAGCCAGGGTAAATGAGGCATTTAACGATAAGCCTTATCTTTTCTTTGTTGTTTATGTCCGTTTGTTGTAATTATTGTTGAGTATTGTTGTCGCACATAGTTAAGATAGTAAGTTCAATGTCTTAACTTCTTTAAACAAAGATAAAGTGAATAATATATAAATATTTGTATTTTGAAAACAATATTAGGGTAGCATATGGTTTTGGATTGCTTTTCCAAAAAGCGTTTGAATATCTCTTTCTTTCATCTCCTCTAAAAATATGCCAACGGTGTGGACAAGAACCAAAAAAAATTTTGAGGGAAGATGAAGATAGGGACATATGTTAATATTACCAACATCAGATTATAAGGCTTTCATAAAATTCAGTAATATTCAATTTCTCAGGGAATGTTTGAACATGTATATTATTTGACCAATTGAGATCTTTAAGATATCTAAAAAAGTAAATTCAATGAAAGGTTTGCAAGGATTGTATAGGCCTACCAGTATTTTTAAAGAAAAATGTAAGGTAATGGACAAATTAATAAATTAACAAGTCAGCTTTGATTCTGCCAGAACTTATCAAAGTTAATTTTTGGGATTTACAGCGATCAATAGTACTGGTATCCAAGCAAGGATAATATTTTGATCCCATAAGTAAGAAAGTCAATGGAATTGCATAAAAGCATTTTCCTCGGTGCCCTGGATTTAGGCTACTTTGTTATTTACTTTTGAAGGGTTTCAAATATATATATTATAGAAAGCACCACCACTCTTTTAACCAAAAGTAACAATATATTTAACGGGAAAACTTTAAATAAAGGACTATTGGATGCATTATAGATGCAAGTTATCATTGTTTCCAGCAACACAACGGCAATGTTTTCCTCCCCCAATAACAGGTTGCCGCATCCTGTAATTTCAGCTACGTTGCCGAATTTCCAAGTGTTGAGAGTCCAGTGTCAATGGCCGTTGTGTCCCAGCGATAGTTTAAAATGTTTTAGACATTACTAAATATTCACTACAACTGCAAACTGATCATCGAGAACGTTTTTGTCAGAAATATTATAAACGGAGTTTGGCGGATCCTTTTTTAGGCGTTCCGCAACGCAACCAAAAAGTGTTAACTTATTTTAATAACAGGGAGTCCGCCGCAACAGGCTAGCCTGACAACAGTTGACGCTTAGCAATCCTGTTATTCGTCCTGTTATGTTATATAAAGTACATCTCTAGGATGCATGTTATGGCACAGGCAGGAGTACCAGAGCCACAGTCACAGCCCAGACTACAAGACAGCACGCCAGGCCAGGACTTGCTAGAGTGGTGTAAGGACGTCACCAAGGACTACCCTGGGGTCAAGGTCACTAACCTGACCACCTCTTGGCGTAACGGACTGGCGTTCTGCGCCGTCATACATCACTTCCGTCCTGACCTTGTGTGAGTACACTGTCTAATGAACCCTGACTTAACCATCTGAATGGGGCTCCAGTCTTAAAAATTGACAATTGGCCTATATCTAAATATTAAACCACCCTTGTAGATCTACCATCCTTACGAGTCATCTAAACACGATTTTAAGGTGGATTCTTGTTTAGTATTTCTTTATTGTTTTTCAATCAACTTCTATTAACTAATCGTAACAATATATTTGTAACTATTGCTTGCGTTTTGGTGTTATAACAACTAATACGTAATGCAAAAATCATCAAATATAACCTAAAATAACAGAAAAACAATCTGTTGACCGTAGTCATTGAAACAATACCATAATGAAACGTATAAAAATAGGCTTTAGATTTTATAATAGGATGAGAAGTGTGCGTTTACTCTATTCAAAGTCAATGATAATAAATTTAACAATTTAAAAATTGTAATTAACTACTTGTTTGTTTTGGATCTTAAATTTCTAACCTCACATCAAACTTGTGACCAACTCCTTATCTACACTAATTTGATTTATTATTGTTAGAGATGCTGAATTGTGTATTTTATTTCTAGGATGTAATACCACCTACAGTTAGGATTGCTTCTGTTTGTTTCAGTGAGTTTGATTCACTGACAACTCACGATGTGAAGGGTAACTGCAAGAAGGCGTTTGATGCTGGTGAAGCCCTTGGCATACCTCGGGTGATAGAGCCAGCAGATATGGACGTGTTGACAGTTCCGGACAAACTGGCTGTTATGACATACCTCTACCAGTTGAGAGCTCACTTTACAGGTGTGTAGTAATAATGTAAATAACCTGCTCTCAACCGACCCTCATAGCACCTCCCTAGGTTGGATATGTTGGATAGACTAAAAAGTGTGTTAAAATGGGCAACATCGTAACTATGTAAAATTACTTTCAGGGCGTCATGATACCCACTCAATAGTGAAAACCTTGAAAAAGTGTTTATGGTGTGAATTTTGTCAACCGAAGAAAAACCTGGATACATCCATGAAATTGGATTTTATACTTTAAAATATGGGATGAACCGATCCTTTAGTGAACTCATAGATCTGTCCAAACTTTCCCTCAATGAAGCTAGGAACTGGTTCAGTGTCAATGGGTTTTTTATGAATCCTGAAAAGACTCAAACTATTGTTTTTAGGTTAGGTCGCACACCTGAGGAAGAAAAGAATTTGTCGCCAAGTGTAAATTTATTAGGCATAGATTTGGATAGCGATTTAAGCTGATTAACCCATTTTTTTATTAGACGTCTTAGAGATTTTGTGCCTCCTTTGTATGTTGGATCTGCATATTTTGCTTTTTTTCAAAGTCTGTTAAAGTATGGTCTGTTACTGTGGAGTAACTCTACCCACATTCTAATTATTTTAAAGCTTCAAAAACAGGCTGTGATTCTGTTGACCAATTCAGGGTTAAGGGACCGTTGTAAACTTCTTTTTAAAGCAACAGGTATCAACTGTAAATTTGTATATATTAGAGTGTGTTATTTTTGTAAAACAAAATCCTAATTTTTTTATTACTAGAAATAATTTTTACTCATATTGCACAAGGGGAAGAACTGCTTTGGATAGGCCCTACACCATACTAACAACAGTACAGCAAAGTTTTGCTAGTATATCCGTAAAAATAGTAATTTGCTTCGCAAGTGAAACACTTCACATTCCTTGTACTCAGCTAAAACAAAAGATGATAGTTTGGCTTGCCGACCATCCTTTTTACAGTTTAGATGAATTTTTTGCAGAACACCATTGTAGTAGTAAAATTGGTATCTAGTTCTTAAAATTAGTCCCTAGTCAACTATTACCGACCGGTGCCCAGTCTTACAAACACTTTGTTTAAGTACCTCACTTTTTATTACTGTAAATAGTTCTGTGTTTTTCAAATGATTTTTAATTAGCCAATTTATTTTCTTGTTATCACTGTTATCTTAAGAGTAGGTTCTCCTTTGCATTCCAGACTAAGTCAGTGAAATTAGATTTTTGTACCTGTGGCAGTCTTGAGTTTTTAAATGGCTGTGTTTAGTAATATAATAACTATTCAGTAATCTTAGTTTGTTGCATTTTATTGCGTTTCAGGCCATGAGTTGGAAGTGCAACAGATCGGCAAGACAACAGATGAATCCTCGTACATGATTGGTCGGTTCAACACGGACAACGACACAGACGTTACAGTTCAACTGTTTGGACAAGAGATAATGAACATGCGTTCCAAGAAAGAGGGGTCAGAGCAAAAATCTGTCTCCAACAGTTGGAGGTAATTAACATAATTCTCAAAATCTTCAGTTATAACAATTATACATTCTAGGTCTCTGCAAGTACTGAATGCCCAGGTTTTCTATTTTATTGTGGTCCTGTAGTTTGAAGTCCATGTGTTGAGCAACTCATCTAGAAAACATAAAAAAAAATCTTTAATCCTTTTTAGCCTTTATTCATACGCTGATTTGAGCTAGCATAATTTGTTAAACAATAGAAAGTTCTGTACGTTTTAGTGATAAACAAGAGGATTAACAAGGTTTGGTTTAAATTACAAAAATCATTGCACGGTACTGAGTTTAATCTGTTCATTTTGTTTGTTCTTAAAAAGAAGATACATTTTAAGAATCTGTAGTGTTTCTTTTTGTTGACTAAATGTCTGTTGGATATCTTAAAACCTCATGAAATATGATCAAATATTCCTACGCATTGCGTTGCTGTCAGTTTACTAATCCGAGAAAATTCAATAGCTTTTTCGACTAGATCCAGCCTTCATTGACAATTGACTGGCTAAAGGACCAGCTGATCTTAGTCAACAAAACTATCACACATCCTTAAATGTACTCACTCTGGAGTCAGAGTGGTATAAATGAAATCTATTTGCACCTAAATGAATATTTTTCAGCAAAAGTGTTGATTCGTCAGAAGCGGAAACGGAAAGGGAAAGCCTGAGGAACAACCTTCGCTTGAAACTGGCTCCGGTTGCTGATATGAATGATTGTAGCGAGAAGTCACCGGCATCTGTGAAGGATGTCATTTTAGCCAGCTCTAAGAGCATTCTTGGCAAAGTTCTATCACCGACAAAGGAAAAGTTTTCCAACAAGGAAAATAACAGAGAAAAGGTATTCATACCATTTTGTTTATCTGCTGATGTTACATTTTGCATTGTAAATATTTACATTTCAATTTTCTACTTGTGTAAAGTAGACTCTAACCACCATTGGCTTTGAGGTATGTCATGATGTCAATATTATTTCCTGCTACTGTATTTTACGGTCCTAAATAATATTTTTGTTTGACTGTGTATTTTGTTTACTGATTAAATTGTTGTATATGACCAGAAGAAGAAGAGGTTTTGAATTTGAGTAATAGGCCAACATTTTTTCAGCTAAGGAAACCGTAATTTGAACATTTATTTCATAGTTACTCATAGTGTGTGTTATAGTTTCATAGTGAGTTTGAATATTTATTTCATATTTGCTTTGCTGTAAACGATCCACGCACGGGCGCTTAGTCTATGTGGACGGGCAAATGCAAGGTAAAAAGAGGCCGCCAACCTCTTAATAAAAAAGAAAAAAAAAATAGTTATTTCTTATTTTTAGCGGATTCCCCATATAGGGAATAAGCTATTACCGTAGGTCACATGGTAAGACCTAGACCCAGGACCGATTTGTTTTTCGTTTTGAAGTCCCCAGAGGCCAAAAACACCATCCGTTCAAATTCATATATATATATATATGAGTGTGTGTGTGTGTCCGTTAGCGCGACAACTCAAACAAAAATGATCCGATTTTGATGAAATTTGGTACAAACATGTAAACCTTTGTTTATTTGAACAAGTTCGCAAACCAGCATAATCGGACTATTGGAACAGGGGTTTATGGGGTAAAATAGTATATTTCGTACCTAGGGCCGAAAATGAGGTTTTGCCGGCTCGAGATAGTTTTTAAGTTCGAGACGAAGTCGAGAACTTAAATCGATCGAGAGCTGCAAAACCATTTCGGCCCGTGGTACGAACGCTATTTTTCACCACACTATACCCTATTACCACTATTCACCACTATTAATAATGCACACTGATAGTCAACACAACTACAACTTTAAGGTTATGTAAAGAAATAATTTGAGGAATCAGCAAAAATAAAAATAAATAGTTGTTAGGCAACGGCGACAATAACACAATTCTATTGCAATGCTATGGATTTTGATTGTGTATTTAAAATGCATTCATGTTTTAAGTAAGTAAGCGGACAGCTGATTTTGCGGCCCCGGCCTGTAAAAACCTGCTCGGTCCCCAAATTTCGATGACAGCTGGCATGGCCAGCAAAACGTAACTCTCAGCCACCAATTAACGTATGTAATACAGCCAAAAACATCATAGGCCTAGTGTGGTGAAAATTGTTTTTTTTTTTAATTTTTGACCCTAAAAACATAAAATTTCATAATCTCTCTCCAAACCATTTTGTAGATCTTAAGAAAAGGAAATAATTTTGTATGTTGAAGCGTTGTCGTATTCCCAACGATTACGGAGATAATTAAAAACATTGTAAATTTAAAATCCCCATGTTATTCTTATGGAGATAAATAATACTGTTGTATTCTTGTTTATGAATATATTTTAATCAAATTTGGCAATTTTGTTTAATTCATACTAAGCTATCACCATTTCAATAAAAAAATGCTTCAATATCTTCCCCGTAGCAGCAAACCTAATAACTCACTAAAATTAATATTATCTAAATAGGAAATAAATCTGACAATTTTTATGGAATATTTTAGCAGAAATCCAGCCAGGTATATGGACATTCGCTAAGTCTGCAGGTTTGCTGCGGCGGGGGTATTTAAACTTTTGTTTGGTCTGAGGGCAGTTCAGACAATTGGTAGTTGAAGCTGTTCAAAATGTATAGAAACTAAAGGAATAGTAAACAGCATTACTCTATTGCTGCCCATATAAACTTGTTGATTAGCTTCATGTGTTGCAATTGTGATAATATGTCTAGTTTTGTTATCTTCAGCCTTTAGTTTACTTTGTTGTACAAAAGTGTTGTTGACAAATTACTGTTGTGTTCATAGAGCAAGTCCCCAGTCAATGCTACTCCCCGTCCTGTGCTCATGACCAGGAGACAACTCACAGATCCTTTCGGCTCTGATGAAGAAGAGGATGTGTAAGTTTACATCCAGTATTATTTTATACTTCTATTTAGTGGCAATGAGTAGAAATGTAAAAACCTCCTGAAAGGCACTACGTTATCTTATGAAGCCCTACCTTCACTCTGCAATTACTTGAAATGTGGTTTTGTAAAATCTGTAAAAAATATTTTAATATAGCTGTGAAATAGATTTTCAAAATGTTTCAATGCATTTCTTCGGTAATTTTTTTAATACTTCATCTATCTATGTAAGTTGACAAAAGTTAGGTTTTTTTGCACTTTATAACAAGTTTGAAATTTTAAGTATTTAAGTACAAACCATTTGAACAAGAAACAAATTTAAGATTTCAATATGGTTTAAAAGTTATCAAAACAGACATTTTTAAAATCATATCTTAGTCAAGTATTTTTAGAGTTTTTCTATCTTTTAAACTCTTTTTCCTAAATCCTTGTGGCTTAAAACTTCATATCCCATACCGTCCCTGCCAAACACCTGACAATTGTTTTAAGGAATAGTTTTTAAAGTATACTTTAGTAAATCCAAAACTTTTCAGGAATGAAGCAAATGCTGAAAATGAAGACGGAAGAAAAACTCTACCAACTCAAGGAAGTGTGAGTTTGCTTCATGAAAAAAATTCTTAGTAATTAATTTCAAAACTTAAGATAGAGTTTAAAAAGATTGGTGTAGATTGATTAAATATGTACATGGTTTTTTTTTCTTTTTAATTTCAGTCAGTAAGTTTGAAATGACATGTATAGTCTTAAAACAAAGATAGTTTTTATTTTATCCAATACAACCTAGTTTTAGCAAGAATTTATTTACAATTTTTTTTTACAAACTGCCATCAATTTACTTAGCTCTGGTATTTCCAATTTGTATCTAGTATTTTACAGTCTACAGTAGAAAAGTTTTTCTCCAAACAGTAGGTACACTCTTAATTTTAAATTTCTTTCCTCAGGATGTTATGAATTCAACCAACACCACAAGAAACACAAGTAGGGAAGGATCAGAAACTAGATCTTTGAGTCATTCAACCAGCAATGATCTGTCCAAAATGGTGAGAAACATTTATACATTATCACTATTATCAGTTTTGTGAATGGTCAAACTGTTGAAATTGAATACTACTATTTACTAATTACAGTACAGTAGAGTCTCAGTCATCCAATATAAACTGGTCGCGTCAAGTTTGGACAAGGCAATACTCGTCCACACAACCACAGGTTTGCATGAGACAAGAGGAGTATCTCATAAGTTTGCTGGTATGAGAAGTTGATAAACTGTGGTATGCAACACCAAAAAAAATCAGGAAGTGAAGGTGCCTTAAGCCCTTGGCACTAAAGATCTTCGGACCATTAAAGTTACAGACAGGCGTAAAAGGGGTTGTCTCAACTCGCGCACTATAATGTAAAAATGTCACACAATCAGGCCAAGGCCAATATATATGTGTGTTTAAATCATGCACACAAAATAGCAAAGGATTACTTGGTACTTGATCGTCTTCAGGAAGAGTTGATAGATGAAGAGCGGTTATTTGAAACTCTACTGTAATTAATTTTTTTTGTTTTCAACGAAAACATCTTAGAATAGACTTTAATGAAATGTTTTTTTATTTTAATAAAGTTAGGCTTGAAAGACTGAAACTATTTGAAATGTTTGCTTCTAACCCTTACCACTGGTTTATTTTTTGCATCGTAGTAGTTTCCTCTTCAGTGATCTTAAACAGTCAAGTTTAAGGTTATAAAGTAAAAAATAAATACACTGCTACAGCAATCCTGCAGACTAAGCGAATTTCCATTTATCTGATTGGATTTTTATTTGAATATTTGTTCTTAATAATGTTAGAATTATTCCCTATTTAACTATTTAGTATTTAACAACAGCTTGTAACAGTTTAATAAGCAATTAGGTTTGCTTCTACAAGTGTTTTTTACTTAGTCTGGCTGTGGGGGTTTTTTTTAATAATATTTAAACTTCCAAAACCAACCAACTCATCTTCCATTTTATTGCCCTTAAAAATCAAAATTTATAAATCCAGGTTTAACTATTAAAAATTATAATCCTAACACGAGTTCAGTATTCCCTTTGATCTAATTTCAGTCTGATAATAATAAACATATCAGCATGTGTTATTTGTGTGTTCTGAAATAGTTTTAGAAACTGAAAGACCTCCTGTAATACTCATGTTTACAGTTTTCTTTCATGTTTTGTGGTTGAACACTAAATCCTCTGACTCATAATCCCTCTCAAAACACTGAAGTGTGTAAGAGTGTTGAGCTATGATTGATAACTCAGTGAATGCAGCGAGTTAGTGAGATGCATGGTGTTTATGCATGTAGAGTCAGCGAGGAGTGAATCGTCACGAGGAGCTGAGGGAGCGAGCTCGACAACTGTTGGAACAAGCGAGGAGAGATGTAGCGAGAAACTCTCAACCAACCTCGCCTGTGCAGGTATGGCAAACTGCTTAGTGCTTGTATAATGTTTTCACTTTTGTTTTTACTACTGGTGATATATATGTTGTGATCCTTTGATCCTTACGAAGGACATACAATATAACTTGTGTACCTGTTGCTCGAATTTGAGAACTTGCGAAGTATTACAGGTACAGGCGTTATTTTAAAACAAATAAAAGTTATAATTTCCAATGACTTTAAAAGAGTCTACTCAAAGATTAATATAGATTATCTGGAGGAATAATACAGGTTTTCAAAAGATTGCATTTTTAACAATGTCATAAACAATGATTACCATTCAAACATCTTGTATTATTGTAGGCAAATCTTAGTTTAATTAAACAGCTGAAGTGATATTTTAAGAGAAAGCCAACTGGCTGAAGATCAGGAGATTTTTTTTTGATAAGGGACATAGTTTAGCATAGTTTGAAGAATTGTTTTAACCATAGAGAAACCATTCTCCTTCAGCCATGTAAATTGTCTGACATTTAAACAACTATTTAGGTTTAGAATCTGAGGAGTAGAATGTGTAACATAACTTGTGTACCTTGTAACTGACCATGACCAGGTATTTCTTTAGCAAGGACCACTTGTTAAAATCCTAATAAGGGGAGCTAGGTTCAGTTCAAAAAGCTACTGACTTTTCTCAGGATTAAATCAACAAGCATTGCAAAGCACTCTAAGGTCGCCATTTTATTTGCTAATCTACTTATCTAGCTACTGGATGTTCTCGATTCTGGCATGTAGTCTGCAACAAAGCTAACACAAGGTATATGACCATATTCTATTTCTATACTCATCCTCCTCTCATATTTGGGTTAAAATACGCCCAGTTGTGTCCCTATCTCAATTAGCAACATAACGTAATATCTACTAATCAAAGACATTTTTGTAGGGTGAGGAAGAAAGACAACAACACTTGAGGGAGAGGGCGAGACGGTTGATAGCTGAGGCGAGACTGGGCGTCGTCAACACATCTCCCTTCTCACCAAGTAAATAACATTTTGTTTCCGTTTCTTTTTGGAAATCTCAATCCAAAGCTATTGTAATAATACTTGATTCTATTTTGAAATATACAACTTTTTGGCTATGCAAATTTGTTGTTTTGGCTTGTAATACAACAATAGACAATATACTTTATTTACACGTTCATTGAGAACAGTACAGAGTCGTAGGATCTTTTAAAATGACAGTACATATAAAGTCAACATTCAAACTTGTAATGAGTCCAAAAAGATACCAAAATCCGAAACGAAACAAAATATAAGTTTGGAACATTAAATATATACAGTTAAAAAGAAAATTAACTTGTTTGTTTTAATACTGTATAAAATTTAAAACAAAAATTATTTGTGCACACACAATAGTGTATTATTATTTTATCATAATGGTAATATAGGTTAAACAGGTGATTTATTTTCTGACTTGTATCTGTAAACACAATGTAAGGATCCAACTTCAGCATCATAATTTTTCTGGTATTCCACATTCTCAAAGGATTTTCCTTTGACATTTCATCAACTATTGTTATGACTTTTTTTGTCTTGTGTCAACGTTTTACATTCACATGTAACGAATGACAAGACATCCGATGTGGACAAATTAATCTCAATAACTCTCAGGCTAATTTAAGAGAACCCGTTTCAAGGGAATTATGAAAACTTCAATATATCAAGGAATTTGGCATATCAAGGTTTGAGTTATTGAGTTCCTATACTATTTATAATCCTATATTTTACAGGCAGAGAAAACACTCCAAGTGAGAAATCCAGTGAGCAAAGTTCGCCTCTTCACTTGATGTCACCTTCAAAAGTAAGAAATATTTTTGTTATTGTCTCATTTGACTCTTGATCCTAAATCTTTATGACCAAGAAAGAATTACAAAATGCCCCATTGACTCAATTAACGGTACAGGAATAAAAAAAGACTATATGACAATATTAGACAGTATGTGCCTATATGTCTGTGATGATTAGGATTACTTTAAGACTGCAACACACATCTAGGTCCGTATTTTGAGCTAAATATGAATACAATTTGGTTTAGGTAGAATGGAGTGAGATGATCGGCTTAGCTTTCTTACCGATTGGGATGAAATGTTTATTTGAATTGGTTTAAATACCTGCTTCTAGTAATCCAATAGTCGCAATTTCTGTCGCGCGACTAGTTTCGACTTCATACAGAAGTCATCCTCAGGCGTCCAGTGGATGTCAAAATAATCACTTCATCAGAAGGTTGTACAGTGGAGTCCCGATAATCTGAACTTCGGTAATCCGAAAGTCCGCTTAATCCGTAACCAAAAGATATATTTTTTATAAACAAAATTAACATTTTAATTTTTTTAGACAATTTTTGAAAGTTTTTGAATTTTTTTAAAAAATTGTTTGAAAATCTTTTGAAATTTTTTTATTAAACTTTTAACACAGTTAGCTGTACCTCGTCAAAGTATTCTGTAGCGGCCGGGCGAGATATACTTTTTTGTAGAGTATTTTAGTAAATATTTCACCATTTTTGTTATTTACATTTTTCATTTTTATCCGCCAAATCACAAATGGATTTTACCAAGTGATAATGCTGCAGCCACTAGGTCTAGCCTTAAGTAATGTGAAAAACAATCCAGGGCTCGTGCCTGCGTCCTAAAACGAAAAAAAAATTTCAAAAAATAAAAAAGATAAAAAAAAAAACTTTTAATCCAAAATATTCGGTAATCCGAAATGGGCCCGGTCCCAACCATTTCGGACTATCGGGACTCTACTGTATCACCATTAATTTGTATTATTATTGTTGTAAATGTACCTTTTTTATGTGACTATGTTCGTGTTTGTGTTTGCGTGTGAATCATGTGAACATGTGTGAATCGACGACCTTCTGATGAAGTGATTATTTTGACATCCACTGGACGCCTGAGGATGACTTCTGTATGAAGTCGAAACTAGTTGCGTGACAGAAATTGCGACTATTGGATTACTAGGTATTTAAACCAATTTATATTCAACGTAATCCGGAGGCTAGCATCAAAAATGTTTATTTGGCCTGGACTCAATGCCCAGGACAGCTGGGCCCAGTTTTTAACCATCAAAAGCTACTGACTTCCCAGGATTGAACCAGCGACCTGAGGTCTTGGTTATAGTGATTGTCAGGTACCCAACTGTAAACTTGTATGTTTCCAGGGTGATATTGAAGAGAACACTCCACCCTGGGTGCTAAACAACAAGGAAGACAACTCTGTGAAGCCTGTTACCAACTCCCCCCTTCACTCCTTCACCTCACTCATGGAGAGGATATCACCCGAGAGACAGCCCAGTAGAGGGGTGAGAAAGGGTTGTTTCCCGAAAATAAAATATATTTCTCCCTCTAAAAAACTAGTTTGCCTTCAAATGTAGAATTTATTACTCACTCACCATCCATAGCGTAGGTCACATGTGGAGGTTAGGACATGTTTCGACAAAATGTCACCATCGGCTTGTCAATGTGAAGTTCAGTTGAGGGTTTTGTCAATGATCATACATGAACAGATTTACACCATTGGATTAGTACTGAACACTATACTAATCCTCCTATGTCATAATTATGGATATAAATTTTACTAATTGCATTTGTTTGCTACAATGCAGGGACATATAATCATAATCATAAATTAGCATAAATACAGCAGTCATTGTTTTATTTTTTTAGTTAGTACAAATGTTAATGAGTGTAATGTTTTGTTAATTCTAAAACCCTAACTATTTTTTGCGGGAAAGATTTTTTTTAATACTAAGAAAACATTAATTTCAATGTCTTTATGTTTAAAAATCTTGTATGCAAGGAGTTATTAGGAGTCTAGCAGCACAATATTGGAATTATAAGAAATCTAGTACAATATTAATTTTGTTTTTAGTTTGGTAAAGATGTTACCAACTACATTCAGAATGAGCTGGAAGCATTGGAAAGAGAACAGAAGCAAATCGACAAACAAGCTGCCATATTAGAGAAGGAAATTCGTAGAGTGATGGAGTCGGGTAAGTTGAGTTGACAATAAAGTATAAAATGAGATTCAGCAATAGTAATGAGATTGATGTTTTGTAAATCTATGACTTGTACCTCAAAATCAAACTTTTGTTTTGTGGTTGTCTTGGCATTCCTTTATCCTCCAAATCAGTTCCTCTTTTGAATCCTTTTTCAAGGGTTATCCCCTGATCTATAATCACCCTGCCTTATTGGCATCCATTCCTAAAGCTTGGCTGTAGGTACGCAGTCTATTGAATCTTATCAATTGCAACTAGAGTTAATGAGAAACAAACTTTGTGTGAAGTTGTAACCCTCATTAAAAATAGAATCGATTATAAACAGTAGTCAATAAAAAGTCTACCATCCTTTTACTCTGATATTGCATTATTCTGTACGATTGATAATCTGGTTTAGTATAGTTTTTAATTTTACGTGTTTTCAGGTACTGATAAAGAAAGAGAAGAAAGTCTGATGGCAAAATGGTTTACTCTAGTCAACAAAAAGAACGCCTTGCTAAGAAGACAAATGCAGTTAAATATTCTGTAAGTGTTAATATGAATTGGCGCTTGTTTAATCTTAATGAATTAATTACTAAGTCTGTAAGAATTGTTTTGTAAATAACTTTTCGATCAGCATTGTACGTGTTATTAAATTTACTGAAAGTTAATATAAGAAACGTCTTACAACACTTAAAACATATATTTATGCTTATACTGTTACTCACAAGACGGTAAATAATCAAAAAAGGTGGTAAGTGGTGATTGATTTTGATTGGACACTCCAATCATCATCAGACCGAATAGGCGAATGACAAGAGTCTTGAATGATTCTTGTCATTCAAGATTCTTGTCATTCCGTAATTGTTTTTAAATTTAATCAGTTTTGTACTAAAAGAACTCATTAATTTGGTGTTAAATTTTAAATCATTCAAATGTTGCTCAGTTACTACAAAGAAGTATAGTTTAAAACTGATGTACCTTGTGAGCGATTATTTATATTTACATCAATATTTACCAGTTGAGATGGGCTCACCACAGAGGTGTTTATTTTAACCGAAATATGAGTACAGGATAAGATGCCTTGGTTAGCTTTGTTACTGACCAAGACCAGCTGTTTCATTAGCCAGGACCATTTGATTAAAACTCCAATGTTCAAGAACAGCTGAGTCCAGTTTCAGCTGCTTTCTCAGAATTGAAGCGGCTACCTGTTGATTACCAGGCTAGCACTCTAACCACTCAGCTATGCAGATATTACATGGGGTATTAGGTAGCCAAGTTCTAATCTCACTAGTAGAAGCGCTAGCTCAAGAATTACTTACAACTCAAAATAATAATTTAAATACCTTTTATAATGGTTTAAAACTAAATTAATTCAAATGTGATTTGCCAAACAATACAATTTTCTAACTATAAATTTCACAGGAAAAACTTGTTTTTTTTGGGAATGAACTTAAAATCCAGTTTCAACAATCCCTACTATAAACTGGTTTATGGCATACCTTTTAATATTTTATTTTCCGCTTTTAAAATTAGTTTTATCATTTTTTTTTTCAGTGAAAAAGAAGATGATTTAGAAAGAAGGTTTGAGTTACTAAACCGAGAATTAAGAAGTATCTTGGCAATGGAAGGCAAGTATCTATGTGGAATACTTACAGTGATAACCTAAACACTAAGTTATGTTAAGGAGCTCAAGAATTTAAAAAACCACATAAAACCAATGGTACCTGTATCAAAACACAGAAAAGATTTATCTTTACTTAAGTAACTTAACGTCTATGTTTCGTAACGCCATTGACTAGTCAAAGGTAACGCTTACGGAATTGAACATATTTTACTTGACCGTCTGAGATTAGTGTATATTTTATCTTTAACTATTGAAATTACAAGACATTCCATCTCCATGTTAAAGTTGTCTCCAGTTTTTCAATCAAAATATACATAGTTGAAGTTAGTCACTGGCAGATTGTGCTGGTGTAAATTACTGATTTCTGTTGAATATGCTGACTTTTTAGCCGAGTCAAACTTATTGTAAGCTATAGCATCTTCTATGTCCCATCAACTATCTAAAAAACTAGTTAGCGAAATCGTGAACTTCTTCTGCATCTGCGAGGACATAACCTTCTTCTCCCACAGTTGCAATAAAGTCATGAACGTCTCCTGTGGCCACCGAGAAATAATTCACGATCAGGGCATACTGATAAAAAGTAGTGGCAGGTATCAGGATCCGAAACCTTGACATTGCTGCCTTGGTCCTTAAGTCCGTGGCACTACCGACTGAGCCACCAACTCTCCAAAAAACTTAAATGATGTTTTTTTCAATTAATTGATGTTTGTTTACAGACTGGCAGAAGACTGATGAGCAGAAGCTGAGAGAGAACCTGTTATTGTCAGAGTTAGTCAACATTGTCAACAAGAGGGATGAGCTCGTCCATCATCTCGACTCTCAGGAGAAGGCGTAAGTTAATACTGTTTACATCTTTAAGTAGGTAATACTAATTTTTACTTTCTCTACCTATACATATTTTGTAATTTGCTAGTACACTGTGGGTAGATGGCTAAATGAACACGTGTTACAACTTACAAGTCTTTTGTTTACTTTTTCCTTGTTATTTAATTCAACCAACATGGTTACTTAACAACCCATAAGACTAATGTTAAAAAAATGGGACTTTCAGTTTAATTTTACTACGTAATTAGATTTTTGTTAGCAGTTCTAACTGCAGTAAACTCGTTTTTAGGCCAGAAATAAACTACTTGCAACATTTGAAGAAAATCGTCGAAGCCGTTTTCGAGATCTTTGTTCAAACATACATACATACATTCATACAAGCAAACATTGCTCATATTGGAGTATAGGATTTTGTGTTAAAATTTTGGGAATTTCACTATTTTCCCCGCCGTCATGGGATTGAGACCTTTGATTTGAGCCCTCTCCCATCGTTCTACAACTTCTCAGTTGCCCACTATTTTGACGCAAAGAATCGCCTTACGTAATTAATATATAGATTATAATATAAGGATTATAATATAATATTATAATATAAGGATATAGCGTGTCAGAATTTTCCTCTTGCCTGAGATGTATTACCACAGCTGTACTTCTGCCATCCTCACAATAACAAGTGTTTGGTAACGCTACGTAATCTAGCATTGCCAAAGGCTCAAACCTGCTATATTAGCGAGAGTCTAAACCTCTAACTTTGTTTCAGGATTGAGGACGATGATAAGATAGAGGAGGACTTGAGCAGAGTAGGCGTGGGTCACCGCAACAACAACTGCGTCGTCCAGTAAAGTCTACGTTCAATGTCAAAAATCAAAAATTACTGTCTGCATCCGGTATTCCACATTGGAAATAGTATTAGTGATAATCAAACAGTAATTTAGCCATCAATAAATTTAAAATCTTGTGACGTGTTAAGATCTAGCGAATTTACTAATTAGTAGTTTAGACGTCGTCTTCAAGAAAGTCATATTTTTTTCAAGATTTATTTTAGCTGGATTTAGCTATACAGGGTATTTATTTAAGTTAGGCTTGTTGTGATCAAATTAGAACAAACCCTGTTCAGTATGGTGGTTTTAAATATTATAAGTTACATTTGTCATTAAAAAAATATCTGCATAGGTTGTTATAATACAGTCAGACAACTCTAAGAAGACACTTGTGCCTGGGGCGTAGAGGAAAAAAAATTATTATGGCGGAAAATAATACCTTTCCAAAAACATCTGATTTGCTATCCAATTCTACCTGAGACTTGCCCTTCTCACACCCCTGACAGTAAATTTTTGTGTGCACGGCCCAACTAAGTCGATTAGTGCTATAGAATGGTCAAGTATAAGGAAGACCTAACATTTACTTCGAGGGCAGTACAGCGTTTTCACCTCATCTGTGAAGTGCCTTTTTAGGGTTGTTAAATTTAGGGTTGTACACTAGATTTAATTTTTTTTTAGCTCAACCTATTCCATAGTAAATATTCTCAAAATCAATTACAAAAAAGTAACATGTTTTTGTAATCTCAATATAAGTTTGTGTAAGAGGTTTATAAACAAAAATATTTCATTAAGTGAATAATGCCAGTTCTTGCCTCTTTTTACGTTGTCTAACCATCAGATTATATAAACCGAATTTAAAATATAATAACTACAATAACATGGTTAATATGATATTGGGGTGCATAATAATTTAACAAATTCCGTTAAAGTGTTTTGTGGCTTCTGCTTCTTCCAAAGATAAAAGATGATAAATTGATATAATCAATTAGTGTTAACCAGTTTATGAGTTTTCCTTACAAAATAGTCTCATGGAAAAAGTCATGCTTGCTCTCTAATAATTCACTTGCTTTTAAGGAAATGTTTTGGTCATCGTTCCTCAAACAATCTTTGGACCCTTGTTATATACGTTTTATCGTCAAGTGACATTTCTTATTCTTATTTCTTATTAACTAGTATTTGAGATTACACTAATTTTAACACAGTGAATAAATTTATTTTCTTTGCTTGTTAAGTACCATCACATGACAAAAACACATTAATAGGCTACATAATATTTTCAATTTGTATGGTTTCTTTTTTGCTTCTATTCTCTTTCATTTCTCAGCTTTAAATGGTTTAGGTTTGATAACCTTAGAGCCTTATCATAAGTAATGACTAATTCTTTAGTCATGTAAATAGTTGTTTTATATTATTTTGAATTTTGTACATACAGTTTATGTAGTGATCATTTGTAAATAGATATCTGGCTTAATTTATTGGCACAAATATGTCCGCTCACTATTTTGCAATAACATTTTGTTGTAATTTTACTCAAATTGTTTGTGTACAATTTGTGTGTGATTGTCTAGCACTTTCTTTGCTCATCACAGATAACTTTATCATTTGTCTAATAGTTATTGTTACTCTGATATATATAACAGTTTAAAATTAATTACCTTTGTCTTTAAATATTTCTCATCATGGTAAATTAACCTTTCCAATAAATTTGCAAGCCTTAACAAAAAGAGTCTGTTTGTAGTCTTATCAATATATTTGTTCCTAGTTAACTAAATCAAGGTTTTAACCTGTGTTATTTGTCTAAGGTAAAATGAAAGATCGTCATATTGATATTTAAATATTGAATCTTATGATTATACTTAAATCTTTCTCTTAGCTTAATTGACAAAGTAGCAAAACCAATATTTGATATATATCAAAAATATGTTTAGTAAATTTGAGCCATTAAATAATTTTAACTTGTAATTGTTTTAAGTCTTGAAATAGCTGTTAATACCTATTTAATTCCCAATAAAAACACTGACAAATTAATTGGTTTTTATGTTTGTAATAATTGTTTATGTTTGATTATATGAACCAAAAGGATAGTTAGGAGCAAGGGAATCAAGTATAGTTGCACTGGCCCAGTTTAAATATTGTGTTCTTAAATGGTTTGAAGCCGGCAAATATTTAAATTTCCCTTTGTACATATTGACAAGGCAGAGTTTCCATCATTGGTGAAAATTTTAATTTTGCTAGCTTTTATTGCTAATAAGAAAAAAAATCTGTGGTACTGCTAAAAATGCTTCATGTGATAATTGTTTTTAAATGCATTCATAATAAATAACATATTGTTAAGACTTAATATTTGATGCTAAAATGTTTATTTGATATGTTGCATTACATTGTGTATAAATAAATTATTTATAGTAAAGCAAATCGGAATGACTCATTTATCCATTGAGTGAATGCAATCTTAGTGTCTAATTAGTCATAGTTAAAAAAATTATAGACTGATGCAGGATTTTTGAATGTGCTGGATTAACATGGTTTGATTGTAAATTAGAATGTTTGCGAGCACAGACGTTTATCAGATAATCCTTGATACAAAGTATATAATTCCATTAACCACTCTTTGTCATTGAAAATCTACTTGACAATGTTTGATTACAGATTTCTCAGATATATATCAATAAATACTTTGTCACTTTATTTAGTTCACCATTTTGTACTTTATACCAGTCTGTAAACATTGTGTATTACTTTCCCATGATTTCTCTGGTGAAAGGTTTTTAGTTATCCCTAAAGCTTTTTTTGTAATATAATTAGGAATATTTTGAGCAATTTCAAAAACACATTATGCTAAAAACTCATAAACAACAAACTAATGCCTGTTTCTGTATACAGTTAGATTGTGCAACAATGAAAACAGCTGTTTTAAATCATTAAAATAAACTAAAAAAAAGTTTAAAAAAATGTAAAATAAATAAACCATTACAAAAACTCTAGTGAGCATAGTGGGTAAATAAATGGACAACTAATCGAGAATGAGGGAAAATCAGCTGATCGTTTTCGTTTTTAAAACAACTAATTTCTTTGATATCAGCTGTTATTGAAAATATCTTCTTTCTTTATGAAATGTTGATAAGCTTTTTCACAACAAATAAATTGCAAAGGTTCTTTTTAGGAACGTTGCTTACTTTTACCTACCACTGACACAATAGACGAGTTACTAACAACGACTACTGTATTGTACACACACTATTCCTTAACATTAGGAATTCTCAAGAAATATTTCGTTAACCAGACCTTTTGAGTCTAAAGTAAGAATAGAACCAATTCAATTTTAACATATTTATTTAGAAAATCATAAAACTAATGTTAATATCACAATTTAAGCAAATAATAATAACAAAAATATACACAAGATGGTGAACTTATCAGTTATTTCACCATTGAACTTGAATTTCATCCCCGTCTTCGATAGAATAATAGTCCAAAGATTTTAGTGGATCATCCATCTTAACTTCGATTTCACTGTTCTGAAAAATAATGTTACTATTAATAAATTGGACTTTTCCAACATGTCTAGTGTTTAAAACTACACAATGTTTCTGGAGGTGGATCAACTCCTCCTGTTATCAAGTGAAAAATAATAGTAAGCTATAATGTAATGAAATTTAGAAGATGAATCCTTATTGCCAATTTTTAAATATTGCTTTCTATTTATTTACTGATGTAATGTCGATAGAATAGTAATGACATTTGTCTCTTAAAGGAGTGTATAGACGGGGACAGTAGGGACGGCAAGTTGCTGGCTGCAAGTACTGTCCATTACGTCACTTGCCGTATGTGTTCCTATACACTGGGTAAGTACTATCGGCAAGTGACAAGGAAAGAACTTGCAGCTAGTCTACTTTGAGGACGCGAGTGAATAGTGTTGATAATTGAATTTAATTGTGTTGAGCATGTCTGATTGTGATGAAGAATTTTGTCAGCATGGTTATGATTTCAAAATTAAGAAGTATCTTCCACAATACTTTGTAATTTTGAAAAAATCTTTAAAACCTAGTGATGTCATCGCAGCTCCATTTAATAATTTTTTTTTCTCAGCCGGGCCCTTGTCTGACATTTTAATCAATCACACTGTTACTTCTATAAATACAATCAACTCTAATTTCACTTGCCACTCTGCTCTACTGGCGGCAAGTGAATGGCAAGTACACGTTTTGACAGGAAAGTTCTGGCCGCCAGTGGTCACGTGACCACCCACGTGACCCTCTACTTGCCACGACTAGGCCAGTAAAATCAAACATGTTTGAGTTATCTTGCTGCCAGAAAATACTTGCTGCTGGAAAGGAAAGTACCCCTATAGTACTTCCAGTTGTCTATCACAATTTGATCTGTTCAATTGGCGTATTTTTGTTTAGTTGCAATAACGTTAACTATATTTACCTAAGAAAATGCAGAGTTAAAAACCTGATGTTTTTCAGTTGGTTTTTGTTCCCTTAGCTATATGTGAAAAAAAATTATATGCCTTCAATAAAAATGTTAGTAAGGGTTTCTTGGATATTTCATAGGCTATTATTCTAAAATCGCTTGACTACATGTCTTACCTTACAACTGTGGTAGCACAGAGTAGGTTCGGCATTGCCAGTATTGAACAGCCGTTGTACAAGGCCCGTTAGTCTACTCAGCAACATGGTGCTTGGGACAGTCTTTTTAATGGTCTTCCCATCGTTGCTGACAAACTTGACATGAACCAAGTCCGACTTGAGAGATCGACACTTCACCTCCAACTCCGACTCCTCACATACACCGTGTTCTAAAACATTAGGTAATATTGAGATATACATGGGATTATGATTAACCTTTAACCCTTAGATGCCAAGATCAACATAAAAAAACTGTCACTTACAACCGTTGATGAAAGCTATACTTGACATGTGTTGTAACATCGGAGTAAAGTATAGGACCAAAACACTTTGGCTTTTGGTTGATCAGTTCTTGTGTGGCAGACTGCTATCTGTCTGATCAATGCCCGAGCGATCGAAGGTATTGTGTCCCTGGTCAAGATAAGGGTTTGGATCCTGTCTCAGTCAGGTCGTGTATGCAACTCACGAGGAGTCCAGCTATTTGTGGCAAAGCTTGGTGGAAGTAGACTACTTTGGGTCGAATTTGATTAAATAATTTAATTTCTTATTGAGTTGCATTAAAAAAATGCATTTCGCTACATTTTTCTTACTATCAAACACTATGAGTGAGCACCAAAAACTTACATTAAAATAATTTGTATTTTAGCGAATTTCCCTATAGGGAAGTAGGGAATAGTAGGGAACCTAAATATGCCGGTTCCAAATTTTATAATAAACTTCCTAAAGAAATCAAATTAGAAACTTCCAAAAATAAATTTAAATCAAAATTGAAAAAGTTTCTTATCAACAAGGCTATGTACTCCTTTGAAGAGTTTTAGTTCTATAAGTTATTAATTGCTCTGTTTTATATTAATTGAAACTTTTGGTTTTAAAATAATTTTATCTATATTTTTAATTTTGATATTTTCATGTATAAACTTTCATATTGCACTGCTTGTTTTAATTTATTTGATCTGAAAACCTATTAATATTGATGGTATGTTGTTATGCCATGCATGATAATGATGAGTATTTTATTTTATTTTATTTTATTTTGCATGCTACAAAACAGAATACAAATCCCATTAACATTGCAGCACTATTCTAGTTTGTACAAAAATTGAGAACATGCTATGAGTTCATAAAATTGAATAAAGTAAATCGTTCATAGACTAAGAATAATAAATATTAATTATTAAATAACAACAACAATAAATAATAGTAGCAATAAGTAACAATAAATAAGAGTGACTAAGAATTACGCAAATAAATAAGATAAATAAATAAGATAAGAAACAAAACATGAGACACAAGATAACTGATGAAGGTGAGAGAAATTAATAACATTAACCATTATGTGAGATTAAAGATTTTTTATAAGAGGCTAGGCTCGAGTTAAAAATATCAACGTTGTCTGATATTAAATTATATAGTCTCATCATTGTGTTGATAGGTGATTGAGCCCCTAGGCAAGTCCGTGAGAAGGACGGACTGAACAACGCGCGGGCTCTGGACGAGGGTCGGCGAACAAGGAACGTTAAACGAGATAAGAGCTCGCTGTCATCAACCTTATCATTGAGTAGTTTGTGTAGAAAGATAAGCATCCCCATATCACGACGTTGCTTTAGACTGACCATTTCAAACAAGTTTAAAAGAGTATGGTAAGATACATCAAATGTGAAGTATCCAAACTTCTTGAAGAATAAATATCTAAGGAATTTGATTTGTATTTGCTCAATCATGTCGACAAGATAGGTTTGATGAGGATACCACACAGTTGCTCCAAACTCAAGTTTAGGCCGTACCAGGGTGCAATATAAAAGTTTGAGACTGTAAATGTTGGTTATAAAACTTCCTGATCTGAATATGAAGCCAAGAATTCGATACGCTGATCTACAAGACTCAATTACATGATTAGAAAAACACAACTTGCTATCAATTGTAACACCAAGATCTGTGACACTACTTCGACTACCCAGTAAATTACCATTCATGGAATATTGGAAGTTAACAGCGTTGTGAGTGCGTCTGGTGTAACTGACAACAAAACATTTATCTGAATGGAATTTTAAACCTACATCACTCCAAGCCACTAGTCTATCCAGGTCTTGTTGCAATAGAAGACAATCACTAACGTCGTTTATTTCTCTAAAGATCTTTAGATCATCAGCATAAAGAAGGACTTTACTATTCAACACACTGTTAACGATGTCATTAATGAAGATTGTGAACAATAAAGGGCCAAGGTTCGAACCCTGGGGAACCCCTGAAGATACAACAAATTCAGAAGATGAACTTCCCTGAAAATAAACAAACTGTTTTCTGTTATGTAAGTAGGTCGAAAAAAAAAACGCAAACCATTGCAGGTGATACCAAGATAATTCAGTTTTGACAATAGTGATAGATGGTTAACTTTGTCAAACGCTTTTTCAAAATCAGTATAAATGACATCAACCTGACCTCCTTTGTCCAAAGAGGAAATACAAAAATCAGAAAAATTCATCAGATTAGTATTGATAGACCTCCGAGGATAAAAACCATGTTGGAGAGGCGTAATCCAAACGCCTTCACATGATTGAAAACCCTGTCATACAACACGGCTTCGAACAGCTTCGCTGGTGTGGACAAAATAGCAACCGGTCTGTAGTTTTTTATATCACTCTTTTTCCCCTTCTTGTGAATAGGGACAACTTTTGTAGTTTTCCAAAGATTAGGAAAATACGACGCACCTAAAGACAAATTGAAAATCTTTAGAAGAGGCTTAACTAACAGTTCAGCACAACCTTTGAATATAAAAGAAGGGACACCATCAGGGCCTACAGAGCGTTTGGGTTTAAGTTTTTTTAATGCCAACAATAACTCCTCCTCAGTGACATCACCAAATGCGAGACAACTAGAGTGTGCATGGATAGGTGAGCAGACCGCCTGGCGATACAACTCCTCATTATCAAGATGTGTGGGAACGTAAACAGATTGGAAGTAAGTAGCAAATGCCTCCGTTATCGCAACACTCCCCTCCACCTCCTCCCCGTCCAGAGTCATTGCAGCCACACGACTATCACTCGATCTTAGCCCCTTAATAATACTCCAAAATGAATTAGGATTTACCTTAATAGTATTTTCAATGTCGTTTAAATATTTTAAGTAATCTGTTTTGATATTACGTTTGGACTGACAACGTAATTCCTTATATTCCTCTGTAAAACACTGGTCTTTATATTTCTTTAATTTCCTTCTCGCCTTTTCTTTGTCTTTAATTAATTTAATCGTAACAGGAGAATACCAAATAGGATATTTTCGTTTAATATTCTTACGCAATGGGACATTTGAATCTAGGGCTGAATATAAACTACTATAAAAATTATCAACTGCTAAATCTACATCCGAACAACTATATACAGAATCCCACTTAATATTCTTTACAGCAGTGTAAAGCTTCAAATAATCCACATTCTTGAAATTGTAAATTTTTCCCCCTTGATTATTACAACTAAAATTAGTTTTTTTTTCAATCAATAGTTCAAAATCAATACCTAATGGAGGGTGATACTTGTCTTTTTTTACTACAGGATGTTCTTCCTTAACACCCATACTATCAATATTACTTAACACTAAATCAAGAGTCCTATTATCACAGTTTAGAATATTGTTTTTTAAAACTATATTATGTAAATTACAAAAAAACATAAGTTGCTTACAAATTTCATTACCAGTAGACAAATCAAAGTTTTCACCATATATATGAAGGTTTAAGTCCCCTAAAATAATTAATTGTTCATTACTCAAATTCAATGAATCAAGCTTACTAAAAAACAACTTATAAGTTGACATTTGACTATTTGGTTGAAAATAAACTAACCCCAAAATTACTGTAATTTTATCAGAAAAGCTCAGCTTAATCCATAAATTTTCTCCCTCAGTTTCCAAATTATATAATCTACAAGATTTAATTTTATCGCTTACAGCAAGCAACACCCCCCCTCCCAACACACCAACTCCACTTCTATCCCTTCTATATACATCATAACCTGCAGGAAATAGTTCAGAATTATAAATAGAGCTATTTAACCACGTTTCTGTAATTGCTACAACATCAAAACCACTGTCCATTATTCCCAATCTAAAAGGCAAAGTTTTTGTCCTAAGACCCCTTACATTCTGATAGTAAATATTTAAGTGTCGAGTATTAATCCCCATCTAATAATGTTAATAAATAAATAAATAAACAACAACTATGAAAGCAAAATAAGAGGCCAAGTAGGTACATACTGTAAATAGAAATATAAATATGATATAAATATAAACATGGAACACAACAGCAGTATACATACAACATATTAATGCAGATCGGTTTAGGTGAGTTCATTAGGAGCAGTAGTGTTGACAGCAGCATTAGTGGCGTCGGGAGGTACAGATGTGTGAAGGTCGGTTGCGGTCTTGGCGGTACTAGAGGTGTGAGGGTCGGGCTCGGTAACAATGCTGGTATTTAGGCTGGTATCTGTGACGGTGTGGCTGCGATGATCGGTCCCAGTGATAGTAGAGGTGCGATGATTAGAGGCGGAGGACACAGGGCGCACGTTCAATTTGGGAAAATCAGATCTGTCCTCAATTAAGATAGCGCCATCCTTATCAGTTTTACGTAGGAATATCTTTCCACTGCTGGTTATCCACGCATACTTAAAGTTATTATCACTCTTAAACTTGCGTGTATCAGACCAAAGGAGTCTAGTTTCACGGGTCATGGCTAGATTTATATAAATTTTTTCATTGACGTCAAATCCTATATTAGACGCAGAAAATCCTCCTTTCTTGATAGCCCTGCGACGAATCTCCTCCATATCCAGTCGACGGCAGAACTTGACGATGATATTCCTAGGCACATTGCCCTTTTTGTTGGGAGCTAAACGGTGCGCTGCGTCGATCATCCAAGGCTGAAGATTGAAATTCAGAACACCTGCAACTCTTCTCGCCAGATCCAGAACATCTTCATATTTACTCTCCGGCACTCCCTGTATTTCCAAACAGTTCGCCCTAGAATATTGATCTGCTGCATTTATTTTCTTTTTTAAAAAGCTAACTTCATCCTTAAGTTTATTGTTTTCACTTTTTAGAAGATCGATGTTTTCGTGATGTTCACTAAATTTATTATCATTTTCACGGAGTTTTGTTTTAATATCCTTAATCTCATCAAAACAAAGTTCAGTGGTGCGACTCATGTCATCCTTAAACTCTTGTAGGTCCTTCTTAATTTTAATAACATCACCCTTGATTTCGTTGCTGTCCGATTTCACCTCACCAAGTTGGGAAATAATTAAATCGAGTTTCTTATCCAATGCTTGATAATCACTTACACTTTGCGCACGGGTACGTACAGTGTTTGTGTTGTCCGGTGGTGGCGGCGACATGACGCTTGACCCCAGATGGCAGCACCGTACGGACGGACGGTCACGTAGGCTCAACTGGTCACGAACGACCCTAACCTCACTTCTGAATTTAGGTACTTTAGATACGTGAGAATAAGTTCACAAAACTATTAAATACACTTAGTTATCGCAAGTATGGAACAGTGATTGTTAGTAAACGTATCCAGAAAGTTACGATAGATCACTCACGATAATACTCACGTAAAACACTAAAGAGGTAAGAGCCGATGTAACGCGTGTTTAGCACTCTAGCATGTTCTCTCCATATTTGGAGAGAAGTTAGTTAGTTAGTTAGTTTTATTAAATTGCTCTTGACGCCATTCCTGTATCTATATATTGTACTTTAATGAATAAAGTTATATGAAATGAAATGAAGCTATTACCGTAGGTGGCACGGTAAGACCTAGACCCGGGACTGATTTACTTTTTCATTTTGATGTCCCCAGAGGCCAAAAACACCATTCGTTCAAATTTTTATATATGTATATATATATAGACTTATATATATACTAGCAGAGTACCCGTCCTTCGTACGGGGTTGGCATATAAGTATCAAATGCTTATAGCAGTTATGAGTGAGGAGATGGTTTAAGAAATTTCGGTTCTTTTTGAAGTTCGTTCGCTACGCTCACTCACCTTTAGGTTGGAGCTCGTTCGCTGCGCTCACTTTCCTTCAGGTTAGCTCGTTTGCTACGCTCACTTGCCTTCAGGTTAGCTCGTTCGCTACGCTCACTCGCCTCCAGGTTGAAGTTCGTTCGCTACGCTCCCTCACCTTTTGCTGTTGTCATAAATGTAAAAGAAATAATAGTGCTAGTGCTGCACCCTGTTGGTAATCCTTGTAACTTTTAATGCTATTGAACATCATAGAACATAACCAACTTGTTTAATTGAAACAGCTGTTAAGATTCATTAATTCCATTTCTCATAAGGTTAACATGGGAAACTCCAGAGCCACTGGGGCGGAGCCCCGAAGGATTTTTTGGGATAAAAATATGCCTATATGTTAATCGGGAATGTGAGCTATCATCATGCCAAATTTCAGCCCGATCCGACCAGTAGTTTTTGAGATTAGCTCATACAAACACACACACAGACACCACCTCTTCTTTATAATAGTATAGAAGATATAGATATAGACTTATATATATATATATAGACTTATATATATATATATATACGTCCGTGAACGCGATAACTTGAGTAATTTTTGTCCGATTTTGATGAAATTTGGTTTAAAGGTGTAAAGCGGGATAAACTTGAATGAGTTTGCGAACCAGCACGGTCGGACCATGGGAACGGGGCTTTAAGGGGGGTTTTATGGGGTAAAAATTGGTTTTTCTCACTTTTGACCCTCAAAACACAAAATTTCCCGATTTCTCTTTAGACCTTATTAAAGACTAAAGAGCTTAAAAAAACAAATAATTTAGTATATAAAAGTATTTTTGTTCGATTATTAGTAACGGAGAAAATTAAAAAAATTGTAAATTTAAAATTCCCATGTTATTCTTATGGAAAATATTGTCAAATGTTGTAGTTTGCTTGTTTGTGGATATATTTTGATCAAACTTGGCAAATTTATTTATTTTGTACTAAGCTATCAATATTTTACTCAAAAACACACTTTATTAGTTTCCTTGTAGCAGCAAACCTAGGTACTCGTTAAACCTAATGTTATTAAAATATATTTAACTGAAAATCAATTCAGACAAATGGAAATTCGCTTAGTCGGCAGGTTTGCTGCGGCGGGGGTATTTATGTATAAGATGTTCGAAACACATTAAAAATAGGCATAGTACTAGTTAAATCCCTAAATAATTCACCAAGGATTAAATAAGCATACTTTTTATTAGAAGAGGGTATCGTGGGTGTTTTGCCACAAACTGTGCTTTAAGTTCTTCATTTTTGGTACACTCCAACCACTCTCTCCCATGTTCTTTCAGGTATTCCATCTCAGCTCCTCTACGATCCCCTTTAGTGACAGGGCTACCGTTCAAAATCTGAAAGCAGTCAAATATTAAAGCATTAACTACAGCATTGACACAGAATGTTTTTAATTGTTTTTTTTCTCTGATATTGCTTCAAGATCTTCATTTGAATTTGTCTTTTTTCTAACTTGTTTGAATTGGTAACTTTCTCTCAATTGTGCTGTTCTTGTTGTATTTTGTTGTAACTTATTACTTTTAGTTTTTATAACTTATTGATTGACCATGCATCTGTTCACCATTGCCTTTGTAATGAAGAATGTTTTATGCAATAAAATACTTATGACTTATGACTTAACTAACTTAAAGCAGTAATTGTACAAATCGTAACTTTACTAAAGACGCTTAGTTGAGTTAAGTGAGATAAAGTATATTTCATCACTAGAGTGTAAAGTGACTCTTTGTGACCTGAGGTCGGAAAAGGTGCGAGGGTTGAAAACACTTTTTGCCCGTGTGATAAACTATATTTTTTATCATATTGCACCATTATTAAAGCAAAATAAGCAACAAAACGAAAATACTTTTCATGTAAAAAATAACCTCTCAAAACGACTTCAAGCTTGTTTTCAATTTTGTTAATGCAAACAAGGTTGTTTGGTAAGTGTTTAAGTTATTTTGTCTATTACAATTGTGTGTACATTATACTATTGACTGTAGGCCTATATAGTCAATGATTATACTGTTGATATGTCAAACTATTGACAAGGCAAAAAATAAGCTACAACCGATACGGACTTTCGATACATGCGATTTCTTTAAATTTAAATCTACAAATAAGTGAACTACAGCTGACTTTTACTTCCTAGGGACTAAAAACACTTTTTACTCCCTACGGAGAAAAAGAGCTGCTTTAGACTCGCAACGCATGTATAAAATGGCTGTTTTTGCTGGGGAAAAAGAAGGTTAGGCAAGGTTGTATTTTATTTAAATTAAAAGCACTCTTTGATTCAGTGAATCCACTGGCTTGAAACAAAAATCCACATCGGTGGGTTTTGAAACACTTATACAGTTGACAAAACGATTGACAACATAGCCTCAGTCTTAACAAGCGACTTGTTGTGACATTCTTCTCATAGTCTTATTTCATCTTCACTGTCAATTAGAATCAGCAAGCAAAAAAAGGATAAATAAATTGACTGTTGAATATAGACAGCTTGCTCTTGACAAGCCAGAGCAAAGTGTCTTTACAAGGCTTAGTATTTTAATTTTTTTATATATATCTGGAATTCATTTCTAAATGTATTGAGGTAAGAAATATCAAATTTCATCATCAAAACACAGAATTTAAATTTCCAAGCTAATAAAATCGTTGTGATGTAATTAATAATTTACCTTTAACATTTATATATATGGCTCAGACTGAACCTTCGATTTGTCTTTGTCAACTACAAACGTCTTTTGAACTGAAGTGTGAGCTAAGGCTATTATTTTCAATCAAGTCTATTTGTGATGAATTAGCCTTCTGAAAATATTTATAAAACTGAAAATAATTTCAAAAACTTACTTGAAGGGGTCCTATTCTTGCTATGATCTTATAATGAACGCTTTCTACTTTCATATTCTCCAGCAAGGGGTTGCGGGAAAACCGTAGCTCATGTAGCTTTGGTAGTTTGTGCAGCTCAGAAATAGACTCCCACTGTAAAATCAAACACATATATTGTTAAATAGAGATGATACCTATCTGTGTGTTCACAAAAAAATACCACTAAACCTACCAAGCTCAAATACTGTTCAAGGTAGATCATGAACACAGCAAAGACATGGGCTTATTCATGTCTTGTAAAGGAAAAAATAAAAAAACTCTACTCTCATATATTTAAATATTATATTTAAATATATCTACTCCTTGCAATGCTCTCAAAGTGAATTCTTTACAAATCTTGGTTGCCCCTGGGTTGGAAGAACTTGGAAGTAAAAATACAAAACAGAGCTTGGCAGTGGAAGCTTGATGTTAAAGTAATATTTGTGTGGGCCCTGTAAAATAAGAATACTCCCCAAAGGTCCTTAGGGGACGTTCTTGGTACTGTTTGAAAGTTCTTCCAGACTGTAATACCTTTGTAATAATAATACCAATCTTAAATCTACACTGAATTTAACCTGCTCACTACCACACTGATATTTAGTGTTGCACTTAAAAGGTGAATCTTTTGTAGTGGCCTATGATTTATTGAATTACCTTCTGTTTACCAATTAGATACTATTGCATATACTGAATTACCAAGGTTATTGAGAACTAAAAAGTGAGTAACAATTTGATTTATTGTACAGTATTTACTTAGCACAATGATTACAATTGGAAGTTATTGATTCTGTTTATGTAAGACAAAATAACCATTGAGCGACACAATCAATTAGAATTCCTGTGTTTGAGAATATTGAATGAATTTATCAAAAGGGGAGATTCGGCGCGGCTACACACCGATCTCGAAGGTGTCAACGGGAGAGTGGTATTTAATTTAATTTTAGATGACCAGTGCCAAGCAAGTCCTGTTCGTTGGCCAACGATGTAAATATGAAGGTCGATTCTCGAAGGTCAACTGATTAAACAGTATTGCGTTTAATCGTAGTAATGCTTATTGGAACGTCGCTTATTGTTTTATGGCTAATTTGGCACTTTGGTGGTTCATCTATATGCAAACTGACACAACCTCCGATAACACTTCCGGATTCAGCCGAACCAGCTACCTACTCCCTCCTTTGATATTAATTTGATTCCCCCAAATTTAAATACTGATTGTGACACTCTTTAACGAATTGTACCTTTAATAATGACTCTCTGTAAAATTCCAATACTATAAAAATATTACAAAGCAACTCTGAATTACCCTATAAAAACATTTTCATCTATTTATTCTTAATACTATTGGATTATCACAGTCTAATAAATAAAGCGGATTGTTACAATATGAATGGATATACAAATCAGCGAATTGAGATCGAACCTGTGAACATGTGCTTATACTACATGAATTAACAAAACAAGACAGGAAAAATTTGCAAAGTGCGACTCACTGAATTTTCAATATATATACCAAATAAATGACACAGATTACTTACAGTTTTGGACGTCCACAAATATGACACAAATAAGGGGATAAGGATGAGGAAATGTACCTAGTCGGTATTCTAATACAAACGCGATCAATTGAAACTCGTGTGACGATCGTGAAATTTTCAAATACGGACTGCGTTGGCCGGTTAACAAACTTTTGCACTTTTGACAACAAAACTGATTCTAATTTCCGATCGCGAGGCAATTATATCCCTTAGGGATATAGGCTGAACGACTTTAAGGAAATTTGAGATTGCCCGACCAAACGCCGCGAGATGAATTTAATTTGCACGAACGAAAAAGTTTTACCGAACTAGATACGTCGAGAGTTGGAGAAGAACAGACCACACAGATACGCTGGTTGCTGGCGGCTCGCTGCATTCCCCTACCACTTTGTGTTTGGAATTCTGGGTAATTGATCAGCTGACTTTTTGTTTTCGTCTGCTACACGTTAATTCGTTGTTTATACGACGAAATCGGTACAGTCTCTGATATTTTGTCAGGCTTGGAAAAATATTAGAGATTTTCATTGAAATAGGCAAAAAGTACAACTTAGATTTTCCTCTATAATCTATGGTATGTTTGTAACTGTTTTTACAGTAGATTTAAAGACCCATGTCATTCTCGTATGTATTCTCACCTCGTTGCTAAGCACAAGAAGAGTAAATAGTTTTAATAAAATTGTTAATTAAGTTAATTGATTATACAACACTACTGATTGAACTAAACCAAAGAGAAAGAACATTTTTTTAAACAAAAAACCAAGAGGTACATTTAAGTTTATGTTTGAATTGTGTGTAACAGTTTTCTTCAGTAGTGTTAGAGAATCACATTTATTTCTTCTGCATACATACCTTGCTAATTTTATTGTCTGAAATCAAGAGGCAGTGAAGGGTTTTGAACAAACTTTGTGATTCAGGCAGACTTATATCTGTCAGACCAAGGGAGGAGAGGTTAAGTGTTCCCAGCCTGAAACACAAACAAAATATTTATTAAGTAAGCTGATGCATAAGTTATTAAACATATTTTCTATGGTTCAAAAAGTTCATATTTTTCACTCTCTATTTTGATTTTAGAAACAAAATCAAATCAAAAACACTACATTGGACTAGTCAATGAACTCAAATTCAAATCATGCTATATATTTCACTGAAAATATGTGAAATAGATAGCAAAAAAAAGCTATTGAGTCATGAAGGTTCATCAAAATATTAATTCAATTTGTTTATCAATAGTATTTTTTGTGTCAAAAGCAAAATTAAAGTGTCTGTACCTGTCAAGTTTACCAAGCTGATTTATTTCCTTCCATTCCATTATTGGGTTCCCTTCCAGATCAAGGTTTGTCAAGTTAACCAATGTATTTTCTGGCAAACAAATGGTGGTGATGTTGTTAAAAGGCACCTGAACAAAATAACATATTGAATAAATTTTGTAATTTTGAAAGTAAAACATTGCTAAAACTCTAGTTTCACCTAGTATGCTTTGTGACCACATTGCCAAGAAGCTGGTGAAAATCTGTTACCAATGGTTTCCCTGACAATCAAAATGTGGCTGGTTCTCTCCTCAGTAAAGTCAGTTGAAGCTTTTTCAAGGTTTGCAACTGGACCCAGCTGTCCATAATCATAGTCTTGGCTGATAAAACAGCTGGTTTTAGTCCGTAACAAATCCATACAGATCATCTCACTCCATTCTACTCACGGCTACCTTTAACTCCAGGCCGCGGCCTGGTAGAATTTATTTATTTAAATTTAAATTTATGAACATCAAATTATTAATATATTGAAAATAAAACATATATAATTAATTGAAAACCAAAACAGTATTTAAATTGAAAAATCTATTTTGCACATTTAAAGTGAATTCAATATTTTCATAGCCCCGTAACCAAGCTTTTGTATTCTCAAAATATGTACACAAATACCATTAGCTGCCTCCAAAAAAACAGCTGTTACAAACAACCCTACTTGCAATGTTGCCACTTTTCGAAGGCCGCGGCCTGGAGTTAAAGGGGGCCGTGATTCTACTACACTTACTTTGCATTCATTTTCAACTTAAAATCCACACCTAGCTGCATTGTTGTCTCAAGTGTAATGGTAATGAGCCCTTCTCGCTGAGAAGAAAATAAGAGTTAGGTGATTCTAATAAATAAATGGTTAGTCGACTCATTTATATAACTGAACAGTGTTATGTTTTATGTTTGTTTATTGTGTAGGCCTATCTGAAGCCCCTGGACTGAAAAATTTTCTCAGGTAAGCTAGCTGAACTTAATTTTGGTACTTTGGTATTATTCGGAGGCCACTTATTTTAGAGAGATTTATTTTAAGACCAAAAATAACTACATAATTGGAAAGAACATAATTTTATTGACTTACAGTCTAAATTTGACATGATTATGATTAGCGGCCTTTGAGTTCTGCCTCCCAGAAAGCAGCGATGTCACCGAGGAGTTGAATGCATCGCTGCCAAGGTCAACGACCTGACCTTGGCCTACTTGGAGGGGATTTGGCGTGCGAGAGTATGACTCATCTGGTATTGTTCGATTCATAATGAAACGAGGAAAGTCCTTCAAACATATTTATGATAACCCAACCTAACATAATCACCGCAGCCCGCTGTATAAGGGTGGCCTCTGGATAATACAAAAGTACCTCAATTTCTTTTCAAAGAATTCTTCATTTATGTTACTGTTTACATAAGACTTGTTGTTCAGGAAAAATAATAGTTCTTCCTAAATTGGCTATAAAATATCTGAATCAAAATATTTTTTTCTGTAAATCAAAGTGAAAAAGCTTTGCAATATAGGTTACTCACTTGTAAGCTTTCAATTTGAGGCCACATTTTCGAACAGGTACATATTTCTTCCCAGGTATAATCCATGTTTCCGAGAACTAAATGAGAAAGACTTCTGAAGGCTAACTGGAATTTTTCAGGGTTTTCTGGTACTCTTAGTCTGTTATTGCTGTAAAATAATTCAATTATAACTGTAATGACTTTCACAGAAAGATCTCTTTTGTACCCGTGCAATGATTCTATAAAGTCACACCAGTTTACAAATTATGTATCATAATATTTCTACATTAGGGTATAAAAATAATGATTACAAATTAATAGTACTTTTATACTCTTGCTATACCTACTATAATTTTATGATCATGAATATACAAACGTTTTTGTGTATTCTTCGAAGCACTGCCAGGGGTGGATAGGATGGGTAGATTTTTTATAGAACGTTTTGCTACATTTAACTATGTACGTTCAAACAAAGTGTTATTTTTAAAGCTCATGTTCTAACAATAACGACTGAAACGAGGACACTTATTAAAACAAAAGTACACAACACAATTTTACTTAAAATGAAAATAAAATATTTAAATTATTCAAAGCGGTCAAAGGCTCACAATTAAAACTTTTAACAGCCAACAAGTTTTACTTTTCAATACTAACTTGAGACGGAGAAACTTGAGGTTAGGAAAGTTGACAACTATTTCAGCGACCTGGTCCCACGAGGTGAAAAGATTGTAGGAGAGGTCAATCTCTTGTACATTGGGACACATAGAGTCCAATCCTTCCCCAGCACACCACACTTGCTGATTGCTTAGACACACCACCTGTAGGTTGGAGAAACACCTAGACAAACAGACAACAGACACATAGAGTCCAATCCTTCCCCAGCACACCACACTTGCTGATTGCTTAGACACACCACCTGTACGTTGGAGAAACACCTAGACAAACAGACAACAGACACATAGAGTCCAATCCTTCCCCAGCACACCACACTTGCTGATTGCTTAGACAAACCACCTGTAGGTTGGAGAAACACCTAGACAAACAGACAACAGACACATAGAGTCCAATCCTTCCCCAGCACACCACACTTGCTGATTGCTTAGACACACCACCTGTAGGTTGGAGAAACACCTAGACAAACAGACAACAGACACATAGAGTCCAATCCTTCCCCAGCACACCACACTTGCTGATTGCTTAGACACACCACCTGTAGGTTGGAGAAACACCTAGACAAACAGACAACAGACACATAGAGTCCAATCCTTCCCCAGCACACCACACTTGCTGATTGCTTAGACACACCACCTGTAGGTTGGAGAAACACCTAGACAAACAGACAACAGACACATAGAGTCCAGGCTTTCCCCAGCACACCACACTTGCTGATTGCTTAGACACACCACCTGTAGGTTGGAGAAACACCTAGACAAACAGACAACAGACACATAGAGTCCAATCCTTCCCCAGCACACCACACTTGCTGATTGCTTAGACACACCATCTGTAGGTTGGAGAAACACCTAGACAAACAGACAACAGACACATAGAGTCCAATCCTTCCCCAGCACACCACACTTGCTGATTGCTTAGACACACCACCTGTAGGTTGGAGAAACACCTAGACAAACAGACAACAGACACATAGAGTCCAGGCTTTCCCCAGCACACCACACTTGCTGATTGCTTAGACAAACCACCAGTAGGTTGGAGAAACACCTAGACAAACAGACAACAGACACATAGAGTCCAATCCTTCCCCAGCACACCACACTTGCTGATTGCTTAGACACACCACCTGTAGGTTGGAGAAACACCTAGACAAACAGACAACAGACACATAGAGTCCAATCCTTCCCCAGCACACCACACTTGCTGATTGCTTAGACAAACCACCAGTAGGTTGGAGAAACACCTAGACAAACAGACAACAGACACATAGAGTCCAATCCTTCCCCAGCACACCACACTTGCTGATTGCTTAGACAAACCACCTGTAGGTTGGAGAAACACCTAGACAAACAGACAACAGACACATAGAGTCCAATCCTTCCCCAGCACACCACACTTGCTGATTGCTTAGACAAACCACCAGTAGGTTGGAGAAACACCTAGACAAACAGACAACAGACACATAGAGTCCAATCCTTCCCCAGCACACCACACTTGCTGATTGCTTAGACACACCACCTGTAGGTTGGAGAAACACCTAGACAAACAGACAACAGACACATAGAGTCCAATCCTTCCCCAGCACACCACACTTGCTGATTGCTTAGACACACCACCTGTAGGTTGGAGAAACACCTAGACAAACAGACAACAGACACATAGAGTCCAATCCTTCCCCAGCACACCACACTTGCTGATTGCTTAGACACACCACCTGTAGGTTGGAGAAACACCTAGACAAACAGACAACAGACACATAGAGTCCAATCCTTCCCCAGCACACCACACTTGCTGATTGCTTAGACACACCACCTGTAGGTTGGAGAAACACCTAGACAAACAGACACATAGAGTCCAGGCCTTCCCTGTAATATTTAAACAAATATTTAACTGGTCGTCGCCCAGAATTAGTCATGTGAGTACGTGAGTTGTGGCCACCGCGACGACAACAACGACCGGTCTTTAAATGTATTAAATGTGTGTTTGTGTATGGTGCAATGACTGTTTTATATTAATATATTCAAGACGAAGCGATAGCGGATACTTGAGGATGTCACTGTGCTGACGAAACGCGTCGTAAATAACAATCATTTGGAATGGAAGAAGGTAATATTATTATTATTTATTAATAACTAACGTTCTAGTAGTAGGAAATGAATTCTAATTTTAATTTTTGATACGAGCCTGTTAATTGGAGATAGTGACTTTCTTAATTTAAGGAAGAAAGGAAGTAAACGTATTAACATGACAAGTTTAGGAAGGATTTGAAATATGTGACGTGTATCCAAATTTTTCCCTTCAAAATACTCTCTGATGCAAAGTACGGGTACGGCAGCTAGGTTTATTATAATTCAAAAGTTTTTTAATTCTATATTATGATTAAAATTTGTCCTCCAATGCTTATAAATTATTTTCCGATCAAGATGTACAGTAGACTCCCTCTTATCCGGACAATTTTTATCAGCACATCGGTTTAACCGGACTAGATCGGCAGTAAGTGGGCGGCACTGAAACGACTGTTCTTGTAGGAAAGATTTGAGACCAGTGATCATGTGTCTCAATACAATGCTCTCCTAAATTTAAGTCAAATATTTGGGTTACATAACAAGTTTTTGGGGACGTCGGTTTAACCGGAAAAACCATTATTCGGACTGGCCTCAGTCCCGTGGAGTTACTTAAAATTATTGATCCAAACAATGCCTAATAAAAAGACAATATGAATATATTAGCCATAAAACCGCTATGTGACCTTCAATCCATATTGATAACACCATTACAAGGGGATTCACAGTACCAAATTATCTGTGCTGTGAATCATAATCAAGTCCTACATACACTTCACTAGCCAGTGGATGTATTGAATAATTAACTATACATTTAAATTTGTGAAAGAAACATATTCATGTTCATGGCAAAGAAAAAAAATCACTGCCAAAATAATAAAACTTGAAGACAACGCATTTTACTTTTGAAATTCACTATACAGCCCAACTCAGGTAAAAGTAAATAAATAAATAAGTAAATCTATACTTTTTCCACACAAATGAATTATTAAGTTTAAACTTTCCATAGGTTATACGTCTATGATTCATGTAAACAAAGCTTTGAATACTAGGGATGTGCAGGACTGGATTAACTTCAATTTAAAATTTTATTATATTTTTAGCGAATTTCCCTACAGGGAAGTAGCTATTACCGTAGGTCTCATGGTAAGACTTGAGATTTACTATTTCATTTTGATGTCCAAAGAGGCCAAAAACACTATTCGTTCAAATGTTTATATATGTATATATATTTATGTGTGTGTGTGTGTCCGTGAACGTCATAACTTGAGTACCGTAATTTTTGTCCGATTTTGATTTAATTTGGTTCAAAGGTATAAGGCGGGATAAACATGAATGAGTTTGCGAACCAGCATGATCGGACCATGGGAACGGGGTTTTACGGGGGGTTTTATGGAAGTAAAAATAAGTTTTTCTCATTTTTGACCCTCAAAACACAAAATTTTCCAATTTATCTCAAGACTTTTTTAAAGAGCTTAAAAAACAAATAATTTAGTATATCAAAGTGTTTTTGTACGGTTAATAGTAACGGAGAAATTTAAAAAAATTGTAAATTTAAAATTCCCATGTTATTCTTATGAAGATTATTGTAAAATGTTGTAGTTTGCTTTTTTATGGATATATTTTGAGCAAAATTGGCAAATTTATTTATTTTATACAAAGCTATTGATATTTTACTAAAAATACACACTTTATTAGTTTCCTTGTAGCAGCAAACCAAGGTACTTCTTAACCCTAATGTTATTTAAGTAGATTTAATTGAAAATCAATTCAGACAAATGTAAATTTGGTTAATCGGCAGGTTTGCTGTGGTGGGGGTAAATGTCAAACCAATAAATGTTCTTATCCGAGTGGCGGATCTAGAACAGTCACAAGTGGGGGGCGAACCGAGGGGTCTGGGGGTTCGGGGGTACTTTTATTTATTAACAGTATTAACAGTATAACAGTACCCCCCCCCTGAAAGATTTTTGTAAACTAAGTCTCCAAAATGGCAGTTTTATACCATTTTTTTTTTCCAAAGTTATAAAGTGACAAATTATTTTACGCAATGTGTATGCACTACTGTATTACTTGCAGTCAAATGAATATATTATGCATGCCCGAGGGGGGGGGGCGGTCGCCCCCTTCACCCCCCCTTTGGATCCGCCACTGTGTGATTAAACCAATGTTCTGCACAAAAATATGCATTTATAACGAAACAAAATTTGAAAACCCATTTTAAAAAGTAAATGCAATTTTTAGAGACATTTTCTAAAAATAAGTCTTGTTACCTCTGCAACTGGTTGATTTTCTCAAAACCGACCATCTCAACATTTGGGGCATTCATAGCTCTTTGCAGATCCTGTAAAATAATAAAACCAGATAAACTTCTAGATAAAAATCTGAGCTTTGAAGGATTTTTCAATATATATATTTCTACGGCCAAACTTCTCGAACTCTTTCAAGTTTGTCCAGATCTACACATTCATGCAAAATTTCATCAAAATCTGAACAAACCTACATACAAATTCAATGTACAGTATAGTGATTTTGGCCTCTGGGGATATAAAAATGAAAAAGTAAATCAACCCAGGGTCTAGGTCTTTCCATAGGTCTAGGCCTATGGTAATAGGCTCTTCCCTGTATAGAAATTTGCTTAAGTAATGACTAGCAGCCTGCGTCACTTTGTGACTTCATAGCCTTAATATATTTGATATATAGTTGATAAGGGTGAAAATGATTATTTCTCATCATATCCCTATTATTTCCATTACATGCATGATATCTTCGAGGCTTCTTAGAAAAATTACAAATGCTAATGAAACATACTATGAAAAGACAAAATCTAACATAAGTCATTTTCTTCTTTACATTTTAAACAAATAACTTTACGGTACTATATTTTACTTGAATTAACTGAAACATCACCTACTAAAGACAACCCCATCATGGATGTAAACACAATTGTATCATGGTCAACGGTTTTGATTTAAACATAACAAATGTAAACTTGAAAAAGTTCAGATGATTGACAACAGAATTCAGCACAAACTCTGAAATTTTAAAAGCCTGTAGGATAAAGGGCTTTCACGAGATATCATCCAAACCCACAAAAGGAACATCTAGAGGATAAGGGCTTTAAATTGATACCCAATATGCGTATGAAAATAAATATTTAGGGGTCTATTTGCTACACACAAAAATCCAACAAATTCTTTTACAGTCTAACCTTGATATAACGAGATACTTGATACAACAATTTTGTTTTATATCCCCTAGAACACTCCGTAAGACTCAATGTATATATTACCCCTACATAACGAACAAATTATATCAACAACCTTGATTTAACCAATTTTTGACGATCCTGGCTAAAATAAGACACCTCAATGTAACGAATTTATCATTGTGAGAACCTCTACATAGCAAATTTAACCTCTACTTAACGAATTGTCTGCGTCTTTCCTTCGAGATAACAAACTCCCCCACATTATTATTTTTTTTAAATCACACTTTCTTGATAAATATAAAATGGTAAGATGACGTCAACGCTTGCGCAAAATTCGTCTCCACAGTTTTTCACATCTCCACGTCTTTCTGCTGTGCGCGTTACGACTGATTTCATTCAATGAGGACTGATGACCAAGATCTTGTTTCTGAACCTTGGCTGAGCAAAATTCCTCCATCCCAACAAACCTCGTTTTAAAGAAATCCTTGATATAACGAATATTCAGTTTGGTCCCTTCACATTGGTTATACCGAGGTTGGACTGTAATAATATAGTGATAGTGGATAATATAGTGATAATATAGTGGATAGTGATAATGAATGATTCAGTTTGTTCAGTCACAATTCACCTGCAGCTCCTCCACCGTAAGTGTGACATCATTGTTGCCATATCTTTCCTGGATGGCAGCTACACACGAGCGGCCGAAGTCCGCCTTCTCTAGTCTGACGAACGATCCTGCCGTAGGAAGTCTGCCAAAGGAACATATAGAAAATAGATATCTAAATTAATTAGGGATATTTTAATTCTATGTTTGAATTTAATTTTTTGTGATAATTATAAGTATATGTTAAAAGAGTAATTATTGAAGAAATTATTCATTGTGATTGGTAAAAACCAAGTTTTCCTAACGTTTTGAGATTTGGAATCTGATCTCATCCTACGGTGAGAAAGTTACAAAATGGTGACAAGATTCATAGTCATATTATATGCTGGACAGTTTTTAATTTATGTAATTATCATATTTATCTGACTAATTAATTGAATAACATCAAGCCAACTTACACTTGAGCTAAAAATTTTAAAAACATTTTAATATTACTCTGAGGAATAATGTAGGATCCAAACATACATGAATTTCTTTTTATTTGCTTCAGTTTCCCAAATAGACGATTCCGTGTCAAGAAATAATATTTATTCAATCTCCCCCAAAGGTCCCAGAGTGATCAATAACAATTAGAAGTTAATTGAACTGATGGAAGATTCCCTATAAGTAACAATTGATGGAGATTTGTTTATCTCTCACAATAAAAGCATTCTCTAGTATTTCTGTCCATGAGAACATAAACCTATTTCTACCCACAAAATGTAGGAATTCTACAACCTCTCAGTGGTGTGATATATAACCTAGTGAAGTACATAGCTTTTATCCATTTTATGTGATTAATTTAAATATTAAAAGCCAAGATTATGAATCATTGTTTTGTCTTGCTTACAGAACTCATGACTTATGAATAAAAAAAACCCCCGAACATCAAGAGTTTTTCTTTGTCTTCTAGAAACTTAGCTTTTTCTAGCCTTAAGTAAACATATTTTTTATGAGACATAAAAATAATATCTTAAAATATTTGTTTTAGAATATGATTACAATAATTACCAATTACACATTTTGTTATAATAAGCAATTTTTCAATCAATTCCTAACATGTATAAAAACAAAATAATAATTTTGACTTAAAATGCAAGATTACATTTTTTTAACACTTGTCTCCTGTTTGCAGAAATGTTGTATTATATTAATTTATTGTTTAGTAGCTTATGTTAGTAATTTACTTTAAATTTGTATCTTTAATAATAGAAAATGATGTTAAGGTTAGACACATTTTTGAGCAGTTTCTGTAAATTTAAATATTTGTGGTGTTTTTGTATATTATTTTTCTTTAGGACACAATACCTTTTTTTGAGAAAAAACATTACTTGTTTTCCAAATTGTTTATAGGCAATATCACTTGTACCTGGTCTGGAAGTATCTGACGCCGTTGTACATGCCGTCATGTTTACCCCTAGAGGGATCGTCCCACTCCACACCAAGCCACACGCCTGGCGCCGGGGGTACAGCGCCGACATACTGTACGGTACCTCGGTGTTCTCCCACAGCCACTCGGCGCCCGACTGCATCCCCTGGGCACTCACAACTCACCATACCTCCTGTCACCACACAAGTCATCTATTACTTATTTAATATGCAAATGCAATCTGGTTTTTTGTGACAATTACTCCTCCGAAACTACTGAACCGATTGAAATGTTTTTGATGTCATTGGAAAGACCGTAACGTGAAGTTGTGCAGGAAACTTTCCTTTTAGGGAAATAACTAGAGAGTGAGGCCCTGGGGCCCTTTAAAGTTTTGTATTTCTCCATAAGATTAACATGGGAAACAAACATTGTTATGAAACTCCAGCTTTTGTCAGAAATTAAAGTGAGAAGAAGAACATATGTTAATTGTAAACAGTAATATTTTGGTTGCAATTTAAGTAAACGTGTGCTACAAGCATTTACTGACTTGGTTGATGTGAAATATTTACTACCTATTTGAATTTGGGTTGACGTAAATATTACAATGCGAGAAAGTCTGGACATTTTGATATACTAAAAAGAAAACTGAATTAACACTGTGCTGCATTTCTTGAGCCACTTATTTGAAAGAGCCGATTTGCAAACTATGGAAACATAGGAAAGTCATAGAAGACCACTAAGTAGAAGAGATAGAAATAATGTTTTTTTTTTATAATTGTTAGTATGGGCAACCTAATATGAGTGGGGAAACATGTAGGAAACACTAAAAAACAAGATCAGCTTTTGAAAATATGATAAGATATTTACAAGAAATGTTGATAATATTGAACTGTTATGTACATCGTGAGTATTTCCATAATCTATGAGTCGACCCTGTTTAAAGTCCCATAAAAAACTATGACTGTTATTAGTTTTAAAATACCGCCTGTAATACTTTGCAATTGCTCAAATTCGAGCAAGAGGTACACTAGTTAGTGTTTATTACCTGTGATTTCCTTAATGAATAAACAAAAATATATAAACTACAACAGGTAAAAACAAAATAAATAAAAAATTGAAACAATTGGCAGAATGAGTAATTATTTGGATGGTTAAAAACATTTAACATTTGAAAATTCAAAAAGATTTAGCAGTGTTGTGCTCTGACACGCCCTTGTCCATATTACCCATAAAATTGAGAGAGTGCAAGTGCATAGTTAGTATAACTATTCTGATTAATTTATTTGTTATAAATCATCGTAACATGGTTTGGGGTTGAATTGGCAGTAGTTAAATTAAATCATTTTATTTTGGTAAATCTTAGTTTGGACATAAAGGCATTATATGAAACTTTTTCTACCTTACCTAACCTACCATACAACATTAGTGAGATAACGGAGAGTACTCATTTTGATATCCCATCAAAGATAATTATATCAACATCAACAAAACCTATATCAAACACTTTAGACAAGATTTGTCATTCATTATGACAATTACAAAGAAAAGTGAGCGATAAAGGTAAGTGCTAATGTAATTCATTCAGTGTGCCAAATACTACCAGGTAAAAATAAACAGGCAACTCAAGGCATTGACCAACTGATTGTTGGTTGTTGGCAAGACTGTTGGCTTTGCATTAACTCACAATGTTTACATGTTATATGCACAATGTGGCCATGACTAATCTATGGGACTAATCTTCAATATATTTTTTTGTAGAGATAATTTTACATCATAGAAAAGTCAACTTTTAACCTTAAAAAGTGTGTGACAAAATTAACTTTTTTTCTGAATGGAAAGTTAAAGTCAACCATGAAATACAGTAGTTCAATGTAACCAATAAAACCAAAATTTGTACAAAGGAGTTAAAGTAGTTAAGAATTTAAATTTACATAATTTACAAACGCCAGTATTTTTACAAGTGTTGGGCCTATACACAACCATGATGTTAAAATAAAAAGAGGGTTCTACCATGTTCTACCTAATGTTTTCAAATTATCTAACACATCTTATTAAGTGAAGAACTGGGAAGAATATTAGATCATTGTTTCTGCTTATGTACTTTTAAGATTAAACTATTGTAAACAAAACAATAACGAAAATCAAATTAAACAGCTTTAAATGTTTTCTACGTAAACATAAGATGTTTACTACACAGAAATAAAATAAAATGTTAATATAAACAATAACATAGCCTATTTAAACTAAAGCTGATTTTAAAATACACATATTCTATTTTTTATAATAGGATAATTATAAAGGAAAATGACCTTTGATTCGATGAACAACGAAAATTAGTTCACCAAAATGTAGATAAGTGTGATTTCAAAGAAGATGAACAAAAAATTAATGACAAACTAAACAATATCTGTGTTTTGGAATATTAATGCCCATTGACCCTTGATTGCCGGGTTTTTTGTACGAGAATTTTATCACGTACATTTATCCGACTATTTTCTTACAAACAAATACCGTACGAGAATTTTATCACACACATTTACGAGAATGATATTACGCACATTGATACTAAAGTTTTATGACGTACATTGATAGAGTAATTTTGTTAGGAACATTTATATAATAACTATTCTATGACGTACATTAACACAATAATTTTATTACGTATCAAGATTTTTACGGCACATTGATAAAAAAACATAAAGGATGTTATCGCACATTGATACAAAAATGTATAATAGCCTATAGGATAATTTTATCACTTACATTACGTCACTAGTTATAGGCTATATAAACATGTTATTTCTATAAAAATATTATATTTCTCTCTTTTTCAAAGTAGAATTGCCTATGTGTTGATGTTTTGGGAAAATTCTAGCTCCATAAGTAGTGTGTTAGTAGCCCAGAAGAAAATGTTGAGAATGATCACTAACGCTGACACAGATATACACGGCAAACCTAATTTTTTTTTTCAAGGGAAAAAAATCAAACAGTAATCAACCTATACATTTTTGCATGTCTTTTACATACAAAAAAGCACTTAAACACTGTCATTATCACATCCTATGAAGCTACAGGTATTGATTGACCTTTTCAATTGCTTGCCTTTTTCAGCTCAGCATGTTTTTTTTTTAGGGAGAGGTGGGAAAATGCATGTATGCACCCAGGTGGCTAGCCTGTAGTGTGGGACTCCAACGGGCTTAAGGCCCAGAGACTACCCACTAAAAACCTCCTCTACTCTTCGGACACTAGCCTGGGAACACTTGTCGCACTTCATCAGAACTAGGCCGAGTTTGCCTACGCCCGAGGGGCTTACGCCGTGTCTAGCCGTTTATTTCTTATCAAATCTAGACTATGTTCCGATCTAGATCGTTCTTTTTAGCTTGAAGGACATTCCGGACAAAGTGCGACCAGCAGTCCCAGTTGTCCTCACCCTTCAGCAAGGTCTCACAGATTGATTCAGTCGACAGCACCCCAAGATGTTGAATGGCTCAGCATGTTAGCTTAGATAGTTTTAAGAATGTGATGTATGCATGGTTGATAGTAAGGCCCTTCTACAGCCTTAAAGAATTTTTTGAAGCAGACTTTAGCTGTATTAATTTTGCATGATTTTTTCAAAAATACTCTTATTAAATGAACACTTATTTTGCTGTAGTGTAGTATTTTTTACTGTTGTATGATTGACTTGTGCATTTCAAGCTGATCTTGTTACAAGATCAATTGCATGTAATTGCCTAAAGATCAATAAATGTCTTATGTCAGTTCAGGATAGGACTAGTTGTTGAAATTTTACATCGCCAATTAGTAAATAAAAACTTTAATGTGATTTTCGAAACATAGAATCTGACCCCATCTTCAGGATTAGGTAGGAAGAAGCCTTGAACATAAAAAGTCTTGTAGGCCTACACGTAAACTGGACAGCGCCGGGGAAACCCAATGGTCATAACTACTAGTGTTTAGAGTAGTCAAATATGAAACACATCAACGATACAAACTAAGAATGATATCTTTAGGAGCAAGGAAAATATTACAGAAAACTAACAGGGAATACCAGGAATCAATCAGGTAAACTTGAACTATTAAACCAGTCAATTATAAACGTAGTAATGGACGACTGGTGGCCGATATAGGGGGGAAGTAATATAACCGCTGAGGGGGTAACTCAGGTGATGTTGGGATGGGGAAATATGCAATAGGAATTATTGCTCCAGCGTAAACAATATCACACACTTCACAAAAAAAAACTGCAGTGACTAAAACTTCGTCATTTTAAAATCACTCATCGTTCTGCCCTCGTGTAATGTGTAAGTATTTTTTTTATAAGGGACACACGATTATTGGTGATTTTTTTCGTAACGGAGCTGTATCTTGGTTGAGCATTTTAATGGACGACTGGCTTTTAAAAATACATCTTAGAATTATTAAGAAGTTGCTTGTTCAAGCTGTGATAACTTTATAACACACACTTAACTTGCTGATATTTCTGGGGTATATTTCCGATTTGTTTAATTTAAACTATTTAGGATATTTGATATTTTAATTTTTAGAAACTTGTATTTCATTCAGTGTATAAACTTAATTTTAACCTATTTTATTTTTATAAAAAAATTACAACAAACCCAGTTCTGATTTTTTACTCTGATCTGTAAAATGTCAATGGCAAAGAATTTGATTTTATGTTTTGTCATTTGTGCCAATGGAAAAAAAACAACACAGTACTATGAAACAATAGTTTATTAAACGTGCGAATGGCAATAAAATTATACTATGTACATTGCAACGTAATAAAAGCATGTCGTGAGAACTAGAGATACGTGGTTCATTGTGTTGATCTGTCAGCATCTACGTGTGACGCTAGCGGAGGTAGCGGCCATAATGTGTAGTAAAATCGCATTAAAACAACAAACACACTTTACCCTCAGAGATCAAAAGTAATTTAGCGTAATGAATGTGTAGGCACTCAAAAGCAATGCATGAGAACAATGAAAAAGAATTACAGAGCATAATTGATAATGAAACTGCCCGAGACTAAAAAAGTATTGACGACGTAAGGTACGTAAACCTATTTATTTTGTCATAAATCAATCCTGGAGGCAATGCTGAATAAATAAGATAATCATAAATGGTTTATAGCTACAGAGAAATTCGCGAATAAACTTGTTTTGGTTTCACTACAAAAACATGACAAACCAAACAAGTTTCAATCAACGTAAACGCGATACTTTCATTTCATTCATACGGATAAATCGGTACCATAATTGTGTAAAAGAATACGATAATTTCCCCGTGGCTATACGATAATCTGACGAGTGACGACGTTGACCGCTAGTCAGTGATATTTTATACCCCACGCGCGACGCGGCAGTCCTACTCTCCCAAGGTAAGCAAGTACACAACAAACACTGGCTTGGCCAAGTCAAATTTGGGCGCAGATCGACACTCTCTCTGTCTCAAAAAGTGAAAAGTTAAACTATGTCTAAAAACCTATTTTAAGGTTAGTAATGTGTATGTGTGTAGTAAATAATGTTTCTGCCAAGTTTATATAGATTTAAACTTATAGGATTTTAAAAGTATATGTTTACATGTAAAATCTTTTTGTGCTAAACAAGTGTAAACCTATTTGTTTACATTGTAGCTAGGACTTCTTTCGGCATTAAATTGTTACCCAAGATTAGTACGTTATCCAATATAGTTATACTTAGTTTTCTATGGTTATTGCGTACAACACTATTGTGCTTTTGGTGTTCATTTACGTTTGTTACCGTATCGTTTTTATTGTATTTTCGTTTATAGATTTTTCAACGATTCAAACAATAAAATATTGAGTAAACAATAAAATATAGTTCTTTATGGTTTAATGAATAAAAAATCAATAAAAACCTTCTACTGAGCATGCGATTTTCAGAAACGATTTACTTTTAAAAACAACACTTGTTATTAATCGAAATAAACCAAAAGTAAAAACAATCTATATATTACAGGAAAAATGAAAAAAAGAGTACAGAGATGAAACTTTGATTTTAACTTTGTTTTACCAATAGAAATCAAGATCCGATGAGTCCCTAACAATATTTTAATAATGACTTGTTGTATGTCGTTTTCAAAGGTTTTCTACATGCCGAATAGAATGGAACCACTAATTTGACTACCTATATAACCACACTATTACGGATTTGGAATGCTAACTAAAATAAAATAAAACATTGTGCACAAAACAAATTATTTTAATATTTAAACATGAAAATTAAAAACAATTAACTTACCAAAGGGCAATTAAATTGAAATTGGTTATTTGAATTTACCTATTTTTACAATAAATTTAATTTTCCCCATCATAATAAGCCTCATTGTGACTTAGAATTTTACCTTTGATTTGCTGAAGGATATAAAAACAGTATACAACATACCAAACATATACAATAAATATACAAATTTAGTAGGGGCTACGCAAAGATTAACAGATATTATTTACTTGAACTTTAAATCATAAAACATGTTTTAACAGGGTTCCCACAAATGTATCTTTAGTGAATTCCCTGACTTTCCGTGACCTTCCCTGACCCTTTTCTATTAATTTTCCTGGCCAAGGTATATTTTAGGTATTCTGAGCTTTCTTAATATTTTTAGATATAAGTATTTATCGTGATTATAAAAATTACATTTTATTATTTAATACGGTCTCTCTCTACCATACCCATAGCCGCCCTTATGCCTACTTTTAGCGAAATTCCTATACAGGGAATAAGTATTAACGTGGGTCTCATAGTAAGACCTGGATCTGGGACAAATTTACTTCTTTGTTTTGATGTCCCTAGACGCCAAAAACACAGTCCGTTCAAATTCATATAGTGTCCGTGAGCACAATAACTAGCAAAAATAATCCAATTCAGATGAAATTTGTAAAAATGGATAAACCTAAGTCTATTCGAACAAGTTCGCAAACCAGCATGATCGGAACATGGACAGGGTCTTATGTCCAGGGGTAAAAGTTAGTTTTTCTCATTTTTCATCACCAAAACATAAAACTTTCCAAATAATTTCTCTCAGAACCATTTTTAAGAGCTTAAAAACAATTATTTGGTTTATTGAAGTGTTTTTGTACAGTTATTGGTTACAGAGAAAAAAAATAATAAAAAGGGGAAAACATGAGTTCTTACTATTGAGCAAAGATTAATATTTCACTGATGATTAACTTGATATAGGGGGAAATAGTTCTGATCGAATACTGATTATTTTACTTAGCCCTCTCCTACCAAAACGTAATCCCCGAAGTACTGAGGCATTCCAAGTACACTAATTAATTCTGGGGGTTTTAATTGGCATAAAACTATTTTTTTTTATATTAAAGTACTGTATGCTACATCCCAATGAAAAAAAAAACAGACAGTCTCTCAATTTCTTTAGAAGTTGTATCAAAAAAGCGAAAAGCCGTTGTCACAAGCCATTTTGAAACTAATATGATTTTGTTTGTATCATATTTTAATCTGCTGTCTTTAGTGACAGTAAAAGTTGAGCAACAGGTTTCAATGACTATAGAGGAGAAAAATTCTGTGTGAGTAGCACTTACACTTAAAGCAAGATCATATAAATGTATCTTATTTTTGTTTAATTGCATGCTTTTACATTACAGAGTTGTTATTATTTCAGCAATCAAATTTCTGTATATGGTTTGTAATAAAAATGCTTTTCGTTAATTATAAAATGTTTATTTACAATATATATTTTTTAAATTTCAACTACTGTATTAAGCCCAATTAACTACAACCGAGCAAGGCTCGGCCCCCCGGTACTAACATTTTATACTAAAAATTAAAAATATGAATTTAGTTTTTCTAAATTCAGTAATTTCTTAAAATAATCGTTAAACACTGAAATATTTGTGTATACAGAATAAACAAGAAACTCAGAGGTGTTTATCTTATTCAATGTGTGAGTTAAAATAATGTTTATTCCTTTAGCATTTCCTTAGAAAACTTGGGTGTTAGAGATGTTTATTTTAAATTTGATAAATACTGGTACACTTAAATCAACACTAACAAACAACAACTAACAAAATCATTTTACAACTAACTTTTCCAAATAATATTACTGTATAAAGCTATAGTCACATCTTAACATAGAGGGAAGATAAAATCATTGTTGCTTTGAAAAAATACACTTTAGCTATGCTGTGGAGTTTGAATGATACAAATTGTGACTGGTAATGATGACAATATCAAAATGACGAACATGACCTGAGATGATGTGTCATCAGTCATTAATCAGCTGATTGTTGGCAGAAAACTTACTGCCTCGGGACCAAAGTCTAACATTCATAGCCAATACAATGCACTAGCGAATAAGTAGGGTAACCTGACCCCCTGGAGTTTGACTCAGGGGGGAGGAAGAGGAATAATAACCTCCCAAAGCTGTTTGTATCTCTCTATAAAAAATTCACTTTACTATCAAAAAAGTTAACTGTTATTTGCAAATTTTTGACAAGAAACATTTCTAATAGTTCTTCTTAAAATTGACTCTGAGGGAATGGGAAAGAAGTGATGTTGGGGGTTGGGGGATGTAGAGTAGGGGTTAAAGCTCCCGGTAGATTAGGTTCATGGTGTTGGTACCTCAATAACTAGAATAAAGCACTTAGTGTACACATTGCTTGGTTTATATAACTTGAAGTAGGCCTACCAACTGGTAGAACTAAAGCCAACCAGGAGCTGTGACCTCTCTTCTCCATTCCCCACTACCCTTATAGTGGCTCTACTCAAGGCCCCACTAGAAAAAACAGGCCATGCTGCAGGATCCATGATGTCACACTTGTGGATAGATTCCCTGCCATATCCCATATGTTTTAGGTAAATAAGCTTGCTGCTTGTCAGAATTTTAACGGCAAAGGTTTTAGTACAGCTATCCAACACTGTGATGTAGTGTTACGCTGCCCGCACTGCAGCGTGGCCTGTTTTTCTAGTGGGGCCTTGCTCTACTCCACGGACACTATGGTGTTTGGTGTTATGGTAACTGTAAAACAGCATACAATAGTACCGTACCAGTATTTGTTAGACCTTTTTAATGAAATTGCAATGTCAACCAGTTTTTTTAGAAATAGGTCTTGAAACACTGTAGTTTCCTCCCTTAAACCGAACCTGGGGGAGCGAGCTGGCGTAGTGGTTAGAGCGCGGGACTTCAGTCCCTGGGGTCCCGGGTTCGATCCCCGCCAAGTCACCAATGGATTTTATCTAAGTGATAATGCCGCAACCCCTAGGTCTAGCCTGAAGTAATGTGAAAACAATCCCAAGCTCGTGCCTAGCATCCTAGGACAAAAAAAAAAAAAAACCGAGCCCTCAGAAGTAGGCCAACTACAGCCTAAGTGAAAATCTGCTGTATCAAGATAAACTTTAATAGTGTACCACTTGCTCAAATCCAGGATCAAATTAACATACTCTTGATCGTGTTGCTGTTTCAAATTTTCAGGAATCCAAGAAATTTTGTGTAACAAATTTTGTTGTAGGGAAAAAATGTTTTATGGAATAAAAGAAACACTAGAAGATAGTACGTTTAAGAAACATGTTGTTTTCATAATGTGATTTATAAGGGAGAAAAATCAATAACATATTCAACAATACAAATAAAAGATAAAAATTAAATAAATGAGGGTACATTAAAAAAACAATCTCCACTCCAAGTCAGAAATGCAAACAACGCAAGCACAGAAAACATACTACTATAACCCAGAATGCTAACCGCATGGTAAAAAGCGTAAAGTACTCGGAGAGAGCTTTGCCTCTCAATTCGTAGGCAGCGCCACCAGTGTTGCTATGCTGGTGCATTGTATGCTCGTGGCGCTGCCTACGAATTGACAGGCAAAGCTCTCTCTAAGTACTTAACGCTTTTACCATGCGGTTGGCATTCTGGGTTATAGTACACAGTATGTTTTCTGTGACGCAAGTGACAAGCAAAGGGAAATAAATCACAAGGCAAGTTCATTTCTCCATTTCCCCAAGAATCCATCCTCCCTTCTTCAGGGTGTCTAGATCAGCATTTGTCAAAATATAGTTAGCAGTCTACTGGTGACTTATGGGACCAATTTGGGTGGGTCGGACGGGAGACGGACAGCGGCCCAGATCTTTGTTTGGGTTAATCACCTGATTTACGGCCTGAGGGTAGTGGTCACCGGAGGAGGGGTGGGGAATCGAGAATTCTGAATCCCACCGGAGGCGTTTTTGTCCAAGATTTCACTGAGAATGCGATTACTTCTTAACTGTACATCTTTTGTTCGAATTTAAGACATTTATGATCAAAACTATTTTTTGATTAGTAGACCTTTATTCGATTTTGTCACTATCAGCAAGTTTGGTTGGTTTGGTTAGGTTATGATAGTTTGATTTTATAATTTAAAAATTATAAAAATTAATTTTAGGCATTTATAATTTTATTTATAAACAGAACTATTTTTTGATTAGTAAATCATCAGTTGATTTTTCATTATCAGCAAGTTTGGTTTGTTTGGTTAGGTTATGACAGTTAAATTAAATTTAAATTTAACCTACAAACAATACGTTTTGACAGCGACGGCAATAGAGCTAACCATTTGCCGTGAACAGTTCGGATATGCACGGTATGATGCGGAAGCGTTTGACACCAACCTAGAACTGACAGGTCAACCGACCGTGATTAGGAGGATTACAGCCTGGTCCATGTGCCTACACCCGTGTCGGACAAAGAGAGCAAACATTGAATATGTGAAATATTATTAAGACATGGGAACTACTAAGCTTTTGCTTGACGGAGTTAGCAGTATTATGAGGGGCATACTGGTCCAGGTTGATGAATTCAGTTTCAACAGTAAAATAACAAGTGGATTTAAAGTATACACATTACCTACAATAATTATGTAATATTTCTGTTGAGAAAAAAACTGTTTTTTTATTTTTAGAAAAATATGTGTCAGGAAAATATTATGGACTGAAGAGGATGTCATGAATAATTGCTCTATCCTAACAGTGATCAGTAGAAGAGTCTTGGAAGGAGTGCTTGACAGTCAATGAATATTTACCATTACAGTTAACAAATTGAAGGCTCCAGTTCCCCAATTAAACAAGGAAGTTCATGGATGGTTGGAGGATCTGATATTGTAGTGGGTGGATCATGTACAGATAATTACTTAATCAAGTACTTAAGTAATTACTTAATTACTTAGACAAATCAGCCAATATTATGACACAATGTGGAAAGTCAGAAGAAGAGAAGAAGAGAAACTATCCTAAAATAAGGTGACTACACAAACTGGAATTCAGAACTTTAAGGGTACGATTGAGAAATATCTATTGAGGGAACTGGACTTAAAGTCTTACAGAGCAGCAAAAGGAAAAAGAGGAAAACAAGCTATGAATAAGGATAGATATTTTAGGATTACTTTAATGAGTAGTGTAGAATCTAATATTAGTATCTCATGTATTTAGTATCTTCTTAAGTAACTTATGTATCTGTACTTAGTATTAAGTATTTCTGTATTGATATATTAATCTGACTGAGTGAGGTAGCATCATGGTGATGATGCCACCTTACATTCGGGAGGTCTGGATAGCAGACTGCCCTTCTGAGAAGAAAAGTTTTGTACAATTTTTTCCTCACTTAGGCAAATACCGAAATGGTTCCCTCAAGGGCCGTACCCTGCCAAACTATGACCTATGACTCACTAGAAAAGAGTTGGAAGCAATAATTGGGTTGTAGTTGACTTAATTTTAAAAATCTTAGCTCATGGGCTACCGCAAGAATTTAGTTTATACGAGAAGAAAAAATATAGAAGCCTTTGTATGGGGTCTATAACTTTTTTAACAAGCTATGGGTCGCAGGAAGAGATTTAACACTGAACACTTTAAAATGTATTCTTCGCTGAAAGGGTTTTCAGGGAGCGACCAGACGTGTACCAGAATATCAACAACAAACAGGCAGTAAAGTTTGCAATGTTTTCAGTACATTCATAGTTTAAATATCACAAACAACATTTGATTTATGCTTCAAACTAGGGTTGTTCAACGTATAAATAGTTGTTATTAAAAATTTTTAGGTAGGATTAAATTTTATATCAGGATATATTTGGATGAGAATTATGAGCCTGCTACCTGCAATAATGGTTCCCCAAAAAAGCTTGGAAGTTGATGGTCTAAATATGGGTAACCATTCTAAAGCTTGTGTCAGGAGTGAAGTTGAATGGTTCAAGTACTTAAGCTTTAATCTGAGCACCAGACAACATACCATGTTAGAGTAATATTAATCTCCTAAGACAAAAATATGAAGCTGTGGACAACTTTAGAATCACATTCATAATCCTAAGGATGTAATGTATATAGTTGTAATTTGTAGTTTTATTATATAGAAGTAGTTAGAAATCTGTACTGTATGTGTACCGAATACTGCCAGATCACACAACCAATATCGAAAGTCCCATGCCCACCACTGTATAGGGATCCTACTGTAAATAAATGGTAAACCTCTGTTCCTTTCTGCGTTAACAAATTTCCATTGATACAATCAGTTTTCAACAAGTAACACGATAAAACTAATCCACTACAATCCATTCGTCCAGAACAATGCCTATAGAAAAATATACAAATCAATAACACCTACACCTTTACAAACGATACTGATAACTAACCAAACATAGCTTAAGAAATACTAAATGAACCTCAAAATCAAAGGTCAGTCAGTCGCCTGATAAGTTCAACCTCTGTATCAAGAGTGATTCAAACAAAACTGTTGTTATCTTGTGTGTAATTAGGATAGTAGTGACAAAGCCAGAGCAGGGTAGACTTCCAGCTGATTATGATTGTGGTGTGTGGCGTAATTGTGTTTCAGTTCATTCAGTTACTACAACCAGAAGTATTCCAGTGCAGTTGTTCATAGACTAATCATGCCAGTGCGGGTGAACAGCATATGAAACAGATAATATTTTACGGTTGTATAATAAACTAAGAACTACAGTGGCATTGTTCGATAGACTAAGTACATCATGTCTGCTACAGGTAGCGCTCCAGAAGAGATCATTACCATGAAGGGAGCCCACGGTCCCCTGGTGGCGGCCATAGATGAGGGGACCAGCAGTGCTCGCTTTCTGGTATAAGCTTGGCTAAGTAATTATTTTATCTTAGATATGAAACAGCTAAAAACTCCCTAACAAAGAGGTTAAACAAATTTTGAAGATCAAAAATCATCTACGAAGTTTGATGAAAGTAGTTCGTTATATACATAAATAATCAAGTGTGGTACGGTACGGAAAGGCAGAAAATCTTGAATAAACCCTGGAATTTCCTGGAACATTATGGTGCAACAGATTTGAAAGTAGTTTTCCTGAAAGATATTCATGTACCATTTTATATGTCCCCTGTAAAATTCAAACCTCAATTTACTAAAAGTATTGTATTGACAATGTTTCTACCACATTAAGTAAGATATGAAAACTCTATGCTTTCAATGTAGTCTACAACATTTTTTGGTGGAAATCAATACTTTGGTCAATAGACATGAAAGTAGTACAGATATAGTGAAAGTTTTAAATCAAAGGAAGTAATTAGGCTGGTTGAGGGAAACCTAGACAATTGACAAGAGATGATAAGCAAATGTTTACATACTTTAATGTTTACTTCTCTCTTTATTGACGTGTTGACAATATTATAAAAGTAATGAAAACAAAATCCCTTTTGTAGACTGGTCACAAATTGCCAAACAGAAGTGTTTAGGGCCAAAATTTAGTTTTCAGTTTTTTGTAGATCTCTAAGAGGTGTAAGCAATAATAGGAGTTTTTTTAACCCAATTTAAAGTCATCTCAAACTTTATGCAGTGACGTAGCCAGGGGGGGTCCTGGGGGTCCAGACCCCCCCCCTTCTGGTCCTAAATATAATATTTTTTGTTAAATTAAACGTAAAATTATATAATAATAGTTATATAATAATACTGGATTGACGTTGGGGTTGATTATTTTCAATGCCAGGAGAGCTAAAACCCTCCCCCCCTTTTTACTTGGGCCTGATCGGTCGATTCCCCCCCATTTTGAAATCCTGGCTACGTCACTGCTTTATGAACTGTGTTCAACTTTTTCTGAAGATTAATTTTAATACTTCTGAAAAATAAGTTTCATTGGTTAGTTATAAATGGATAACAGGGTGGGTTTTACTCACCACAAAGGATTAAATTTTTGGAATTTTCTGAGATCTTACTTTAATTTTTTGTTGGGCTATTTAAATTGGTTCTCAAACCATTAAAAATCATGAGGTTGGAAAATAACCTTAAGAGCATTCTAAACACAACCTTACATAAGGTCAGGGTAAGAAATCAAATTACATTTTTTGGTCAAGAACCAGCAAAATAGTTCTGCATTTTAAAGTATGAAGATCAATTCAGTTAATTCATTCATTTTTCGGTTTGATTACTTTTTTCCTATATATAGGGTGGTGTGGGATACGATGAGTTCATTTACTTCATAGAATTGAACATCTATTATCTTTCAATCCAAACTACTCCTAACTCCAAGCCAACCTAATTTACAGCTTGTTAGAAAAAGATGCCAGATCAATATTATTATACTCTTCATTGAGGCAAAAGGAGGCTAACTTTTCAAAATGTTAAAATCGAGATTTCATTGTCCTCTTCTTCACATTTGATCAAACTCTGAGCCTATCTTGCCCAGAACTAATTCGACAATTCCATATCAAGTATCACAAATATTTCTTGAAAATTCAAAAACAATATTAATATTCAATTTTCAGAAAGTGTTTGAATTTGCAGTTTTCTTCTTCAGGTGTTTTCTTCGCAAACGTCTCGTCTATTGGCCTCGCACCAGGCTCCCCTGAAACTGACCTGTCCGCAAGAAGGGTGGGTCGAGCAAGACCCCATGGAAATACTCAGGATAGTGAAGGAGTGTATGAACGAGACAGCCAAGACATTACATGAACAACAAATCAACCCTGAGGACATTTCTGCCATTGGAGTAACCAACCAGAGAGAAACCACAGTAGTGTGGGACAGAACCACAGGAGAACCTCTCTACAATGCTATAGGTAAACTGTATTTCTCTTATTTTGTTTGCCTATGAGCCTATTTTTTTCTCTATTAATTATTACAATCGTTAAAAAGGTTTTAATGGCAAACACCTGACATTGTCTTTCAAGCTGAGCCTACGTAGTTATTGGCTTGTTCTGATAAACCTCATGCTTATCAGTTCAAGATTACCTTGTTCAAGCTAGAGAGAAAGGAATGTTGCAGGATTGGTTTTTACAATATATCACAAAGTGAATGAACTTTCACAGATAGTTGCGCTGAACCCCCTCTAAAATTGGCTAATGCCTTTTTTTATCATACAATTTACCTTATTCTTACCATAAGTGGTATATATTCTTTTTTTTGTTTCAGTTTGGTCTGACATTCGAACACATTCTATCGTTGATCGGTTATTGCAACAAAAAGCCAACAAGAACAAGAATTACTTAAAGGCATTGACTGGTCTCCCTTTAAATCCGTATTTCAGTGCCTTGAAACTTCGGTGGCTAATAGAAAACATACCTAAAGTCCAAACAGCATTGGCGGAAAACAACTGTCTCTTTGGTACAATAGACTCTTGGTTAATTTGGGTAAGTAGCTTTTAACCTTCAAACACTAACTCATCAAACAAAAAACTGTATAAGTTGAATCTAAAGTAAAATGTAAGAAAAAGATAAATGAAATCTTGTAGGCTAAGTGCACACAGACGATTTTTCGAATAGACAATTAAAATATCGGCCGATTAAAAATCGCCTTTTGCTTACGTGTAGGCATTCACTTGAGCAACTTTTTGATTAAGGAATGGGTTTTGTCGACTATTGCGTCCATGTTGTGGTTTACAAATACATGTATTGTAAAGTACAATGGACTTTGTTGAATAAACTTGTGTTTGTGCTTTACTACTTCAAGCAAGGAACAAAAGAAGACAACAAAAGTATTCGGTCCATCCTATTATAAGTCAGAGACTTTTAAATGGGCAGTTTCATTAACTGGACTACACTTGTTTACGTGAACAGAAAAAAGTTTTTTAACTACTACAGAATGTCTGTTGAAAGTTTTAATAATGTTTGATTGATTGTTAGCCAACGGTTAACTTACAAAATAACATCAATGCGATTATCTATCCCATCAGAGGAAAGACTGTCAGTAGCTCTGAGGGAAGTCAGTATTGTAGCGTAGGCTACAATATATTCTAAAGTTATTCAATAGCTAGAAACTGGTTGATTATTCAGTCGACCCAGTGCACGGACAAGCAACAACCTGTATGTTACACATGGCCGGCAGACTATCGTCTCGCCTACAAATCTGTGCCATTTTATATTGACACGATTCTTGATCGCCTGTGTGCTTGCTTCCATTCCCATCTATTTTGGGAACAGATTGGCCGATGAAATTGCTGCCTTGAAATAAACACCTGTGTGCCTTGGCTTTACAGTTGTAAAGTCAGAGTTGAGAGAGCAGAGTTTGAGGTTTTTGGTTTTTTAACTTAATCAACCAGATGAATTCATATTCACAAAAGGCACATTCTTTTTCTCCAGACATGTTCATTGCAAAAGGATCATACGTCTTGTTATACCTGGCAGAAATCTATATGTAAAGTCTAGGTCTGGTATTTTTGAGATAAGAACATATCTATATGTTAATCCGGAATGTGAGCTATCATCATACCAAATTTCAACTCTGTCGGTTTACTATTTTTCGCGTTTACTTGTCACACACATCACAAACATTCATCCATCCAAACCTTCTCACTTAATATTAGTAGGATAAGGTTTAAAAACCATTGTGCATTGGAAGTATCAGCAGTTACTTTTACCTAAATATTTTCTTGACAGTGATTACAATTTACAGAACCTGACGGGGGGGCCAGAGGGAGGGGTCCATGTAACTGATGTATCCAATGCATCGAGGACTCTCTTGATGAATATTAACACCATGAAATGGGACCCTCTGTTGTGCAGGTAGATATGTTTTGTATTTATAACATACTACCTATCTTTTAAGGGCTGGATTCAAATCTGACCAAGGACAAATGGCTTTTACTATTGACTACGGATAGAACTAGACATTCCCATGTTAAGCCTGGTAAATACAGACATGACTTTGGTGCTCCCGCTACTGATGCGTGACATTGGTGGGATAGCATGCGATTACCTCTAGTCGTGTACAGTCGCTCTAGGGAATTGTGTTCAAATGCAGTGTCACTGGGGCTATACAAATGGGGGTGACAAAACTGAAAGACCTACACAAGATCAGAATCACACTGCTCTGCATCTGGTCAAATTGTGTTGCTTTGAGGTCATGTTTTCTTAGAAGTTGCACTAGGGATGTTCACATGGGCATAAATTGACTTAGAGTTGATGATAGTTTTAGAATAAAAATAAACTTAGCTGAATTGAGAAATTGATTATTTAATATACTGAAAGGTTAAATAATTGCAGTTATAGGTGCAAAGCAAATAATACCTTCAATTATTCCAAACATTGTTGTTTTCAGGTTTTTTAACATCCCCACAAAAATTCTGCCAAAAATTGTAAGTTCCTCAGAAATATACGGTTATGTATCCGAGGGCCCGCTGAAAGGAACTCCCATTTCTGGTGTGAGTATAAAGTTTCTCTTACTGATTTTCCACTTTTAAAACCCAATGAAAACGTTATAATTTTATAGTGCATTGATTCTCCTTTTGTCACAAGGCCAATGAAAGACTTTTTTTCATTCCCCCCATTTTTTCCCACGATTGTGTCTACTCACCTACAAATTTTTCTGAATCCATCCCTGGGGGACACTCACAACTCTTTTTTAAGAATCCTTAATATTAAGGATTAAGATGATTTGGCATTCAATGCTTTGATTAGACATTGAGTATGTAGACCTAGGGATGAAAAAATATAAGAAACAATAAAGAAAATCTATTCAGTCTTACTTACCAAAAGTAGATCAAAATATCTAAGTGGAATTCAAGTCTTATTCTCAGTGGAGTATTTTTTCATGCCTGAAAAGAAGCAGGTAATTAATTTTTATAGCAAAATTCAAATAATGTTTTACATCCCAGTATTGGTTAAATGTTTGGTTCGGTGTTTAATATTTTGCAATTAACATAAATTGCTGGATATTAAACTAACTGCTGGGCAAAGAAAAGACTAGCTGTTTTATTTGTCAGAATCACAAACTTTAACCTAACAACGATGAAGAAGATGATAGAGTTCCTAACTAAACCTTATTGTCCTCAGTGTCTGGGTGATCAACAAGCCGCATTGCTCGGTCAAAGATGTCTAAACGCAGGTCAAGCTAAGAGCACCTACGGGACTGGCTGCTTCCTGCTGTACAACACAGGAATTGAAGTAAGCAAACTGTAAGATTACTGCTTGGGGTTGAACCAGGTCTAAAAGTGCAGTTGAAACAAATAGCCCTAAGCGAATGACTGTCTTTGGGCGAGGCATTTGATTGTATTTCAGTATTTTATAAATTTTTTTGTCCATCACAGTGGTAGGTTTTGGCCAAGGTCTTGTCCATATGGCATTAATTCACAGAATGATAAGAAGTGGCAATGTCAAGCTCCTGCAATGAGTTGGGTTTAACTGTGTCTAGAAAGCAGAACTCCAGTACTGGAGATCCAGTTTACCATCCTGGTGCCCAACTTTGGGTTTTTGCTGTCAACGTGATAATTTCTAAAAAATAAGACCTCTAAATGTAAAAACAAACTAATTACTAGCAATTTGACATTCTTTATTTTTCAGAAAGTAGAATCAACACACGGCCTGCTAACAACTGTCGCCTGGAAGCTGGGCAAGTCAGCGCCTGTAGCTTACGCCTTGGAAGGTTCCGTCGCAGTGGCAGGTGCTGCTATCAACTGGCTCCGAGACAACCTGGAGTTGATTGAGAATGTGAAGGAGGTGGAGAACGTAGCAAGCAGAGTCATGCACACCGGTGACCTATACTTCGTCCCAGCCTTCTCTGGACTGTACGCTCCTTACTGGCAGCAAGATGCTAGAGGGTAAACTAACTTTTTGTACTTTTCAATGTTTTTTTGGGTGTAAAATTGAAAGCCTTGGCAACAAATAGAATTCAAAGGTCTTTCCCGAAGATCATATCACATCAATGAATTGTTTGCCAAGCTTGAAGGCAGTATGATGAACATTAAATTTATTGGAATCACTGACACAAGATTGGGACTAACTATGAAGTTTCAGTCAGCTGCTAGTAATAAGACTGAATGATACCACAGAACAAACCTTTCTAATTGTAGAACTACTGTTAGATAAAATGTATATTTTAACTACAGTACCCTGACCATCTATGTATGAGAGAAGCCAAAGGGTTTGTCTAAATGGTCTGTTTCAGGACATTGGTAGGTATCACAGAGGACACTCAACAAGGCCACATCATCCGTGCAACACTAGAGGCCATCTGTTATCAAACCAGAGACATTCTGGACGCTATGAACAAGGACTGCGGCATTCCTCTAACAAAACTGAAAGTAGATGGAGGAATGACAGGGAACAACTTACTGATGCAACTACAATCAGACCTTTGTGGAATACCAGTCAGTAGGTGTTCTGAAACATTACTCAGTAAAAATAAAATATGTTAAACACCTGCAAAAAGTGGTCCTCGGTTGCTGTGGCGGCAACTAGTTTCACTTCTTAGGTTTAACTTACTTCAGGCCTACAAAAAGTAAAAAAAGAAGACAATGGTTCTTGGTTACTGCGGTGGCAACTAGTTTAGATTTATAAGAGGAACCAAAATGCCATGCCAGGAATCCGAAATAATCTTTACAATTGAAGATTGTTATCAAAGTTCTTTCACAAACATACACAGACACAGAGAATAAATTTGCATTCAATTACACTTTTCCCTAAAACTAGTTTTCACTACCGCAAAGCAACAATTTAAAAAAAGGTATATAAACCATTTGATGTAAACAACTGACTGGTCATAATTGTCACTTAAGTCACAATAAAGACTCCAAAACATGTTTTTCCATTCTTAAAAGACTTAAGATTACATAACATGATGGAAGCAGCTACAACCAATAGGATACCAACAGAAATTAGTGTAGATAGTCATTTTTAGCAAAAGTAAACAAAACCTAAACCAAATATTATGAACTACGGTATGAAAAACTACCAACTATGAACCAAACATGATATAGGTCAGTGTAGTGTATTGGGCTGATAGACCTCTGGCCTGCACTATATTATCAGTGCTGTCACCATCACCACTAACTTACTTATATGAGTTACCACCATAACAGTAGGCCTACTTCACCGTCTTCAGATTACTGTACTACAGAAAAATTGTCTATAGAGATGGACAGTTAGTTGAGGTTTAGAAAAAAGATAATGGAAAAATAATGGAATCCAAAATCCTGTTCTTATTTTATCATTTGATAGAAAATGCTCAATCTAAATAATTAATTTTGCCATTAATTATTTTAAAAATTAATTTTTTTCAGTACGACCAAAGATGGCAGAAACTACTGCGCTAGGAGCAGCAATGGCAGCTGGGTTTGCAGATGGAGTCAAAGTTTGGGATTTGGACCATCTACAGCCAACACCTAATGACACCTTCAACCCAGTCATAACTGAAGAAGGTATTCATTACTGCAATAAAACGTATTCAAATCATATTGGTTTGTGATTGATTTAAATTGTCGCTTTAAGCGAATTACTCTGTAGGGGAGTAAATAGTAAACTCCCCTACAGGTAAAATAGATGGAGGAACCCTGGTAACTATGACTACCATAGCTACCAAGCATAATATAGGAGCTACTATAGTAATCAGTTTTGAACAAGGCTTTTCAATTTCCTTTCAAGGTCCCTAGAAGCCAGCACTACCATTAATTTGTCGAAAACAGTATTTTCATTTATATGAAATATTCATGAAAATTATATGATTATATAAATTATAAAATTATATGAATATATTTGCTAACCCGAAAGAGTCCACTCATCCAATGTCCACAGCATTAGCAGACTTTTCTAATTGTTGTGTAATTGATGGGGTCTGACTTAGGGAAGGTACAAATGAGACATTTAGTTCAAAATTCCTCCGTGAACAGCGCTGTAGTAGAGAGCACTTTGGCAATGAAGGTTTACTAATCGCAAAAATAGTTCTGTTAATAAAATAAAATTATAAATGCCTCAAATTCAATTTTACTATTTTTTAATTATAAAATTAAACTATCATAACCTAACCGAACTAACCAAACTTGCTGATAAAGAAATAATATAACAAAAGTTTAGTAATCGGAAAAATAATTCTGTTTATTAAATAAAACTAGAAATTGCTCGATTAAAATTTTATAATGACTTAATGATAAAATTAAACAGTAATAACCAAACCAAACCAACCAAACTTGCTGTTAATAAAAAAATTTTGGACAAAAAGTTAATGCTACCAGCGGGATTCGAACCCGGGACCTACAGTATATCAGCCCGGCACGCTTACCAATAGACCACCGAGGCCGATGGCTGTTGAACGTTTTGTTACGGTAATGGCGTTCCCTCAGCTAATAAGAAGCCCTCAGCTGTCATCGTAGCCTCTTCTATACCTCCCCTGAGTAAATACCTAATTGATGATGTAAAGTTTTTTTTTTTTGCAAGGATAAACAATTTCCCATTCCAACAACAAACTTTAAATAATAGCCTTTGTCAACATTACCTAGATCTTCAAATGAAGTAAATAAATAAATCTTTATTGTCACATGACGTTTACATAATATAGCAATGCTATAAAACAGGTGACATTGTCAAAATACAAAAATACCTCAAAACTAGGAGTTATAAAAGACTAAAATAAACTAAAACTATAAAAATAAAAGTGATATAAACAAAATGTATCAGTTAACAAATTTAGTTAAAACAAATTTTTTTTACACAACCTGATCAGGTTGTGTACAGTATATATAGATGGATAGCCGTTCCAGTAATAAGTACAAGCACTAGTTAGAAAGTAATGACTTCATCAAGTATTGAATGTCTTAATATATTCTCCTATAACTTCTATGATGAGGGGATAGTAATAATGATCACCCGCCTTCCACTAGTACGGAAACTACTCATTTTCAGTAATTACTCTGGGTAAAAGTAGCCTGTTATGTTGCAACTGAAATATGAGATATGGATCATCTATATATACAGTTACAGATGGATCATCTATATATAGTTGGTACAGAACTCATCTATACTGTAATAGGTTTTTCTTAAAAGAAAATTAGCAATGCTGCTTTTGAAATGCTTGGACTGTATTTTGTTCTTGTATTCTTGAGACAGTTTATTAAATAGTTTTTTGCCCATGTATGTCGGGGTTTTTTTTACTAGTGAAAGACGATGCCGTGGATATTGAGAAATAGTTTTAAACCTAGTATCATACCTATGTTCAATGTTTTTACTACATATTTTTACATTCTCCCCCAATACCATAGTATATGGAGAAAGTATTGTTTTCGTCAAAATTTTCGAGTTTGAGTTTTGAGTGGATAAATTCGTTTTGGGTCCCCCTGGACCCAAAAAAGTGGTTTTCGAAGTGATGTCTGTGTGTGTGTGTGTCTGTGTGTGTGTGTGTCTGTGTGTCTGGATGTGTACAGAGCTAGAGACTACACCTGTGGTCCGATTTCAATGAAATTTGGTATGTAGGTTCTAATCCATGGTATCTCCAGGCGTTTTTTTAATTTTTTTGAAATTTTGATTTTTAATGGGGATTTCCCCATAAAAAACTGGAAAAATTGGATTTTCTCAAAAATGGCTCGAACGATTTTGATAAAAATTTTGTATGTTGTAGCCCTTTCAATTCTGAACAAAATGGTACAAATCCCGTTTCTGTAAAAATTACGGTTCAAAAGTTATAGTAAATTATGTTATTTTCCCATAAAAACCCCATAAAATAACAAAAAATGGAATTTTAGACAAAAATCTGGTTTTGATTTAACATAGTATGTTATGGTCCTTACAATTTTGAAAGTTTTTTTTTATTTTTTAGAAATTTTGATTTTTAATGGAGATTTTCCCATTAAAACCCCATAAAATAACGGAAAAATAGGATTTTCCCTAAAATGGTTCAAACGATTTTGATAAAAATTTAGTATATTATAGTCCTTTATATTCTGAACAAAATGGTACAAATCTTATCTCTGTAAACATTACGGTTCAAAAGTTATTGTAAATTATGTTATTTTCCCATAAAAACCCCATAAAATAACGGTAAATCAGATTTTCCCAAAATTGGCTCGAACGATTTTGATAAAAATTTAGTATGTTATAGTCCTTTAAATTCTGAAGAAAATTGTACAAATTCCATTTCCGTTTATTTAATCTCACCGCTTACGCATGATAAAGGTTGTTGACAAACTTATGGGAGAAAGTATGTGTCAGAATGCTGAGATACCGTTTATTTTTAATTTGCTTCTACCATCAAAAGTGTTTAAAAAATTGTTAAACTCGGAACAGTCATTACTCCCGATTCTTTAAAAATTTGCTTACATGATGTTCTGCATGGTGCAAATGCCATTATTCTTAAACATTTTTTTCTGAATCTTTATTAAGCTTTTCATATAAGTAAAACTAATAAGACTTCTTTTGCAGAACGAGACAACAGATACTTCAAATGGAAGATGGCGGTTGAGAGATGTCTTCATTGGGATATACCATAAAGTCCAAAAGGAAATTACAAGATAATTTTTTAAGTGATATTAAAACTTTTGCCATAAACTGTAGCATTTTAGTTATCGATCGAATCAACACGAAAATAATTGAATTCAAAACCTATGCAATGGTAAATTATGAATGTGTGCAAGTCCTGAACACCAACACCACATTTATTGCAAAAAATTGTAGCCTACAGCAAATAATTTTTTTTTCTCTATAATTTTTAAATTTTTATGAACAGAATACATACCCCTTGGAATATTTTACACAATAACATACAATTTTATCTCAGAATATTTTAACAGTTTTATCTGTTCCAAACAAGGTTTAAATTTTAAACCAAGCGACTTCAGCAATAGATTTTGGCGGAACGTCTTGTATAGTTCAGAAACATTTTACATACCGGTATTGATAGTTATATCTTTGATGTTTGATACACCTGTCATTCCATCCCCTTTTTTAATCACTAGTTATCAAATCAAAATTCTCTTAGTTGATGTGAGCCACTGACAGATTACTAATATTTGTCAAATACACAAACTTTTATACCAAGTAAAACCGTAGGGACGACTTATTGTGAGCTATAGCAACTGATATGACCTATCACCTATGTCAGCAAAAAATATAAAGTAGAAAATAGAATCTTAGACTATAGCACATTCTGTGACTGTCTCACACATCTATAATCTTTTAATAAAAAATTGATAACAGCTGGTCCATATAGATGGGATGTCTCTTTCAGTATCAAATAGGCCTAGTCATTGATTTTACCTGAAGGACCATTATTTAACCTTTCAAATCAAACTAATTGATGGATTTCAAGTAGTTTGCAAAGGAGAGCTTTAAGGTAAAACAGCTGAGTTACGATATGGCAAAGTCAGACAACACACATTAAGTTAAGTCAGGTTTTCCTAGGCGCGGAAGCGGAGAGAGGAACGCGGAGAGCAGACTCCACTTGTCTTAGGTAATTTATTGTTACTGTTTTACCAGAAGCGGAGCGGAACACCATGTTAATTTCTTTTCCGCTCTCCGCGTTCCTCTCTCTGCTCTCCGCTTCCACGCCTAGGAAAACCCAGCTTTAGACTCTTGCACATGTTTAATTTGTTTAAAGGTTGTTGATAAAGTTTTCTAAGCAGTGATTTAAAATAAATCTACTTTACAACCATGTACATACTTTTTTACCCAAAGACCTTTAAGTTGTTACAAAATGAACCAATAATATTTTGTACTGTAGCCAATTTCTTAAATAAAAATATACTCATATTTATTATTTTTAGTTTTACTCTTTAGCCTTATTTTTTTCTTACGAGAGTCGTTTGTTAAATTAAAGTCTCCTGATGGAGCTTGATAGCTCCTGACTCATCTTCAAGCAAGCTTGTTCACATCTAAGACCGATTTTTAATTCTTTCCACCGTCTGGGCCGCAGATACACATTTTTCTAGGTAGGTTGAGTCCTAAATTTGCCGCCCTTTCACCTCACAACTGTGGATATTTTCTAAGTCCCAATGCCATTTTACAGTCATTCTTAACACGAGGCACAATCTTTTTTTAAGAAAATGGCCCAAAGTTTTAATGATACTTTTATTTACGTTATTAAAAATGTAATAATTTTCAAAATTGGTGGTATATCTTACTAATATTTATTAAATTATTAATTTTATTAATTTATTAGTCCATTTATCAAGGGTTCTTCCAATTAATTTTCTAATATATCTTTCACCTGTCTTAACATCTTTTCTTTTTGTAATATAACAGCAATGAAACATATGGATCACTCAAAAGATTCTTGACCATTGGTAAAAAGTAAAATTTCTTCTGCTAACATTTGCAGAAATCTGTCACCTGTAGAGCCACAGAGTAGGTCGTATTGTAATCTATTGAGATGTATATGACTTTTCCCAACGATACTTCCAATCTGAGGTAATTTGTTGTTCTCTTATAGAATTATTTATGTTGAAAGATTCTACTAAAATTTTACATTCACTCAAGTTATCCAACTGTAAAAGCTTTGGTGGATACAATGTTTCAGAATTTTGTTTAGGGCAATGTGGTTTAGGTGGAATGGGTATGTTAATGAAACAGCTTCTCTAATTGATTTTGACTGTGACTCGCTTAAAAACTGCTATCGCCACCTTGCCATTGAAAACAAAGTCTCATGTATCTCTCGTCTCTGCCCATTGTCGTCTAATATAAACCAGTGGACGCAAGGGCGGTTCCAGGGCTAATTTTCGAAGGGGGCCATTCCATCAAGGGTGTGGGGGTTATTCTAATTCTAGGCCAGCATGGCCACAATCTCTGGGGGGTTTTGGGGGGTGGGGGCCCCCCCAGTAAATTTTGGAAAAATTATAGCCTATTTACAAAGTTGACAATGCAAGCACTCTGATGAAGAAAAAGTTTAATCTCTTGTAATCTGAAAAGGAGAGTTTAAGTGTAAATCTTCCTTTTTTTCATTGATAAAACTTATTCTGTTCTTACCGGCCCTGTAATTTCACCTATCTATTTTTAAATGTTTTGTTTCATAATGTCGACGCGCATTGTATTCCTTAAACAATGATTGTTTCAGAAAATAAAAAAGTTCCTCGCTTACTACATTTTTGACGTTTTTAGTGGTGTTAAAAAACGACCATCAATCTTAATTTGCCTCAATAAACTATAAAAAAATATGTTAAGGTTCAGACTAACTACACCGTAATAAGCACTGTTTAAAAAAACATATAAATTTGAAATCTTTATGTTAAAAAATAAGTATATAGCAGAGCAGGATAAAAGAATGTATGTTTGTGTAAAAGAGAGAGGTTCATACGACCCGCCGGCCTCAATATCCCACCATTTCGAATGGTGGGCACAGCCGGTTCTTCCACCACACAGCGCGCCAGTATCAAGGGGAGTATTAGATTAAGCATGGACGTTGTTGATGTATGTATACACTTGAACGCACATGTCTACGTGAGTGAATAGGGTACTCTGTAGAAACGTCAGTGTATTAGTCAGGTAGACATCGGCAACGTCGCACTAGTAGTACTGTAATGGCGGTTGCTCAATCTTGAGTCTAGGCTAACCTAACTTAGAAAACAGCTAAGCAAAGCTTAAGCCTTAGACGCATCCATTACTTACCAGTATAATTTTTTCATGTGCTTGTGCTTAAGTGGTGAGAGGCAAGTAGGTTCAATCTTGTAAAACTGTGTTAGGCCTACTAACAAAAAAACCGTAACAAAACAAATACTCAACTGACTACTGAGCTACTAGTGGGTAGTAGGAGGTACCGTACTGTATGACTGACGCACTGACATGACGAAGGCATAGGATGGGGGGAAACGGGGATGCGCGTAGCAATTTTTCAAATTAAAGCTTCGAACAAAAATTAAAAAACCTGATTCTCGGGGGGAGCCATGGCCCCTATGGCTCCCTCCCTGGAACCGCCACTGAGTGGACGTGCTTGGAATGTCAGGTCTTGCCCCTCTAACTATTGAACAATCAGAATCAGGGTCTTGCCATGGTCCGGGATTTGATTCAACATACCCACAAAGGAGTATTAAAGTCACTACCTAGCTATTACCCATGGGCTTCACCCCGTTTGACTTTCATAATTATTAATAAAACTATTGATTGGTTAAGTTAAGCTGAAATAAACAAAACAGAATACATTAATTAATACAAACAAATAATCACACCTGAAGGTAATAAATTGAAAGAATAACAAACAAAAAAGGACAGCTGAGGTATTTTTAACGCTAGGTAGGCCTATAGAAAGTTCCCTTTAGAAAGGAATTACGATCTTGAAGGGCAATTTATGAAAAAATGAATAGTTTTGCGCAAGGTTTCTCGTCATGACGAACATTTTAAGTATATGGTTTATGGGGGTGTGACTTTTAGTTTTCTCAAAAGTTCATGGGTACTTTGGGATTTATATGTGGATTAGTATTGCATTTGTGTATGGTAATTAACATTTATGTATTTAGTTTTATGAATTAATTTCCAAATTCTCTTGTGTTTTCCATACAAAATCCTTTCTAAACTAGCGTCATAATGTATCGACTGTTAATTAAAATTAAATGCCATCATCACACAGTTCATACTATGAAAATAACTAAATGTCTCTCTAGTTTCACAAGAATTCAAGGAATCCAATACACAAAGACGAAGTAAAAGCAAGATTCTTGATAACAGGTTCTTCTTCATGTTTGTTCTTACTGAATTGTTAATAGGTTAGGATAAAATTTAAACCCCTAATTTTTGTCCATTCTTCTTCAAGATAAAGGTAACTTAGGTAATTCACACAATTCAAATTTGGAAATAACTGTTTAGTAAAATAAAACATACCGTAGAGCTTAACAAACTGAAAATTGTCCGACAGCACAGGTAGCCACGCTGTCCCTTATTGCTACCGGTAGGTACTGAGGGACCAAATCAACAACCACAATCAACAGCTTCGCAAAAAAACTCAAAGAATACCTACTTAATAAACAGGCCATATTACAAAACCAAAAACTACATAGAACAGCACACATACCAACACCTCAAATGAGCAACTTCTTCAAGACCCTTCCAAGAGGGAAGAAATCGGACGACTCCCCGATCTGAAGATTGTGGCGAGGACTACGTGGTAAATGGTAAATGGTACCTGTACAGTCGTTCAACTTTTGTTAGAACAAGCCTCAAGTACCTGAAGCTAACGATGGTGTTTTATCACTGAAACATCTCCTAAATTGAGATATTCTGTTGAGCTGTAGGAGCCTAAGGGAATTACATAATAATTTAGCCTTAGGCCTACAATAACTAACTTATGACATAATAATACCATACCATAAAACTGCGACTATATTTTCTATAGCCTAGTTGTTTATGTTGAATCAACTTTCACATTGGTAGATTAATAGATTATCAAAAAGACCATTTTTTTTCTTTTGACGATAGATTGTCATGAACTGTTAGTTTTTAGCCTAACTTACGACAATAAATAGTTTCCAATAAAAACTTACCAGGTACACTCACAGGGTAGTTTGTACAATTGGATCTAATGTTGTCAGAACACTAAAACAGCTTTAAAAACGTATTTGATTTATAAATTTAAGAAATAATTAGTTGCTATAGAACTATCACGAAATAGCTAGAGTAACGACAAGGACAAGACGATGAAACTGTAGCAACTAGCAACAATTAACAATAACAAAACATATTTTTAACAAGCAAGACATAACCCCAACACGGCCAAAAGAATGACAGTTCTGTAAATTATGTCCTTCTGTGAAGCTATATAATAATCTCAACTCATTCCATTCCACTGCCCGCCCAACGGTTTCGTTCCCAAGTAGCTACTCCTACTCACTCGCTACACTACAACTAGTGTGACGTTTCACCTTCACATTCGTTCCGTTTAACCGGACCGGAGCAAACCAGGCGGCCGTGAGCAAACTCGGCACTTCTACAAAATAGACGCCCCTGATAGTGCGCAGTGCGCATGCGCGGCTCTTCTACAACCAGACGCTCCTGCTTGTAGTGTTGACAAGAGAGCGGGAGATTTATAATCTCTTGTTTCAACAACTCGGGGAAAAGCTTGCCATACTCATACTGTAATATGAATGAATAAACTAGTATTTTAGAAGTACAGTTTGTACTTTCAAAAAACATGTAGATAAAAATGCTTCTCATTGCAAACACAGTTTGTTAAGACGACATAATCTCACCATGTTATTTTATTAAATTAAAGCGGTAGACCAACTACAGAACCTTATTTTATAACCCTTCTTCTAACTAAACCCAACGTTTACCAGGCAAATAATAAAACCAGCATAGAAAAAAAATACCCCCGCCTCAGCAAGCCTGCTGACTAAGCGAATTTCCATTTTTCTGAATTGATTTTCAATTAAATCTATTTAAATAGGTATTTAAAAATAACATTAGGTTTAACGAGAACCTAGGTTTGCTGTTATAGGGAGGTTAATAAAGTGTGTTTTATTCAAATATTAATTGCTTGGCACAGTATAAAATAAATAAATTTGAAAGTTCTATCAAAATATAAATTTAATCAAGAACAATTATACACTAATCTTTTAGGCTTTTTAAAATGGTCTAGAGGAAAGTTAAGAAATTTTGTGTTTTGATGGTAAGAAAAGAGAAACCCCAATTTTTACCCCGTTCCCATGATCCGATCATCCTGGTGTTTAAATGACGTAATATATTTAAAGTATTTAAATTGTTGTTTTGGCTTTACCGAGGTTCATTATACGTAAAAATATACTGTAAGTGTAAAGGGTGAAAATATGCAACAATAATTATCAGAATGTGTATCGGACCATTGACTCTAAAAGTTAAAATTTCATTATTGGACTGAAAAGTTTAAATCACATCACTTAAAATTATTAAGGATGAACATTGTGAGCCTTGAGTGTTTTTATTCTGATTGATTTTTAAACGTTCTATTGATTTCATCAACCAGAAAATTGAATTATAATATTTGTATCTATGCTACTTTACATTCAAAAACTGTAGGTAATAATTTCAACTAACATCAATTTAAAATAAATCTTAATAGCCCTAAGCATATTGTCTAACCACGGAAGTTTATTGTTCACAGACAACGCTTAATCTTTTTACAGATCACAGAATAAACATTCAAATTCCTCTATAGCATATAAAAGAGGTTAAAAGATAAGGAGAGTTTTTATCGAACAACCGCAGGTAGTATTTTATTCTATCTTTTTACCTCGCAGATTTTCGATAACGCAGTCCAGCGATAACACCTCTGTTTCTAATTTTTATCGCTAAATGTTTTGCCGTATTTATTAAGTTTTAATATAGTGCTGAATGTGTTAACATCGGTTGCTTACCCCTGTTAACTTTGTCTCCGATGTCTATGACAATTTTCCATTTTCTCAGTTTTGTGTGCACTTCCCGGCGGTTCTTTGCGTAGATCGTTTCGCGCTCGAGGTTTTCGCGTTTTTATTAGATATTTAGTGTCTTGCTGTTCAATTAATTTGTTAAATATTGAGTGTAGAATGTTTCGGAATGTCTTGTGCCAACTTTATTACATTAATTTGAAGTGAAAAGTGTTTTGTTATCTGTTCAGAACGATGTAAGCTGAGCTTAACACTCCTATGTGTCGTGTGTGTGTAAAGTGATAAATCTTTGTTTTAAAAGTGTTTTCAGTCTTACCTATGATTGATATCATAGGCTAATACATTTTAAAGTGTCATGTGCTTATTATTGTGGAGTATTTATTGTGAGATTAACCGAAATAAGCAGTTTTATATCCCCCTAGACAGGAGCTAAAAGGTACGACGTCATTCTACTTTATTTGTTTGGTTTGAGCTAAAAAAACTATCATCTGACTGTGAAAATATATTTAGTTTGAAGGCTAATGCAGTCACTTAACAACTGGTTTCCTGTTAGGGACGAATTTAGATCTTAATTCAGATAAATACAAAGATCTTAAAGTGTTGCTATGCTAAAGTTTCTAGAATGTCCGCCATTTTCACGTTTCAAGCATCCTTCTAAACTAGTATGACGCCGTTTCCTGATTGGTTCATTTGCGCCAATCAGAGAATTTGTTATAAGAAAAGGCGGTAATTAATCAAGTAGACTGCGCCGAAAGTAACATATGTTTTGACATCATTTCCGGTCAAGCTAGCGACTAAAAGTAGATTCCTTCAAAAATAACATTATGTTTTCACATAATTTCCGGTCAAGTTAGCGACTAAGGGACGTTTTTCCCACAAAATGTGGTATTTTCTGAATCAGATTGTTGCCAAAAGTAATGTATTCATGCATTTATTTTACATTCAACTCGATTCGATTGTTATAATAGTTATGAAAAACTTTTGTAACGGTATTTTTATCGATTATTTCAGCTGAAAATAATGTACCTAATTAAATTTAATCATTATTGTCCTTTTTATAATGTTAATTGACATTGGTAATACATTTTGGATAGAGAGAAAATTAAATAATTGACTGACAAAATGATTTACCTTCAAACATAACCTAATCAAACTTAGGTTAACTTAACTTTTGCACTTTTAAAACACATAGCTTCAGTTGTAATGGCGATGATATTTTCTCAATAGGTCTATATAACAGCTATATTAAGGAATGATGGAGGAACTAAAAACACAGTTTTATTGCTCCTAAAACACGTAGGCTATACATTTATAAAATGAATTGAGTGGTCATGATAACCTCTTTATATCTTTCCTAGTTTTAACGTAGGCTTAAATTATTTTTTATTAGTAAAATACCTTATTTATTTATTTATTAGATAATCGATCATGTATAAGTTACTGCAGCCTATTTCATGTTGGTTATTGATGTGTTTAAACAATAAGTAGGCTATTTGTAATGTTTAATTTCTTCCTCTACACATACTAGGTACACATATAGAGAAAGTATTGATTTTGTCAACATTTTCGAGTTTTAATTTTTGGTTGATAAACTCGTGCCCCGAGCACAAAAAAAGTGGTTTTCGAAGTTATTTCTGTGTGTGTGTTCAGTCTGTCTGTATGTGTGGATGTATATAAAATAAAAAGACAAAATAAAAAATGTAGGTACTCATTGATGAATGTCTTTATAAAGTTGATGATTTTTTCAATATATGCTGGGAACGTTACTGTTAGTTTTTAGTGTTGGAACATAGATTTTTATACAGTAGTAATATTTTTCTAGTATTTTTTACATTTTTTACAGATGCTTGTTACTACCGTGTATGCTTTTACCATATTTATTTTGTTACATAGATCTTAAAGTAATGTTTTTCTAGTCATTTTTACATTGTGTACAGATGTTTATTACTACCTTGTACGCTTTTACCACATTTACTTTTCTAGACAGAATTGATGTGCTGTATTATAATATTGACGCTTGTCCATGCACTGTTTTGTGTTTATGACAATTTATTAGAATCTTGAATCTATACAGAACTACGCCACCTGTGGCCCGATTTTGATGAAATTTGGTAATAGGTACTAATCCATGGTATCTCCAGAAACTTCTAGATTTTTCAAAATTTTCATTTTTTGTGTTGAATTTGCCACAAAATCCCATAAAATAATGAAAAAAAGATTTTCACAAAAACAGCGCGAACCACTTTGATTAGAAATTTAGTACGGTTTGTCCTTTGAACTCTAAACAAGTTCTTCATATTTTTTAATTCGACCTTTTTCAAATTGGTGTTGTTTGATAGAAAATTTTAAAAGTTACCGACTTACCAATTATTGTTCTAGGACTAAGTTAAATTTGTATGCTGTAGGAGTCGGATTAACCTCTTTTAAATAAGAGCTAGTCATGCGACTTATGAAATATAACCGTCTCTCCATATAAACAGTGGTGCAATACACTAAAAGGTTTGTACTGAATTAAATATTTTTCCTCTCTAGTTAACACTTAAAAGTTTATCCCAGAACACTTTTACTTGAGCGATACAAGAATTATTTCGTGGATATACAGATAGGCCTATCTTGAAAATTGTACAACCCTTGCGCGGATTTCGATTGCATCACAGCTGATTAACTGCCGGCTGTTGTTTCAGCCTACTGCCGACCTGGTGGCTAATATGGAGGAACTGCAATATACATAGCCCAGGGCCTGGACTTCAGGATCATCGACATTCATCGATGGACGGAGGTTAGCGGTTTCGAAGCAGCTGCAGTTCTTGTGAGTGACGTTTATCTTTTTATTTCTCTGTACAGAACGCCAGACTACTGTGTTTATGATTTTTTGGAGAGACTCAAGAATTTTTGGTTTGGGTTGACTCCAGGTTTAAATAAATCCCTTGTTATTGGTGGGGACTTTAATCTATCATAACAATCTGTGATAACAAAAGTAAGGTGGCCTTGAATATTATAAAGTCTGAATCTGGTAGTTTTAATAAAAATAAATCCAACCCTATTATAGATGTTGACAACTTCAATGACTTTTTTGTCAATGTAGCAAATTTTGATGGTTCAAACAACAATAAACTCTGCAACTCAAATAGGCCTAGTTATTTTGATTTTCTTAATAATCATCCAAAGCAATGTTATACTGAAAATCTTAACTTCATGTGGGAGCATGTATTTCCACAATATATAGACTTATATAGATATAGATTATTTTCCAAATAATCTTAAGCTTACAAAAGTTGTGCCCATTCACAAGAAAGGCGACACTTCATGTCAATCAAATTAAAGACCGATTGCGCTTGTTCCGGTATTTGCTAAGGTTATTGAAAGTTGTA